AAAAATCCATCTCATTTTGGCAAAAAAAAAACAAAAAAAAAATTCCCCCTTAATAATAAATTATATTCAAAGATATGGTGAAATTTAAAGGTTTTTCTATACTCATCTGTTTTGCAACATCTTTAAAGCTTCGATAGTCATAAAATGGCAAGGACTTGAACGAAACGATAAATTTCCCCGTTACCGTGTCTTGTGACGTTAAATAGATGTACGCAGTATCGGCCTTTGACATAAATGCTCGACATAAATTCATCCTTTCCACATTCAACTCGAGCAATTTCTTATACATATATATATATATATATATATATTCACTACTTTTGCCACCACTTTTATTTTTACAAAAATCCTATAGAATTTATAACGGTTTTTTTTTCATTTATAAATGTATATATAATTGAGTATAAGAATGCCGTAAATTCCAATATGCTTATAAATATATATATATGTATATATTTATATACCACATCTTTTCCCCATGAATCGTTTTTTAATATGTTGAAATCTATTTTATTCAATTATTATATTTTATATATAATAATAATAATAATAATAATAAAAAGAATAATAATAATAATAATAATAATAATAATAATAAAAATAATAAAAATAATAATAACAATGATAATGATAATAATAATATATCGTAATGATATCGAGCATGTGCTGTATATTTGCACCCTCTTTCATTGTAAAACAAACTTAATCCTGGCTTTATCTTACAGTTAATAATTTACTGACAATGAGAGTTTTAATTTTATTATCGAAAACAAAAGCTAATTTTAATAATTAAAAAGTAAAATATACTGTGTAATTAATTACATTTAAATTTTCTATAATGTAATAATATACTATAATAATAAATAATAAAATAAATAATACGTAAAATATAATATAATGTAAACAGAAACAAACAAAATGTAATATAAATTAATTAATAAAAAGTGAGATTGATTTGCCATTGTCCCCAATCGCCATTTTTCACAATTCTCGTCAACTACCGCATCCTGCTCTAGTGAAAATTTAGTAACTTTATAGTAAATTTGAATTTTAACAATAAAGTCACTAGATATTCACTACAGCAGGGTGCGGTAGTTGACAATGAAAATTTAGTAACATTTTTGTTAGTTTTAATTTTAACAATAAAGTCACTAGATATTCACTACAGCAGGGTGCGGTAGTTGACAATGAAAATTTAGTAACATTATTGTTAGTTTTAATTTTAACAATAAAGTTACTAAATTTTCACTATAGCAGGGTGCGGTAGTTGACGGAGAATTGTGATATCACCATATTTTGAGATATTACCAACTTCCCTCATGTATTTTCCCCAATTATTCATTATCTAGTATGAAACACTTGCTTTCATTAGCCACTAAATCCAATACGTCACTATAATTTCACGCATCGAATTTCTTCTTCATTACTTTTTTTCGCCATCCATTGCATTTTTGAGGTTATGTTTATGCTCCACGGTGAAAGGGACCTCATCTGCAAACAAAATTTAGGTTAAGTTAGTGTTTTTTAAAGTACAAAAAAAATTTCGAAACTAAATGTATATTATACAGTAATTAATTACATTTAAATTTTCTTTAATGTAATAATATACTATAATAATAAATAATAAAATAAATAATACGTAAAATATATAATATAAACAGAAACAAACAAAAAGTAAAATAACCTCACTTTTTTTTAAATGTGACGAGTCGTCTTTTTCAAGCGAAGACAAAGTATTCTCATACTAGATAATGAATAATAAATTGATATAATAATATATAATTCAAATAGAAACAAACAAAATGTAACATAACCTCACTTTTTTTAAAATGTATCGTGTATTTTTAACGAAGACAAAGTATTTTCATACTAGATAATGAATAATAAATTGATATAATAATATATAATTTAAATAGAAACAAACAAAATGTAACATAACCTCACTTTTTTTTAAATGTGTGTCGTGTATTTTTAACGAAGACAAATAGTATTTTCATACTAGATAATGAATAATAAATTATGATCATCTATTGACAACAAAATCATTCAGTATAAAATATGTAAATTAATCTTGCAATTTTATATTGTAAATTAATACATATTTTCATGACTTTTATTATTGTCTTATATACAATCAGGGTTGGAGAGCGACGGATATACAGAGGGCATTGTATCAACGATATAATATTATCGATATTTAAACACAATATATCGATATATTAATCGTTTGTATCAATCTATCGTTACAAAAATATTGCGTTAATACAATCGATTTATCGTTTAAAGAGAATATATACTATCGATTTAATCAATCTATTGAAATTAATGATTACTATCGATATTTTTGGTGAGGTATAAAAAATAATATTCTTTCTCTCTTAAAAAACTTTATGTCCATATTATTAACGTATGAAAATTTTCGATTTTTATTTTCTATATGTATATACATATATTATATATATATATATATATATATATAAGGATCGTGTCGTCGCGTGCCACATAATTTATTGACGAGACCTTCTATCTCCATCAAGCGTCTCATAAATCCGGGAACCGATCGTCGGGAAGATTTTCATCTCGCACTTGTGCGGCGTCACTCGATATATATATAGGATATAGGCGTCGAGTCATTATGCATTTTATATTTGAAAAATAACCGCGTTGTCAATGCGGAGCTGATAAGAAAAACAATTTTTATTTTTATTTTCTTTTTAAAATTTAAATTATTTATAAATATAAAAATAAATTTTTAAATCTAATTAAAATATCACGACTCGTTTTTTTGCTAAACAATATATTTAAAAAAAAAAAACAATTTTTTGTTTTTTTATTTATTTATGTTTTAAAAAAAAACTAAATTTTATAAATAAATAAAAATATAACTAAATTTGTTTTTAATTTTTAATTAATAATTGCAAAAAAAGGGTAAAATTTTATTTTATTTTTTATTTATTATACTATGGTATGGGGGAAAAAAAAAGAAGAGGGAGTATAAATTTAGCTATTGAGAGAGCGCCATTGCAGTTAATTATACAAATGGAGAATATAGGCAGCATATATTAAATGAAATAACGCCCATGTTCCTATAATATTCGATCTTTCGTTTCCCCCAGTACGTTCCCCTCCCCCCTCTCTCATCATTCTTTTTATTGACACCCACGCAATCATTTCGATGCGCGCATTTCTCACGGCAAATCAACTTCGTTAAATTCTGACGTCAGAGAGAGGGCACACACACACACACACACATATATATATATATACACCATAAAAAAACGAAACGAAAGGATTGATCGTGCTCTCGAGCAAGTAAAAATCACACACTACCCACTCGAATTATTTTTTTTTTTTATTTAATTTTTTGTTTTTTATTTAAATTAATGCGAGAGGACAATTTAATTTCAAGAAAATTTGTTATTCCCTCAATTTTTTTTTATTAATTATAATATAATTATAATTATTATTTAATAATAATAAAAATATAATAATTATTATAATAATAATAATATAATAATAATAATAATAATAATAATAATAATAATAATAATAATAATAATAATTATAACAATAATAATAATAGCAATAATAATAATATAATAATAATAATAATATTTAATGAAATTAATTATATTTAGGCCAATTATGTATATTAGCTAACCTAATTATATATCTAACTAAATCTAAATTTTGAGGTTATGTTCATCACTTACCATTTGACTTTCAGTTCTTTTAAAGTTATGTTATATTTATTATTACTATTTACATATTCTCCTAATTACTGTTGTTAAATGAATCATTATAGTCATTATAAATCGTTACCCAAATAACACAAGATATCTTGGGATATATTGATAATATCCCGCAGATATCCTAGGGATGTTCTATGGATATCAAAAGGATCTCTTAAGGATATCCAAAAAATCGGCAGTTTGGATATCCTTTGGATACACTTTGGATATCCTTTGGATACACTTTGGATATCCCATGGATATAATTTGGATATCCCATGGATATCTGAGGATATCCACAGGATATCTGAGGATATCCACAGGATATCTTCTGGATATCTCTATAGACTTTCATAAATGTCCTCCAGATATCCCATAGATATCGTCAGGATATCCCACAGATATCATCAGGATATCCCATAGATATCGTCAGGATATCCCATAGATATTTTTAGGATATTCTCAATATATCTTCTGGATGTCAAGAAGATATTCTCAGGATACTGTTTTTAAAGTCATTATGAGACTACGAGTGAGAATATTCTGTGAATTAAATTTTATATATAAATAAAATAAAATGCAACTTGTTTTTCGAGAAAGTTGTTTAATTTGAAAATTTTATTAACTAATTTTTTTCTCATTTCTTGATTCATTCCTTTATTCATATGCTTAATATTTTTGTCAGAAAATAAATTGGCTTTAAACAATATAAATTCTTCCCCGCAAATAATGAATAACTATTAATATTAATTATGCATTAAGTGCATATGAGTTTATTTAAAAACTTTGAAAAATGCGTTTCAAATCTTCATTTAAAATAAATTAGAAGCTCATATAAGATTTTTGTTTTTATTATATTATTATTATTCATTATATTAGCTTAACAATTTTAACCTTTAAAAAAATATATGTTGAGATATTAAATATCCTGTGAATATCCTAAGAATATCCCACGGACATCCTGAGGATATCCCATGGATATCCTGCGATATAAAATCCAATAGATATTTTGTGGATGTCTTAGGGATATCCTGTGGATATTCTATGGATGTCCTATTGATGTCCCACAGACCGGCGGTTTGGATATCCTAGGGATATCCTATGGATATCCCAAGATATCTTATGGATATCCCAAGATATCCTATGGATATCCCAAGATATCCTGGGGACCATTCTAGGATATCGACCATTGATATGGATATCCTATGGATATCCTAGGGATATCCTTTTGTTATAAGGGTAATAATAATTTTTTTTTTATAATTATAGGAAGCAGAGAAGCAGCTTTTACTTATGCAATAAGCTCAGCGGGTGTAACTTACAAAATCACGGAAGCCTGCAGTCGCGGAAACATCACAGCTTGCGGTTGTGAACCAACACTTAGGTATATATATTATTTAGTCGTCTATTTTACACCCACAAAAAAAAATATATTTTTCTCCAAAATTTAATAAATTTCTTATTTAATTAAATTAAAAATTTTTATTGGCGCAAAATAACATTTTTATTTATTTCAAATATGAAAAAATTTTATTTTCCGCCAACAAAAATTTTTAATTGAATTAAATATATAAGTATATAGCTATTTATTTGCTTTGAAACAAAATTTTTATTTTTAAATTAAATAAAAATTTTATTTGCATTAAAGAAAATTTTTTATTTGAATCAAATAAAAATTTTCTTTTTAAGTAAATAAAATTTTTTTTCTAATTTTTAATATTATATTTAATTTTTATTGTAAATTTTATTTTTTTATTTTTAAATATATTTTCATTATTATAATATCAAATTATAGTTTATAAACAAAAAAAAATTTTTTTACAAGAATCTAATTTATTTATTGATACAAATTAATTAATTTAATTAATTGAATCGAATTTTAATTATTAATATTAAATTTTCAGTGTAGGGGAAATTTGTTATTTTTGAAAAATTATAATATTAAAAAAACTATTTTTTATGAATTTAAAATTAATCATAATAATTTTTACAAAAAATTGTGTAATAAATTATTTATTCTTTTATTTTATTAAGAACGAGAAAAGAATCACCATCAAGTGATTGGCAGTGGGGTGGCTGTAGTGCTGACGTTGCATACGGAATGAGGTAATTTTATTTTTGTTTTCTTAGAAATAATAAATATTTTACTTTACAATAGTAATTTTTTCTCAGATAGAAATATATTTATTTTGATTTTCTATTTTAAAAAAATGAGAAAAATTTATATTTCTCATTTTTTTTTTTGGATGCAAAAAAAAATACTAATGAAATTAATTTATTTACTAATTTTTTGGTTAATAAATTTTTTTTTAAATATAGGTTGGCGCGCAGATTTACGGACGCACGCGAAGTCGCAGGTGATCCGAGAAGTTTAATGAACTTACACAACAATAAAGCCGGTAGAAAGGTGAGTTTTCATATTGTGATTATTTTTTTGCAAAAAAAAGAAAAAAATTGAAAATTAAAAAAAACCGTCACATAAAATACTTTTATTTACTATAATTAATTTTATTTACTAATTAATTAGAATATTTAAAAATAATACCTAATGTAATGCACTGAAAAAAATTTATTTGATTCAAATATTCGATTACTTGACTATTATCAAATAAATATTTATTTGTATCAAATAATTATTTATTTGACTCAATTAAATAGTATTTGTTTCAAATACAAAAATTATTGGTTCAAATACAATTTCTTTTAATTCAAATAAAAAATTATTTGGTTCAAGTAAATATTTATTTGATATAATAGTCAAGTAATCGAGTATTTTGAATCAAATAAATTTTTTCTTCAATTTTGTTCCAGTGTCGTTTTTTTTTCTTTATATAAAAAAAAAAAAATTTTTAATTATGTTTTACATTAAAAATAAGTTTTTATTATTATTTCATTTACCTTAAAAAATAGATTTACTTTTACAAAAAATAGAAAAAAAAAAGGTTACAACAACAGGGAAAAAAAATCTTCACCTGAAACAGCGATAAGTTTTACTGAAACAACGATATGTTTCACTAAAATAGCAAAAGATTTCGCTATTCTAGAGAAACTTATATCTATTTTAGATAAAGATTTTTTTCTTTTTTTTTAGAATTTTTTAAAATTAACTATAGTTTATTTTAAAAATTTCTTTTTAAATTTCAGCCCCTGTATTATTGACAACCCGTCGTTATTAGATGAAATTATTCATTATGGCTGAATGTATATAGGAGAACACAAACTTGTTTTCAAAAAAAAAAAAAAAAAACAAGTTGTAAATTCAGATGTTCATTACATGAACATTTTGCTTCCTCTTTACGATCAGCAAAAAAATTTGCTTCCTCGTGGAGAAAGCAAAATTTTATTTACAAAATGTGAATTCTTGATATTTTAACTTTCATTAATTCTTTAAATTTACCTCAAATGAATACTTTATATATATCCTTTGGTCAGATTTAAGATATTAATATGGTAAATGAGCCTACTAAATTTTATCTAAATCCATTAAAACCTGTTAAAGTTATCTTCTAAACAAAAAAGGGATCAACACACACATACATACATCCGGACAATTGATCAGGATCTCATATAACATGTTTCTATAAAGAAAAAAATTTGTTTCCGCAACTTTGAAAAGTTTTATAAACGAAAGAACTACAAAGCTTCCTCCACGAGGAAGCAAAAAAAAATACAATGAATATTAAATTTATTAATATTTTATAATTGAAAATTTTTTTTTATAATAATAATTATTTTAAACAAAAATTTATTTTATATATTTTATAAATATGGTATAATAAAAATGTAATAATTGCGCATTTTTTTTTGTTAAAAAAAAAACGATAAAAACAAATTTAAAACATGTATATAATAACGATTATAACTCATACTTGGTGTAAATATTGAACACGAAAGCAAAGTTTATTTTAACGAGATGCTAAAATTAATAATGAGCTTGAGCCACCTTACGAGGTATATCTTACTTTGGACACACATCTTTTGTGTGCCTCTATCGATACTGATTTATCGGGCAATAAACACGAGCCAATCATTGAACAAAAACAATGTCGTCTTTTTCCATTAAAAGCAAAAATACGCAAATCACCCCTTTTGTTTCACGAGTGTAAGCAATCAATGCAAATGACAATAGAAAAATAGTACAAAAACAACTTATTTCACAGAAAAGACATAATTATGGAATTTTTTTTTTTTTTATTAGCGAAAATTTACTTTTCTCTATTATAAATTTTTATTAAATGTTTTTTAATATAAATTTTTCCCATACAAAGAAAACTATTTAAAAAAATTTTTAATTTTCAATTAAATTCAATAAAAACCAGTTACTGATAAAAAAAGATTTTGCACTTATCGACAGATGGTAAAGAAAAAAAAATTTTCTAAAAAAATTGTAATAATTTTTTGTTTTTCAGATGGTAAAAACACTTTTGAGAACGGAATGTAAATGTCATGGTGTATCTGGTTCATGTACAGTGAGAACATGTTGGAGAACGTTACCGAGTTTTCGTCAAGTGGGTGATGCACTCATGAAAAAATATTACAGAGCACGACCAGTTGTGGCAGTCACGCCACCACCACCACCAAAGATGCAGGTCAGTTTTTTTTTCTTCAAAATATTATTTAAAACCTTAAAATTAGTAAGTGTTCTTCTTTACCGACAGTTGATTATTTATCGACTATCTGCTATTTACCAATAATTGGTATAGAGGGAATTTCACCGATTTTTTTTATATTTATACCCTAAAAACAATCACCACTTTACCGACAGTCGATTACTTACCAAAAGATAGTTAAGAAAAGTACAACAAAAAACGCTATTTTTACCTACAATCAATAAAAAAAAACTATTCTTCTTTACCATCTAAAATTGACATTATACCGACAGTCGATAAAGTAACATTCCACCTTATCTTATGCTAATATTATTTCTTTTGGAATGAAACATTTAAAAAAAAAAAACGTAAAAATAAATTTATTTCAGATGGATGTTTCTCCAAATCCTGCGGAATTAATTCCAATTTTGGGTAATGACGCAAGAACACAAGGTTATGGTTATGAGAAAATAAAAATTGAAAGAAGACTTTCACGAAAGGCTGTGAATAAACCACGTAAACCACATTTGGTATTGAAACGTACAAAATTCAATACGGGACCTGGAATGAGCTATAAGAGAATACCGAAAAGAAGTGAATTAGTTTTTCTTCAACCATCGCCAAATTATTGTGATTCTGATTTATCACAGGGAAGTCTTGGAACGCAGGGTCGTTTCTGCAATCGTACCAGTAAAGGTAGTTATTGTTTTTTTTTTTTTGGTCCAAAATTAATATCGCCAGATTATTTGGTTAAAATTGGTTTTTTTAGTTTATAATTGTTTTTTATAATATTATTTTTATTATATACATCAATTATTGGATCCAAACTTTTAAATTTTGAAAATCTGACAACATATTCATAATCAGCGACATCGATAACCCCCCGAGTAACAAGTTTCAAGTAAATTGGAGTAATTTTTAATTTTGTTGTACGCCATATTGGACCCGCCATTTTGGATTTTTAAAAACAGACATCGGATTCGTAATCAGCGACCCTGAAAACCCCTGAGTAATAAGTTTTAAGTAAATTGGAGTAATTTTTAATATTCTTCACCGCCATATTGGATCCACCATTTTGAATTTTTAAAAACAGACATCGCATTCGTAATCAGTGACCCCAAAAAACCCCCGAGTATAAGTTTTTAGTAAATTAGAATGAATTTTAATTTTTTTCATCTGCCATATTGAATCAGCCATTTTGAATTTTAAAAATCTGACATCAGCTTCGTAATCAGTGACCTCAAAAACACCCGAGTATAAGTTTTTGGTAAATTAGAATGAATTTTAATTTTTTCATCCGCCATATTGGATCCGCCATTTTGAATATTTAAAAACAAACATCGGATTTGTAATCAGCGACCCCAAAAACCCCCCGATTAACAAGTTTCAAGTAAATTGGAGTGATCTTTAATATTCTTCACCGCCATATTGGATCCGCCATTTTGAATTTTAAAAACAGACATCGGATTTGTAATCAGCGACCCTGAAAACCCCTCGATTAATAAGTTTCAAGCGGATTTTGATTAATTTTCAAAAATTCTTCCGCCATATTAAATCTGCCATTTTTAATTTTATATATCTGACAACCGATTCGCAATAAGCTACCCCGAAAACCCCCGAGTGACGAGTTTAAAACAATTTCGATTATTTTTTGAAAATTTATCAGACGTATTGGATTCGCCATTTTTAATTTTGAAAAAGTGACATTGGATACATAATCAGCGATCCCGAAACCCCTCCCCCCCCCCGCCTAAGTAATAAGTTTAAAGAAAATTGGAATGATTTTTAATTTTCTCATCTGCCATATTGGATTCGCCATTTTGAATTTTAAAAGTTTTATAATATATTCGTATTATGTTGGTATTTTTTTTTAATTCGTCAAATTCATTTGATACTTGGAACTCGAGAGTTTTTGGGGTCGCTGATTACGAATATAATATCAGATTTTTAAAATTCAAAATGGCGGATTCGATATGGCGAATAAATTTTTAAAAATTAATCAAATTTGTTTGAAACTTGTTACTCGGGGGTTTTTGGGATCGCTGATTACGAATCCAATGTTAGTTTGTCAAAATTCAAAATGGCGGATTCAATATGGCGAATAAATTTTTAAAAATTAATCAAATTTGTTTGACACTCGTTACTCGGGGGTTGTTGCGATCGTTAATTACAAATATGATATCAGATTTTAAAAATTCAAAATGGCGGATCTAATATGGCGGATAAATTTTTAATAAATTGATGAAATTTGTTTAAAACTCGTTATTTGGCGGTTTTCGGAGTCACTGATTACGAATCCGTTGTTATTTTGTCAAAAAATTAAAAATGGCGGATCCAATATGGCGGACAAGAATATTAAAAATTACTCCAATTTACTTGAAACTTGTTACTCGAACGTTTTCGAGGTCGCTGATTACGAATATGATATCAGATTTTAAAAATTCAAAATGGCGGATCCAATATGGCGACAGAATTGTTTATAATTTGATCGAATTCACTTGTAATTCGTCACATACGGGGTTTTAGATTTGCTAATTACGAATCAAACATTAAATTCGTGATCAGTAACCCAAAAAACAGAAGTGTAACAAATTTTATATGAATTCGTAGCTGCGCAATATTACTGTAAGCAATATTTTCTTGCGAATTTGTGTTATATAGATTATTTAGCTGCGCAACAATATTGTGTGCAACTTTTTGCTGCGCAGTAATGTTGTATGTAAATTTTAGTTGCGCAGTAGTGTCATATCAGCTGCGCAGTAACGTTGAATTCAATTTTTCGCTGCGCAGTACTATTGTATGCGACTTATAGCTGCGCAGTACTGTTTTACACAATTATTATTCCATGATACCTTAAAAAAAAAATTGAAAAAAAAAATATAATTTTTTTTGCATAAAAAAAAAAATTTTTTTCTTTTTTTTTTTTGTCTTTATACAAAATGTTTAATGATTTTTCTTTTTAATCAGGTACCGATGGTTGTGACTTGATGTGCTGTGGACGAGGTTACAATACACATCAATATACAAAAGTCTGGCAATGTAATTGTAAATTTCATTGGTGCTGTCGTGTGCACTGTGACACGTGCTCACAAAGAATTGAAGAGTATACATGCAAATAAAGTTCATGTACCAGTGATCAGTAATCGGATTCTTGGATCTACCTTCTTTCAATTCACAAGAAGAGAAAATAAACGAGAGAGAGAAAAAAAAAGAAAGATAACCATTTACAAGAATATTTGTCACAATTCTTATTGTATGTATCGCTCTGGCCTTGGTTACAAGAATAAGAATTCTCTTCTTTTTTTTTTTCTCATAGTTTTATTAATCTCGAGAACTTTAGCGAATAATTCCAAGGATTATTTCTTCGCTTGGAAAATGGATAAGATAACGAATTTTTTTTTTTTTTTTTTTTTAAATCTTTTTCATATGACAAAATAACTACCAAAGTATATTTCGTTTTATTAGAGAGTTATAATCGTTTAAATAAAATTTCTTTGTTAAACAAGAGGGAAATTTTTTTTTCTTTCAGTACATTTGATAACAAAAAATTGAAAAAATAAATAAATTACTAAAAAAATAAAATTTTTGAATGTAAAAAATTATTTTTCGGATTTTAAATTTTGAAAATATATATATTTTTTTTAAATTGAACAATGAAAAATCCAAAATAATTAAAATTCTATTTAATTTTGAATATTTAAAAAAAAAAAAAATTTATTTTCATAAAAATTCAAAATTGAAATTATTTTTAACGTTTATAACTCAATACATTGTTTTTCAAAATAACAATCATTCGAACACGAATAAAAAATAATGCTAAATTTCTATATCGTATTCTAAGAACGAATATAGAAGCTAATACTGTAAATTTTGTAATTTTCTTGAATTTTTTTTTTTTTTATATAAACAATGCGATACACCTGAGCATGATGCAACTGTGTGATATTATTTATAATTCAATGTTTATGTCGAAATTGGTGATAAAAATTTCCTAATTTCTATTAACAAAAAAAAATAAATAAATAAATAATGTCTGCGAATTTTTTTAATTTAAATTATTTAATTTATTTAAAATATTTAAAAAAAAGATTTTAATTAAAAATTTAATTAAAATTTCAATAAAAAATTTTTTTAAAAAAAGTAAATATAAACAAAAAAAAATATATCACCAATTTTACGAGAGGATAATTTAATTATTCGATTGAATTATATTATAATTTGCTATAATATTTAAGATTATAACTATTGTAAATTATTAATTTAATAGAGATAAAATATAATAATAATAATAATAATAATAATAATAATTTTTTTTTAAAAACGTGTATAAAATAGAAAAAAAAAATTATTTCATTAATTTAAAATATAGACAAATTTTCTTTCGTTTTTAAAAACATTTAATGTAAATTAAAAAAAAAAAATTTTTTCTTTAAAAATGAAAATTTAAAAAATTAAAATGCAGATTATGTAAATTTTTTATTTTAAAATCAAGCTCAAAACAAAATTAATTTTTTTTTTTTTTAATAAAAATTTCTATATAAAAATATTTTGAAAAAACTATTTTGCAAAAAGAAGAATTTTTTAATAAGACAAAAATTTTGTATTTTTAAAATAAATATTGTAGGTTTTTCTTTTTATTATAGTAGACTGTATATTATAATAATGTGATTATTAATTATTATTTTTAGTTAATAAGAATTTAATTATTTTAAAAGCGTTAAGATTTTTTTTTTACATAAATTATTATTTATTCATAATTTATACAACGAGAAAGCGCACTGCTATTTACCGTCTTCAATATATTGTTGTACTTAAAATATTCAACAATAAACAAAAAATAATAATGTCAAAATTATCTCTTTTTTTTATTAATAAAAAAAAATAAATTTTAAAATGTACCTATATTTAAATATATATTTTTCCATAAATAACTTTAAAAAAACCTACCAATTGAACCTAAATTGCAGTAGACTAAGAATAATCAATTTTATTCCATTTTTTTGGATAGAATGTTTTCCTGGAAAATGAAAAAATTCCTTACAAATTCAAATAAAATTAATCAGCATGACTCTATTATTTTTTGACCTTAAAACAACACCTAATACCTTCAAAAAAAACCTACCAATTGAACCTAAATTGCAGTAGACTAAGAATGTTCAATTTTATTCCATTTTTTTGGATAGAATATTTTCCTGGAAAATGAAAAAATCACTTACAAATTCAAATAAAATTAATCTTATTAATTATGAATTTATTGCTTAATAATTTATTATTATTAATTTTTTTATTTTTAATTCCAATTTTTTTGAATTAAAAAAAAAAACATAAATTTTCAAACATAATTGAATTTGTTTTTATAATATGAAATTATTCGAAAAGGAGGAGAATGTGGTTATAATGAGTTTATACTTTAATTAACATGCATTGTCAGCATTTTTAAAGATTTTCTTTTCAAGATTTAGTAAACGTTTAATAATGTAAAACTGAAGAATGAGACAAAAAGAAAAAAGAAAAGGAAATTTTGTGTCGAGTCATTAGAAAGGAAGTATAGTAATATTTTTCAAACAAAAAAAAAGGAAATTTTGCTCATTTTTGTATTTGAAATACATTATATACTATATAATTATAATTAAAGTAGAAAATAATGAAATGAGAAATTATATAGTTTCTAAAATATAGAGAAAGCGGGGGGGGGAGGGGGCCTTACTCAAAATTTCAATTTTAAAATATAACAAAAATCAGTATTTCGTTACTAGCCTTGAGAATCACTTGTTTCCTCGAAAAATAGGAAAATATTGACATTGTGCCTTGTATTATATCTACCAACGAGCAACATTTTCTAATAAGTATGTATATAATTCAATGTAAATAATTATTACACATTATTTCCATTATAAATCATTATTAAATATAAGTTTAAAATTTTACAAAAATTATATTTATAATTATTTTCGTTTTTTAATTTTACAAAAATTTAAAAAATTATGTTCATAATAATAATTTATTTATTTTTTATTTATTTATTAAATTAATAATAATTATTATTATTATTATTAATTAATATAACTAATACCTATAATTTATATTATTATTATTATTATAAATAGTAAATAAATATAAGAATAGTATTATATAATAAACAATAACTTTATTATTGAAATAATTATAAATTAATTAATTAGTTTATATGATAAATATAAATGACATTAAAAATTACAAATATTTATTGTTAAAAATTATAATTTTTATAAAAGAATACTAATTATGAAAATTAACTTTTTTTTCGATAATAAATATTCTATCAATAATTATAATAATAACAATAATAAAGTTAAGTTTTATTATTATAATTAATTATCAATAATAAACTTAGATAAAAATAGTATAAAAAATATTTTTTTTAACGAAGAGTATTATAAATAGGTAAAATATAATTAGAAAAATTAACACTAATATAAAAACGTATATAAATATAAATTAATATAAATTTATTTGTTGTAAATAAATATTTTAAATATTGTAAATTATATAATAATTATATTATACGAATTATACAAACTTAAACTGTTATGAATTATTATTATAAATTATTTTTAGAAATTATTATACCGAATCATAATTATGATTAATTATTATAATAATTATTATAAATAATTGTTATAAATAAATAAAAGAATATAATTAGATAAAAAATTAATAGAAATTAATAACAAAAATGTAACAAACAAAATTGGAATAAAAAAAAATTAATAAATACAATATTGTAAAAAGAAATAATAATTTTCTAATAATAAATCTTATTTAATAATAATTTTTCTCTTTTTTTTCATCACTTTCAGAATATAATGCCGGGAATTTTGGAAAAAAAACAAAAAGTCATTCCCCTCGTTGGATCAACATTACACGTGGTGGGAAAATATTGTCCGGAAATATTGTCCGACATTGAAAAAATAGAAGGAAATAATTTGCAAACGGGACAAATTTTCGCAACAAGTCAACGACAGCAAAATAATAAACAAGGATCACAAAGTCATTTGGAAACATTAAGAAATAAATTTCGAACAATAGAGATTCTCTTTCCCGATTTATTTGAAGCAAATAACGAATGTCAAGAAGAAAGAAGATTATTTTAAACTTGTTCTTAGAAAAACAAAAAAAAAAAAAAAAAACCCCAGAAATTAAATCTGGTTTCATAATAATTATTAAATTATATACATATAAAGCTTATTACAAGCTTTGTGATATTATTATTATTATTTTACGAAATTTTTAATTTTTAAACATATTTTCATTATTTGTTTTAAATATTTAAAACTATAATATTGTTCGATGCGTTGTTAAAATTTTTTTTTGTTGTTTTTTTTTTTTTGTTAATAATTACCATAATGTGAAAAAAAAATTGTAAATTATAAAAAAAAAAAATTTCCTGTGTATAGATGGATAAAGAAATATTAACTGCAATATATTTTAGTTGCAGTGTGTGGGTGGCAATAATTCAATAAATTGTTATTATGTAATTTTTATTTACGTAAAATCAAAAAAAAAAAAAAAAAAAAAATTGTATAATTATTTTTCACCTTTCTATTATGTTCCCTGGCATTTTTATTATAAATTATAATACCTTCTCATGTGATGAGAATGTAAAAAAATTAATTACAACTATTATTTAAATATATTAACATTAAATGAAATGAAATTTTTAAAAATAAAATATCCAAGAAAAAATATTCATAAATAAATTGTATTTTATTTATATACAATAAATATTTAATTTCAAATAATTTATTTATTTATTTATTTTAAACATTGTTATCGAATGTATGTTTTTCCCTCAGTTGTAAAATTTAATTTGTTTCTTATCATAAAACTAAATTTACTTGTATAGACATTTACTATATAAAAAATTGTGAATACATTGTATTTATTTAATGCATATCAATATAGCAAAAGGTGAAATTTTTTTTCGCAATATGCGTAATGAAAGTTTAATATTGGAAACTAAAAATAGTGATCTACAAAATTATTCAACAAAAACAAAATGTTCTCTACAATATCCTGCAGCAATAACTGGTACATTTTATTATTATTATTATTTTTTTATTGTTTTTATTATTATCGTTATTATTTTTGTTATTATTATTATTATAATTTTTTTTTATTATTTTTATTATTATCGTTTATATTTTTGTTATTATTATTATTATTATTATTATTATTATTATATTTTATTAATTAATTAATTATTATTTTTTATAATTTGAGGTTATGAGTCTTTAATTAAAACTTTTATCTTTCCTATATTTTGAGGTTTTTGGACAAATTTACCAAATTTTCATTTATCACCGTTTCGTAACTTACGTAATTTTATTTTGTGCACAATTTTCAAAATTACCGTTTGTAAAAAAAAGTAAATTGTAGCCTTTAGTGTGACATTTGAAAAGATGACATTGTCTCCACTCTACAAAGTTCCTACTCGTCATTTATCATAATTATCGTCAACTACCCCACCATGTTCTAGTGACAATTTAGTTACATTATAGTAACTTTTAATTTTAACTTGAATTTCACTAAATTTTCACTAGAGCAGGGTTCGATTGTTGACGAAAAATTGTGATACCCCAATTTTGAAATATTTTCCTGTTCCCTTATGTATTTTCCCAAAATTATTCATTATCTAGTATGAAACACTTGCTTTCATCAGCCACTAAAATCCAATATGACACTAATTTCACACATCGAATTTCTTCTTCATTTACTTTTTTTCGTCATACATTGCATTTTTATTTATGGTCGTTTCGTTACGTAATTTTATTTTCTGGGGGAATTTTTAAAATTACGGATTTAAAAAAAAGCCATTGTAGAACAGCCTTAACAAATTTTAGTAAAGGCGCTTTTATACCTCACCGATTACGAGTATTTTATCGTCGTGCAGCATTGAAGTAAATGAGACAAAAGATAATTGTGTCTCATTTACTTCAATGGTACACGACGAAAGTATACTCAGGATCGGTAAGGTCATCATAATTCTCGTCAACTACCGCACTCTGCTCTAGTGAAAATTTAGTAACTTTTAATTTTAACAATAAAGTCACTAAATTTTTACTAGAGCAGGGTGCGGTAGTTGATGAGAATTATGACAAATGGCGAGCCAGGGTTGAGTAGCTAAAGATTTTCTATTGTAACAAGCAGAGATCGATAACACAAGAATCGTAAATTATTTCTAATTGGTTGGTAATAATTTGTCATTGTCCCCATTTGCCATTTGTCATAATTCTCGTCAACTACCGCATCCTACTCTAGTGGAAGTGACTTTATAGTAAAATTAGTAAAATTTAGTGACTTAGTAACTTTTAATTTTAACTAAAATTTCACTTAATTTTCACTAGAGCAGGGTTCGGTAGTTGACGAAAAATTGTGATACCCCAATTTTGAGATGTTTCCTTATTCCCTTATATATGTATTTTCCCCAAATTATTCATTATCTAGTATGAAACACTTGCTTTTATCAGCCACTAAAATCCAATACGACACTAATTTCACATCGACCTAGAGCAGAATGCGGTAGTTGACCTAGAACTTTTAAAAAATGGATAATAATAAAAATAATCTATAAATCTGAAAAAAAAATAATTATATAACTGTATGTAATAATAACAATAAATCATTGATTTTACTGGGTTTTTTCAATCTTATAATATTTAGCTTGCCTTATACGATTGGGATTTGGTACAGCAAATTATTGGACATCACCAGCAGTACCACATCTAATCTCATCAAATTCATCATTTACAATAACACCTGACGAAGCATCATGGATAGTATCATTAATTTCATTTGGAAGTATCATTGGTTTTATTCTCTATCCAATTTTTATCAATCAAATAGGACGAAAATATACAATGCTTTTATTTACAATACCACAAGTATTTTCATGGCTTACAATTTATTATGCATCAAATATTTATCATCTTTATGTGGCAAGAATTCTCTCTGGAATTGGTTATGCGGCTGGTTATATTGTGGAAATTATTTATATTGGTGAAATAGCGGAAAAAAATATAAGAGGTATTTTAATTGTCATTGGAAAAATAGCATATATTTTAGGATCATTAATTGTTGTTATATTGGGAGCATTTGTTTCCTATGATAATATGAATTTAATTCTATTATTAATATCACTTTTATTTTTTCTAACATTTACATTTATGCCTGAATCACCATATTTTTGTGTAAATATAAATAGAGATGATGATGCTGTAAAAAATCTTATTAAATTGCGTGGTAGGCGTGATATAAAAAAAATTCAATTAGAAATTAAAAATATGAAACAAGGATTGAGAAATAATATTTTAAAACGAAATTCAATGATAAAATTATTTACAATTGAAAGTAATCGAAAAGCATTGTTGATAGCTACTCTTGGAACATTGGGTTTTATATTATCTGGATATACTGTAATTGCAGCCTATACACAAACAATTGTCAGCTATATTGATTGTCCCTTAAAATCAGAAGAAATAACAGTTTTAATAATGATGGTGGTATTAATATCGTGTATTATATTTGCACCATTAACAGATTTGATTGGTAGACGAATTTTAATATTATTGTTTAGTATTATCACTGGATTTAGTTCTATAACAATAGGTGGTTTTTTCTTTTATAAATATCATCAAAATGGAAATATATCATCAATTTATTGGATAACATTAATTATATTTTTGATTTATATAATAGCAAGTAGTGCTGGTTTATTTCCACTAAGTCATATTTTGTTAGCTGAAATTTTTTCAATTGAAGTCAAAAGTACAGCAATTGCTTTAATTAATATTTTATGGGCTGTTGTTGAATTTTTTCTTAAATTAAGCTTTGAACGTTTAATTGAAATTATTGGAATTTATAGTGTATTTTGGATATATGGAATTTTAACAATTATCGTTAATTTTTCTAATTTTATTATTATGCCTGAAACTAAGGGTAAAACTTTGGAGGAAATACAAGAATTATTTTAGAACGTTGAAGCAAATAAAAAGTGTATTATATACACTTTCCTTTATTATTATTATTATTATTATTATTATTATTATTATTATTATGTAAATTATTAGTGTAATTTTATATAATGTAATTTATCGACATCATTGATTTTACGTTTAAACATTGAGGGGAATAAAAGTATCTAAAATTGCTTCAATTTATTATCAATTTCTTAAAAGACAACGGAGAATTAAATTTCACATTCTTTTCAATAATAAATGAAATATTTTAGCCAAATTAGTTTATAATACACGTCAACTAAGGGAGTCTAATAGTAATAAGATGCCAGTGTTTTACTGTCCTTACTAGTGAAATGTTCAAAAAAAAAAAAAAAAATTTTTAAGTTTGTGAAATTATCAAAATGACTAAGTACAATTTAAGATTTAAAGAAATCTTTCTTTTGATTTTTGGAGTATTACAAATATCTCATATTGATTGTGTGAGCTTTAAAGAAATTATTCAACAAATAAGAGAAAATGAATTTGAAGCACATCAAACGTTAATAATGCATGACAATAATAAAAAAAGTCTAGATGTACTAAATGAAATTGTACTAGCAACATTCAATACTAATCCAAGTCGAGTGATAAATTTTCTTCATAAATATCCAAAAAGGCTATCAATAAAATCGAAAAATTTATATAAAACAACACTTCTAATAGGAATTCTACAAGATAATAATGCAAAAGGAATAAAAAAATTTTTCAATTTTGTCAAAAAATTGACAAGCAAATACACTTATCCAAAATGTTTGATGATAATTTCAACTAAGAAAAAGAATAGCACTCGTGAAGATATACTTCGATTAGCATGGTCAAGAAATTTTATTCATCTTACAATTCTTGATGTTGAAGAAATTAAAAATGGAATATTTCAAGAGAGACAAACAAATTTAATAATCCATTATTTTAATAATTTTACTCGGAATTATACAAAAGTAAATTATCAAAAAGATTTTCTAATTTTTCCACAAAAATTGAATGATCTAAATGGTTTTAAAATGAATGTTGGCATTGTGGGATGCGATGATATGAATCATGATGAGGATTTAAAACTTAAAACTGTTTCGAAAATAATGAACTTCACAATTGAGAATGTATATGATGGTGATTATAAATGTTTCATTAATAACACTTGTCATATTTGGGATGATTTAATGAAATATTTAATAAAAGGAAGATCTATTACTGCTTATTACAGTAATTCAGAACAAATTTTCCATTTATATCCAAAAGTAAAACAAGAAACCTACTTGATTACAAACACAATTTATACAGCAAGTTTTAGTTGTGTGCTTTTGATTTTACTTTGGCTGATTCTACGATTCTTAAAATTTAACAAACACTTTTGGAAACTTTTGCATCTGTGGCAGCTATTATTGGGAATGTCAGTTGATCAAGACGTGAAGAAACTATTTGATAGAATTGCATTGATTTCAATTTGTTTTGGTTTTTATCTATTTTCATCAGAATTTCATACAATTTTAACAACCATTGAATTAGACATAAATTACGAAGAATATGAATTTATAAATGAAATAAATTGTGGAGAAAATTTTTTTTTTGGTTGCGATTTAAAAAGATCAAACAATAAACCTATGCCATGGGAAAAAAGAACAAGACACTATACAACAGTTGATGATTGTTTAAATGATCTTCTTGACAATAAAGCAGTTAATTGTTTGGTGAATCATGTAATTGGTGAACAAACTTTGTTAGCTGATTTAAGGAAAAATAAGGTTGCCACTATTTTTGTAAAAGTAGTAGCAGGAGATAATTTAAAAGAATTTGATTTAGAAAAAAATTCTCCGTTTGTATTTGAATTTGAGCATCATTTTAGTAGACTTTTACAGGCCGGACTTATTTACAAATGGAATAAATTTGATCAGATGAAAGTTAAATTTGAATTTTCGAAGAATGAAGATTCGTTTCTTAATTCACCATTTATAATTCTTGCTATTGGTCTTGGATTTGCAATTATTGTATTTATTGTGGAATTACTTTATAAAATGATAGAAAGAATAGTATTGAATCTTTTTAATTTTATCAATTTTTTTTTAAAGTAATTTAACATTTGCATCAAAAATTGCCATTATTTTTGCAATATTGCTGAAATATTAAAATATTGAGACAATATTGGAAATATTCTCTAGCCCTAATAACACAAGATATCTTGGGATATATTGATAATATCCCGCAGATATTCTAGGGATGTCCTATGGATATCGAAAGGATATCTTAAGGATATCCAAAAAATCGACGGTTTGGCTATCCTTTGGATATCCCATGGATGTCTGAGGATATCCAAAGGATATCTGAGGATATCCAAAGGATATCTTCTGGATATCTCTATAGACTTTCATAAATGTCCTCCAGATATCCCATAGATATCGTCAGGATATCCAACAGATATCGTCAGGATATCCCACAGATATCGTCAGGATATCCCACAGATATCATCAGGATATCCCACAGATATTTTCAGGATATTCTCAGTATATCTTCTGGATGTCAAGAATATATTCTCAGGATACTGTTTTTAAAGTCATTATGAGACTACGAGTGAGAATATTCTGTGAATTAAATTTTATATATAAATAAAATAAAATGCAACTTGTTTTTCGAGAAAGTTGTTTAATTTGAAAATTTTATTAAATAATTTTTTTCTCATTCGTGATTCATTCCTTATTATTCATATGCTTAATATTGTCAGAAAATAAATTGGCTTTAAACAATATAAATTCTTCCCCGCAAATAACGAATAACTATTGATATTAATTATACATTAAGTGCATGAGTTTATTTAAAAACTTTGAAAAATGCGTTTCAAATCTTCATTTAAAATAAATTAGAAGCTCATAAGACTTTTGTTTTTATTATATTATTATTTATTATATTAGCTTAACAATTTTAACCTTTAAAAATATATGTTGAGATATTAAATGTCCCGTGAATATCCTAAGAATATCCCACGGACATCCTGAAGATATCCCATGGATATCCTGTAATATAATATCCAATAGATATTTTGTGGATGTCTTAGGGATATCCTGTGGATATCCTATAGATGTCCTGTTGATGTCCCACAGACCGGCGGTTTGGATATCCTATGAATATCCCAAGATATCATATGGACATCCCAAGATATCCTATGAATATCCCAAGATATCCTATGGATATCCCAAGATATCCTATGGATATTCAAAGATATCCTATGAATATCCCAAGATATCCTATGGATATTCCAAGATATCCTATGAATATCCCAAGATATCCTATGGATATTCCAAGATATCCTGGGGACCATTCTAGGATATCGACCATTGATATGGATATCCTATGGATATCCTTTTGTTATGAGGGAGGTGTTATGTGGGCTGATTTTAAAGTGCTTGTTATAATTAAACTTTTACCTTTTTTAAATGTAGAATTATTTAGTTTCTTTTAGAATTTTCTTTAAAGGTGTATAAATATAATATTGTATTTGTTTATTACGCTGATTGATGTCAGAAATACGCCAATTTAGGTGAGTGTTGAGATTCTAGAAAATATGTTTTTATTACAGTAAAGATTTGAATAACCTACCATCTGAGATATCAAATTTTTATTTTAGTTTTAGATTTGTAACACTATATAAATTTAAATTAGAAGTTGTTTAATAAAAAAAAGTTATTTTTTTGTTCATTCAATATTAATCCTTATCCTTTTTAGTTTCATCGGAATTATAACAAAAAAAAATAAATAAATAATGTAGCAAAAAAAAACAAAAGTGTTACAACTTGCAAGTATAGATTTGTACTTTGTAATAAATTTTTTTTAACATTGCAGTATTAGACAAAAATTAATTTTTAAAAAATTTTATTTCTCTCTAATTTGCTATGCTGATAAATAATGCGAGGGATATAAAATTGAGTCAAATTCATTAAAATTAGAATTCAAAATTTTTTTAAAAATGACATGTTACAACTTACCCCATGTAGCAAACAGTACCAAACTCTCCTCTATGTGATGCGTTCTAAAAAAATAGGGACCTAAGAAACAAAAATTTTTTTTAGATTATGTTCATGAATTAATTTTAATTACAATTATTCTATTATAACATTATATAAATACATCAAATCATTGTAAATGTATAAAAAAAATATATATATATATATATATATATATATATATATATTCGTCTTGTAAATACAAAAAAATTGTCAAAAATCATAATTTCTTTTCATTTACATAAATTTTTTCCCTCTACCATTATATAATATACATTTTATTTATTTAATATTGTCACGCCCTGTGAATTTATTTTACTTTAAAATAAAACAATATAAAAATAATTTTAAAGAAAGAAAAATAATTATCATACATTTATCATTGTCAATTAAACAGAATTTTTATTTATTTGAATCTGTTTCAAGGATGCAAGTGTAAAATCAAACATGCATATATATGCATGCTGGCCTCTATAATGATAAAAAAAAAAAAAAAAAAAATTTCCTCAAATTTATTTATTCTTTAAACTTTTTTGCAAGATTATATTTGACACATATAATATGAATTATGTAAATATTGTTGATAATTCTTTGCAATTTTTTTCCAATTATTATCATTATTCCCAAAATTCTAAAAAGAAAATACAAAATTAATTATATATCAATTTCATCAAGATAAAAATTACTTTAAAACAATTATTCTTTCAACATTAAATTTTTACTTAAGAGGTAATTTTCAATAATTAGTTTTAAAAAAAAATTATTTTTTATATTTATTATCTTAGAATGAATTATTGTAAAAATTGTCCCTTACCAATTACAAGTGAAGTAACATTAGCGTCAACTTGTGGTAATATTGGAACATTTATATTATTTATGGGAATATTGGAAAGTTTTATTCGAAAACAATGTGATCTTGAAGATCCATGCCATCGAATTAGACCACAAGAGAAACCAAATTTAAGGTAATAAAATTATTTTAAAAATATATTTATATTAAAAATTTTATTAAATTAACATCGCTACAATTTCATTTTTACTAATATTTATATATATATATATATATATAGTTATGATTTTGTCGTAATTGGATCTGGAAGTGCAGGTGCAGTTGTTGCATCGCGTTTATCGGAAGAAAAAAATTTTTCAATTTTACTAATCGAAGCGGGATTAGATGAGCCAGCGTGGACACAAATGCCACCATTTTATATGAATACACTGCGTACAAAATTAGATTGGCAATATACATATGTTAATGAAGAGGCTGAATGTAAAGATCAAAATGATTCCAGATGCTATTGGGGAAGAGGAAAGGTTCCTAAATTTTTTTTTTCCACACAAAAAAAAAATTGAACTATTTCCAAGGCAAACCAGGAATATGATTTTCTGACATTTTTTTTTTTTTTAAACTTGTCCGCCATTTTGAATTTTGAAAATCTACGATCGGATTCATAATTAGTGATCCAAAAAATAGCTACAATCTAAGCCATAAAGAATTTTGAGTTACTTGTTTGATTAGATATGTTTTTTGAGGTTAGAAAAAAATTCTGACGTAATGGAGCAAATTGAAGATCAGATTCGTGACTAATTAAACAAGTAACTCAAAATTCTTGAGCTCTTGGGTTCTACGAGTTTTTGAGATCGTTGATTACAAATCTGATCTCAGAAGATCAAGAATTCAAAAATGGCGATTGCAATATGGCGGACAAGTTTTTTAAAAAAAATTACTAAATTTTCATTCAAATCAGTAGCTAGGGGTTTTTGGGCTCTCGCTGATCACGAATTCGATGTCAGATTTTTAAAATTCAAAATGGCGGATGCAATATGGCGGACAAGTTTTTTAAAAAATTACTAGATTTTCATGCAAATCAGTATCTAGGGGTTTTTGGGGTCGCTGATTACGAATCTGATGACAAATTTAAAAAATTCAAAATGGCGGATTCTATATGGAGGACAATTTTAAAAGAAGTTATTGGATTTTAATGCAAATCTGTATCTAGGGGAAACCTATTTTTAAATTTGTCCTCTATATTGCATATGCCATTTTGAATTTTTAAAATCTGACATCGAATTCGTGATCAGCGACCCCAAACACCCCTAGATACTGATATCCATGCAAATCTAGTAATTTTTTCAAAAATTTGTCCGCCATATTACATCCGACATTTTGAATTTTGAAAATCAGATCAAATTCATAATCAGCGATTCCAAAAATCACTAAAAACCCAAGCTAACAAGAATTTTGAGTTACTTGCTTAATTAGACATGTTTTTTGAGGTTAGAAAAAAATTCTGACGTAATGGAGCAAATTGAAGATCAGATTCGTGACTAATTAAACAAGTAACTCAAAATTCTTGAGCTCTTGGGTTCTAGGAGTTTTTGAGATCGTTGATTACAAATCTGATCTCAGAAGATCAAGAATTCAAAAATGGCGATTGCAATATGGCGGACAAGTTTTTTTAAAAAAATTACTAAATTTTCATTCAAATCAGTAGCTAGGGGTTTTTGGGCTCTCGCTGATCACGAATTCAATGTCAGATTTTTAAAATTCAAAATGGCGGATGCAATATGGCGGACAAGTTTTTTAAAAAATTACTAGATTTTCATGCAAATCATTATCTAGGGATTTTTGGGGTCGCTGATTACGAATCTGATGACAAATTTTAAAAATTCAAAATAGCGGATTCTATATGGAGGAGAATTTTAAAAGAAGTTATTGGATTTTAATGCAAATCTGTATCTAGGGAAACCTATTTTTAAATTTGTCCTCTATATTGCATCTGCCATTTTGAATTTTTAAAATCTGACATCGAATTCGTGATTAGCGACCCCAAAAACTCCTAGATACTGATATCCATGCAAATCTAGTAATTTTTTCAAAAACTTGTCCGCCATATTACATCCGCCATTTTGAATTTTGAAAATCAGATCAAATTCATAATCAGCGATTCCAAAAATCACTAAGAACCCAAGCTAACGTTCGATTGCCGTGGGAAAAATTTTATTTTATTTCTGCTTCTATATGTAATTAACCCTTTGATATCACACTGGGTATTTAACACCCTTTGTTATTTTAAAGTGTCTGTTAATTATAAATTATAAAAAAAAACATTAATGAGTGGAAAATAAATTTAAAAAATATATATATATTTCAGGTACTCGGTGGTAGTAGTTCAATAAATGGTATGACATACATTAGAGGATCAAAAAAAGATTTTGATGATTGGGAAAAAATGGGAAATAGAGGTTGGTCCTTTAAGGATGTACTTCCATTTTTCAAAAAAAGTGAAAATAATTTACAATACAATTTAATGGACAATGGTTATCATAGTCAAAATGGACCACTTCCAGTTACACAATTTAATTATCATCCACCAATGAGTTACGATATTCTAAAAGCTGGACAAGAATTAGGTTATAAATATTTGAAAACTTTTTTTTAAATTTAAATTAGTAACAAGTGAACTACTAATTCATATTAGTAAGAATTTACACTTATTTTTTTTTTTTATTTTTTTTAGTAAAATATTACAATTTGATTTAGTAGTTTTAAATTTTTTACCAAAGTTTTAATAAAAAGGAAACTAAAATTTAGTGTAAATTTTTACTAATTTAAATTAGTATCACACTTTTTACACTGAGAAAAAATTTTTTTTTGATTCAATAATTTCTTTATTCGAAACAAATTAAAAAAAAAAATTCAAATTTTTTTTGTTTATATCAACAGGTTACAATACTGTTGATCTAAATGGAAAAAGTCACACTGGATTTGCAATTGTTCAAAGTACATCAAAAAAAGGTAGTCGATATTCAACAGCACGTGCATTTTTAAGACCAGCGAGAAATCGTCATAATTTACATATTATGCTAAATTCAACTGCAACGAAAATTATTTTTAATAAAAATAAAAAAGCAATTGGTGTTGAATTTTACAAAAATGATAAATACATTCATGTTGGAATTAATAAAGAAGTCATTGTTAGTGGAGGTGAAAAATTTTATTTCCTTTTTCACTATATATACAAATGGAAAAAATTATTTTCTACTAAAAACTAAAATCAACTTTTTTTTTTTTTTTTTTTGCATATAGGTATTATTAATTCTCCACAATTATTATTGAATAGTGGAATTGGTGACAAAGAGGAATTAAAAGCCATTGGATTATCAGTTATACATCATCTTCCTGGTGTTGGAAAAAATTTACACGATCAAGTTATGTATCCATTGATTTTTTCCACCAATGAAACGAATATTAATTTTCTAAATTGGGCATCTGCCATGGAATATTTACTTAATCGAAAAGGACCATTAAGTGGCTTAGGTAAGTTAGAAAATAAAATCATTAAGTCCCAATCAAAAAAATTTCAGTATTATACCAGAGTTAATTATTGGCGCAGTACTGGTTCAGTATTGGCTGCCGAGGCTGGGCAGTCTGTACACTGAACCAGTACTGGTATTTTCATTGTATCAGTACTGGTGCAGTACCACCCACCCAGTACTGGCAAACCAGTACTGAGCCAGTACTGGCTCAAATGGATTTTCTTTTTGATTAATACTAGTTTACAACTAGTTCACTATTGCAGTGAAACTTATCTCTGTTACAGTTAAAGCTTTCTTTTACCCTCACAGCACCAGATATCCTAGGACATTCTAAAAACATCCCTTGGATATTCTAGGGATACCCCAGGGATATCCTAAGGATACTTTAAGGATATCCAAAGTAGCGGCGGTTAGGATATCATAAGGATATCCCAGGGATATCTAAGGATGTCCCTAGGACGTCCCAGGGATATCCTAATTATGTCCCCGGATATTATTAGGATATCCCTGAAATAATTCGAGATGTCCTTAGGACGTCCTAAAGGATATCCACAATATGTCTATATTATCTTAAATGTTAGAATATCCTTGATTCGTTCTAAAAATGTCCCTAAGGTATCCATAAAACGACCCTAACATACAAATTAATTAAATAAAAATGGAAAACATATTTTTTGGATGTATTTATAATGTATTTCCAAGATATCTAAAATGATTTACCTTGTCTACAAGAATTCTTTTTTCTACTTTTTCTTTAAAAAATCTCTTGAAACCAACTCAAGCGCTATCTCAAATAGTCAAAATTTGAATCATAATGATATCCTAGGGAGATCTTAGCGATATTTCTAAAATATTTTAACGATATACCAAGTTTATCCCAAGAATATCCCCTCTATATCACTAGGATATCCCTGGAATATCCCAGGGATATCTCTAGAATATCCTCAGAATATCTCTAAAATATCCTCAGGATATCCTCAGTATATCCCCAGGATATCCCAAAAATATCCTACGTAACGGCGGTTTGGATGTTCTGAGGATATCCTCAGGATATCCTAGGATATCCTATGGACGTTTTCAGGATATCCTACATTAGTTGAGGATATCCTTTTGTTGTGAGGGTAGTATACAATAAATTACAAAACTGCCAGTACTCAGCCAGTACTGAACCAGTAGTGGTTACCAGTACTGGTGCCAACTCTGGCCACGGTGCGCCAGAAGGAGGTTTAAATAAAAATGAATTGGCACTTAAAAATTTTTTTTTGATTATGGTTCTAAGATGAATAAAAAACTTTTCTCAATAGGTTTTAAAATTACGTGCCCAATTTAAAACAAATTGAGTTTTAAATATTTAAAAATAGTATTTCATGAGGAACCAGAATTTATTTAATGTAATATAGATAATAGATGTTTTAGATTTGGGTTCATATAAATTTATTAACAATTAAGTTATTTTTTTGTTTCGTTTTTATATTTATGCATTAAGAGTGTCGAAACGGTATCTGAAATTCTTTGGCAAGAAGAGAGAGCTTTAATTATCGCTCTGAACGTGAAATAGTATTGATTTTAAAATACTTTTTTTCTCGAAACACACGAACACTTTTAACAAAATCAGCCAAAATCCTCATCTTATAAATTTCCTAAATCCAAAAGACTGTACGAATCCATAGAAAAATATGGTTGCAAAACAAAAAGTAGAAAAGTAATCTAATAACCAGTTGCGACTTTGTGCGCCCTGCATGCTGCTGCCATCTGACGGCGGCAGGAGGTAATGAACCCCTCATTATATTACTTTTCGTTTTGCAATCGTGTTTTTGTATATGGATTCGTATAATCTTTAGGATTTAGGAAATTTATATAAGATAAGGATCTTTAGCTGCTTTTTGTAAAAAGTTTCCGTCTTTCGAGAAGAAAGTATTTTAAAATCAATGTTTATCATTTTCACGTTTAGTGCCGTTTTTATAGAACGATAAAATTAAAGGTCTCTTCTTGCCAAAAAATTTCAGAGATCATTCGACTCTCTTAAATAAATTTTGTCACTCTTAAAATCGTTCTTTTAACATTATAATTTAATTTTTTAAAATTGGACACAAACACTACAGCAATATAATTATATTTATATGTAAAATTGAAAATAAGTAATTATTTTATCATTTATTACAGTATTTATTAGATTAAATAAATTCTGATTCCCCATAAAACACTGTTATTTTTATATAAAAACTCAATTTTATTTAAATCGGTCACGTAAACTGATTTTAAAAACTATTGAGAAATGTTTTTTTATTCATCTAAGAATCATAATCAAAAAGTATTTTTAAGTGCCAATTCATTTTTATTTAAACCACCTTCTGGCGCACCGTGTGGCAGCCAATACTGGTAAAATGTTATCATCCCAAAGTTACGCCAACTCTGGCGCCAACACTTGTCAGTACTGCGCCATTAGTAAATTTTTGATTGGGGTACGCTGTAAAAGAAAAAAGTACTAAAACCGTATTTTAGGTATAAAAAAAAAAAAAAAATTTGTTCCACATTTACAGGTATTATGGCAATGACTGGTTTGATAAATACAAAATTTGCCAATCCCAATGATGATCATCCTGATATACAGTTATTTTTTGGCAATTTTATGTCAACTTGTTCAAAAAATGGTAATATTATTAATAATTCAACATCACGAAGGGAATTGAAATTAATTTCAACGGTAATTCGTCCAAAGAGTAAAGGTTATTTACAACTTAGAAACAGTGATCCACTAGCGAAACCAATAATTTATCCCAAATACATGTCTCATCCCAATGACATTGCTGTTATGATTGAGGGAATTAAATTTGCTCTACGTTTTGTTGAGGCTAAGGCTTTAAAAAAGTATGTCAATTAAATATTAAATTACCCTCTCAAAAATATCAATATTGTTAATGTGATTTAAAATTCTTGTATAATATATCCCAACATTAAAAAAAAAAAAATACTATGGAAAAAAAATTTTTATTTTCAGATATGACATACAATTGGACAGGACACCTGTGAAAAATTGTGAACACTTAGAATTTGGCAGTGATTCCTATTGGAAGTGTGCAGTGATACGTGATAAAAATCCTGCATATCATCAAGCTGGATCATGTAAAATGGGTCCTGATACAGATCCAATGGCAGTTGTTGATCATTTATTAAATGTCAAAGGTATCATTGGTGTTAGAATTGCGGACGCTAGTATTATGCCTGAAGTCACTTCTGGTAATACAAATGCTCCTGCTATTATGATTGGTGAAAGAGCTGCTGATTTTATTAAAAACAAATATTTGGGAAAATTTTAATTCTAGAGTAATTATATATTAATACAATCTGCATGTAATTCTAATTTAAACAAATTAATCAAAATTAAAACAGCTATTCATCAAAAATACAATTTTTAAAACTAGAGATTTATAAAGAATAATTTCTGTGTATTAAACAAATTTACATATATAGGGAAGAGTAAAAAAAATTTATGGACTTTCCTATATTGTATATTACAAAACTAAAAGTGTCTAATCTACAGATTTTGAACGATTTTAGAATAAGTTATATAAAATTAACAATGCAAAAAAAAAAAAATATATATATATATAATTTTAGCAATTCAAATATTTTTTTCTGAATAATTACAGTGTCATACTTGTAGACATTTATCCTTGCTCTAGTAATTTACCATAATCTGTATGTACTATATATAGAAAAAATTGACGTAAATTTAAAAAATTAAACTAAATTTCAAAATAATTTATTTACATTTTTAAATTAATCGGCACTACTATACAGAAAACAATTAGAAAATAAGGTTATACGTAGATTGATTTTAGAATTAAAAAAAGAAAATCTAAAAATTTAGAAACTCTAAAAATATATTTCAAAATTCACTGTTTTAATTTACAGAAAAAGTTTTGCTTATCTGATTTTCATGAAAAATAATCTCTTCTTATTTATTTTTTTTTTATTTTATTATTATTTTGAATAATACAAAAATGAATTGCACAAATTGCACTGTATCAACAATAAGTGATGTGACATTGGCATCGGCATGTGGTGGAACATCTTTTTTATTGTTCATGGGTATTTTGGAAATATTTATTCGCAAACAATGCGATTTGGAAGATCCATGCAATCGTGTTGTACCTCGTGATAAACCAAATTTAAGGTAAAATTTTTTAAAAGGTTAATTAAATTCTTTCTAAATATTTTGCTAAAAAGGATATCCCTAATAACACAAGATATCTTGGGATATATTGATAATATCCCGCAGATATCCTAGGGATGTCCTATGGATATCAAAAGGATCTCTTAAGGATATCCAAAAAATGGGCGGTTTGGATATCCTTTGGATATCCCATGGATATCTTCTGGATATCTCTATAGACTTTCATAAATGTCCTCCAGATATCCCCTATATATCTTCAGGATATCCCACAGATATTTTCAGGATATTCTCAGTATATCTTCTGGATGTCAAAAGAAGATATTCTCAGGAAACTGTTTTTAAAGCCATTATGAGACTACGAGTGAGAATATTCTGTGAATTAAATTTTATATAAATAAAATAAAATGCAACTTGTTTTTCGAGAAAGTTGTTTAATTTGAAAATTTTATTAAATAATTTTTTTCTCATTCGTGATTCATTCCTTTATTCATATGCACAGAAAATTAAAAGGCATTAAAATAAGCTGCAACGCTTATTATTTTAATGCAATTTTGCTTATTTTAATACCAAAATGGATTAAAATAAGCAAAATTAGATTAAAATAATAAGCGTTGCAGCTTATTTTAATGCCTTTTAATTTTCTGTGTGCTTAATATTTTTAGAAAATAAATTGGCTTTAAACAATATAAATTCTTCACCGCAAATAACGAATAACTATTAATATTAATTATACATTAAGTGCATGAGTTTATTTAAAAACTTTGAAAAATGCGTTTCAAATCTTCATTTAAAATAAATTAGAAGCTCATAAGATTTTTGTTTTTATTATATTATTATTATTCATTATATTAGCTTAACAATTTTAACCTTTAAAAATATATGTTGAGATATTAAATATCCCGTGAATATCCTAAGAATATCCCAAGGAAATCCTGAGGATATTCCATGGATATCCTGCGATATAATATCCAATAGATATTTTGTGGATGTCTTAGGGATATCCTGTGGATATCCTATGGATGTCCTGTTGATGTCCCACAGACCGGCGGTTTGGATATTCTATGGTTATCCCAAGATATCCTGGGGATTATTCTAGGATATCGATCATTGATATGGATATCCTATGGATATCTTAGGGATATCCTTTTGTTATGAGGGATTAATTATTAGACGTCAAAAACTCTAATTTTTAATAAAAATTAATTAATTAATTAATTAAAAATCATTTTTTCAATAAAATACAATTTTTTCTATATTTAGTTATGACTATATTGTAATTGGAGCTGGAAGTGCAGGTTCAGTTGTTGCCTCAAGATTATCAGAAGACAAAAATAATTCAATTTTACTTATTGAGGCAGGATTAGATGAGCCAGCTTGGACACAAGTGCCATCATTTTTTTTAAATCTCATGCATACAAATTTAGATTGGCAGTATAATTTTCAAAGTGATGATAATAAATGTTCAATGGAAAATTCAGCTAAATGTTATTGGCCAAGAGGAAAGGTAAAATTGTTCATTTTTTTTTTTTGCGAGAAAATTTTTTTTAAAATTTACCTTTAATTTTGTTTTTAGGTACTTGGTGGGACAAGTACATTTAATGCAATGTTATACATAAGAGGTGCTCATAAAGATTTTGATGATTGGGAAAAAATGGGAAATAGAGGTTGGTCCTTTAAGGATGTACTTCCATTTTTCAAAAAAAGTGAAAATAATTTACAAATCAATTTAATGGACAATGATTATCATAGTCAAGGTGGATTACTTCCAGTGACACAAATGAATTATCATCCACCAATGTTTAATGACATTCTAAAAGCTGCACAAGAATTAGGTAAATTACACAAAAGGACCACAACAAAAAAAAAAAAAAATCAAACATTTTCACAAGGCAAATATGATTTTCTAATGTATTTTGATGCGTCAAACACGAATCTGTAGTCACATTTGCTCCATGACGTCAGAATTTTTTTTCTAACCTCCAAAAAACATGTATAATCAAACAAGTGACTAAAATTTTTCGTAATCAGCGACCCTAAAAACCCCTTAGTACCAAGTTTCAGGTGAATCTGTTAAATTTTCAAAAATTCGACCACCATATTGGATCCGCCATTTTGAATTTTGAAAAACTGATACCGAATTCGTAATTAGTGACCCTAAAAACCCTCAAATAACAAAGTTTCAGGTAAATTCGTCTTTTCAAAAATTCTTCGGCCATAGTGAATTTTGAAAAACTCTAATACCGAATTTGTAATCAGCGACACTAATAACCTCTAACTACCAAGTTTCAGGTAAATCTGTTAGATTATAAAAAATTCGTCTGCCATTTTGAATTTTAAAAATCTGATAATCAGATTCGTAACTCAAAATTCTTGTGAACTTGGGTTCTAGGGGTTTTTAGAATTGCTGATAACGAATTTGATCTGATTTTCAAAATTCAAAAATGGCGGAACCAATATGGCGGACGAAGTTTTTTAAAAAATTACTAGATATTCTTGCAAATCAGTATCTAGGGATTTTTGGGGTCGCTGATCACGAATCCGATGTCAGATTTTAAAAATTCTAAATGACGGATGCAATATGGAGGACAATTTAAAAAAAAAAGTTATTCGATATTCATGCAAATCTGTATCTAGGGAAAACTTTTTTTTAAAATTGTCCTCCATATTGCATCCGCCATTTTGAAGTTTTAAAATCTGTCATCGAATTCGTGATCAGTGACCCCAAAAACCCCTAGCTACTGATTTGCATGAAAATCTAGTAATTTTTAAAAAAACTTGTCCACCATATTGCAACCGCTATTTTGAATTTTGAAAATCAGATCAAATTCGTTTTCAGCGATTTCAAAAACCCCCAAAACCCAAGCTAACAAGAATTTTTAGTTACTTGTTTGATTAGACATGTTTTTTGAGTTTAGAATTCGTGTTCACCACCTTAAAATACGTCGGAAAATGATATTCCTGTTTGCCTTGGAAATAGTTCAATTTTCTTTCTCCTTCTTTGATATTATTTTAAATACTTATTTAAAAATTTATTTGGTTTACGTTTTCGATATAATTTATTTTTTTTAAAAAAAATAGGTTACAATACTACTGACGTGAATGGAAAAACTCACACAGGTTTTGGAATAGCTCAAACCACTACCAAAAAAGGTAGTCGATTTTCATCAGCTCGTGCATTTCTTAGACCTGCGAGAAATCGGAAAAATTTACACATTATGATTAATAGCACAGTTACAAAAATTATATTCAATGGAGAACGAAAAGCAGTAGCTGTTGAATTCTACAGACAGGGCAAACTTGTACAAGTTGGTGTTAATAAAGAAGTTATCATTAGCGGAGGTATAGGGAAATTAAAATAAACACTATGCTATAACAAAAAAAAATTCATGTTCTGAGCTCGAGGTCAAACCTTCCTTTATACTTTTGGAAACGCTGAAACCAAATCTAAAGTCACTTTAATCCCAACGCGTCATGTATTTGATATAACCTCAAAAAAATCTAAAAATTCGTCCTTAAAATTTTTAAATTAAGAAATAGATTCGGTTCTTCTCTTACTATGACTACTTTTATGTTTTTAAGGTCGCTGAAACCGAATCTGAAATCAGTTTAACCCCACCACGTCAGGTATTTGACATAACCTCAAAAAAACTTTAAAATTCGTCCTCAAAATTTTTTAACTTAAAAAAAATGTCGATTTATGTATGTCTACTTTATGTTTTTAGGAGCGCTGAAGCCAAATCTAAAGTCTACTTAACCTCATCACGTCAGGCTTTTGACATAACCTCGAAATAATCACAAAATTTGATTTTTTTAGTGTTTTTTTTATGTTATGTCAAAAGTCTGACGTGTTCGGTATTAAATAGATTTCAGATTTAGCTTCAGCGACCCCCAAAAATATATATAGTAGACACGGTACGAGTTATAGATTCGAATTTTTCTTGATTTCTAAGGTTTTTTGAGGTTATGTCAAATACCTGAAGTGATCGAGTTTAAGTGACTTCAGATTCGGCCTCAGCTACCCCAAAAACATAAAGTAGTCATGGTACCCTCACAACAAAAGGATATCCTGAGGATATCCTTAACTAATGTAGGATATCCTGAAAACGTCCATAGGATATCCTAGGATATCCTCAGAACATCCAAACCGCCGTTACGTAGGATATTTTGGGATATTCTGGGGATATCCTGAGGATATTCTAGGGATATCTTGAGGATATTTTAGGGATATCCTAGGGACAACTCGGTTGTTTGCCCACATGGAGCAGTGGGCAAGATTGTGCCAAATAACATAAAATATGTACAGTTGAGCAAGTGTTTCATAGTTAGCGCTTGAGTTTTATGGATACCTTAGGGACATTTTTAGAACGACTCAAGGATATTCTAACCTTTAAGATAATATAGACATACTGTAGATATCCTTAGGACGTCCTAAGAACATCCCTAATTATTCCAGGGATATCCTTGGGATATCCTAATAATATTCGGGGAAATGATTAGGATATCCCTGGGACGTTCTAGGAACATCCTTAGATATCCCTGGGATATCCCTAGGATATCATAACCGCCGCTACTTTGGATATCCTTAAAGTATCCTTAGGATATCCCTGGGGTATCCTTAGGATATCCAAGGGATGTTTTTGGAATATCCTAGGATATCTGGTGCTGTGAGGGTAAGATCAAAAGAGACGAATTTTTCTTAATTTAAAATTTTTGAGGTTTTTTAAGGTTATGTCAAATACCTGATGTGCTGGGGTTAAACTGTCTTCATCTTCGGTTTCAACGATCGCAAAAATATAAAATATTAATGATTTAACTACTTTCCTAACAGCATGCGGATATTTAAGATATCCTACAGACGTCCTAGGGATAATCGGAAAGTAAGATATCCATAGGATATCTCAGGGATATCCATAAATATCTTGAGGACATCCTAGAGATATCCAAATTTCCGGATACTGATAGGACGTCCAAAGAATATTCTGAAATGTCTGTTGCTATTAGGGTTGAATTCAGAAAATGAATTTTTTTGTGTTAGCAGAATTTTTGGTTTTCAATTTCTCATTTATCAGAATATTCTTATCCCCCTCCCCCCACCCCCAAAAGGAACAGTAAATTCTCCGCAAATACTTTTAAATAGTGGAATTGGAGCCAGAGAAGATTTGAAACAATTGGGAATTCCAGTGATTCATAATTTACCAGGTGTTGGAAAAAATTTACACGATCATTTCAATATGCCTATAATTTTTTCTATCAATGAAACTGATTATAATGATCTAAATTGGGCCTCGGCTATGGAATATTTAATTGATAGAACGGGTCCCTTAAGTGGCGTGGGTAAAGAAATTCAATTATATATATATATATAAATTTATTAGAATTAGTTAACTGTTTTTTATAATCGAAATTTGCCTTGCCAAATATCCGAATTATTTGGATTATTTTTAGAAATTATTGTTAAAATTTTGCTTAAAAAAAAAATGCATTTTAATTTAAGGACTTCTACAAATTGTTGGATTTATGAATTCAAAATTTGTCAATTCACAAGATGATCATCCAGACATACAAATGGTATTTGGTGGATATTTACCGGCATGTTCTAAAAATGGAATAATAGAAAATAATTCCAATGGAAGACGAACAATTGCTATAATACCATTGGTTATTCGTACAAAAAGTAAAGGTTACATTCGTTTAAGAAATAACAATCCACTATCAAAACCATTCATATATCCTCAATATCTATCTCATCCTAATGATATTGCTGTTATGATCGAAGGAATCAAATTTGCTCTACAATTGGCTAAAACAAATGTTTTAAAAAAGTGAATAAAAAAAAAATATAATTTACAAATTTTTAATAATTATTTGTTATTAATTTGATATTATTCTTTTTTTTCTTCTAGATATGATTTACAAATGGACATGACTCCAGTGAAAAATTGTGAGAATTTTAAATTTGGAAGTGATAATTATTGGGAGTGTGCAATTAAAGAAAATAGTAATCCAGGATTTCATCCAGCTGGTTCATGTAAAATGGGTTCTGATAAAGATTCAATGGCTGTTGTTGATCATTTATTGAGAGTTAGAGGAATTGAAAATGTTCGAATTGCCGATGCAAGTGTTATGCCACAAGTTACGTCTGGTAATCCCGGTGCAACGATAATTATGATTGGTGAAAGAGCTGCAGATTTTATTAGAAACAAAAAATATTTGTGAAAATTTTTGCTACAAGTGATTATATTAGTGCAATCATTTATATATATGTAGTATAATGAAACAATTGTTCATCAAAATTAAAAACAATCGTTCATTGAAGTTGAAATAAATAATCATCAAAATTTTAACAACTGATGTTCATCAAAATTTACACAACTACTGTTCAGTAAAATTGGAACAACTATTTATCAAAAATTTACACAACTGTTCAGTAAAATTGGAACAACTATTCATCAAAAATTTACACAACTGTTCATTAAAATTGAAACAACCATTTATCAAAAACACAGAATCACAAAAAAATCCAACTTTTTCCAAGGCAAATCGTAATATGATTTTCTGACATATTTTAATGCGTCGAACACGAATCTGAAGTCAGATTTGCTCCATTGCGTTAGAATTTTTTTCTAACCTCAAAAAAAATGTCTAATTAAACAGGTAACTCAAAATTCTTGTGGGCTTGGATTCTAGGGGTTTTTGGGGTCGCTGATCACGAATTCGATGTCAGATTTTCAAAATTCAAAATGGCGGATGCAATATGGCGGACAAGTTTTTTAAAAAATTACTAGATTTTCATGCAAATCAGTAGCTAGGGGTTTTTGGGGTCTCGCTGATCACGAATTCGATGTCAGATTTTAAAAATTCAAAATGGCGGATGCAATATAGAGGACAATGTTAAAAAAAAGTTTTTGGATTTTCATGTAAATCTGTATATAGGGGAAACTTTTTTTAAAATTGTCCTCCATATTGCATCCGCCATTTTGAATTTTTAAAATCTGACATCGAATTCGTGATCAGCGAGACCCCAAAAACTCCTAGCTACTGATTTGCATGAAAATCTAGTAATTTTTTAAAAAACTTGTCCGCCATATTGCAACCGCCATTTTGAATTTTGAAAATCAGATAAAATTCGTAATCAGCTATCCCAAAATTCCCTAGAATTTAAGCCCACAAGAATTTTGAGTTACTTGATTCATTAAACATACCCCCAAAGAACAGAAACTTTCCTAAAGATTTCCTATAAAGATTTATTTTAAATGTTCGCAATATTTCCAAATAAATCTTTAGGAAATAATGGAGCAAATTGAACTTCAGATTCGTATTTAGCACATCAAAATACGTCAGAATATTAAATTCCGGTTTGCCTTGGAAAAATTTCGATTTTTTTTTTTTTTTGTTGACCTATACCATTTAAAATTTTTATTTAAAAAAATCTTCTATTTATAGCATCATTATTTATTCAGCGACAATTGTTAAAAATTATTCCGAAAACAAAATAAAAATACATTTTTCCTTAATATAATCTCTTGATAATTTTTTTATTTATATTCATCTCCCACTTATTTCACAAAATTAAAATTATATTTAAAAAAAAAAAATATTGTCATTTTTGTTTCATAACAGTTTTGTCATATTAATGGAATTCGTTTTTCAAAATAAATTAACGGGTTTTTTTTTTTAGTAAAGCAATATTTTAACCAAATTCAGTTGGATTTAATAATTTTTTGAAAAAAAATATATTTAATTCTTTTGGAATAACAACTGCAAAATTTATTAGTAAAATCATTAAATGAAGTGTGTTAATTGTCCATCGCCTGTTACAGATGGTACCACATTGGTTTCAACATGTTCAGGTGTAACAATTTTTTTATTTATGTCAATTTTAGAATCATTTTTGCGCAAACAATGTGACCTTGAAGATCCATGTGAACGAATTTTAACAACTGATCATCCACAACCAAGGTATAATCCTCATTAGAGTTTTGTTGTTTACAGATTTTATCATTGTTTTTACATTTAGATATAAAATTAATTACACAGAAAAACAACCCTCACAGGACCAGATATCCTAGGATATTCCAAAAACATCCCTTGGATATCCTAGGGATACCCCAGGGATATTCTAAGGATACTTTCAGGATATCCAAAGTAGCGGCGGTTAGGATATCTTAGGGATATCCGAGGGATATATAAGGATGTCCCTAGGACGTCCCAGGGATATCCTAATTATTTCCCCGGATATTATTAGGATATCCTGTGGATATCCTTATAATGTCCTAAGGATATCCTCAGGACGTCCAATTACGTCCTAAGGTAACAGCCCAGATTTGAAAGATGATTGACAATCACGGGAAACCTATTTGTATCAAAAAATCGCTATCTCAAATAGTCAAAATTTGAATATCCCAGGGATATCCTCAGGATATCCCAAAAAATATCCTACGTAACAGCGGTTTGGATGTTCTGAGGATATCCTCAGGATATCCTATGGATGTTTTTAGGATATCCTCAGGATATCCTATGGATGTTTTCAGGATATCCTCAGGATATCCTTTTGTTGTGAGGGAAATTCGGGTCACCTTTTTTGGACCCGGAAAAGTAAGAACGTTTTTTAACTTATTTTTCTGCGCTGAATTTGAATTTATATAGTTAGATTTTCTCTAATACGTCAAATTTCAAAATGGCGGATCCAATACGGCGGAAGAAAAAATTAAAAATGAATAGCATTCGCTTAAAACATGTTACACGAGGGTTTTCGGCGTCGCTGAGATTATAAATATGACGTCAGATTTTAAAAATTTTAAATGACGGATCCAATATGGAGGACAAAAATATTAAAAATCGATTTTATTAGCTTCTAACTTGTTATTAGGTGGTTTTTAGGGTCTCTGATTACGAATATAAAGTTAAATTTTAGAAATTCAAAATTATAATAGTTTCAACCAAATCCGTTTGATTTTTAATATTTTTCGTCTTCCATATTGGATCCGCCATTTTGAATTTTTGAAATCTAACTTCAAATTCGTATTCAGTAACCCAGAAAACCCCTGAGTAATAAGTTTCAACCAAATCCGTTTGATTTTTAACATTTTTCGTCCTCCATATTGGATCCGCCATTTTGAATTTTTGAAATTTAACTTCAAATTCGTAATCAGCAACTCCAAAAAAACCTTTTAGTAAGGGTTTTAGCGTTAAAATGTACCTTAAAACCAGTTTTTTGTTGCTCGGGTCTAAAACCTAGTTGTAAACCTGTTTTACTATTTGCAGTTACGATTTTATTGTAATTGGAGCCGGAAGTGGTGGAGCAACTATTGCATCAAGATTATCCGAAAAAAAATGCTTTTCTGTTTTATTATTAGAGGCAGGATTAGATGAACATGCATGGATGCAAGTACCATCTATGTTTCGACATATTGTAGATACAAATTTAGATTGGCAGCATTTAGGTGACGTTGAAAATACTTCATGTCTCAATTGGAAGGATAAAAAATGTTCATGGCCTGGGGGAAAGGTTTAATTTTATTCTCAATTTCATTAAATACAAAAAAATTTTAATAAAATTAAATTTGCCCATCTGTGAATTCGTTTTTGTAAACAAAACAAAAAGTCAAAAACAAACAAAAAAATTATTTACTGCTCTTGTATAGGTTCTGGGTGGATCCAGTGCTATTAATGGAATGATGTATATGAGAGGATCCCATAAGGATTACAACGATTGGGAAAAATTGGGAAATAAAGGTTGGTCCTACAAGGACGTTCTTCCATTTTTTAAAAAAAGTGAAAATTATTTACAAATAGATAAAGTTGATATCAAATATCATGGACAAGGAGGGCCATTACCAGTGACACAATTTAGCAATCAACCACCTATTAGTTTTGATTTTTTGAAGGCCGCCAAAGAATTAGGTAGGTATTAACTTAAATACCTAAAATGGAGATAATATCAATACCTACCCACAACAGATGGTTTAAATCTGCAACGAATTCAAAAACAGTTTTTTTTAAAAAACATTTTCATTAAATCTCTCATAATTCTCAAATAATATACCCAATTGTAATAAATTCTCTTCTTTCTGTTTGAAAAAATTTTAAGTCGTCACACTTCTATAATAATTTTATAGCAGTATGGTTTGCTATACTAGTAACTAATAAACCCTCATAACAAAAGGATATCCCTAGGATATCCATATCAATGGTTGATATCCTAGAATGGTCCCCAGGATATCCAAACCGCCGGTCTGTGGGACATCAACAGGACCTCCATAGGATATCCACAGGATATCCCTAAGACATCCACAAAATATCTATTGGATATTATATCGCGGGATATCCATGGGATATCCTCAGGATGTCCGTGGGATATTCTTAGAATATTCACGGGATATCCGAAGGATATCCAAACCGCCGATATTTTGGATATCCTTAAGATATCCTTTTGCTATCCATAGGACATCCCTAGGATATCTGCGGGATATTATCAATATATCCCAAGATATCTTGTGTTATTAGGGAAATTATTAGAAATGCAAATTTCCAAAATGCTATCAAATCCGAATAGAACACAGAAAATAAAAAAGGCATTAAAATAAGCTGCTACGCCTATTATTTTCATCCAATTTTGCTTATTTTAATATCCATTTTGGTATTAAAATAAGCAAAATTGGATTTAAATAATAAGCATTGCAGCTTATTTTAATGCCTTTTTTATTTTCTGTGAATTTATGAAATTAGGTGTATATAAATTTCTAGGTTACGATATTGTCGATTTGAATGGAAAAACACACACTGGTTGGGCTATTGCACAAACTACAACAAATGGAGTATCACGATATTCAACAGCTCGAGCATTTTTACGACCTGCACGAAATCGTCAAAATTTACACACTATGATTAATAGCACTGTGACAAAAATTATTTTCAACGATAAGAAAAAAGCAATTGGTGTTGAATTTTACAAAAATGGAAAATTAGTTCAAATTAAAGTTAATAAAGAAGTTATTGTTAGTGCAGGTAAATTAAATTCTAAAATTTTTTAAAATTCTACACTTAAAGTTGGCCAATATTTTCGTAAACCAATATTTTAATTAAAAAATATTTATTATTTTCCATTAATAGGTGCAGTAAATTCACCACAAATACTTTTAAACAGTGGTATTGGACCACAGAAAGAATTAGAAGCAGTTAAAGTGCCAGTGGTACACAATCTTCCGGGTGTTGGTAAAAATTTTCACGAGCATGTTACACATATGTTGCAATTTTCCATTAATGAAAACGACATTAATATTTTAAATTGGCCTTCGGCAATGGAATATTTACTGTACAGAAAAGGACCACTGTCATCAACAGGTTTATTTGTATTTATAATTTAGGAATTTTAGTGGATTTTTTCGGCTATTATAGAGATTTTAAAAACAATGATTTTATAAAATTTTTAGGTATCTGGCAATTAACGGGAATGATAAATACAAAATATACAAATCCTCAAGAAGATCAACCGGATATACAAATAATATTTGGAGGATATACGGCAGATTGTTCAAAATTTGGAGAAATTCAAAGCAATACAACGTCAAGAAGAAAAATAACAATATTCCCAATGGTTCTACGTCCCAAAAGCAAAGGATACGTTCGTTTGAGAAACAATAATCCCCTATCGAAACCACATCTTTCTGCCAAATTTTTATCAAATCCTCACGATGTGGCTGTACTAATTGAGGGAATTAAATTTGTAATCAAATTAATTGAAGCGCCAGCACTTAAAAAGTAAGTGGCAGAACTTTATCGTTACTACCCTCATATCAAAAGGATATCCCTAGGATATCCATATCAATGGTCGATATCCTAGAATGGTTCCCAGGATAACTTGGGATATCCATAGAATATCCCTAGTATATCCAAACCGCCCTCACAGCACCAGATATCCTAGGATATTCCAAAAACATCCCTTGAATATCCCAGGGATACCCCAGAGATATCCTAAAGATACTTTAAGGATATCCAAAGTAGGGGCGGTTAGGATATCCTAGGGATATCCTAATTATTTCCCCGGATATTATTAGGATATCCTGTGGATATCCTTAGAACATCCTAAGGATATCCTCAGGACGTCCAATTACGTCCTAAGGTAACAGCCCAGATTTGAAAGATGATTGACCATCACGGGAAACCTATTTGTATCAAAAAATCGCTATCTCAAATAGTCAAAATTTGAATCATAATGATATCCTAGGGAGATTTTAACGATATTTCTAGAATATTTTATCGATATACCAAGTTTATCCCAAGAATAGCCCCACGATATCACTAGGATATCCCTAGAATATCCTCAGGATATCCCAAAAATATCCTACGTAACGGCGGTTTGGATGTTCTGAGGATTTTAACGATTTTAACGATATACCATTTTATCCCAAGAATATCCCCACGATATCACTAGGATATCCCTGGAATATCCCAGGGATATCCCTAAGACATCCACAAAATATCTATTGGATATTATATCGCAGGATATCCGTGGGATATCCTCAGGATGTCCGTGGGATATTCTTAGGATATTCACGAGATATTTAATATCTCAACATATATTTTTAAAGGTTAAAATTTTTAAGCTAATATAATGAATAATAATATAATAAAAACAAAAATCTTATGAGCTTCTAATTTATTTTAAATAAAGATTTGAAACGCATTTTTCAAAGTTTTTAAATAAACTCATGCACTTAATGTATAATTAATATTAATAGTTATTCGTTATTTTCGGGGAAGAATTTATATTGTTTAAAGCCAATTTATTTTCTGACTATATTAAGCATATGAATAAAGGAATGAATCACAAATGAGAAAAAAATTATTTAATAAAATTTTCAAATTAAACAACTTTTTCGAAAAACAAGTTGCATTTTATTTTATTTATATATAAAATTTAATCCACAGAATATTCTCACTCGTAGTCTCATAATGACTTTAAAAACAGTATAATGAGAATATCTTCTTTTGACATCCAGAAGATATGCTGAGAATATCCTGAAAATATCTGTGGGATATCCTGATGATATCTGTGGGATATCCTGACGATATCTATGGGATATCTGGAGGACATTTATTAAAGTCTATAGAGATATTCAAAAGGGATATCCATGGGATATCCAAAGGATATCCAAACTGACGATTTTTTGGATATCCTTAAGAGATCCTTTTGATATCCTGTGGATATCCTCAAATATCCATGGGATATCCAAATCGCCGATTTTTTGGATATCCTTAAGAGATCTTTTTGATATCCATAGGACATCCCTAGGATATCTGCGGGATATTATCAATATATCTCAAAATATCTTGTGTTATTAGGGTATACAAAGTTTGTAATCAACTACAATCAATTTTGTAATAATTTTCAGATATGATATCCAATTAAATAAAACCCCGGTGAAAAATTGTGAAAATTTCACATTTGGAAGTGATCCCTATTGGGAGTGTGTTGTGAGACACAATACAGCACCGGGTGCACATTTAGCTGGATCATGTAAAATGGGATCAAATACAGATCCAATGGCAGTTGTTGATGAACAATTAAGAGTTAAGGGAATTCAAGGTGTCAGAGTCGTTGATGCCAGTATAATGCCAAATGTTGTTTCAGGAAATACAAATGCTCCTACAATTATGATTGCCGAAAGAGCTGCAGAATTTATTAAAAAATTTTGGAAATCTTTTAGCAGTAAAAAATGTTGATTTTAAAGAAATTTTGATGACAAAACACTTTCAGTGCGAAGGAGGAAGTAAATACGAATTTATTGTAAATTAATGAAATCTAATATAAAGTATATAAAAATTGTTGGTATTATTTCAATGTTTTCCTATATGAGGAAAAAAAAATATATACTCTTATATTTTTATTATCTTTTAAAAACTCTCTAATGTGTAAAAATACTTCAATTTATAATAATTTTATTATAAAAATTGATAACAAATATATAACTCTGAAAAAACAGATTAAAAAATATTTTTTTCCTTATTATAATCTCGTTTAATTTATATATATATTGTATATATGTTTCCTTTTTTTCCCCCACTTTTTTGAACACATAAATAAATTTGGAAATTCGAATGTTTATGGAATCTTTTAACAATTATTTGTCATTCGTAAAGTTATTGAAGTTATTTAAAGGTATTAATATAATTAAGTTTTTAAAATTAATATCATATTTTTTAATTATGTTCACGATATAAATAATAACACGCATGTTTACAAGATTTTGGACCTGCGTAACGAAAACCTGTTTCTAAGGTAAATTTAAATTCTGAATTCGAATCAGCAGAGATGGATTTCTCACTAAACGTGAGGTTTTTGAGATAATTGCAATTTTAATTTTTTGCTACTTTAAACAGCAAATTGTTAATAAAAATCGAAATAAATATGACTTAGAAAAAAAAATAGTCGTAATTTACTTAAAGATTTTTCGAGTTGCTAATTACGAATTTGAAGTCTGATTTTAAAAATTCAATATGGCGGATCCAACATGTCGGACGAAACTTTAAAAAAAACATATTTAGGAAGTCTGATTTCAAAAATTCAAAATGGCGGATACAATATGGTGTATGAAAATAATGAAAATTAAACGAATTTACATGAAACTTGTTACGAGGGGGTTTCTGTGGTCTCTGATTACGAATTTGAAGTCAGATTTCAAAATTCAAAATGCCAGATCCAATATGGCGAACGAAAATAATAGAAAAAATCAAACGGATTTGTTTGAAACTTCCTATTTTAAATTTGTAAAATTTGGCATCATATTCGCAATCAGAGACCCCAAAAACCCCCTAATAACAAGTTTCAAGCTAAAAAAAATCGATTTTTTATTTTTTCGTCCGCCATATTGGATCCGCCATTTTGAAATTTGACGTGTTAGTGAAAATCTCACATCCCATTTGAATTTAGCGTAAAAAAATACGTTAAGAAACATTCTTACTTTTCAGGGTCCAAAAGTTGATCTAAAATTTATTTTACTGTTATTATATTTAAAAAAATAATAAAAAAAACATTGAAAACCATTAAAAAGCATTTGCAATATTACAGATGAGCTGTAATAACTGTCCAAAACCAATTACGAATGAAATTTCATTAGCCTCCACATGTCCAGGTGCTTCTTTTTTTCTATTTTTGACAATTTTAGACTCTTTAATTCGCCAACAATGTGATCTTGAGGATCCCTGTAGACGAATTATACCACGTGATCATCCGAAAGAAAGGTTAAAAAAAAATTTATGTTATTTTATAACTATTAAACTATTAAATAACACAGAACGACAAAAAAAAAATTCGAATTTTTTTTTCATAGCAAACCGGAATATATGATTTTCTGACATATTTTGTAGGGCTGCGAACACGAATCTGATATCCGATTTCCTCCATTACGAAAGAATTTTTTTCTAACCTCAAAAAACATGTCTAAACAAGTAACTGAAAATATTCTTGTGGGGTTGGATTTTAAGAGTTTTTGAAATCGCTGATTATGAATTTGATCTGATTTTCAAAATTCAAAATGGCGGACAAGTTTTAAAAAAATTATTAGATTTTCTTGCAAATCAGTATCCAGGTGTTTTTGGAGTCTCTGATCACGAATTCGATGTCAGATTTTCAAAATTCAAAATGGCGGATGCAATATGGAGGACAATATTAAAAAAAAGTTTCCCTAGATACAGATTTGCATGAAAATCCAAAAACTTTTTTCAAAATTGTCCTCCATATTGCATCCGCCATTTTGAATTTTGAAAATCAGATCAAATTCGTATTTAGCGATTCCAAATACCCCTAGATACAGATTTGCAATAAAATCAACTGATTTTTTTAAAAACTTGTCCGCCATATTGCATCCGCCATTTTGAATTTTGAAAATCCGATAAAATTCGTAATAAGCGATTCCAAAAACCCCCAGATACAGATTTGTAAAAAAATCTAGTAATTTTTAAAAAAAAATTGTCCGCCATTTTGAATTTTGAAAATCATATCAAATTCGTAATCAGTGATTCCAAAAACTCCTAAAAGCCAAGCCAACCAGAATTTTGAGTTACACTTGTTTGATTAGACATATTTTTTGAGGTTAGAAAAAAATTCTAACGTAATGCAGCAAATCGGACTTTAGATTCGTGTTCAGCTCATCAAAATACATCAGAAAATCATATTTCATTTTGCCATTGAAAAAATTCTTTTTTTTTGTGGTCCAGTGTAATTTAATTATTTGCAAAAAAAAATAATAACAATTAGCACTAATTACAGTTATGATTTTATTGTAATTGGAGCTGGAAGTGGTGGCGCAACAGTTGCATCAAGATTATCCGAAAAGAAATGCTATTCTATTTTATTATTAGAAGCCGGATTAGATGAGATATCATGGGTTCAGGTGCCATCATTTTTTCCTTTTTTTGTTGATAAAAAACAATATTGGGAACATATTGGAGACGTTGAGAAAAATGGATGTCTCAATTGGATAAATAAACAATGCATTTGGCCTGGGGGAAAGGTTTCTATTTTTGATTTTATACATTGTCTCGGAAGTTTAAAGAAAAATTAGTTTACCATCACTAAATTTTAGAAAATAACAAGCAGGAGATTAAATTTTAGAAAACAATTCATTTTTTTTTCTTCTTTTAATTCGTTTTAAAAAAAAGACAAAAAAATTAATTATTCCATTTGTAGGTCCTCGGTGGGTCGAGTTCAATTAATGGAATGATGTACATGAGAGGATCTCGTAAAGATTACAACGATTGGGAGAAATTAGGTAATAAGGGTTGGTCCTACAAGGACGTACTTCCTTTTTTTAAAAAAAGTGAAAATAATTTGCAAATGGACAAAGTTGATTTCAAATATCATGGACAAGATGGTCCACTACCAGTGACACAATTTAATGATCAACCTCCAATTAGTTTTGATATTTTAAAGGCTGCCAAAGAATTAGGTACTTACTCTCTAAATCTGAATTAGTAAAAATTTTTGTACTAATTTAAATTATTGACACAATTTTTGCTTTAGAATTAGTTAAATTTTACTAATTCAGATTTAGAGATTATGTTAATGTATGTTTAAAAATCATCAGTAAGGAAAAGTACAAAAAATATAGAAGCAATTTTAAAACACTGATTAGCTAATTTTCAAAGGATGTACTATTTCTTCTCAATGAAATAATAGGTTACAATACTATTGATTTAAATGGAAAATCACACACTGGTTGGGCAATAGCTCAAACTACTTCGGGATGGGGTTCGAGATATTCATCAGCACGAGCATTTTTACGACCAGCACGAAATCGTCAAAATCTTCATATTATGATTAACAGTACAGTTAGCAAAATTTTATTCGATCGCAACAAAAAAGCAATTGGAGTTGAATTTTACAAAAATGGAAAATTAATTCAAGTTAAAGTTAATAAAGAAGTCATTGTCAGTGCAGGTATAAAAAATTCTAAAAATTTTTAAAATTAACTACACTTAAAGTTGGACAATATTTTCGTAAACCAATATTTTAAAAAATATTTATTATTTGCTATTAATATAGGCGCAGTAAATTCACCACAAATACTTTTAAACAGTGGTATTGGACCAAGGGAAGAATTAGAAGCAGTTAAAGTGCCAATGGTACATAATCTTCCGGGTGTTGGTAAAAATTTTCACGATCATGTTGGATATGTTTTGTTTCTTTCTATTAATGAGAATGACGTGAATGTACTGAATTTGACTAACGCGTTGAATTACTTACTTTTTAGAAAAGGACCACTATCTTCAACAGGTAACATTTCACTAATCCACTACTTTATAAAATCTGATCGAATTCTAAATACCGTGAACTACTATTTGGCTATTGCTAATAGTATTATGAAAATTTTAGGTCTTTTCCCAGTGACAGGAATGATAAATACAAAATATGCAAATCCTCAAGAAGATCATCCTGATGTACACATTATATTTGGAGGATACACATCAATGTGTGCTCACAATGTAACATCAAGAAGAGAGATAGGAACATTAATAATGGCTCTACATCCAAAAAGCAAGGGATACGTTCGTTTGAGAAACAATAATCCCCTATCGAGACCACATCTTTCTGCTAATTTTTTATCACATCCCAATGACGCTAATGTTCTAATTGAGGGAATTAAATTTGTAATCAAATTAATTGAAGCGCCAACTCTTAAAAAGTAAGTGGCAGAACTCTATCGTTACTATAAAGTTTGTAATCAACTACAATCAATTTTGTAATAATTTTCAGATATGATATTCAATTAAACAAAACCCCAGTGAAAAATTGTGAACGTTTCGCATTTGGAAGTGATGCCTATTGGAAGTGTGCTGTAAAACACAATACAGCACCGGGTGCACATTTAGCTGGATCTTGTAAAATGGGACCAAATACAGATCCAATGGCTGTTGTTGATGAACAATTAAAAGTTAAAGGTGTTAAGGGTGTTAGAATCGCTGATACCAGTATAATGCCAAATGTTGTTTCTGGAAATACTAATGCTCCTGCTATTATGATTGGTGAAAGAGCTGCTGATTTTATTAAAAATAACTGGAAAATCTGTTAGTAATATACCTGTTTTTTTTTTCTAATAAAAATTACACAGGACCATAAAAAAAAATCCAACATTTTCAAAGACAAAACGGAATATGATTTTCTCACGTATTTTGATGCGCTGAACACAAATCTGAAGTCCGCATTTTCTCCATTACGTCAAGATTTTTTTTATAACCTCAAAAAACGTGTCTAATCAAACGCAAGTAACTCAAAAAAAAAATCAAAATTCTTGTTAGCTTGGGTTCTGGGGGTTTTTGAAATCGCTGAAAACGAAATTGATCTGATTTTCAAAATTCAAAATGGCGAATGCAATATGGCGGTCAGTTTTGAAAAAAAGTTATTAGACTTTTATGCAAATCCGATGTCAGATTTTCAAAATTCAAAATGGCGGATTCAATATGGCGGACAAGTTTTTCAAAAAATTACTAAATTTTCTTGCAATTAAGTATCTAGGGGATTTTGGGGTCGCTTCTCACGAATTCGATGTCAGAATTTAAATATTCAAAATGGCGGAAGCAATATGAAGGACTATTTAAAAAAAAAAAAAAATTTCCCCTAGGTACAGATTTGCATGAAAATCTAATAACTTTTTTTAAAATAATCCTCCATATTGCATGCGCCATTTTGAATTTTTAAAATCTGACATCGGATTCGTGATTAACGACCCTAAAAACCCCTAGATACTGATTTGTAAAAAAATATAGTAATTTTTTTAAAAAAATTGTCCGCCATTTTGCATCCGCCATTTTGAATTTTGAAAATCAGAACAAATTCGTAATCAGCGATCCTATAAAAACCCCTAGAACCGAAACCGACAAGAATTTTTAGTTACTTGTTTGATTTAGACACGTTTTTTGAGATTAGAAAAAAAAGGTCCTAACGTATTGGAGCAAATCGAACTTCAAATTCGTGTTCATCACATCAAAATATCTTAAAAAATTATATTGCGGTTCGAGAATTTTTCCCTCAAATTGTAAACGTAGATATTCCGATTAAGGCGATTATATAAATATATATTCCGTCACAAGAAACATAATTTCTATAGGAGAATTTCTGAAATATTATAAAATAGTTGTAGACCAAAAAGTTTTAGTTAACAAAATCAAAACCTTTTTTTATTCAATTAGAAGAAATCACTAGGTATAGTCAGTATGGCAATTTTAATTAATATTGTAAATTAAAAAAAAAAATATATAAGAAAATAAAGTCTGCAGAATAAATTAAATTTGTTACTCTTGAGAGAAATTAAATTTTTTTTTTTTTTTTGTATATCCACTAAATTTTATTTTATGTTTGTTAATTGTTTTTCTCTTAAGGAAAAAATATTATTCTCCTTATTTGTTTATCTTTTTTTGGGAATTTTTTACAATATTTACAATAAGCTATATATACTTTGCAGTAATAATAATTTTATTACAAAAATTATTTAATTTACAAATTTATAACCTATAAATATAAAAATTAAAAATACTTTTTCCTTAGTATAATCTTTTATAATTTATATATATCTGTTTACATTTTTCCCCTACTTTCATTAAAACCTAACAAATAAATTTGAAAATTTAAATGTCTATTGAATCTTTTAACAATTATTGTTTGTGATCGTATGAAGTTATTTAAAGGTATATATTAATTCTCTTTTTACAATTTTTTAATTTTCTAACTGATATTATAGATAACTTTAAATTACACAGAGAAAAATGTAAAAACGAATAAAATAATTTTTACTACTTTTGAAAGAAAAACCTGAATTGACCGCAGTTTTTACACATTTTTGGCAATATTTATTTATTCCAGAAATAGTAAAATTTACTCCTGAAATAATAAAAATTATTCCGGAAATAGTTACTATTTCTGGAGTAAAAATTGCCAGAAATGCGCAGAAACTACAAACAGGGACGGTTTTACTTTTAAATTAGTAAAAGTTATTTTATTCGTTTTTTCCTTTCTTCTCCGTGTAACAATAAATTAGTAATTATTAATTAAGAATATTAGTCAAGTTAGTGATAACTGTATAAATTTTAATTATATATTGTCCAAATATCTGTAATATTTCATAGACGAGTAAAATATTTATTTTAATATGAATAGTTATTTCAATTGAATTAGGAAATTTAAAAAATTTTTTAAAAATAATTTTGACATATTATACAGATGAATTGTAATAATTGTCCAGCGCCAATAACGGCTGGAGTTACTTTCGCCTCAACATGTCCAGGTGCTACGACTTTTTTATTTTTAACAATTTTAGACTCTTTAATTCGCAAACAATGTGACCTTGAGGATCCTTGTGGGCGAATTAAACCACGTGATCATCCGGAAAAAAGGTTAAAATCATTTTACGATATTTTATAATTAATTTAAGGAGAAATGGTACACGTTAACCATTTGAAGCATATACATTTTTCTTTAAACAGGAATTTATCTTTGAAGTGCATTACAGGGGGTTTTATGGGTCGCTGATTACGAATTTATTCTGATTTTCAAAATTCAAAATGGCGGACAATTTTTTTTAAAAAAATTACTAGATTTTCTTACAAATCAGTATATAGGGGTTTTTGGGGTCGTTAATCACGAATCCGATGTCAGATTTTAAAAATTCAAAATGGCGGATCCAATATGGCGGACAACTTGTTTTAAATTGATCATATCCGCTCGAAACTGGTTACTCAGGGGTTTTCGGGGTCGCTGATTACGAATCCGATGTCAGTTTGTCAAAATTCAAAATGGCGGATCCAATATAGCGGACAATTTTGTTAAATATGATCACAGACACATACACACACACAAAAGCGCCATTTTGAATTATAAAAATCCAAAGTCATATTCATAAACAGCGACATCAAAAACACCGTAGTAACAAGTTTCAAGCAAATCCGATCAATTTTTAATTTTGTCATCCGCAATTTTGAATTTTGAAAGTCCAACGTCATATTCGTAATCAGCGACCTCAAAAACCCCCGAATAACAAGTTTTAAGCAAATCCGAACAATTCTTCATTTTGTCATCCGCCATATTGGATCCGCCATTTTGAATTTTGATAATCCAACATCATATTCGTAACGAGCGACCAAAAAACCCCTCGAGTAACAAGTTTCAAGCCATTCCTATAAATTTTTAATTTTCTCATCCGCCATATTGGATCCGCCATTTTGAATTTTGAAAATCTAACGTCATATTCGTAATCAGCGACCCCAAAAACCCACGAGTTACAAGTTTCAAGGAAATCTGATTAATTTTTGCTTCCTCGTGGAGGAAGCTTTGTAGTTCTTTCGTTTATAAAACTTTTCAAAGTGTCGGAAACAAATTTTTTTCTTTATAGAAACATGTTATATGAGATCCTGACTAATTGTCCGGATGTATGTATGTGTGTGTTGATCCCTTTTTTGTTTAGAAGATAACTTTAACAGGTTTTAATGGATTTAGATAAAATTTAGTAGGCTCATTTATCATATCAATATCTCAAATCTGACCAAAGGATTTTGAAAAATACTCAAAAAAAAAAATTTTATGGTCTTTTTTCCAAAAATTTCTTTTTAATCGAAAAAATTTTTAAATAGAAAAATTTAAGGTTATATATAATAAAATCGTATTCTTTACGTCAAAGACGAATCGATCGATATATATATATATATATATATATATAAAGTATTCATTTGAGGTAAATTTAAAGAATTAAAGAAAGTTAAAAAATCAAAAATTCACATTTTGTCAATAAAATTTTGCTTTCTCCAAGAGGAAGCAAATTTTTTTACTGATCGTAAAGAGGAAGCAAAATGTTCATGTAATGAACATCTGAATTTACAACTTTTTGGTAAGTTTTTTATGCTTTTGGATGCGTTTTTGGTGGTAAAAAGGGTCTTCCTCTAATCGGATCAGGATGTCAATTTTTTTCTACACTTTACGATGTACCAATCAAGAAGTGCGCCATACATTTTTTGTTGAGAACTTTCTTCTAATCACTTTGGCGGTATTTCCGAACGATTATCTAGGGAATTTAATTTTTTGAAAATTTTTCCAAAATATTTTTGAGTGTAGCTCAGCATCCGCTGGACCAATCAAAAAGTGCGCCATACATTTTTTGTTCAGAACTTTCTTCTAATCACTATGGCGGTATTTCAGAACGATTATCTAGGGAATTTAATTTTTCTCAAATTTTTCCAAAATATTTTTGAGTGTAGCTCAGCATCCGCTGGACCAATCAAAAAGTGCACCATACATTTTTTGTTCGTAACTTTTTCGCCAATTTATTGGTGGTATTCCCGAAAGATTATATATCGAATTTAATTTTTTGAAAATTTTTCCAAATTATTTTTGAGTGTACCTCAGCATCCGGTGGACTAATCAAAAAGTATGCCATACATTTTTTATTCAGAACTTTCTTCTAATCACTATGGCGGTATTTTCGAACGATTATCTAGGGAATTTAATTTTTTGAAAATTTTTCCAAAATATTTTTGAGTGTAGCTCAGCATCCGCTGGACCAATCAAGAAGTGCGCCATACATTTTTTGTTCAGAACTTTCTTCTAATCACTATGGCGGTATTTCAGAACGATTATCTAGGGAATTTAATTTTTCGAAAATTTTTCCAAAATATTTTTGAGTGTAGCTCAGCATCCGCTGGACCAATCAAAAAGTGCGCCATACATTTTTTGTTCAGAACTTTTTCGCTAATTTATTGGTGGTATTCCCGAACGATTATCTCGCGAATTAAGTTTTTCGAAAATTTTTCCGAATTTGTTTTCTAGTTTAGCTCAGCATCCGCTGGACCAATCAAAAAGTACGCCATACATTTTTTGTTCGCTACTTTTTGACTATTTTTTTGGTGGTATTCTTAAGCGATTATGTCGCAAATTTAATTTTTTGAAAATTTTTCCAAAATGTTTTGTATTGTAGCTCAGCCTCCGCTGGACCAATCAAAAAGTGCGCCATACATTTTTTGTTTAGAACTTTTTGACTATTTTTTTGGTGGTATTCTTAAGCGATTATGTCGCAAATTTAATTTTTTGAAAATTTTTCAAAAATGTTTTGTATTGTAGCTCAGCCTCCGCTGGACCAATCAAAAAGTGCGCCATACATTTTTTGTTCAGAACTTTCTTCTAATCACTATGGCGGTATTCCCGAAAGATTATCTAGCGAATTTAATTTTTTGAAAATTTTTCCAAAATATTTTTCAGTGTAGCTCAGCATCCCCTGGACCAATCAAAAAGTGCGCTATACATTTTTTATTCAGAACTTTCTTCTAATCACTATGGCGGTATTTTCGAACGATTATCTAGGGAATTTAATTTTTCGAAAATTTTTCCGAATTTGTTTTCTAGTTTAGCTCAGCATCCGCTGGACCAATCAAAAAGTGCGCCATACATTTTTTGTTGAGAACTTTCTTCTAAGCACTATGGCGGTATTCCCGAAAGCTTATATAGGGAATTTAATTTTTTCAAAATTTTTCCAAATTATTTTTGAGTGTAGCTCAGCATCCGCTGGACCCATCAAAAAGTGCGCCATACATTTTTTGTTCCAGACTTTTTGCTCAATTTTTTTGCATTATTCCCGAGTCATTATCTGGCAAATTTTTTTTTTCAAAAATTTTTTCCCAGTTTTTGTGAGTGTAGCTCAGCATCCGCTGGACCAATCAAAAAGTGCGCCATACATTTTTTGTTCAGTACTTTTATACTATTTTTTTGGTGGTATTCTTGAGCGATTATGTCGCAAATTTAATTTTTTGAAAATTTTTCCAAAATGTTTTGTAGTGTAGCTCAGCCTCCGCTGGACCAATCAAAAAGGGCGCCATACATTTTTTGTTCAGAACTTTCTTCTAATCACTATGGCGGTATTCCTGAAAGATTAACTAGCGATTTTAATTTTTTGAAAATTTTTCCAAAATATTTTTCAGTGTAGCTCAGCATCCCCTGGACCAATCAAAAAGTGCGCTATACATTTTTTATTCAGAACTTTCTTCTAATCACTATGGCGGTATTTTCGAACGATTATCTAGGGAATTTAATTTTTCGAAAATTTTTCCGAATTTGTTTTCTAGTTTAGCTCAGCATCCGCTGGACCCATCAAAAAGTGCGCCATACATTTTTTGTTCCAGACTTTTTGCTCAATTTTTTTGCATTATTCCCGAGTCATTATCTGGCAAATTTTTTTTTTCAAAATTTTTTTCCCAGTTTTTGTGAGTGTAGCTCAGCATCCATTGGACCAATCAAAAAGTGCCCCATACATTTTTTGTTCAGTACTTTTATACTATTTTTTTGGTGGTATTCTTAAGCGATTATGTCGCAAATTTAATTTTTTGAAAATTTTTCCAAAATATTTTTCAGTGTAGCTCAGCATCCCCTGTACCAATCAAAAAGTGCGCTATACATTTACTATACTTGTTTATTTTGTCATCCGCCATATTGGATCCGCCATTTTGAATTTTGAAAATCTGATGCCAGATTCGTAATCAGCGACCCCGAAAACTTTATAGACATTATTGTTAGGTTATTTCCTATTGTTGTTTAGTCACAATTACATTTATTGTAAAAAACGCTATTTTTAAACTTAATTTGTTTATATCATTTATTTTATTTATAAAAAACATTTTTTTAATGTAGTTATATTGTAATAGATATTCTAAAATACATTTTAAATACATTTTGTTACTGAAATGTGTAAAATAGTGGCTGAAGTATTTAAAAAAGTGCAAGAAAAAAGGTGACACTCAGGAGTTTCACTATGACGCAAAGTGTTAACATAAACCTCAAAAATGAGAAATTTTTTTTTTTTTAACAATTTAACGTAAAGAAAAATATTGATTAAAATTAATTGGAATTAATTTTGGAAGAGTTTGTTAGGCATTTTGCAGAAAAACGATGTTAATTTAAAATCTTTTTTTAATAATTATTTTTTTTTAACATTTTAACGTTTTTTCTTTCAGCACAGACAAAAATTAGAATTTTTATCTCATTTCAATAAACAAGGGCCTATTTTATTCATTAAGAGATTCTCAACAATCGCTTATATTTTAATATTGTTAAAAGTAAGTTGTAAAAAAATTATTTGCTAAGTAATATTTCAATTGTTTATAATTTTTTAACAACTTTTTTTTTAAGAATATTAAAATATAAGCGATTGTAGAATAGATTTCACTGAATAAAATAAGCTTTTGTTTAGTAAAATTAGATAAAAACTGTGATTTTTGTCTGAGCTGAAAGAAAAAACGTTAAAATGTTCAAAAAAAAATAATTATTTAAAAAAAGATTTTGAATTAACATCGTTTTTCTGCAAAATGCATAACAAACTCTTCCAAAATTGATTCCAATTTATTGTAATCATAATTTTCTTTGCGTTAAATTGTTAAAAAAAACAATTTCTCTGTTTTGAGGTTATGTTAACGTGTACCATTTTTCTATTTAACTAAATTACAAAACTTATTAATAATATTACAGTTACGATTTTATTGTAATTGGAGCCGGAAGTGCTGGTGCAACAGTTGCATCAAGATTATCGGAAAAAAAATGTTTTTCCGTTTTATTATTGGAGGCAGGATTAGATGAGGTAGCATGGACTCAGGTGCCATCATTTGCACAAATTGCTGTCGGTACAAAACTAGATTGGTTTCATTTAGGTGATGTTGAGGAAACTTCATGTCTCAATATGAAAGATAAAAGATGCATATGGCCTGGTGGAAAGGTTTAATTTTCATTTTATTATACAAAAAAAAATTTAACTTTCTTTTAATAAGTTTTAGTAGAGAGAAAATTAATTATATATTGCCTTTATATAGGTCCTCGGTGGATCTAGTTCAATTAATGGAATGATGTACATGAGAGGTTCACAAAAGGATTACAACGATTGGGAGAAATTGGGTAATAAGGGTTGGTCCTACAAGGACGTACTTCCATTTTTTAAGAAAAGCGAAAATAATTTACAAATGGATAAAGTTGATCCTGAATATCATGGACAAGATGGACCAATACCAGTGACACAATTTAAATATCGATCACCTGTTAGTCTTGATATTTTGGCGGCTGCTAAAGAATTAGGTAGGTACTGATTGATAAATTAATTATTATCGTTACCTAAAAAGAAGAAACAGTAATTTCTCATCAGTAACTAAATATTTGATACCAAAAAAAGAAATGCCTTATTTCCACTAATATAAAACTATATATATAGGTTACGATACTGTTGATTTGAATGGAAAAACACACACTGGTTGGACAATTTCTCAAGCTACAACAAATGGAGTATCACGATATTCAACAGCTCGAGCATTTTTACGACCTGCACGAAATCGTCAAAATTTACATATTATGATTAATAGCACTGTGACGAAAATTATTTTCAACGATAAGAAAAATGCAATTGGAGTTGAATTTTATAAAAATGAAAAATTAATTCAAGTTAATGTTAATAATGAAGTCATTGTTAGTGCAGGTAAATTAAATTCTAAAATTTTAAAAAAAATTCTACACTTAAAGTTGGCCAATATTTTGGCAAACCAATATTTTAAAAAATATTTATTATTTGCTATTAATATAGGCGCAGTAAATTCACCACAAATACTTTTAAACAGTGGTATTGGACCAAGGAAAGAATTAGAAGCAGTTAAAGTGCCAGTGGTACATAATCTTCCGGGTGTTGGTAAAAATTTTCACGATCATGCTGCATATTTTTTGACATTTTCAATTAATAAAACAAGCGAAAGTGTACTAAATTGGGATACCCTTATGGAATATTTACGTTTTAGAAAAGGACCACTATCATCAACTGGTGAATATTGGGGAAAAAAATTTTTTTTAGAATTATGCGGAATTTTGTTATAATTTAAAAAAAATTTTAGGTCTTTGGACAGTGACAGGAATGACAAATACAAAATATGCAAATCCAGAAGAAGATCAACCTGACATACACAGTATTTTTGGTGGATATTCGACACTTTGTTCTGATTTAAGAAATTCCAAAAATAATATAACATCAAGAAGAGAAATATCGGTATTACTAATTCTTCTTCGTCCTAAAAGCAAGGGTTACGTTCGTTTGAGAAACAATGATCCTCTCTCGAAACCACATCTCTCTGCTAAATTATTATCTCATCCTCACGATGTGGCTATTCTAATTGAGGGAATTAAATTTGTCATCAATTTAACTGAGGCAGAAGCTCTCAAAAAGTAAGTAATTTTACTTTTTTTTTAAGGTTTCGCTGGTTAAAATTTCGGATTGATTTCAGATTAAATACAAACACATTAGACGCATGATTAAATTCCGGATTTACAATAGTTATACAAATCGGGAAAATTTTTAAATTTGTCCCGACTAATACCAAATGACAAAAACCGGACTGTTTCGAACTAATTCCAATTTAGCCCGAAAACAGTCCAAAATTTTTACCGGCCCTCACAGCACCAGATATCCTAGGATATTCCAAAAACATCCCTCGGATATCCTAGGGATACCCCAGAGATATCATAAGGATACTTTAAGGATATCCAAAGTAGCGGCGGTTAGGATATCCTAGGGATATCCTAGGGATATCTAAGGATGTCCCTAGGACGTCCCAGGGATATCCTAATTATTTCCCCGGATATTATTAGGATATCATGTGGATATCCTTAGAACGTCCCAAGGATATCCTCAGGACGTCCAATTACGTCCTAAGGTAACAGCCCAGATTTGAAAGATGATTGACAATCACGGGAAAACTATTTGTATCAAAAAATCGCTATCTCAAATAGTCAAAATTTGAAAATTTGAATCATAATAATATCCTAGGGAGATCTTAGCGATATTTCTAGAATATTTTAAAGATATACCAAGAATATCCCCACGATATCACTAGGATATCCCTGGAATATCCCAGGAATATCCCTTGAACATCTTCAGGATATCCCTAGAATATCCTCAGGATATCCCAAAAATATCCTACGTAACGGCGGTTTGGATTATCTGAGGATATCCTCAGGATATCCTAGGATATCTTATGGACGTTTTCAGGATATCCTACATTAGTTTAGGATATCCTTTTGTTGTGAGGGGGGGAGCTATTACTGCAATTAATTATATATTGCAGTATTTACTAGACAATAATGAATTTTGTAACTAATTTAAAATAATATAATTTCTTTATAATAGCACAATACCACCAGAAAAAAAATCGAACTTTTTCCAAGAAAAACCGAAATATGATTTTCTGACGTATTTTGATGCGCAAAAACACGAATCTGAAGTTCGATTTGCTCCAGAAAGTCGGGATTTGTTCCTAACTTTAAAAAAACATGTCTAATCAAACAAGTAACTCAAAATTCTTGTAGGATTGGGTTCTAGAGATGTTCGAAATCGCTGATTGCGAATTTGATCTGATTTTCAAAATTCAAAATGGCGGATGCAATATGGCGAAAAAGTTTTTTAAAAATTAATAGATATTCTTGCAAATCAGTATCTAGGTGTTTTTAAGGGTCGCTGATTACGAATCTGATTTCAGATTTTCAAAATTCAAAATGTCAGACGAATTTTTTATAATCTAACAGATTTACCTGAAACTTGGTAATTAGAGGTTATTAGTGTCACTGATTACAAATTTGATATTAGAGTTTTTCAAAATTCACTATGGCCGACGAATTTTTGAAAAGACGAATTTACCTGAAACTTTGTTATTTGAGGGTTTTTAGGGTCACTAATTACGAATTCGGTATCAGTTTTTCAAAATTCAAAATGGCGGAACCAATATGGCTGACGAAGTTTTAAAAATTTAACGGATTCACCTCGAACTTTGTTATTTGGGCGTTTTTAGGGTCACTAATTACGAATTCGGTATCAGTTTTTCAAAATTCAAAATGGCGGAACCAATATGGCTGACGAAGTTTTAAAAATTTAACAGATTCACCTCGAACTTTGTTATTTGGGGGTTTTTAGGATCACTAATTACGAATTCGGTGTCAGTTTTTCAAAATTCAAAATGGCGGATCCAATATGGTGGTCGAATTTTTGAAAATTTAACAGATTCACCTGAAACTTGGTACTAAGTGGTTTTTAGGATCGCTGATTACGAAAAATTTTAGTCACTTGTTTGATTATATAAATGTTTTTTGAGATTAGAAAAAAATCCTGACGTAATGAAGCAAATCGCGGGCTGCAGATTCCGTGCTCAAACGCATCAAAATACATCGTAAAAATTCATATTCCGGTTTGTCTTGCAAAAAAATTTTGATTTATTTTTTGTGATTCTGTGTAATTATCAAATTTTTCAGATATGACTTCCAGTTAAACACAACTTCAGTGAAAAATTGTGAACATTTGAAATTTGGAAGTGATCTCTATTGGGAATGTGCATTGAGACACGATACTTCTGTAGGTGATCATATGGCTGGATCATGTAAAATGGGACCAAATTCAGATAAAATGGCAGTTGTTGATGAAAAATTAAAAGTTAAGGGTGTTCGTGGTGTCAGGGTCGCTGATACAAGTATAATGCCTGAAGTTATTTCTGGAAATACTAATGCACCGGCTATTATGATTGGTGAAAGAGCTGCGGATTTTATTAAAAAAGCTTGGAAATCATTCAGCAAAAAGTGTTTTTCTTAGAAAAAATTGTAATTTTTATAAAAAAAAAAAAAAAAAAAAAAAGTACAACTATAATATAAGATCTTACATCGACATCTTTAATCACATTAACTAGAATTCCTAGTTATCCCAACAAATTCCTTGACATATAATAACTAGGAATCCTAGTTAATGTAACTTTGATTTTTAGTGAATTCCACTCGTGACTAGGAGCATAGGCATTTTTTTCAGTGAATTAATTTATATAGCAATTTTTTTTAATTATTTCCATCTATAAATTAACATTTAAAATGTTTCTTGTTAATAATTCTAAATGTAATTTTTATTACTACATCAATATTTTTTTTTTTATGGAATTTCATACATCTAGATTTGTAAAAATCGGAATAAAGATAAGATAAGATGTAATCTACTGAGAGAAAAAAAAGGAATTCTATGAGTTAATTTTTATAATTTAATTTATTTAATATCGTATACGTTCTTGAAAATTACCGATGGATATATGTATGTCAATATAAATTTAATTAAAAATTAATCCTTGTTGTATAGGCATCACCAAAAAGGAGTTGTGTTCTTAATCATTAAAATTGCATCATTATCCTAGTCTTTATATCATTATGTTAACAGTTAAAAGCTAGTCACACTGCGGTGTTGGTAGGAGTTTGTTAAATAAAAATCTCTTGATATTGATATACATAAATATCAAAGGCAGTATTATTTATTATTGTTTGGATTTGTGAAAAAAAAACTACTTTATTAGAGAAAGGTAAGATAAATTTTTACCTTTGTCTTAAAAAATAACCAATTTTGTTTCTTACAATACATAATTTCAATATATTAATTATTATTATTTATATTATTATTATTATTATTATTATTATTATTATTGTTTGCTAAATTGATATGAATTTTAATAAATAATTTTTGATAGTGAATTTATATAGTTGAAATTAACTCAAAAATAAAATTTGCTGAAATTATAATTTATTAATTAATTTTGCAGTTGATCTACATTTCAAATATAGTATAACCCTTTGCGGCAAAAATTTTTCATTTTTTTATTCAAAATGGTGGATTTTTTTTTTAAATTTAACAGATTCACCTCGAACTTTGTTATTTGAGGGTTTTTAGGGTCGCTGATGACAAATTCGGTGTCAATTTTTCAAAATTCAAAACTGCGGATCCAATATGGTGGAAGGATTTTTGAAAATTTAACAGGTTCATCTAAAACTTGGTATTTGGGGTTTTTTTTTGGTCACTGATTACGAATTCGGTGTCAAATTTTCAAAATTCCAAATGACGGATCCAATATGGCGGAAGCATTTTTGAAAATTTAAAGGATTCATCTGAAACTTAGTACTAGGGGATTCTTAGGGTATAGCTGATTACGAATTTGATGTCAGTTTTCAAACATTCAAAATGGCGGACGAATTTTTGAAAATTTAACTGATTTATTTTAAATTTTTTAGGGTTTTTAGGGTCGCTGATTACGAATTTGGTGTTAGTTTTTAAAAATTCAAAATGGCGAATCAAATATGACGGACGAATTTTTAAAAATTTAACAGATTCACCTGAAACTTTGTTATTTACGGGTTTTTTAAAGTTGCTGATTACGAATTCGGTGTCAGTTTTTAAAAATTCAAAATGGCGGATCCAATATGGTGGTCGAATTTTTGAAAATTTAACAGATTTAAAGTTGCTGATTACGAATTCGGTGTCAGTTTTTTTTTAATTCAAAATGTCGGATCCAATATGGCGGAAGCATTTTTGAAAATTTAAGAAATTATAATTTAGCAAACTAATAATTTAAGTATTTCTTATCGTACACCTGATTGTAGATGCTTTGTTTTTCTTTAAAATTAAAAATTCCTTATTTTTTTAAAATTATTTTTCTTCTGTATAGTTAATTAACCATTTAAGGTGAATGTTCCAATTTGGGAACATAAACCAATTATGGGAATAATTATATACACGTGGAAAAAGTGCAAATTAACTTGAAGGTCAATTAGAAACAATGGATCACGTATATATCTTTAATTCGCGTGTATAATTATTTTTTAATAACATTTATTATATTAATTAATATATTTTGCTTCAAAAAAAATAGTTAAAGGTATTGTAATCAATTTTTTTAAATAAATGACTCTAAATTAAAAAGAAATACTTTATTTATTAATAAAGAAAAACACTTGTACTACTTTGTTATCGTCCCCACTTTTAAGTCTAAAGGAAATGCATTAAATTATAGTTTTCAACAGGAAAAATTCTACAATGGCAACGTGATTATGATAAATTTTTGTTATGGAGCACATTTACTGATAACAGTAAAACCTTGACAAAAAGAAATATATATATATAATTAAATTTCGCATGAAAAAACCAAAAAAAAAAAAAAAACTTTATTTTAGTGAATTTATACTAATTTACAGAAATTTTTTTTTTCAATTCTATCACGGAGAAAAATGAAAAAACGAATAAAGTAACTTTTACTATACTTTAAAAGTAAAACCAGAACTGTCCGCAGTTTCTGTGCATTTCTGGCAATTTTTACTCCAGACCCTCATAACAAAAGGATATCCCTAGGATATTCATAGGATATCCATATCAATGGTCGATATCCTAGAATGGTCCCCAGGATATCTTGGGATATTGGATGGATATCCAAACCGCCGGTATGTGGGAAATCAATAGGACATCCATAGGATATTCAAAGGATATCCCTAAGACATCCACAAAATATCTATTGGATATTATATCGCAGGATATCCATGGGATATCCTCAGGATGTCCGTGGGATATTCTTAGGATATTCACGGGATATTTAATATCTCAACATATATTTTTAAAGGTTAAAATTGTTAACCTAATGTAATGAATAATAATATAATAAAAACAAAAATCTTATGAGCTTCTAATTTATTTTAAATGAAGATTTGAAACGCATTTTTCATAGTTTTTAAATAAACTCATGCACTTAATGTATAATTAATATTAATAGTTATTCGTTATTTGCGGGGAAGAATTTATATTGTTTAAAGCCAATTTATTTTCTGACAATATTAAGCATATGAATAAAGGAATAAATCACGAATGAGAAAAAAATTAGTTAATAAAAATTTCAAATTAAACAACTTTCTCGAAAAACAAGTTGCATTTTATTTTATTTATATAAAATTTAATTCACAGAATATTCTCACTCGTACTCTCATAATGACTTTAAAAACAGTATCCTGAGAATATCTTCTTGACATCCAGAAGATATACTGAGAATATCCTGAAAATATCTATGGGATATCCTGCCGATATCTATGGGATATCCTAATATCTGTGGGATATCCTGACGATATCTATGGGATATCTGGAGAACATTTATGAAAGTCTATAGAGATATCCTGTGGATATCCTCAGATATCCATGGGATATCCGAAGGATATCCAAACCGCCGATTTTTTGGATATCCTTAAGAGATCCTTTTGATATCCATAGGACATCCCTAGGATATCTGCGAGATATTATCAATATATCCCAAGATATCTTGTGTTATTAGGGAGAATGAGTAAAATTTATTCCGGAAATAATAAAATTTACTTCTGAAATAGTAAAAATTATTCCGGACATAATAAATTTTACTATTTCTGGAGTAAAAATTATCAGAAATTGCGCAGAGACTCGGGACAGTTCCGATTTTACTTTTAAAGTATAGTAAAAGTTACTTTATTCATTTTTCCATTTTTCTCCGTGTAATTATATTAGAAAAAAAAAGTTTTTTTTTGTATTAACACTAATTCAAGACATATTATACTCATATACTATAAAATACGAGCGTTTTCGTTTACTTTCAAAACAAATGTCATTTCCTTCCGCATCACCGTAAAAATTTTCAAATAAGGAAATCATTTCTTAAATACAGAAAAATGTTGTTAGTCAAATAAAAATATTTTTTTCTCCTTGAAAACTCTTATCCCATTACAAAAAATTGGTAATGCATATATAAACAATCTATATTTATTTGTTACACGTAATGTTTTTCTTAAATAATAGTTATGTTATATACTCTTATTTAAATTCTCAAGATTCTGTTAAAACTTGTCACTCGTGAGTTTTTTGAGATTACTGCTAACGAATCTGACTCATTAAAATTTGGATTTAAAAATTTTTAAATTTCCTGAATATAACGATTTGGATCAGTTTGAAAAAAAAAAAATTATTTGCCATATTGGATTCAATATATATATTTTACTAAAAATTAGTAAAAATTCTTACTACTGTGAATTAGTAGCTCACTTTTTACCAATTCAAATTTAGAGAGATTATTTAATTTTTATATTACACTAATTTAAAAGTATCAATTTGATACTTTTAAATTAGTTGTGATAACTAATGGAGAATAAGAATTCTCATATTGAAAAAAAAATTTTCTTATTCTTCAGAAAAATGAAGGAGGCTCTAACATAACCTTAAAACTGAAAAAATGGTTTTTAACGTAAACAAAAATTCTAATAAATATAAATTTCGAACATAATTTATTCCAAAAAAAAATGTTTAACTAGATTTACAAAAATTTTTTGTAATTAACTTTTATTAATGTTCTGTTTGCGTTAAAAATCAATTTTCAGTTTTGCGGTTATATTAGGGCCTCCATCCTCTTTAATTAAACATTAATTTATAAAATCACAGTCAAATAAAATTAATCGTAATAAAAATCAATGCAGATGAATTGCAGTTATTGTCCAACGCCAATTACAAGTGATGTTAGTTTAGCATCAGCTTGTACTGGTGGCGTTTCCTTTATTTTATTCATTGGAATTTTGGAATCTTTTATACGAAGACAATGTGACCTTGAAGATCCATGTCATCGTATTAGGCCACGTGAAAAACCCAATTTAAGGTAAAAAAAAAAAATTTAAATAACAAAATAATAAAAAAAAATAAAAAATAAATAAAATTTTATTATAGCTATGATTTTATTGTAATTGGAGCAGGAAGTGCAGGTGCTGTAGTCGCTTCAAGATTATCAGAACAAAAACGTTTTTCAGTTTTATTGCTCGAAGCGGGATTAGATGAGCCAGCTTGGTCACAAATACCGCGATTTTATTTATCCACTCTAGGTACAAAATTAGATTGGCAATACACATTTGAAAATGAAAACAATAATCAATGTTCATCAGATGGAAATAATGTACAGTGCTATTGGCCAAGAGGAAAGGTTGGTTTTTGGGGTAATATTCTGTAACTTAATTTCATTTTTACTTTCACCTTCACCTTAACTATAATTTCCCTTTACTTTCACTTTCTTTTAAACTATACTTTATTTCCACCTTACTTTCACTTTCACTTTTACATCACTTTAATTATACTTTCACTTTCACTTCATTTTCACTGTACTTTAACTTCCACTATTCTTTCACTTCACTTTCATTTCGCTTTCAGTTTTTCAAGTGAACGTGAAGTGAAAGTGAAGTGAAAGAATAGTGGAAGTTAAAGTATAGTGAAAGTGTAAAGTGGAAGTAAAGTGCAAAAATAGTGGAAGTTAAAGTATAGTGAAAATGAAGTGAAAGTTAGCGGGAAAGTGAAGTGAAGTCAAGTTACAGAATATCACCCTTAAAGAGAAAATTTTCTCAGGATATCCTAGGATATCATATGGACATTTTCAGGATATCCTACATTAGTTTAGTATCCTACATTAGTGAGGGAAGGGTTATTTTGCATTTTCATCCCAAAAAAGGGTTATTTTGCAATTTTATGCAATTTTTTACGAATTTTTGGATATATACCTTTAAAATTACTCTATTTTTAAAAAGTTACTTATAAACAATTTTTTATGGTTTTTTTTTTATTATTTATTGTTGTTTTTTAAATTTTTAGTTAGGCACCTATATAATATTGTGCCTAATTTTAAGTATCATTGAAATCAATTGTTTTTAACTTAATAATTTTATCATTTCTTATTTCTTTTTTATTCTTATTTAAATAAAATCAAATTATTGAATTTTTGTCTTTTTGGCCGGCCAGTCCGCACGTGTGGTGCCTGCGCTGTTTAGATTCGGTAAGTGCATTCTTGTGCGCTACCAATTGACATTTTCGCGCTTTGATATAAGTGTGTACATTTTTGTACTTTTTTTAATTGCGAAAATATTCAATAATAAATATTATTAAAAATAATAAATAAATAATTATAAATAAAATAGTTAAAAATTTATTTAAAAATTGTCTTGATTAATGGAAAAAAAAATAAACTTAAAAATTTATGTCCAACAGGTTCTTGGTGGAACGAGTTCAATTAATGGACTGATATACTTGAGAGGATCCCGTAAAGATTACGACAATTGGGAAAAAATGGGAAACAAAGGTTGGTCCTATAAAGACGTACTTCCATTTTTTAAAAAAAGTGAAAATAATTTACAAATTAATAATATGGATTCGGGTTATCACAATCAAGGAGGACCACTTTCGGTGGCACAATTAAATTATCATCCACCAATGAGTTATGATATTTTAAAAGCAGCAAAAGAATTAGGTGAACTATTTTAAAAAAATCTAATTATTTGCTATTCACTCATTTAATTATTATTATTATTTATTTTCATTAGCTATTTTTTAACATTTTTTTTTTTTTAATTATTAGGTTACGAAACAGTTGATCTAAATGGAAAAAATCATACTGGATTTGCAATTACACAAAGTACAACCAATAGAAATAGTCGATATTCATCAGCTCGTGCATTTTTGAGACCAGCGAGAAATCGTCAAAATTTACATATTATTCTAAATTCAACGGCAACGAAAATTATTTTCAATGCTAATAAGAGAGCAATTGCTGTGGAATATTATAAAAATGGTAAATACATAAAAATTGGAATTAATAAAGAAATCATTGTCAGTGGAGGTATAGTAAATTCTCCACAACTATTGTTGAACAGTGGAATTGGACCTAAGGAAGAATTAGAAAAAATTGGTGTACCAGTAATTCATCATCTTCCAGGTGTTGGAAAAAATTTACACGATCATGTTTATTTTCCTCTAAGTTTTTCTATCAATGAAACAGAAATTGGTACTATAAATCAGGCCTCAGCCATGGAATATCTTCTATTTCGAAAGGGACCTTTAAGTGGTGTAGGTAATGTCATTGGAAAAAAATCTATTTTACCTGATAATGATGTTTGAAATATGAAAAATTCATTTCTTTAATTTATTTACAATAGGCCTTTCGGCAATGACCGGATTGATAAATTCAAAATATGCAAATCCATTGGATGATAATCCTGATGTGCAATTATTTTTTGCTGGTTATATGACAAGATGTTCGGAAAGTGAATCATTTAGTGGAAATTCAATATCACGAAGGCAAATTGCCTTTATTCCAACTCTGATTCATCCAAAGAGTAAAGGATATTTACAACTGAGAAATAGTGATCCACTTTCAAAACCATTAATTTATCCCAAATATTTAACTCATCCTGATGATATTTCTGTTATGATTGAAGCAATTAAATTTGCACTTCGATTTGCTGAAACGGAAGCTTTAAAAAAGTAGATTTCTCAAATATTTTTGAAAAGTTTAAAATTATTTTTATTTTAAGTCTAGGACAATCATTATTCAATGTCAGATATGATAATAATTAGTTTTCTAATTAATTTTTTTAGATACGACTTTCAATTGAATAAGACACCAGTGAAAAATTGTGAACATTTGGAATTTGGTAGTGATTCCTATTGGAAATGTGCAATAAAATATAGAGGCGGAAGTCCAGGATATCATCAAGCTGGATCATGTAAAATGGGTCCTAATTCTGATCCACTGTCAGTTGTTGATAATCAATTAAAAGTTAAAGGAATCAGAAATGTTAGAGTTGCTGACGCTAGTATTATGCCACAAGTCACTTCCGGTAATACTAATGCTCCTTCAATTATGATTGGTGAAAGAGCTGCAGATTTCATTAAAAATAGTTGGCGTCATTTTAAAAACAAATGAAAATTTTACTTTTGTATTCCTTAATAATTTTAAATTTTATTTTCCTCTCTCACTAAATGTTTTTTTATTCTTTTAAAAAAAAAAAAAACTCTTTCCAACTATATTGTTTGTTACTTCAGTTGTTATAATTTTATTAATAAAAAAAACCGATCAACAACAATTTTGTAAAAAAAAAAAATAAAAATACTTTTTCCTGTAGTGTAATCTTAAATAATTTTTATCTGTTTGCATTTTTTTTCCCCACTTTTCTGCAAAAATTGGAGAATATATTTTGAAAATTACCTGCCTTTTTGAATATTTTAACAATATTGTCGTTTACATAAAATTATTTAAAATTAAAGGTATAAGATTTTTTTTTTACAAAATTATTATTTTTTCGTCACTAATAATTTTATTCATATAGATATGAAGTGTAATAATTGTCCATTGCCAATTACAAATGGAATTTCATTGGCATCCACCTGTCCAGGTTTTGTGCTTTTTCAATTTTTGTCAATTTTAGAATTTTTTATTCGTAAACAATGTGACCTTGAGGATCCTTGTGGACGAGTATTACCACGTGATAATCCCGAAGGAAGGTCAAAAACTATTTTTTATGATTACTTTAATATATCATGCAAAAAAATCTTCATCTAGAACAGCGATAAGTTCCTCTGAAACAGAGGATATATTTCTCTAGAATAGCGAAAACTTTTGCTGTTATAGTGAAACATATCGCTGATCAAGGTGAACATTTTTTTTGCATGTATTGTTACGTCCAATAAAAATAACATTTGAGTTAAATGAATATTAACCCTTAACTTGCAAAGTTTCGTATTTGAACGTAAATGGCACAACGGGTCTGCTGGACCCGACATATTCAAACGAGTATTGTACAGCCGGTATTGAATATTTTTGCCTAAAAATTTAATCTGTAGTAACTTATTATGTGTTTTTTAAAATTTCATTAGTTTTACAGGGATTAATTTATTTTATTTTGTTAAAAAAAAAAAATTGTGAAAAATAAAAACGAAAAATTACGTGTTTTAAAAATTCATGAGTTATTTAAATTTTAATATTGACATAAAAATTTAAGATTATACTATTATTTTTTAAGAAAAGAATTATCACAACAGCAGGACTTGCAAAAAAAAGTTATTTATTTTGCAGAATAAAATGTGAATTTTTAGGTTAAAATTGAAAAATTTATAATTATTAATGTTTGAAGCTAATTTATTTTTTTTTTTTGTATCAAATTAGTTGTATCAGAAAACTTAGAAAATTACTAATATGTCAAACTAATATATTAAAATATTCAAATACATTCAAAATAAGAGCGAGAAAAAATGCTCGGGTCTACTAGACCCATAGTGCCAGTTAAGGGTTAATTAAAGATAATTTATAAATACAACCACTTTGAAATGTTTTCCTGTTCCCTCATATATTTTCCCCCAAAATTATTCATTATCTAGTATGAAACACTTGCTATTAGCCACTAAATCCAAAACGACGCACTAATCACATTCAACGATCTTCTTTACTCATTTTTTTTTCTTTTTTCAATATTTTATATAATTTACAAGATTCTGCAGTACTGCCAATATGAAAATATCCCAATGTAGAACATAATATAGCGTTGAATGAAAATGGCACAAACGGGTCTGCTGAACTCAAAAAACTTAGAAAATTATTAAGAATATGTCAAACTAAAAAAAAAAGAAAAAAAATAAAATATATAATAATATATTATATATTATTTAATAATAAATTTTTTTATAAAAATATAAAAAATATTCAAATACATTCAAAATAATTTGAGCGAGAAAAAATCCACGGGTCTACTAGACCCATGGTGGCAGTTAAGGGTTAATTCTGAATTTTGGTGAAATATAAAGTAAAAAAAATTGCTTTTTTCTGATCATAATAGCCCCGGTTAACTTAATTTTTTACAGTTACGATTTTATTGTTATTGGAGCCGGAAGTGGTGGTGCAACAGTTGCATCAAGATTATCGGAAAAACAATGTTTTTCTGTTTTACTATTGGAGGCAGGATTAGATGAGATATCATGGGTTCAGGTACCATCTCTATCCAGTAGAATTAGTGGTACATCAGTTGATTGGCAACATCGTGGTGAAATCGAAAAATATGGATGTCTCAATAAAAAAGAAAAAAGATGCGTATGGTGTGGAGGAAAGGTTTGCTTCTCTATAACTATAACCCTAATTCGAAATTTCGAATTTGTAATTTAATACAAAATCAGTCTACATAGTTAAAACAGAAATTTTTTAGTTTTCGTTAATCCTAAAATCATTTTTTATTAATCCGAAAGTAGTTTGTTCCAAAATACAAATCAGAATCAATTGTCTCGTTTTCGATTGATTCTGAATTTATTTTGAATTTGCATTTTAATCTAAACTAATTCGAATTAATTCTGTATATAATTTGGATTAATTACGAACTCAATTTAGTCAATATATGTAATGGGAAATAAAAATTTCTGTACCATTAGGTCCTAGGTGGTACTAGTTCTATCAATGGAATGATGTACATGAGAGGATCACATAAAGATTTCAACGATTGGGAAAAACTGGGCAATAAAGGTTGGTCCTACAAAGATGTTCTACCATTCTTTAAAAAAAGTGAAAAAAATTTACAAATGGATGAACTTGATCCCGAATATCACAGTAATAAGGGACCTTTACCAATTTCGAAATTCAATTATCAACCACCAATGACCCCTGATATTTTAGAAGCTGCTAAAGAATTAGGTATGCTTGTTAATTAATCAACCAAAAATTAGCAAAAAGAAGTATTAAATTTTTATTTCCCCCCACCCCTCCGTGATTAAAATTACAGGTTACGATATTGTCGATTTGAATGGAAAAACTCATACTGGTTGGACAGTTGCACAAACAACGACAAATGGAGGATCGCGATTTTCAACAGCTCGAGCATTTTTACGACCTGCACGAAATCGTCAAAATCTACACATTATGATTAATAGCACCGTGACGAAAATTATTTTCAATGATGAGAAAAAAGCAATTGGAGTTGAATTTTACAAAAATGAAAAATTTGTACAAGTTAGAGTTAATAAAGAAGTCATTGTTAGTGCAGGTAATCATTTTTTTCTCTTTAAAATTAATACCGTGATACTCGAAACCAAATTTTTTTAGGTGCAATTAATTCACCACATATACTGCTAAACAGTGGAATTGGACCAAAAGAGGAATTAGAATTCCTTAAAGTTCCTGTTGTGCATAATCTTCCGGGTGTTGGAAAAAATTTTCACGATCATGTTCAATTTCTTTTGACATTAACTATTGATGAGAAGGAACAGAATGCTTTGAATTGGGTTTCGGCTATGGATTATTTACTTTACAGAAAAGGACCACTATCATCAACAGGTGAGTATAAAATTTTTCTAACATTATAATTTAGTTTATAAAAAATTTTTACTTTTATTTTCTATAATTCAATTTTAGCCTACTTTAGTACCAAGAAAGAGACTATACTTTTCCGAAGCATTTTGATATGCTAAATCCGATTATGCCATCAAAATTCACTCAGGTTAGAATATCTCGAAAACCTGAGTCAATTCTGCAGATTCGCGGATTTAGAATATCAAAATGCTTCGGAAAAGTATAGTATGATTCTTGGTTCTGAAGTAGGCTCTAAAATTTTCTCTACCTCTGTTTAATTCTGGGATTTTTAATTTTTTTTTATCAATCAAGGTGGATGGCAAGTGACTGGAATGATAAATACAAAATTTGCAAATCCACAAGATGATCATCCGGATATACATATGGTATACGGTGGATATGGAGCATTCTGTTCACAGTCTGCAAATATAAATACGGATGAAAATTCAAGAAGAAAAGTAACAATAGTACCAGTGGTGCTACATCCCAAAAGTAGAGGTTACGTTCGTTTGGCGAACAATAATCCTTTATCAAGACCACGCGTTACAGCTAATTTTTTCTCTCATCCCAATGACGCGTCAGTTCTAGTCGAAGGAATTAAATTTGCCCTTAAAATGATAAAAGCAAAAGCTCTTGAAAAGTGAGAGAAAAATTTTTTTTAGCAATTATTTATTGCAAAATTTAATATATTAGTAGATGCTAATTCATTACTTAATGGGAAAAAATGTAAATTATTTTCAGATATGACTTTCAATTGGACGAGACACCGGTGAAAAATTGTGAAAATTTGAAATTTGGAAGCGATTCCTATTGGCAGTGTGCTGTGAGACATGATACATCGACAGGTGCACATTATGCTGGTTCTTGTAAAATGGGATCTAATTCAGATAAATTGGCAGTAGTTGATAATGAATTGAGAGTTAGAGGTGTTCAAGGAGTGAGAGTTGCCGATACCAGTATTATGCCACGAGTTACATCGGGAAATACAAATGCCCCGGCAATTATGATTGGCGAAAGAGCTGCAGATTTTATTAAGAAAACTTGGAAATTCAACTATTGTTAAACCTCTAAAATTTCTATACAGAAATATATTATTTCATTTAAAAAATTGATTTCATTAAATTTAAAATCTTTTGTTTTTTGTGATAATTTTAGCAGTAGGGAGAAGAAAGTAATTTTTTCTAAATACCTGGCTCTAACAAGGTACAATAAATTAATAATCGAATAATAAAAATAATTACAACCAAATTATTACTTATGCTTAATTTTACAGTTCATGGAAAATAATTAACATGTAAAAATGTATTTAATCTACTATTTTGCATTGCATAACCAAAAGTAGGGCATATGATGTCAAATCAGCTAATATATTTCAGTTTTATAATTTACAATGCAAAAATTATATTTGAACAATTCACGATTCTTTCAATAATATCCAGTTTTTTAGGAAGCAAATAATTCGTGCATGCATATTATTTTCCTTGTAATTTACTGAATTATATTTAAGTAATATAGAAAAAATTATAGAAGGTAAATTTTAATTTATCATTTTTAGATTTAAATTAATTTACAAATAAAATTTTGTTATTTTATCCATTTGTATAATAATTAAATTGATAACTTTTTATAGCTGTAACTATAAAATATATTTACAATTTCATTTAGTACCCATATAATACCCAAAAATATAATTAATCGAATTTTTTTAATAGAAATAATTACAAAAAAAAAAAATATATTTCACTAACCTTAATCTGTAAGTTATCAAAAATTTTTGACGTAAAGATATGCAGAACCGCGTTTTAATTATAATAAAATACTTTTTTTAAAAATTTAAGAGATCACGATTTTAAAAATTACGAACACTCACGGAGCAAAAAAATTTACTGAAATGACAAAAAAAAAAAACGATAAAGAAAATATATTCAACATAGACGAATTTAACTTTTAAAATTATCAAACAGTTCACGTTTTAAACAGGTCAAGACACGAATTACAACTGATTGAATTATCATCGGGATTAGTTATTGAAATCTGTAAATGAAAAATATAAAATTAGAGTTTTGAAACGACAACTTTATGACGAAAGAGATAAAAATTAATTAATAAATTATAAAGTCTAAAATCAATTAAATCGATTTTTTTGATAAAATGGTTATTTAGTGACGAATTAGTGAACCTGAAACCAAATTTGATGTGAGATTTAAAAAAATTTTAAATGGCGGACACAATATGGCGGTCAAAAAATTTTTTGAAATTAACCAGATTTACTTGAAAATTATTTCTAGGGGATTTTTGGGGTCGCTGAATCCAAATTTATGGTGAGATTTAAAAAATTCAATATAGCGAAAAATTTTAAAAATTGATTTGATTCGTTCAAAATTCGTTACTCGGGGTTTTTTTTTGGAGTCGATGAATCCAAATTTGAGGTTAGATTCAATAAATTCAGATTCATAAACCCAAAAAACCTCCAATTAACGAATTTTAAACGAATCAAATACAATTTTTTAAATTTCCGCCATATTGGGTCTGCCATTTTGAATTTTTTAAATCTGACCTTAAACCTTATTAATAATGTAAATGTAATTATAATTCCTAGTTTTGATAAAAAAAAATCACGCATTAGAAATTATAACTGAACATAATATTATGTTTTTAAAAATTAAAATTCTTTTCAAAAGATGCAGATAAATTGTACAAATTGTCCAGTGCCACTAACAAGTAAAGTCACTCTATCATCAACATGTGGTGGGCCATCTTTTTTATTGTTCATGGGTATTTTGGAGTCATTTATTCGTAAACAATGTGATCTAGATGATCCATGCAATCGAGTTATATCACGCGATGAACCCAATACAAGGTAAAATTTTTGAAAATTTTAGCATTATCCAGTCATCATTTTTAAAAAAAAAAACTGATTTTTTTAATACATCTCAAAAAAAATTTTTCCGAAGTTTCGAATCTATTTAAAGAAAATTGAAAGGGATGGAATATTTTAAGCCCCCTTAATAAATTAAAAATTAATAATTAAAAATAATATAAAAATTAATAATTAATTAAAAATAGTTAAAAATAAATGGAATTAAAAATATTCTAAATAGTTATGACTACGTTGTAATTGGAGCGGGAAGTGCTGGTTCAGTAGTTGCCTCGAGATTGTCTGAAGAAAGAGATTATTCAGTTTTACTTTTAGAAACAGGATTAGATGAACCAGGATGGCTTCATGTGCCATCATTTTTTGTTAATCCAATACATACAGATTTAGACTGGCAATATAGTTTTCAAAGTGAAGGCAATGATTGTTCAAATGAAAATGCAGCACAATGTTATTGGCCAAGGGGAAAGGTTATTATTTAAAAGATTTTTAGAATTTATCAAAACAGAATATCCTTTTTTTTCTTCAATTAACAATATATGTTTTTGGAAATAATTTCGTATTTCTGTCAAAAATAAATTTTTTTTAGGTTTTAGGAGGTACAAGTACAATAAACGCAATGTTATACATGAGAGGTGCTCATGAAGATTTTAATAAATGGGAAAGAATGGGAAATAGTGGTTGGTCTTTTGAGGATGTTCTTCCATTTTTCAAGAGAAGTGAAAATAATTTACAAATGAATCGAATTGATCGTGAATATCATGGACAAGAAGGGCCACTTCCTGTGACACAATTTAATTATCATCCTCCAATGAGTTATGATATCTTAAAAGCTGCCAAAGAATTAGGTAAATTATTATTTACCAAAAAGTAATAATAAATTTAATTTTCTTAGCCAAAGTTTTGGGGACAAAAATATTTGTCCTAGTTTCGTTAATCTTTAGCGTTTTTTTAGGTTACGATAATTTGGATTTAAATGGAAGAAATCATACAGGATTTGCAATTGGTCAAAGTACATCGAGAAGAGGTAGTCGATATTCAACTGCACGTGCATTTCTTAGACCGGCGAGAAATCGTCATAATTTACACATTATGCTAAATTCCACTGCAACGAGAATTATTTTCAATAATAATAAAACAGCCATTGCTGTTGAATTTTATAAAAATGGAAAATTCATCAAAATTGGAGTTAATAGAGAAGTTATCGTTAGTGGAGGTAATAATCGAAAATAGAAATATTATTTTACTAATAATCATTTTTTGAAATTCTAATTTTTTTTTAAGGTATAATAAATTCTCCGCAAATACTATTGAATAGTGGAATTGGACCTAGAGCAGATTTAGAAGCAATTGGAATTCCATTGATTCATGATCTTCCAGGTGTTGGTAGAAATTTACACGATCAAGTTCATGTTCCCTTGACATTTTCCATCAATGAAACGGACAAAAATGATTTAAATTGGGCTTCTGTTATTGAATATTTACAATACAGAACAGGACCCCTAAGTGGCATTGGTAATAATTTCATGGTCAAAAACAAAATTACAAAATTTAAAATTTTTTTAAAAATCTTTTAGGAATTCTACAAACAACAGGATTTATAAATACAAAATATGCAAATCCACAAGAAGACTATCCGGATATACAAATGGTTTTTGGAGGATACATGGCGGCATGTTCTGAAAATGGAATGATCAATCGGATTCCAAAGAGTAGACGAAAAATTGCAATTCTACCTGTAGTTATTCATCCAAAAAGTAAAGGTTACCTACGATTGAGAAACAATAATCCACTCTCAAAACCACTAATTTATCCTCGCTATATGTCTAATTCTGATGACATAGCTGTACAAATTGAAGGAATTAAATTTGCTCTACGATTTGCTTCAACGAATGCATTTAGAAAGTAATTTAAATTTTAAATAATTTTGCTTCAAAAAAGTAGGGTAGGGGGATTTTCTAAAAGTTTTTAATTTTTAATTTTTTAATTTTCTAATTGTTTTTTTTTCTGTAATTATTTTAGATATGATATTCAGTTTGACAGAAGTACATTTAAAATTTGTGAACACTTAGAATTTGGAAGTGAACCCTATTGGCAATGTGTAGTGAGAAATTATAAAAGCACAGTAAATCATCAAGCAGGATCATGTAAAATGGGACCTGATTCAGATCCACTGGCAGTGGTTGATCATTTATTGAGGGTCAAGGGTGTGAGAGGTGTTAGAGTAGCTGATGCTAGTGTTATGCCACAAGCAACTTCAGGAAACACAAATGCTCCCGCTATTATGATTGGGGAAAGAGTTGTTGATTTTATCAGAAATGTTAAGTGAAATTTAAAAATTATTTATTACTATAGTATTAAATCACAATTTAATACTGTAATAAAATAACAAATACAGAAATAAAAAAAAAATTTAATATTGATTTGTCGAATATTGACCGTTTTTAAAAAATTTGTTTACCTTATCAAAATTTTAAATATCAAGTGAGTTATTAAATAAAAAGTTTTATCTATTACTTTAATTGTTGATTTTTGGTTTAAAACTAAATATTTAATTAATTTGCTATGAATGTAAATAATTTTCGCAAAATCAGGCTTTCCTTCTGAGTATCGGTAACTCTTAAAAGTAAATTACATCCGATCACCAACAGATGTCAGGACGTTAAAGTTATAACTCTAATATAATTATTTATTAATTTTACTTATTCGCAGTTCTTTAGACTGACATTAACATATATTTTTTAATTAAAAAATAGTCTCTTAAACATTTAGCAAAAATTAATGTAAACTTATTAATTATCTAAAAGATTTTTTATTATAAAAAATAATTTTATGTTCAATTTATTTAATTTATTAATTAAATTTGTTTAATTTAATTAATAATAATTAATGATTAATAATTATTATTAATAATAACTATTATTATTTAAATAAAAGATCTCAAAGTACTGTTTGGCCTATTAGCTAATTGTTGGCTATTGTTATTATTATTATTATTATTAATTATTATTTTTGGAGATAAATTTTTTCACCCAGACTGTTATTAAACATTGCGGGGAGTAAAATGATAATTCCAGTCTAAAGTTTCTTTAGGCATAAAAAAATTAATAATTTGCGATAGAAAAAAAACCTGATACTCTTTATAAAACAAAAATTAGGATACTAACTTAAATTTGCAGTAATATTCTAATATTGCAGCAATAATGTCAACATTAAGGTAATATTGAAGAAACTTTTTGTGCAGTAAGGAAATGAATTCTATTTGTTTGCAATGAATAATATATGAAGAATTTTGATGAAAAATGAAGAAAACAGAAAGACGTCAAAATTATCATATTACTAAATATGAAAATTATACAATATCGTCATGTTTCATTATTCACGACAAGGAAAGAATATTACTTCCCCTAACCGACTAAAATTGACTATATACATGTTTTAGACTTGAAGGAGAAAATGAATTAAAATAATAAAAATGATTTTAAAACAAATTTCTTAAGCTAATATTAATCCTTCCTGAGGATCTGTCAACGCGAGTCATGCAATAGCAGATGCAATACATATTATATAAGATAAAATATGTATGTACTATAAAACAATATAATACGTATATATACTTATTGCATTGTGGCAGGTCTGAGATTTTTATCAACCTCGCCGTGACAGTGATTTAAATTGCGAAATTATTCTTACGTTCATCGAAAGTCAGCTCTCAATCATCCGAAACAAAAAAAATAGTCAATTTCTTTATTCTATAAACCTTGGGACATATTGGCCTCGAAAATTAATTAATAATAATAATAATTCAATTTCTACTTTAAAATTTTTAATGATTATTTTTTTAATTGTAAAATAATTATGACATTATCATTAACACTGAAATTTTTATTGTCTTTTTTTTAATGTTTTAGAAAAACTATATCATTTGTTTATTTAATATCAATTTTATTTATCTTTTTGTAAAATTTTTTTCTATATTAATTATTTTATTTAATATTGGATATTATTTTATAATTTTTACTTTTGAATAAATTTTATTTTAAAGGCTCATATATTTTATGTAACGATCAATTTTTAGGACAATTTAAGTTGACTTGAAAAATCGTGATGGATCAATTTTTGACCGGAAGAAATATGTCATAAATATGAGTAGGAGAAACTGCATTTCTAGCTCAGGGCTACAAAACTCAGAATTATTGCTGTTTCATTTGTATAATCTGTCTCGTGATTATTAGTAATATAATCATTGAATCCAATCAAAATTATATTTATAAGAACACGAGTGACCTATCAATAAATATAAATGTCTTTCCTTGTTGTCTCTTCCGTCCACTTTTTTTTTAAAGTCATAATTTTTTAGTAAGCTTTTTTAAATAATTGTTGAATAAAAAAATTCATTTAAAAATTCAAAATGGCGAATTCAATGTAAAAATTCTTAAAATTCTTTAAAAAAAAATTAAATTTACACTATTTTCTTTTCAGGACATAACTGACATTGAGAAATAAGGAAAATTTTCTCTCGGAGGGTTTTGGTTTACAGTTACAAATATATAAATATTCAAGATGCATAATCTCCTTATTTCCCAATCATTTGCTTTACAAATATGAAAGAACGCGATATTCATATAATATACCTGTATATCCTTTCAGGAAGAGAAAAAAAAATCGAAAGGATAAGTCATCAACCCGGTCATTCCTCTTTGACGAGTCTTATATTCACGATTCTGTCGCCTGACTTTATTCTCAATGTGTAAATACTGGATAAATTATTATTTCCGGTTACAAGAATTTACTTTGCAAAACGTAACATGGTGTCACGATATTACAATTTTCGCAAATTTTAAAATAATTATTTACTTAAAAAACCGTAAATATCAAATTTCAACAAAAAATGCAACTATTTATAATTAAAACTACTCGCCATTATGGAAACGCCATTTTGAATTTTTTTTTGTATTTAAGATTTTTTAAAAAATGTTAGTTTAAAAACTGTATTAATTTAAATTTTAAATACCTTTTTTAAACTAATTATATTCTACCACGAAAAAGAAATAAGTTTCGAAACATTTTTTTTCAATTTATAAAGATAATTTTTTAACTTTAAGGGCAAGTCAAAGGCGATTCAATTTTCCCATTTTCTATGTAAAAATTCGAAATTTCGAAAGAACAGAAATTTATTTTAAAATCCATTCTGAAGAGTATTATTAAAATACTAATTTTTTTATTATTCATCATCATAGCATGAAACACTTGAGCTGGAGTTTACAATGTCAAATTTGACGATTTTCGAAATTGTCATTTTGTAAGAACTTTTGCTTAAAAATATTTTTCCGGAAACTAGAAAAATGTTCAAATAATTTTTTTATATACATTTTTGAACTCATTTGATTTAGAAAAAAAATTGCAATTTTTATTATTATGTTAAAAGAAAAAAGTTACAACTTAAATAGTCAGGTTTGACATTGTAAAAACTCAACTCGATTAAAAAATCTCCAATATTTTGGGACGAAAGCATAATGCTCATTCCTCTAGCTGAAACAGAAGTTAAAATAGATTAATTAGATTTCAATTTTTAAAATGGGATGAAGAAAAAGTAAATAGGGGAGACTCGAAAAATAATTTTAAAAAAATAAATTTTTGTCCACGATTGTGGATACCATAAAAAAAATTTTCTAAATATTTTGTAATTTTGCATATGAATTACAAATATCGTTGAATGTTATTTTTGATGAAGGGTTGAAATATTTTTCCAAAGAAGTGGAATTTCTTGTAGGAAAAGTGGCAAGGGACATAAAGTGGTGGTGATTGTCGAATATTACTAGCAAGATGGAGAATGGTACCGGTCTAGTCGCTTGCAGGTCGTGGGACCGTAAACTAACACCGAATCGGTTGTTCCTTCGCGAGTGCTCTAAGGGAAACATTCAACTCACTGAATTTATCACTAACGTGGGATAACTCTTCAGAAGTATGTTTCAAATTATCACTAAAAAAATGTTCGTAGAAATTTTACGAAAATTGTTTATAATTAAAAATGAAAAAAACGATTAAATTTTATTTTTAAATTATTAAAATTTATAATATTTATAGTCAATAATTTAAATAATTACCATAATTAATTAATATATTTTAACCCCATATTATTTTTTAAATATAATTTAGTACTTTTAGTACCAAAGGACATTTTTCTTATATTATACACTCGATATTAATATTTTTTTATTTTTATTTAAATTTAAATATTTTAAAGAATAAATTTTAAAATATAATTAAAATAATTAATTAATAAAAATAAATTATATACAATTTAAATTTAAAAAAATATAATTTATTATAAAAAAAATTAATTAAAAATAAATTTTGTCAGTAATAAAAAATTTATAATTCACGACCGGATAAATTTTAGTAGTTTTCCTTCTTTATGACATTGAAAAAAAAATTATTTTCCTTTCTTTTTGGGGTGGAAGCAAAAAAAATTATTTTTTCTTTTTTTTATACTTTCTGACAATTAAAAGTAATGAGAAAATGAACTCACTTTCCATGCCCAGTGGCTAATAAATGTCACAATATAAATTATCTTTACCTTCAAGCAAACGCTACAAACATTTTTGCGGTCAACAATTATCTTTTCTTAACAAAATATAAATTATTTTCAATTTAACGCAAAATTTGTTTTTCACAAAAAATTTTTAATATTATTCAAGCAATTTTCTTTTATCAGTATAATTATACTGTTATTATTATTGACAGAAAAAAAGCTTTATGAAAATAATTATTATTTTTTAACATTATCATTATTATTACTATCATTATTATTAAAAAATTATCTTGTTAAATTTAATTAACATAAATTGATTCTCAACTTTGATTCAAGAAACTTTAACCTTTTTAATTATTTGTTCTTTCTCTGTAATTTTTTTTTTTGTTATTTAATTTTGAGATAAAAAATTAGAAAAATAGTTTATTTATTCTTAAATAATAATCATTATTTCTTAATTTTGAAAATTACTCTTCAAACTAATTATATTGTAAGATATTTTGACAGTGTGTTAATAAGTTGATTGCACTTTTTTTCATACTTTTAATGTAAAATTATGCAAATTTTCAGAAAATTCAATTTTCTCAAGTGCTGTAAATTATTCGTGTAATTAAATTTAATAAAGAGACCTCGAACATCTTGTATGGAATTCAAAATTGTGAAACAATTGTATAAACATTTATATTCCGGTGCTGAAAGACATTTTGCAACAAACATAATTAAATTATTAAAAAAATTTTAGAATTTTTTTTTTCAAATTTTGATAAGATCTGAAATTTTAATAAACTCGATGGTAATTTTAACAAAAAAAATAGTTAAAAATTTAATAATTGTAATAATTAAAATTTATTTTAATTTATTTCAATTAAAATTTTTATTGAATATTTTTTATTACTAAAAATATAAATGTATAAAATAACAATTATTCAATTTTCAAATTAGATAATTATTAATAAATATTGCGAACTAAATTAAATTACTGGCGAAAAAAAAATAGTTAAAAGGTCATTGGTATAACTATATATTTGCATGGGAAAAAATTCATCACACTGTGATTTATCATATCTTGATCTGATTAAAAATAGTAATTTTGTTTTGGACATGACACCTTGGCATTAAGGCATTTTACTGAAGCAACGCACCTTTCCCTTGACATATTCTCAGAATGTTCGTTCTTCTATTACAATCATTACTCTCTTTTTTTTCATTGAACGCTTCATTTATAAACAATTAATATATAATTAAATTTCAATTAAATATCATTTACTTTTTTTTATATATTTTTTTATTTTCTTTTTGCTTTTTTAGTTATAAAAAAAGTATTAAATTTTACCCACTGATAAAAAATTAATATATAATATGGTGAGCCAAAAAAAAAATTTTAATGTACAATTGTTAATTGTAGTGCTTTCATAACTTATTTATTAAATTAATTTAAGTAATGTCCTTCAAGCTCCAGTGATTAAAATTATAATTATATTTCTATTGTTAGCAAACAGTAAAGTACTTTTAACGTAAATATTAATTTTACTTGAATAAAGGATAAATGCAAAATGAATTATTTCCGTTTTGTAATACAATTTAATTTCAACTTAATGACAAAAGGGAAGTTTGATATTTAATATTGTAATAATATTACATATTGACAACAAAAATAATAATACCAATAATAATAGTAATAATAATAATAATGATAATAATACCAATAATAATAATAATAGTAATAATAATGATAATAATACTCCGACATAAAGAAAACTTAATAAATGCGTGAAATAATTTGCGTGATTAATTTTTTTCTAAAAGTCACAAAAAATTGTCACATTTATTTTATGAAATTACTAACACGAATATGAGCGCTAAAGTAAATAATTTTTTTTTTTTTGCTTGAAATAAAAACTTGCAAATGTAGAAATATTTATTATTGAGTTTTTCAAAAATTCTTTTATATTGAAAATAGTTATAGAAATATCGTAATATTAAATTTCTTAAGACGAATTTTACTCATTTTTTGTTTGAAATTGATTTTGATTATTAGAAGCATAAAATAAAGAAAAATAATTCGTTTTTTTGTAATTTATTTTGAGAGATAAAAATTAAAGACTGACTTTATTTATATATATAAATAAAAGTGAGATTAGGTTACGCACGCGTTTGAAACAATCACCCCAAAAACTATATATAATTTACAAGCTAACATTAACTATATTTTTAAAAAATGTAACGCGATTATTGTCCTAATGTTTTACCTGTTATTCACTCTCCAAAATTATTTTTTGCAAAAAAAAAAAGGAAAGAATAAAATTCTATTTGGAACTGATATATAACAAACGCAAACAGACACGCAAAGTATACGCAGGGTTGGGCATTATGAATTCAAGATACTTCTACAACAACTTGCAATCTGTACTTGCTTCGCATGTGAATTACTTCATTCTCCTAAACGGTGCACGCGAAACAATTTTCAGATATCGAAAATGAATTTAATAAAATTTAATTAATCAGTAAACAATTGATTTAATATGTAACATTACCAATTAATAAAAATTAATTTAATCTTTGAAATCTGAAAATTATTGCACGCGAACAGTTTTGGCAGAACGAAGTTTAATTATTAATTAATAAATAGATATTTATTAATAATAAAAAAATTTTAAGTTTTCAGTTCAAACGTAAACAGAATATTTATAATAATAATAATAATAATAATAATAATAATAATAATAAAAAATGGAAGATTATGAAACTCTGATGGTATTAAAGAAATTGAAAATAATTACAATACAAAACTTGTTATTTGAATCTCTTTTTTTCTGTGAAAAGTTTCATTGAACGCGGCGCGGCGATATACACAACGTGTTCGAGATCTCGATTATTATCGTAGAAACGTGCACCAGTTTTCTTCGTTTATATAAGACTCGCTCAATTGACGACGAAATCATTGAAGAGGCAATATCAATTTACGAAACATTCGATTAAAAATCGGAAAAAAATTATTTTTCTATTTTTTAATAAAAAAAACTTTTCCTAATTTTTTTATAGTTTTAAAAAATAGTTTCCACTTTTATTGAATTTTGCATGGAAAAATATATATTATTAAAAATTTTTTATTTCTTTCTACTCTCTCCTTTTTTCATTTATATTATATATATTATATCGTTGGTAAAAAAAATATATATATACTTTCTTTTAATTATAAGCTTCTTTTTCCTTAACTTAAAATATATTGTCCTCCTTTTTTTCTTACAATAAGGAAATTATTCCTTCTTTTTTAAAAGTTATCTCTTTTTCTCTTTGGTTGAGAACAATACATGACGAAGAATCATTGTTTCGTCAAAATAAAGAAAAAGGATTATATAGTAAATTTCTTAATCACTGAGTCTCACTCCACAATTTTATGGTACTGTGGAGGCCTTTTTTCCTCCTCGGTATAGAGGAATAACAATCTTTTGTTTTAAGAATATATAACACACGATTCGTAAGAAAATTTTGAAAATATTTTACATATCCTATTTCCTTTTTTACTTTATTTATGTTCTTTTTACATTAATTTTCAAATAATAATTATTGAAATCAAATCAATTCAGATAAAAATCGACATTAACAAAATAGGTTACTGTATAGCAACAGTTGCTATAGTAACAAGTTACGATAACCGTTACTATAGCAATGGTTACCATGGCATTGCTATGATAGCAGTTACCATCGTAACAGTTTATTTATTTATTTGAAATAAATATAATAAAAAATTTCTATCGATTATAATAATTAACTAAAAGTCAATTAATTAGAATTCTAATGAAAGTAATAAAAATTTAATTACTTATGAAATATATAACTGATATATTTATTTAAATCCAGTTCATTAACTATATAATTAAAATTCATATTACATAATTTATTACTGAAGAAAAATATTTATCAAATTAATTTTTTTTAAATTTTGTTGTAAATTTTTGGCAAAATAAAAAAAATTGAAACTATTTTTGCATTACAATACACTTAATTTAAATTTAATTTAATTTTAATTTATAAAGATAATTAAATTATTTATTAAATTTCCATAATCTAAATTTTTTAACTTTAAGGGCAAGTCAAAGGCGATTCAATTTTCCCATTTTCTATGTAAAAATTCGAAATTTCGAAAGAACAGAAATTTATTTTAAAATCCATTCTGAAGAGTATTATTAAAATACTAATTTTTTTATTATTCATCATCATAGCATGAAACACTTGAGCTGGAGTTTACAATGTCAAATTTGACGATTTTCAAAATTGTCATTTTGTAAGGACTTTTGCTTTAGAAGAAAACTTGCAATTTTTATTATTATGTTAAAAGAAAAAAGTAACAACTTAAATAGTCAGGTTTGACGTTGTAAAAGCTCAACTCGATTAAAAAATCTCCAATATTTTGGGACGAAATCATAATGCTCGATCCTTTAACTGAAACAGCAGTTAAAATAGATTAATTAGATTACAACTTTTAAAATGGGATGAAAAAAATGTAAATTGGGGAGAATTTATCATCACTGACATAATAGTCATATAACAATGTTGATTGTTACTTTTTTCCAATTTACCTTTAAAAAGATTATAAAATATTTAAATCGGTTTTTTAAAAATTTTGTTGCAAATTTTTGTCAAAAATAAAAATGGTAACTATTTTTGGATTACAATACACTTGCGCCAGAATATCTTTTGTTTTGTTATTCAAGTGAAGTATTTATGTAAACATAAATTATACCATCTTTCTTAACATCTTATTGCCACTTTGGATTATATACACATATATATATATATATATCCATTCAACAAGCATCAAGACTTTTTCCTTATTGGTAAATATCGGAACGATTCTCGGTCGAGGACGCGCGACTCCACTATACATATAGCGAGCTTACTCCAGTTTGCGATAGTGATCTTTACTCTCGACAGTGGCAACAAGGAAAGAGCGACGTGGAAAAAAATGCAATGCGTGACTTTCGTAATCGACATCTCAGTTCTCGGTCAGTGAACGTAACGGTATTACGAGGATAGTATACACATCATCGTCGAAGATTGCGAAGTCGCTCTCGCGTCTTCTTATACATATATACTCTTTCTTTTCTTATATATACATCTATTATAAATACTTCATGCCAATTCATCTCTCAATGATTCATAAAATTAGAGGCGAGAGTGTTTTAGACGCACTGTTTTAGAAATAGATGAAACATACATTGAAATAATTTTATCTTTTTCATTGTTTTCTTTTATTTTCTTTTTCTTCACATGTTTTTAAAATACCAACACTGACACTCTACTGAAAGATCACCCATGCAAAGTGTCACATTTCGGAGGGTCACACACATGAGATATGAAACATTTCGGACGTTCCACTCTATAAGCTTTCGATCAGAGTAAATTATTTATTTCACTTCTTGGACAAAATTTATTCACACTGACCGAAAGCTTAGAGAGTGGAACGTCCGAAATGTTGCATATCTTATGCCTCTAAAATGTGACACTTTGTATGGGTGATCTTTCAGTAGAGATTTTTTGTATGAGAAATGTACCATTGAACATACGATCTCATAAAAGATGCAACATTTCGGAGATTCGTCTTAAATTATGATTAAAAATTTTCCCACAAAAGGCGCTACGATCAGATATTTGAGAAGAAAAGGAAATCTTTGGGGCATAAATATGAGGTCAAATGGTGTTACGTCTTCTATTATCATAAATAATACTTTACGTGATCTGATGAATTTAACTTAAGTTTCAAAAAAGAATTTCAGATTTTATCTTTTCTTTTAATTTAGATTTTATCATAAAAATTTACATATTAATTTCTACCAAAATAATTACACACACACAGACTATATTTTATTCTAATTCCTTATGAAACAGACGTCAATAAAAATCGAAATAAAACACATGATTTTGTTTACAATCGACCTCCGGTTGTTTATGAACTACACGACTACTATTATACAATTTCATTCAGTCTTTGTTATTTCATAACAAAAGAAGCGAAAAAATACTCGCACACTACTACTTAATGATTTAGAGTGCAAGCACTTTTAAGATATAGTTAGAATTAAGCTTGTCTCAATTTAAGATGAAAAAAAAATTTACTGTATTTCAATAATGAAAAAATATATGATAATAATAATAATAGTAATAATAATAATAATATAATAATAAATCATTAATAAAAATTTCGGCCTAAATTTTTTTTTTCGCAAAATTGTTAAAATAAAATGATTCTTTACAGATGAGTTGCAACTGTCCCCTGTCGACAGCCACAGGACCCACTTTGGCCTCGACATGTGGGGGGCCTTCCTTTATGCTCTTTATGGGTCTCCTTGAGGTGTTCCTACGCAGTCAGTGTGATCTCGAAGATCCTTGCAATCGACCTTTGCCACGCGATCGTGTCAATTCAAGGTTAGATTTAACATTTAAGTTTTTTTTTTTATTTATTTATTCTATTTTAAAAATTAATATTTACTTTTTTAAAAAATTAATTTAAAAAAATTATCTAACAAAAAAGTTAAAAGGGGGAAAGAAAAGAAAAGTTGAATGTTCCTTTTACAATAGAAAATAATTACGTAAACCGCATTATATATTAAAATAAATTATTTAATCAGATATTCGGTGGTTGCCCAATTTAAATATTATATGTTTACACTTTGTGAAAATTATATAATATCAAGAGATAATATTTTATAAGAGGTTTTCTTTTCTTTTTTTTTCTTATTTTGTCTCATATTCTTTTTTTTTATCCGCCTCTTTCACTTTTCTCTCTTTTGTGTGGCAATCGATAGTATATATGTTATATATGGAAACTCAGTTGCATTTATACAATTTACACTTATATATATATATATATATATAAGTATATACGAAACAAGAGTTTACGTTTGACTCTCACGCTTATCTGTCAGAAAGGCAAGCCCTGAGAACAGCACCTTTCGCTAAACACGGGTGGTGCACTCGTCGAATAAAATCCCTTCTTGTTCCGTTAACCCAATTTCTATTTTCAACAATATATATATATGTATGTACATAGCCGCACCAAATGAGATAATTAATAGTGTCCTATATAATCCGTGACTAATTGTAATTTTCGATTGAAATCCATGCGGAGAACATTGTCTTTAACTTCGCAATCAGATAATGAGAAAGTCGATGACTTTTCCTGAAGACGTTTATAATTTCATTGTTTCTTTCTCTATCTTATTATATAATGAAAATTTAAGTTTGTTTATGTAACTATTTATTTATTATATGGATAATTATAGTTTATTTTACTTCAATGCAATAATACGAAAAATTTATGTATTTTCAAAACCACGTAGTTTTTCCCGAAAAAAAAATATGAAAATAATTTTAAAGTCAGCGTATTGTAAATACAAAGTGACGGAAGAAAGATTTTTAAAATATTGTCTTTTTTATGAAATTTTTTTATTTAGGTGTTTTTTGACTAATTACAAAATAGAATTTAAAATTAGAAAATTCAATTCCTTTTGTCCAAGTTTTTAGAGAAAATTCTAATCTACTATTAAAATTATTATTTTTGTAATATTCTATAAGCCCAAAAAAGAAAGGATTTTTAAATAAAATGTAATTGAATTTCAGGTACGATTTTGTGGTAATAGGAGGTGGAAGTGCAGGGGCAACTGTGGCCTCAAGATTATCGGAAGAAAATCGTTATTCCGTATTGTTGCTCGAAGCAGGTTTGGACGAGCCAACCGGTACGCAGATACCTTCCTTTTTCTTTAATTTCTTGGGATCAGATATCGATTGGCAATATACTACCGAAAGTGAAGATGAGGCATGTCTCAATAAAGAAGATCGAAAATGCTACTGGCCGCGAGGAAAAGTAATGTATAGTTTTTTTTTCATTCTAAACTGTATTTTAATAAACGCGTATACACAAATTTGGAGTAGCGACATTATAAAAACGACTTTAATAAAAATAACTTTGAAAAAAGATTATTCAAGTAGTAAATTTTGGACATGTTAATATTAGTGCGACAAACTACAACTTTCACCTTTTTGTCTCTAAGCGATTTCGAGGGTATAATTAAGTGAATAGCTGTCAAGAGCATGGGAATAATTAGTTGCCGTGCCTACAAAAATAAAAAAGTGCTCCTTTTGTTATATATATATATTGTGTAGAGAATAAATTGTAGATTCTCGATTGCGATCTGCAAATTACAAAGTATGTAAAATAGCACGCCACTAAAGGAAGTAATCTTGATTCTGCAATTGAATATCAACAAAAAGCATTTAATTATAGTGTTTCCTTAAACGATCCGTCACACTGCATTTAACATGGCATTACATAGTTACATTTCTCTCTGATAAATTTGTTCTTAACACGCTTCTTTTTGAACTTTGTTGTTATTATTATTAATATTATTATACTATTATTTGCTATCATGATTATCGTTATTACTATACCATTATTTTATCTTTTTTTTATTAGTGGCCTCTTGCAGGGCAAACAGCCATTTCTTTAATATTATTTTATTGAGATTTAATCCAACAGTCCGGATCATTATAATTAGAAATTTATTATTAATTTAGTTAAGATGGTAAATAGGTCTCTTCTATTAAATATTTCATTAACCTAATCATATCTGATAAAGTAGAAAAATTGACCAATGGTCAAACTTTAATGTACGAAATTCGTACGATTATTTTCGAACATTAATGAAATTTAGTTAATTATGCCTGATTATGCGCCAGGTATTTTATAAAATTTCATTTTGTTCTAACTTACCGAAGATCTTTCAATATTCCTCCAAACGAGTAGTGTTTTTTTTTTTAAAAACCTAAAGTTGACGCCGCTTATTATCTGTTGAAAAAATAATGCATAATAATTATTAGGATAATTGTAATATTTTAAACAATAGTTATATCATTACATGTAATTAGAAATATTGTAGTTTTTATATTAAATTTCATAAATGTATCATATATAGGTATTGGGAGGAACAAGTGTAATGAATGGAATGATGTACATGAGAGGTTCAAGAAAAGACTTTGATGACTGGGATCGAATGGGAAATTCCGGTTGGTCCTATCAAGATGTTCTTCCGTTCTTTATAAAAAGCGAGGATAATTTACAAGTCAACGATATGGATTATGGCTTTCATGGAGTAGGTGGACCACTCACTATCACTCAATTCCCATATCATCCACCACTGAGTTTTGCACTCCTTCAAGCCGGAAGGGAATTGGGTAAGTCTGGACAATATTTTAAATCTTATCAGCTCTAGTAATTGATTCATTGTATTTAATTTAAAAATAAAAAAAATTTTTAATAGGTTACGAGACAGTGGATCTTAATGGCAATTCCCATACCGGATTCGCAATTGCTCAAACAACATCAAGAAATGGTTCACGTCTATCTACAGCCCGAGCTTTTCTTCGACCGGCTCGAAATCGTCATAATCTACATATTATGTTAAATTCCACCGCAACGCGAATTATTTTCGATGAGAACAAACGAGCAGTGGGTGTTGAATTTGTGCACAATGGACAATTACAAAGGGTTGATGTAGGCAACGAAGTTATCATTAGTGGAGGTTGATATAATTTTTAAATTTCAATTTACCAAAAATTATTCCCGTATTCTCTTAGAATCAGTTTTCAATTCTTTACCAATAAAATTCATATATTTCAGGTGCTGTAAATTCACCGCAAATACTTTTAAACAGTGGAATAGGTCCGCGAGAGGAATTACAAGCTGTTGGAATACCTGTGGTTCAAGATGTTCCAGGAGTTGGGAGGAATCTTCATAATCACGCGGCATACACACTCACATATACGATAAATGACACGGATACAACGCCATTGAATTGGGCAACTGCCATGGAATATTTACTTTTCAGAGATGGTCTAATGTCAGGAACAGGTAAGTTCGGAATATTATCAAAAAAAATAATAAATATATGGTATGGAAAATAATTTTTAAAACTGATTAGCAATAAATGACGAGGTATATAAGTTAATAGTGGAATTAGTGTCAAATTGAGAAGAAAAAAACTGATAAATGAAGTATGGACAAATCGTTGAAGATTCATTACTAACTTTTATGTCCTTTTTGCCTTCGGATATATCGCACACGTGCTAAATACTTTGCAATCGCTTAAGGAAAATCTATTTCGTAATTTACAACTTAATGATAAACAAAACGGGAAAGTAGAATAATTGGACAGAAATATTTAAAAAATTTTAATATCAACAAGAGATGTCTATTTTTTCTAAAAAAAAAATTTTCAATTTAATTATGCAGTATATTTGCAATTTATTTTTTACCTTTTAAGGAGTCATTTTTTTGAATATTATTTTATTATCACTGAAAAAATGTCTAAGCGATTTATCTAGGTTCCTAGTCACGAGAGGAACCCACTAAAAATCACATTAACTAGGATTCCTAGTTATCCCAAAAATTTCCTTGCCATAATAACTAGGAATCCTAGTTAATGTAACTCTGATTTTTAGTGGGTTCCTCTCTTCCTCTTCGCGTAGAAATTTTTTTCAGTTTATAATTAGAAATTGCCTATTATTAATTTAGTTATTTATGCCTGATTATGCGCCAGGTATTTTATAAAATTTCTTTTTTTTCACTGCTGCTCCAATTAGTCACACGAAGACAGTAGTGGATGCTATAGAAGTCGATGATGTACCAAGAATTACTAAATAGAATAATGTTTTTGAGACAATTTAATAAAATTTTTTAATTTTAACTAATCAATGAGATGTAATTAAATTCAATTGTCACAATAATTACCAATTAATTTCTACATTAATGAATTTAAAAATAACATCGATAAATATATATTCTAAAGAGAAAGGATCTTAAATATTTATAAATATATCTAAAACTTGCGTCGCAACTAATTAGAAAAACATGATTTCCTATACGTAATAAAAGTGACTCAACTTCTTTTAAATCAACTCGGACAATCCGTTTTTCTTTTGCATCAATGACGAGAAGTGTGTGACATAAGAGTTGTAATAATGAGCTCTCGATTTTACACCGCTTTACAGTCTATACGTAAAGATATATATATATAATATGATAGATGTTAAAAAAATATGCATACATTTTGCGTTTCGTTTATACTATATATAGAGAGAGAATCATCGTTTGCCCGACGAGCCGTTGCATCTCGATTAAATTCAGAAACTTCGTGCTCTCCAACTCTATATGTATATATATAGTGAAAGCCGATTGCACAATGATTCCGTCGTTCGTGTTACCGATCAATGATGGTGCAACTGTTTTCCGATTTGACCGGGTCAACCTCCATGTCAGGAACAAGAATTATAAACTACTACTCTAATTCCGGGACTCCCTTCGGGGGCCTCTCTCATGTCCCGCGATCCTATCTCTTCACTTATTGAAACGCAATAAAACGAGTTCAAAAACCCTTTCTAATCCAAGGCACATAGAACATATTGTTCTATATAATTTCTGTATTTGGTATTTGAAGATTTCTTTTTCTGTTGATATATTTTCTAGTCATTAAGATGTGACCTTGAACTGAATGTAAAAGTAAATGTATTTACTTATACCAAAACAAATTATTATTATTATTTGAAAATTTTAAAAAAAAGTTATGTTTCAGGAATATCGGAAGTGACTGCTATGATAAATACAAAATACTCAGATCCAAGGGAAGATAATCCGGATATACAATTGATTTTTGGTGGTTATTTAGCGGATTGTGCAGAAACGGGAATGGTTGGTGAGAAGAAAGGAGCAAATAGGACAATTTATGTAATTCCAACACTTCTTCATCCTAAAAGTAGAGGTTATTTGCGTTTGAGAAATAACGATCCCCTCTCAAAACCAATGATTTATCCAAAATATCTCACACATCCCGACGATGTCGCTGGACTTATTGAGGGAATTAAATTTAGCATTCAATTAGCAGAAACAAGAGCTCTTAAAAAGTGAGTACTTTCTTCTCCAATTAAAGTGATAATTACTAAAAATTTTCAGTTAATAGCATATTGTATTTTTTAGATACGGTTTCGAGTTGGACAGAACACCAGTGAAAAATTGCGAACACTTGAAATTTGGCTGCGACGCCTATTGGGAATGTGCAATGAAACATGATACAGCACCAGAGAATCATCAAGCAGGTTCTTGTAAAATGGGACCAAATTCCGATCCAATGGCAGTTGTTGACAATCAATTACGAGTCCGAGGGGTTCGAGGAGTACGAGTTGCTGACACTAGTATTATGCCACAAGTCACATCCGGAAATACGAACGCACCGGCAATTATGATTGGCGAAAGAGCTGCAGATTTCATTAAAAGAGCATGGATTGGATGAATAATATTTCACAATCTAAATTTAAAAAAAAAAAAAGTGACAAACGTCCATTTAAAAACTGATTTAAACATGAAAAGAAGAAAATAACGAAATTTTTCAAGATATACCTAGAATAGAAACTAAAGATTATTCAATGTTAAAATTCGAATATTCCTAGAAATGGGAGGATATATCTCCTTTTTTTTCATGTACACCGCAGAACGATAATCAGCATAAGAAATGGAAACGTAAAATCTTACATCACAAAAATAACTAGTGAAAATATGAACAAGCGAGTCGAAATAATTGACTTGCGCAATGTATGTACAAAAATAAGTTGTTTCAATCAAACCTAGAGTAAACGCATAGTTACACGTACGTAGGAATTATCATATCAATTACTTTTTCATCATTCACAATGAGAACCATGTTTCAGTGGTAGGGAGGAGAGAGATTAATTTTATAACCTGTACTTAGAGGTGAAAGTACCCGGCTGCCTAATAAGGTACTTCTACCAGAAATGTAGATTTCAGATTGATCATTTACCGGAAGTCGCATATTGGTTTTAAATCTTTGCCAATTTCTCATGTAAACAATAAAATCATCAGGCATTGAAAAATTTGTTTTAAATTTGAAAAAAGTAATATAAAATATAACAAAATTTTTGATAAATTTAAAAAAAAAATCCGTCAAATTGTATTTATTATAAAACAATTTTCAAAATGTTAGTTAATTATTAGTAACTAATAAATAAGTCAACAAAACTAGTAATTTATTTTATTTCACCCAAATTAAGTAATGAATTATAATTTATTTGAATCCTTATACATAATTTTTGTATATATTTATAGACTTAAAAATCATATAAATATAAATTTTACGTCATTAATATGAATAAATATTATTGTAATTGTGCAAAATTTTTTACGATTAATTTTCTGATGTTTGCAAAATTATTATTATAACTTCAAGTGTACATGTATAAAAGTATACTGTTGACACAAAAAAAACATTTCTTTAAAAAAAGAATTCATTCTTGTTAAAATTTTACGATCTCACAATGTAAGAAAATATTTTTACAGTATAAATATATATATATATATATTTAATGATTCCATTATGTATATAAATTATGTAATTTAATGATTAGATCTGAATTAAAATCGTTCAGTGAAATTTTTATTGAAGTGGGTCTTGCGCATAAAAAGTAATATAATAATTATTATCTTTTTTTTCATAAAAAATTTTTTTTTAATTTGTAAAATAACAATTATTCTATATTTTTAGAAAACAGCATCCACGTATGTTTCATTTTTACTTTAAATATATGATTATTTCTAATAATTTTATGCAGGCTGATAATATTGAAAATAAATTATGCAAAAAAATGAGTGGTTTCTCTCTGTTTTTTGAGGGCAAAGATAATGATAATTACATGTTTTTAAATATTTTGACTCGAAACAAAGTAAATGCGCGCATACATTAGTATTAACAAACGAGCAAACGGTTAAAAAAAACTTTTTTTTTATTTCCTACATTTTTCCAAGTAAGGTATACAATATTTATATATATATATTAATTTTTGACTTGCGTTAATTCTACTTTATGCAAATATTACACCCAGAGAAATGTTTTATTTGAATCAAATATGATAATATTTAAGTTAAATAAATGTATATTTGTCTCACAGTCTACTAACCCATTTATTTGGCGTAAATAAAATTTTTTTATTTAAATCAAATAAAAATTTATTCAAATCAAATAAAAATTTATTTGTATTAAATAAATATTTATTAGGCTGTGAGACAAATATATCATTTCTCTGGGTGCATAATCAAAAAATTTTCTAAAAATTAAAATAATATTCTTTAATTATTATTAGTGTAATTTTAGATGATTTGTAAATGTCCACATAGTGAAAATATTGAACCACAATTGGCATCAAATTGTGGGAGATCAACTCTACTGATTTTCATGAATATCCTTCAGCATATGCTTCAACAAAAATGTGATATTGCCGATCCTTGCGGTCGAATTCAATCTCAAAGTGACATTAATTCACGGTTTGATTTTATTCTTATTTTATTAAATAAAATTTTATTTTTATTTTAATTTTTCTAAATGAGAAAAATATAAAATCAACACGACTGTTTAAAAAAACGACGATTTCCCTAATAAAAATTTATTGAAATTAGCTATTTCAGTCCCTAGGGAATGAAAAATTGTATTTTACTCCCTAGAGTTTAACAATGTTATTTTGCATTCTAGTGTAAAAAAAAAAGATAATTTTTTTCTCAAGGATTGAAAATTTCCTAGATTAAAAAGAAACTATTTTACGCACTAGGATTGAAGAAGATCATTTTGCGCCTTAGGGTGAAAAAAGGTCACTTTTCTCCCTAGGACGGAAAAAGCTTTCCGTGGGTTAAAAAGAAAGCAACTTTAGGATTGAAAAAGTCATTTTTACTCCCTAGTGTTAGATATTATTTCAATTATTTTTTATTAACTTTTAATTATTATAAGTCTCTAAAATATTTATTACCTATTATTTATGTTATTTAACTGTACGTAACACTATGGTTAAAAAAAAGGTCATTTTGCGCCCTAGGATTAAAAAAGATCTCTTATGTTCCTAAAATAGAAAAAGCTTTTCAATGCCAAAAAGAAGCCACTTTGTGCACTAGGATTGAAAAAGTCAATTTTACTCCCTAGGGTTAAAAAGGATCATTTTGCGTCCTAGAGCCAAAAGAGGCCACTTTTCTCCCTAGGACTAAAATATCACATTTTACTCCCTAGGTTCAAAACACATCATTTTACGTCATATGTTTATAAAAAATTATTTCTACTTACAATTTTATTTTTAATTTTCAGTTACGATTTCATTGTGATTGGAGGAGGCAGTGCTGGATCACCAATAGCGGCAAGATTATCGGAGGAAAAAAATTTTTCGGTATTATTAATTGAAGCAGGTTTAGATGAACATACTGTAACGCAAGTGCCGTCATTTTTTCGAAATTATATTGGAAGTGCTATCGATTGGAATTTCACCACCGAAAGTGAGAATCAAGCTTGTCTCAATGCAAAGGACAGACGTTGTTTGTGGCCAAGAGGAAAGGTCAGCGCATATACTGTTAAATATTATTTTTAAAAATACTTTTTGCGTAATTCAAAATACACTGAAAAAAAGGGTTTGGTATTGACAACCAAACGTTTCGTTGGTATTTAAGCAACCAAATTTTTTTTATTGAATCAACAAAATTTTTGTTGTCCCAATCAAACTTTAGTTAGGACAACAAAAATCCTTTTTTTCTAATTTTGGTTGTGTCAAACAAATTTTGATTGAGGCAATTAAAATTTTGTTGATTCAACAAAAGAAATTTTTGTTGCTTAAATACCAACCAAACGTTTGGTTGTCAATAATAAAACCTTTTTTCAGTGTAGTCTTCGATATTTAAAAATTATTTTTTTTTAGGTTCTCGGAGGATCAAGTGTTCTAACTGGAATGATGTACATGAGAGGTTCAAAAAAAGATTATGATGATTGGGAAAAAATGGGCAACAAAGGTTGGTCATTTGATAATGTCCTACCGTATTTTATAAAAAGTGAGGATAATTTACAAATAAATGAAATGTCTAATGAATATCATGGCACTGGAGGTCCATTACCAGTTGGTAAATTTCCATATTATCCGCCAATTTCTGATGATATTTTAAAAGCCGGCAAAGAATTAGGTGAAAAAAAATATGTAATATAATTAAGAATATTAGTATTTTAAAATTATTAATTAATTTAAAAAACTATGAAATTAATAAAAAAAATAAAATTTTAATTAAAATATTATTTTAGAATACAATACCGTTGATTTGAATGGAAAACATCAAAGGGGTTTTGCAAAATCTCAATGTAATACAAAAAATGGTATTCGTTTTTCAAGTGCTCGCGCTTTTTTGCGTCCTGCCAAAAATCGAAATAATCTACATGTTCTTTTAAATTCTACGGTAACAAGAATTATTTTCGATATAAATAAAAAAGCAGTTGCAATTTTATTCCTTCAAAATGGACAATTAAAAAGAGTTTCTGTTACAAAAGAAGTTATTCTTAGTGCAGGTTAAAATTTAATTTTTAAATAATACATAAATAATTTAATAATTTTATTATTTTTAATTTTTTAACGTTTAAATTATAGAATATTTAATTATACTAGATTGGCTAAAAGATATTTAATTTAGAAAAAAAAAAATACCATTTTAATTCCTAGTGTAAAAAAATTGGAGTTTACTCACTTGAGCTAAAAACGACTAATTTACTCACTACACGCAGAGAAATGATTTATTTGAACCAAATAAAATATATTTGAGTTAAATAAACGTATATTTGTCTCAGAGCCTATACTAACTTATTTATTTGGCGTAAATAAAAGTTTTATTTGTCAGAAATAAATTTTTCTTTGCCTCAAATAAATTTTTTATTTCAATGAAATAAAATATATTTACAACAAATAAATGAGTTAGTATGCTCGGAGACAAATATACCATTTCTCTGAGTGTAGGATAAAAAATATTCAAAAAAAAAATTTCGACTATATTTTCTAGTGTTGAAAATTTCAAGTTTCGTTCCTAAAGCTAGAAACGACAACTTTTCTTACTAGGATGAAAGAGATCATTTTACTTCCTAGTGTAAAAAAATTCAAATTTTTACCCTAGTGCAAAAAACTAAAAAAGATTTGTCTCAAAGCCTAATAACTTTGTACTTGTTTCTAATAAAAAAAATTTAATTTATCACAAATAAAATTTTTATTTGAATCAAATAAATATTTATTAGGCTCTGAGAGAAATATTTTTTTTTCTATGAAAATAAAAATTATTTTACGATATATAAATAATATATAATTGTTATTATTTTAATAAAGGCGCTATCAATTCACCAGTTATACTTCTACGCAGTGGCGTTGGTCCAAAAAAGGATTTAGATTATCTGGGAATCTCCGTTATAAAAAATCTTCCAGGTGTTGGAAAAAATCTTCATAATCATGTCTCTTACGAAGTGGCCTTCTACTTAAATGAAAAAGACACGAATCTACTTAATCGAAATTCGATAAATCAATATTTGAAATTTAGAAAAGGACCAATGTCTGGAACAGGTTGTCCATAATAAAAAAAAAAAAAAAATAATAAACTTTATTTTCAGCAAATAAATATTTTTTTCAGAGTTAAATAAATATTTATTTACATTAAGTAAAATATTTATTTGTATTAAATAAATATTTATTTTTAACAAATAAAAATTTATTTGCTAAAAAAAAATATTTATTTTGTGAAAATAAATATTTATTTAATACAAATAAATATTTATTTGCTGAAAAAAATTTTTATTTAATGCAAATAAATATTTCTTTGCTGAAAATAAATATTTATTTAATACAAATAAATATTTACTTGCTAAAAAAATTTTTTAATTAATGCAAATAAATATTTCTTAAATAAATACTTATTTAATACAAATAAATATTTATTTGCTAAAAAAAATTTTTATTTAATGCAAATAAATATTTCTTTGCTGAAAATAAATATTTATTTAATGCAAATAAATATTTTTTTGTTACAAATGAGTTTTATTTCATTTAAATAAATTTTATTTAATTTAAATAACAATTTATTTACGCCAAATAAATAGCCTAGTACTTTGAAAAAAAGATTTATTCGATTCAAATAATCAGTTATTTGACTATTATCAAATAAATATTTATTTGTATCAAATTATTATTTGAATAAATTAAATTTTATTTGTTTTAAGTACAAAAATTATTTTATTCTAATAAAGTTTATTTAATTCAAATAAAAATTATTTAATTCAAGTAAATATTTATTTGATAATATAGTCAAGTAACCTATTATTTGAATCAAATAATTTTTTTTTTCCTCAGTGTAGGCTCTGGGAAAAAAATATATATATACTTTATTTAACTCAAATATATTATACTTAATTCAAATAAAACATTTATTTGAATGTGTATAAAAAAAAAGTATTTGTTTTATAATTTTTTTTTTTTTTTGCTTGTGAAAAAAATAGCACAGAATTATATTGATAACCTAAAAATTGACATTTTTTATAAAAATAAAAAAATTATTTCTTTCAATCGATGCTAATTCTGTTCAGTAAAAAAAAAATTATTTTTTTCAAGGTGTTACAGGTATAACAGCTATGATAAATACAAAATATTCAAATAATTCGGATATTCAATTATTTTTTAATGGATTTTGGGCTGATTGTATAAAATTAAAACGACAGGGAAAACGACAATTATCAATTATTCCAACTGTTTTAAATGCAAAAAGTAGAGGTTATGTTCGTTTAAAAGACATGAATCCTCATTCGAAACCGATAATTGTTCCTAATTATTTTTCACATTCGGATGATATAAAAACACTTGTTGAAGGAATAAAATTTAGTATTCGACTGTCAAATACTCAAGCACTTAAAAAGTAAGTGTGTCTTTTTATTAATTCTATTGCAATAATTTTTATTATATAATATATAATCATCGTATGTTTTTAGAATAACAATTTTTATTTAATATAAACATTGACTTACCTTCTATTTCTTCTTCATCTTCTCATTGAATGACTGTAGTTTCTTTCGACAAATTGCGCCAAATGATAGAAAAGTCTAATGCTAAGGGCCTACGCACAGTAAATTCACTAACGAATAATGGTTTAAGGCCAAAGCAGAAGTGAAACGTAACTGGAATTGTAACCGCAAACGTAACCAGAATAATGAGTTAGAGAAGAACCAACAATATATTTATCCTTTTCTAACTAATTCTTCCGGTTGCGTTTGCAATTACGATTCCGTTTCTATTCTGCTCAGGCCTTTATCTACAAAGCTTGTAGCTTTTCAAGGTGCTTTCACAACAATTTTTTTTTTCATCGACATGAACAAAATACACTATAGAAACGATGCGCGCGCATTTTTTTAACAATGCTTTTTGTTCGTGTCGTCAACAAATTAAAGGCCTGAGCAGAATAGAAACGTAACCGGAATAATGAGTTCGAGAAGGACAAACAATATGTCTATCCTTTTCTAACTAATTCTTTCGGTTACGTTTCTAGTCTGCCCAGGCCTTTAATGCCAACAAATGAAAATAAAAATTGTTGTAGATGCAATATTTTAACGGACGCATCTCTTTGTTAAGGTCAACGCACAATAAATTCAAGAAACTCGATATGAACTGTTGGTTTATATTGTCCTCACTCGCCAATTGTGTCATAATTCTCGTCACCTACCCTACCTTGCTCTAGTGAAAATTTAGTAAATTTATTGTTAAAATTAAAAGTTACTAAATTTTCACAAGAACAGGATGCGGTAGTTGACGAAAATTATGACAAATGGCAAGTGTGGGGACAATGGCAACCTTCCTTTTTATGCCTTAAGCTCCCGTCACATGTCGGCTAGCGTAAACAATGTGAGTGAAAGAGACAAAATGATATCATTATCTTTTTTACTCTCATGGTTTACGCTACGCCAACATGTGACCGTAGCTTTATAATAAAAAAAATATAATTATTATTTATATTAATATAATATATTTAGAAAATAAATAAAAAATTAAAATAATTTTAGATACGGTCTAAAAATAAATACTATACCAGTAAAAAATTGCGAAGAATTTCAATTTGGTACAGATGATTATTTTGAGTGTGCCATACGACATGAAACCAATCCAGAAAATCATCAATCTGGATCTTGTAAAATGGGCCCTAATTCGGATCCAATGGCAGTGGTTGATAATAAACTTAAAGTTCGAGGCATTATTGGTGTTAGAGTTGCTGATGCAAGTATAATGCCACAGGTTATTTCCGGTAATACTAATGCACCCACTATAATGATTGGTGAGAGGGTAGCGGACTTTATAAAAGAAGAATGGTAGCTAATAATATAATGCATTATATGTCCGTGTGATTTCACCTTCATGGTAAAGAATGCAATTGTACCCACTTGTGATTTTGAGTTGCAGACATTTATCTCAAAATGAAAACCACGAAAGTTTATTAAGTCGAATTCACAAGTGTCGAATTGACAAATGTTCTAACCTCTATTTCCATGAATTGTATATTAAACGAAATGTTATTGTTTCGAATACTAATATGATCAACTTTCATGCGCAAAAAATTATATTTTGATCTAATTTATATTTTGTATAATTTTAAATTTCTCTAATTTTTATTTATCCTAATCTTTATTTAACCTAATTTTCATAAAGTCGAAATATGAAATGTTATAATGTTGATTTAAACTAAATATAATTTATAATAAAGGTAATTTGACATAATTATTATTTATGGTAATGATTTAATGTACGAATTAAAATGAAATCAATTTTTCAAATGTTTAAATTATATTCAAAGCGAAATATTATTTTTTGGAATTATATTTTCACATAATTTCTATTTACACTAATGGATTAATGACAAAATTAAAAAATGTTAAATTTGTAATAGACTATACTCTTAAAGTTGACGAATTTCTATTTCATAAAAATTATTATTTGCCTAATTGTCATTTAATATAATGTGTTTCTTTACGAAATACAAAGTTCTTTAATTTTTATTCATCCGATTTATAAGATAACCTAAATGTTATTTTTCATATTTCTTATTCGTTATAAATAAGATGTGTTCTAATTATTATTTATCATAATTTCTTTATTTTCGAATTTAATTCTAACCTAAATATTAAAATCATTAATTGTAAATTAATTAAATCAAATTTCGTCGAATATGCATTTCAACTAATCTTCATAGCATCAAATTATTATTTAAAATAAATTTTACTTAATCGAATTTCAATAACTTATAATGTACATTACATTTAATTTTTATTTAATTGAATTATCGCGCCACATAATTGTCACGTGTCCGAATCGTTTGTCGTCGAATTATAAAAACCCGAAAATTTGTAGCTGAATGAGTTTCCTATCTATGACATTTACTTTTTCTATTAGTATAGCCGATAATGTAGATTTAGATGACGCTTTTGTCATTTTCTAATCTCTAGTTTTATTGAGCGTCAGTTTTAAATATTTCATACTTTATATGTATATTAATTTAATTACTATATGACGCTTTATAAATATTATAAAATCATCGTTATTATAAATCTACATTATCGGCTATACTAATAGAAAAAGTAAATGTCATAGATAGGAAACTCATTCAGCTACAAATTTTCGGGTTTTTATAATTCGACGACAAACGATTCGGACACGTGACAATTATGTGGCGCGATAATTCAATTAAATAAAAATTAAATGTAATGTACATTATAAGTTATTGAAATTCGATTAAGTAAAATTTATTTTAAATAATAATTTGATGCTATGAAGATTAGTTGAAATGCATATTCGACGAAATTTGATTTAATTAATTTACAATTAATGATTTTAATATTTAGGTTAGAATTAAATTCGAAAATAAAGAAATTATGATAAATAATAATTAGAACACATCTTATTTATAACGAATAAGAAATATGAAAAATAACATTTAGGTTATCTTATAAATCGGATGAATAAAAATTAAAGAACTTTGTATTTCGTAAAGAAACACATTATATTAAATGACAATTAGGCAAATAATAATTTTTATGAAATAGAAATTCGTCAACTTTAAGAGTATAGTCTATTACAAATTTAACATTTTTTAATTTTGTCATTAATCCATTAGTGTAAATAGAAATTATGTGAAAATATAATTCCAAAAAATAATATTTCGCTTTGAATATAATTTAAACATTTGAAAAATTGATTTCATTTTAATTCGTACATTAAATCATTACCATAAATAATAATTATGTCAAATTACCTTTATTATAAATTATATTTAGGTTAAATCAACATTATAACATTTCATATTTCGACTTTATGAAAATTAGGTTAAATAAAGATTAGGATAAATAAAAATTAGAGAAATTTAAAATTATACAAAATATAAATTAGATCAAAATATAATTTTTTGCGCATGAAAGTTGATCATATTAGTATTCGAAACAATAACATTTCGTTTAATATACAATTCATGGAAATAGAGGTTAGAACATTTGTCAATTCGACACTTGTGAATTCGACTTAATAAACTTTCGTGGTTTTCATTTTGAGATAAATGTCTGCAACTCTGTGATTTTTCGTAATTCTCGTCAACTACCGCACCCTGCTATAGTAAAAATTTACTAGTTTTAAAATTAAGAGTTACTATAAAATCACTAAATTTTCACTAGAGCAGGGTGCGGTAGATGACGAGAATTATGACAAAATTTTCATTTAGGCGAATTGTAAAATAATCGAAAGTTAAATATTTCGAATGTTCCGCCAATGTTTCACGAAACCATTTTTCAACGCACAATTTAGTTACTGATAATAAAAACTTGGAATATATAATTAAATCCGTGAAAAAAAAAATTACATAACCTATAATAGCCTTTCGCAGCAAGACAATAGATAAAAATTAATATATTTATATTCTAATGATTTATTTATTTTATTTACAATTGTCTTAGATAACTTTACACTACACTACACGATCGTTACACATTTTTTAATCTATTGTAGACACAGCCTAAAGAAGTTTAGGCGGCCACTTTGAAAAAGTAAATTACTGTATAAAACTTATGGAGCATTTACACCTTTGGTAAAAAAAAATTTTTTATTTTGCATTTTCCGAAATACACAACTCTGATTGATTGTTCACAATCTGATTGATTATTGGGATCCGAAATCTTGTGTAACTACTCAACCCTGAACCCACTTGCGGTAATCATCTTGCTGTTTTGTCTCTTTCTTTATACATATGTTAGACAGAGACAAAATAAAAAATGTCTACCGCAAGTGGGTCGACACTAGATGGCGTATCGCAGCTCTGCGGTTCCCAATGGACAACCAATCAGATGTTTGCATTTCGGAAAATCAAAGTAGAATAGAATAGAAACGTAATCGGTATCGTAATTGTAAACGCAACCGTAAGAATGAGTCAGAGAAGGATAGACATATTGTTGGTCCTTTTCTAACTCATTATTCCGTTTGCGTTTTCAATTACGTTTCTATTCTGCACAGGCCTAAACGTAACCGGACCGTAACTGCAAGAATGAGTTAGAGAAAAATATATATATTGTTTGTCCTTCTCCAACTCATTCTTCCGATACGTTTCTATTCTACGCCTGGCGTTAGTGGTCTTAAAGAGGAATCTCTATAATGTGACATTGGACAAATTTATAAAATGACAAATCTACTACATTGTATACACGGCCTAAGTCAGCGTGGAGGACAGAGTTAATATGTATATATGTATAGGTATACTGTACACATTTTGCAATATTTTTTCTTTTTAGTATATATATTAATAGTATAAATAGTTTATTTTAATTTTTTTTTATAAATAATTATTAAAATGCCGAAGAAAAAAACTGGTCAAAGAAAAAAGGCGGAGAAACAACGTTTAAGACAAAAAGAAATACGAACAGGAAAAAGTCAACTCGATTTAGCAAAATTGCCTTCCAATGCTGTTATGGTATATAATAATATTGAATTATCTATTTATAAATTTCACCAAATATCTGCTGTTAAATTTTTTTTTCTAATTAAATAAAAAATAATAATAATTCGAAATAAATAACCTCACATTTTTGACATTAAAGCTTTCAAAAATGTCATTTTTTTTTTATTATATTTCTAACTAATCGTAACTAATTTAGAAAAAAAATTTCAATGAGTTACTATTTTATATTAATATTTTATTATAGTAATGGTAAAAAAAAAAAAAAAAAAAAAAAAAAAATTTCAGGAATGCGACAAATGCAACAGAAAGCAAAAAAGTCGTGCATTTTGTTATTTTTGTCAAAGCGTACAACGATTACCAATTTGTGCTCAATGTGGAAAAATAAAATGTATGCTAAAAACTGGTGATTGTGTCGTTAAACATTCTAATGTATTTACAACTGGATTAGGAATGGTTGTAAGTAATTTATGTGAATTAATATTTTTATAGGTTAGAAAGTCGGATTTTTTTTTTAAAATAATTATTACTCTTTTGTTATTATTATTATTAATAAATAATAATTGATTTAAAAAAAAGGGTGCAATTTGTGATCATTGTGAAGCTTGGGTTTGTCATGGAAGACGTTGTCTCACATCTCACGCTTGTACATGTCCATTAATGGATGCAATTTGTCACGAATGCGAAAGAGGCGTATGGGATCATGGTGGAAGAATTTTTCGTTGTAGTTTCTGTGATTGTTTTCTTTGTGAGGACGATCAATTTGAACATCAAGCATCGTGTCAAGTGCTTGAGGCTGAAAATTTTAAATGTCAATCTTGCAATCGTTTAGGACAATATTCATGTTTAAGATGTAAAACATGTTATTGTGAAGATCATGTGAGACGAAAAGGATTTAAATATGAAAAAAATAAAAGTATTCCATGTCCAAAATGTGGCTACAATACATCACAAACAAAGGATCTTAGCATGTCAAGTAAACAATTAATTTATTATTATTTTCATAAATTTAAAAAATAAAATTCTAATTCTTCTTTAATTTTTCAGCGAGAACTCATAAATTTGGAAGACAAAATATTGGAGGCGGAGCATATGAATCCGATGATGAGAACAATGGTTATAATTATGGTAATTTTTTTTTTTTTTTTTAATTATTTTTCACGGTTGCCACGGAACACTGATTTCAAAATTCCATGACTTTTTCAGACCATTTTTTTAAAAAAAAAAAATTCCATAACCCAAATATAAATTTTTAATAATTTTTTAGCTAATTATGCCAAAAAATACAAAATCCTTTAATTAAATTATTAATAAAATAATTTATTAGGATCAGTTGGGGTAAATAGAAATAGTAATTATTTCAGTTAAATGACAAATTTTTTTAAAATAATTACAGCATTAAACCATGAACCTTAAATAATCCCCAAACAGATTCTAAGTATTATCCCATTTTCCGTTTGCCAATTAGCAGCAATATAAACAAAGATATTTTCTATTAGTATAAAAAAAAAAAAAAAAAATTGAAAATCAAAGAAGACACCCTTTCACTTTTTTGACTTGCATTTGAAAAAAAAAAAATTCATATTATTAATTATAATTATCTTTTATTAATACTACAATAAAAATCAACTTTGATTTTTTTCATTTTGCAAAATTTAATTACAAAATAGAAGACTTTCTATTTACCCCTAAAAACTGTAAATTTGGGGTAAATAGAAACAAAAATTTCAATAATATTTGAGAAAGAGAAAAATTGTTTCTATCAACTACAACACTATTTTCAGCATTATAAAAAGTATTCATCTAATATTCTCATCAGTACATAATATTTAACATGATTTATTTTTAAACTTATGTAATGCATTATTATTTAGAATTATTTTATAACTAACATCATTTTTACGTAATTCTCTTTGTATTTTTTTTTTTTTAACATTTGCATACTTGAAATTAATTTTTTTTTTTTAAATTTTCTAATAATGACTATTTTATATTTACACCTAAATTTTAGCAAAGTTGCAAAAAATTTAGGGATAAATAGAAACAGTTGATTATTGCGAATTAATGATACCCATATTTTCTACTGCCCCATAAAATTGTTCCACGGAAATTAAATAATAACTCAAAAAAAAAAAAAGAAAAACCCTGAAAGTATTGCGATTTAAAAGAAAAAAAAACTTATATTATTGATGAAACTTAGCAAATCTGTTTCTATTTACCCCAATTGACCCTAATAATTTCATATTCATACTCGAATCAAAATATTTATTTTACGTAATCTTATAAAGACAGCTACATCGTGTTACGGAAAAGAAAATATTTGGCTAATAGAAACTAATTGTAAGATTTAGAAAAAATCGAAAAGTTGTAATGACTTGAGATTTTTCGATTTACATACTGGAAATTAAATTTTTAGAACGAGATTTTATAAAATTCCCTGACAATTACAGTTTTTCAAAGGTTTTCCATGACTGAAAAAAAATTCCATGACAATTCCAGATTTTCCAGGTCCGTGGCAAACCTGTTTTTCCCATAATTTTTTTTGAAACAAAAAAGTAATTTTTTTTTTAATTAAAATTTATAGGATCTTCAAGTTATAGTTATGGTACAAATGACGATTTAGATTATGATGATGATGATGATGATGATGATGAAGATGATAGCGAAGATGATGAAAGTGATGATGATGATAATGATGAAGAAGAAGAAGAAGAAAATAATGAAAGTGAAGATAATTCCAAAGAAGATGATAATGAAAGTAAAGTAAAAAAAGAGGAAATATTGTCAGAGAAAAATTCAGAAATTAAAAAGGGCGAATTGATAAAATAATTTTTAAAGTAATAAATATCTTTAATTATTGAGAAATTGGATATAATAAAATTTTACATTTTTCCTGTCACAGTTTTTAAAAAAAAATTTTCTTTTTTGTATGAATTGTCTTTTAAAAAAAGGATTATAAATATATTAATTTTTAACACAAGGAAAATTTGTTTTAAATTGCTATTTTTTTTTTTAAATTCCCTTTTCAAAAAAAAAAATTTATAAAAACGATCTAATTTTTCTTTCGAAACAATCTGTATAAGGTTCTGTTAATAAAAAACGATAATTACTGCAAATATCTCTATTTGAAAATATTTTTTATTCATTGTAAAAAATATGTATATATATGAATTGTATACAGTAAAATTAAAATTTATTTTCATTAATTAATTTGTAGATGATAAAGAAATATTTGCTCCTCTGTGTATATGGAATTTAATTTTCTACATGAATTAAACAAAAATTAGTAAATATTTTTACTTACCATTTTTAATTAATAATAATTTTTTTTTTTTTTTTAGAAAGAGAAAACAAGTATTCAACGAGAAATTGGAAAACCAGCAAACCTTGCGAAAAAAATTTTTGAGTTCGGAATTTGATAATGCTCTAAAGGCATCTAAGGAGCAAAAAATTGTTTTATAATTTTATCTGAATTAAAAGAAATTAAATATTAAATTAAAAATTAGTTTTCTATTGAAATAATTGTTTTTTTTTTGCCCCTTAGATTACTTTCTTTAGAGGGGGGTATTTTTATTTTTAAATTGAATATCGAAACAAAATTTTAATAGAAAAGAAAAAAATTTACAAAATCCAAACCCAATATTGTGAATTATAAATGCGAAATCTAAACAAAATTCAAATTATAGCTGAGCATGCAGGATATTGGTGAAAAGATATTTTATGTCAGTTAAAAACCGAAACACAAATACCTTCTTTTTTTTTTTTTTTCTTTTCATTTTCCTCTCCTCCTATGATCCTCTCTATCCATGAAAACATCTGATAATGACGAAACGAAAATTTTTAAATCCATCCCACTATTCGAATTCGTTCCTTGCAATGCGTCCTGTCTTCTTACAATGAATCCAAATCCACTAACATTTATTTTTATTTATATATGTATATTTACATATTTATTTTACTATATATATATGCAAATATAAAAATATAAATACTTTTTTTTCAAAATCAATATATCCAACAGATCTTTGCATATTAAAATTTTTTTCTAATCATTATTTAATATGAAAAAGTCCAAGTCCTGTTGTAATCCCGATTTTCTCTCTAGTTTTTTTTTTATCCACGAATCCTCTTGCATGCATTAGAAAAGATCCCGCGACGCATTTAAAATTTTTTTTTTTTTTATATATTTTGCTTTCCGCGAGGACGAATGCAACGAACGAAATTATGCAAATAATCCTAAAATCCTGTTTTTGAGAAAACGATTATCCAATAGATATATAGATTTGGATCCAGTTTTAGATCCAGAAAAGTGAAAAGTGAATCCTCTAATCCTGACAAAAAATTTTTTTTTTTTTCGAAATCCGTAATTATTATTAATTATCCAAATCCGTTAATCCGTTTTCAAAATTTGTTTAAATCCATCCCGATATCCTTATTTCGATATAGAAATTCAATCCTCATCCTTATCCTCCTCTTCTAAATATTATTTAATTTTCTCCCAAAATATTATCCTCCGCGCAACATCCATCCAAAAGTGTTTATTTTTATTATTATTTTTTTTTTTTTTATCCATCCAAGAAGTAAGATTGTGTAGGTTTTGAGTTTTTCATTCATTGTGTTACAATCCAATCCAATATACAAAAGAAGAAAAAATACATTAGTTTGTTTACTATGATCACACGCTAATTAACATTCATTTCTATCGAGTAAAAAGCTACAAAAATTTCTTGATTCTTTTTTTTTTTTTTAATGTATCAAAGTTTCTGCATTTTTGGCTATTACAATTTTAAATGTTAAAAATTAAGTTTTTAATTTTCTATTTATTTTATCAATTTTTAAATTATTTTTTCAAACTTTATTTTATTCAACTATATTTAAAAAAAAAAAGTGAAAGAAAATATTAAGACCAAATTTGCAGATACGATTTTTTAAAATTTACAACACAATACAAGAATCACTTTCCCCTTAATTATCATACACAAAGAAGTTAGTACATAATTACTAAATTTTCATTTTAAAAACTTCTATCAAAAAACATTATTTTTCAATTATAGAAAACTTAAGTATGAAAACAGTAAATTCATGGTATATTTTTTTTTTTTCCAAAAATTGTGCATCAAATTATGCAGATGACACAAAAAAAATAAATTAATTTCAATATTGAGCGGAGTTAGTTACATTTCTCGCTCGAAAAAATGAAAAATTCAATTTACATTTACACACTTGAAAACAAAAAAATTATTTTCAACCTGATAATTCATTTTTTTTTTTTTTTTTTTTTTTTTGTCAAAAGAAAATACTTTTCTATCTCGAAAGATATTTTATGTCAAAATAAATTTAAAAAAAAAAAAAAAAAAAAAAAATGAGGAAATTTTCTGAAATAATTTTTAAACTTCTTTTTTTAAAATTATAATTTATAAATTAATTATCATCCTTTTACTGAGAATATCGAGAAAAATTGTAATTCAAATTGCAAAAAATGAAAAAAAAAAAAATACATTGTTAGAAATTAGTTGAGGAATTGAAATTAGAAAAATTGATGTTTCATTTTTCAACATCTTTAAATAAATTTTTAAAATAATTTATAACATAAATTTCCTCATTAAAATTCGATATTCAAAATTCACAAAGGAATGTATCGTTTGTTTTTCTTAACAAATGCGACAAAGTCAATTTATAAAGAAAAATCTAGATTATGATAATTTGAATCAAAATTGCCATTTTTTTTTTCTTTTTTTTTTACTTAAGTTCAAAATGTGAATATATATATATATATATATATCTATTTTCGCCTGATGATTCGACGTAATATTTTACAAAATATAAATCCCTTTTTTGTATTGCTGTTTTGATTTATCATTTTTTTTTTTTTGTTACTGCATTCAATTTTCTCCTCAAATCAGCAATAGTAATAATATTAATAATAATAATAATAATAATAATAATTAAGCGTGAAAAATGCACAAGTCTGAATCAGTATTGGTTGTATTATCAGGTGGGGAATATATACGTACACACTAGTCGTAAGAACGTGATCTGGAACGTGAACGAGAGCGTGTATGACGTCGTAATGGTGAATAAGTTGGTGAACCACGACGTCTTGGACTATAACTTCGTGAACGTGTCCTTCCTCGCTCTCGATCTTCGCTACGTCCTCGATCACCACCTGTGTGATCCTCTTTTACTCGAATATAAGCCACTTCTCCCTAAAGAGAGAAAAAAAAAAGTAATTGAAAAATTCAATTTTTTATTTCAATTTCAATAAATATTTGGAAATTTTAGAAAAAAATTTTAATTAAGAGAAAAATTAAATTTAATTAGGAGGATAAATAGAAAAAAATAGAGAGGACGACTATAAAGCCTGCAGTCCTCGTATCGACTTTAAGTTATAAAAAAGTCGAATTTATATTCCCAAAAAAAAGTCGATTTTTTTTTATTTTAACCACATTTGATTGATTAATAAATATTTTACTTTAAATAGTTATTAGATATTAAATTCATTTTATTAATTTTGTATTAAGAATAATTTTTTAAAAATATTATCAAGAAAATTTATTTCGAATAGTATTTCAGAATCGAACTAATTGTAAGAAAAATTTTCAAAATTTTATTTAAGTAGGACAAATTTAAAAAAAAAATTTTTTCCAAAAAATTTAAAAATTTTTAAATTTTTTTTCAAATCTGATTTAAGCAATTTATTCGAATTAAAAAATTTTGTCATTAGTTTATTATTTTTGATGGTCAAAAAAAAAATATTTCAAGCAATATTTAATCAAGTTTTACAGATTGTTAAAGAAAAACTTTTTTTTATAAATGTAATAATTTTAGAAGAGTTAAAGTTGAAATTTTTTTTTTTAGAAATAATTGAATTTCCAAAGGATTTTTTGTTTATATTCAGAAAATAATTAAATTTTACAGAAATAAAAATAATCTATCAAATAATTTTAGATAACATTTTTTTTTAAATTAATTGAATTTTCAATGATTTACAAATGAGATTTTTGAAATTAATTCAACTTCAAGTGATTTTTAATCCAAATTTTTTTTTTTTTTTTTTGATAATTTCACTAAAAAATTTATTAGAAATTGCGGACAAAAATACAATAATTTTTAAAACAATTTTTAATTGAAAAATGGTTTCAGATAGTTCAATTTTTTCGAAAAATATGATAAAAATAGTTAAAAATAATTAGAGAGTTATTGAAATTATTAAATTTCAAAAAATTTTAAATGGAAAATTTCAGAAATAATAAAAATTTAGAAGCTTTTAATTTTGGATTGAAATATTTTTGAAAATAATTGAATTTCAATTGAAATTTTAGATAATAATTGAATTTTAGTTGATTTTGAATTGAAATTTTTGAAAATAATTGAATTTCAATTAAAATTTTGGATAATTTAATTTTACTTGATTTTGAATTGAAAATTTTCAAAATAATTGAATTTTAGTTGATTTTTGATTAAAATTTTTAAAAATAATTAAATTTCATTTGAAATCTTGGATAATAATTTAATTTTAGTTGATTTTAAATTGAAAATTTTGATAATAATTAATTTTAAATTGAAATTTTTGAGAATAATTAAATTTTAGTTGATTTTGAATTGAATATTTTGAAAATAATTGAATTTCAGTTAATTTTGAATTGAAATTTTTGGAAATAATTGAAATTTACTTGTTTTTGAATTGAAAATTTTGAAAATAATTGAATTTCAGTTAATTTTGAATTGAAATTTACTTGTTTTTGAATGAAATTTTTGAAAATAATTGAATTTTAGTTGATTTTCGATTGAAATTTTTAAAAATAATTAAATTTCATTTGAAATCTTGGATAATAATTTAATTTTAGTTGATTTTAAATTGAAAATTTTGATAATAATTAATTTTAAATTGAAATTTTTGAGAATAATTAAATTTTAGTTGATTTCGAATTGAAAATTTTAATAATAATTGAATTTCAGTTAATTTTGAATTGAAATTTTTGGAAATAATTGAAATTTACTTGTTTTTGAATTGAAAATTTGAAAAATAATTGAATTTTAAAAGATTTTGAATTGAAAATTTTGAAAATAATTGAATTTTAGTTAATTTTAAATTGAAATTTTTGGAAATAATTGAAATTTAAAAGATTTTAAATTGAAAATTTTGAAAATAATTGAATTTCAGTTAATTTTGAATTGAAATTTTTGGAAATAATTTAATTTTAATTAATTCAGAATTTAAAATTTTGAAAATAATTCAATTTTAGTTTATTTTGAATTCAAAATTTTGAAAATAATTGAATAATATATTCAAAAAATACAGACAAAAATTTTTGAATTTGCAAAATATTTACAGATAATTGAATTTTCAAAGAATATTATAAAAATCATTCAAAAATAATTGAAATTTTTGTAAATAATTAAATTTCAAGTGATATTGAGTTTAAAAATTTTTTTGTTAAATTTTATTTTCTATTTTTTAAATTATAAACAATTATTAAATTTCATAAAAATTTTGAATTGAAAAAATAATTGAAGATAATTTTGAATTTGTGAATTGAATTTCATTAAAAAATTATTAAAAAGAAAATTAATTTAGTGAAGAATTTTTGTTAAAAAGTTTGTTAAATAAATTGAGACTGTTTTTTTTTTTGAATTTTGTTTAAATGTAAATAATACAAACCTCATGAGATCGGAATCGAGAGTCATCGAGTTTTTTTACAGCGTACTTCATGTCTTCGTATCGTAAAAATTCAACGACACCAGTACCATCCTTATAGACATCGGCGAAACAAACATCGCCAGCTTCACGCATATGATCCTTTAAATCTTGCCAACTTCCCGATGGAGGAAGTCCAGTGACTAAAACACGATATTGAGAACGACGCGCTGGTGGTCCACGGCCACGTGAATTATTCATATCGCCACGACCACCACGGCCACTGTCACCACCTCCACGACCACCGCGGAAATTATTACTTGGACCACCGCCACGGGGAAATTCTACACGAAGACGATAACCGTCATAGTCATAACCATCTCTTGCATGAACCGCATCTTCTGCATCTCTAAAGAGAAAATTACATCGTTCGAAAAATAAACCACATTAAAAAAAAAAAAAAAAAAAAAGAAATTTTAAAAAGAATACAATTACTCTATTGTCTAAATTTAATATTTTATTTATATAAATTAAAAAAAAATTGTTTCCAATAATGTAAATTGGATAATTTAATTATTAAAACTCACCTTGAATCTTCAAATTCGACAAAAGCAAATGGTGGCCCTCTTCTATTCTTTAAGTCAACAAATGTCACTTTACCAAACTTATAAAAAAGATCCTGAATGTCCTTGGTTCTTATATCGGGAGGTAAATTTCCCACATAGATTCTACATTCGTTCCTTCCACCGTGAGACATTCTTAATTAGTAATTATTCACTTTTGTTCACAAGAATTATTAGTTTGAATTTCGAAAAAAAAGGGAGTTAAAATTTTATTCTTTGCACTTTATTCTTTACTTCCCTTATGGCGTGGTTTCTTGAAACAAGAAAATGGCGCAAAAATGGCGAAGATGTTGTAGAATTCTTTATGTGTGTTGGTGATAATTGCGTTCCTGTCAGGGTTGGGAAGGTAAAGAACAGTACGCGCGTGTCATCATCGCGTGGAGTTGGACAGGGTTGCGTACGTAATATACCTGACGTAAATTACATAATATTACGTATGTTATTTACGTTCTAAGTTTTATATAGTAATTTACTTTTTCAAAATGGCCGCCTAAACTTTTTAAGGTGACCGTACCCTTATTGAGATCAAGCAATCGGCTGGATTGAATTTTCACGGCGAATCACTGAATTTGATTGGCTCTAAAAATATTCAATTTTCACGATGAAAATGGAATATTAGTCAGAGCCAATCAAATTCAGTGATACAGCCGTGAAAATTCAATCCAACCGATTGCTTGATCAAAATACTGGAGGTATAAAAACACCTTTAAAAGCATACGGTATAAAAGATATAACCTATAATTGAAATGTCAATGAGCATCAATGCCGACACAATTTAAGGTGCTTATATACCTCAAATTTCGATCAGATGAACATTATTTCTGGACCGTGAAAATGCGTGAAAAGTCATTTTCACGGCGGGTATTTTTGAATTGTTTTAAACAAAAAATGTTTTTTTTAAGAAATATAATATTAAATAATTGTTTTAATATGTAAGAACACTTTAAAATAGTGATAAAAAGATGATTTGATTGAAAAATTTAGCAAATTTTGCTTTAAAACGTTTCTGCTACAAAAAAGTGTAAAATGACGATGTTTGTGAAATGGTTTGAAATGGTTTCTTAAAAAAACATTTTTTGTATAAAACAATTCAAAAATACCCGCCGTGAAAATGACTTTTCACGGTCCAGAAATAATGTTCATCTGATCGAAATTTGAGGTATATAAGCACCTTTATTGTCAATAAAGGCGCACTCACACCTTTTTGGCTGCCTGCCTGCCTGCAGGTTACCATGGCAACGCACGGGTGAGATTCTAATTTTCTATCACACTTACTCTCATGCGTTGCCATGGTAACCTGTAGGCAGCCAAAAAGGTGTGAGAGCTCCTTAAGTGATAAGGAATTTTTAAAAATACAAAAAAGCGGAAGACCGCGAAAGGCTTTTTGGAATGAATTGTCTTTTAATGATAAATAAAATAATAATTTTTATTTAGATTAAGTAACTTTTAAATAGTCTTGAATCGTTAGGTATACAAATATATCTTACTTTTATACATATTTTTTTTATATATCTTCCTATATTACAAAAAGAAATCGCCGCCGCCTTCGCCGCCGCTGTTTCAAGAATTGTTGACCTAGGAGGGGGGAGCCCCCCTCCTTAATTTTGAGGTTATGTTCGTTTCAAGGCTCTGAATATAGCCGCAAGTCCCCCCCTACCTCCTCTCATTTCCCCTCCTCCGCTAAAATGGACTAAATTTTAAAGTTATGTTCGTTTCAAGACTCTGAATATAGCTGCAAGTCCTCTTCCCTCCCCCGCCAGAAATGATCTAAATTTTGAGGTTATGTTCGTTTCAAGGCTCTGAATATAGCCGTAAGTCCCCTACCCTCCCGCGCCAGAAATGACCTAAATTTTGAGGTTATGTTCGTTTCAAGGCTCTGAATATAGCTTTTGTTCCTTTTTCAATTTTCATTTTATTTATTTCATTTTAAAAAATGATTTAATTTCTTCTTTTTTTTATTTCATATCTATTCAAAATGTAAAGAAAAAATTTATGAATGTGAAATAAGAGAGAGAGAGTGATTTACGCTATAATCTCTCTTGCGTTAATCATTTTCAAAAAATAATAATAATAATATATAATAATATATTATATTATGTAAGTGTTATATTAAAATGAATTACATATTTTAAAATTATCGCGCGCTAATTATTCCTACCAATTAGGTGGTTTTAACTGAATAGGTTATGTTCATTTCCCCAACGTAACAGCTGTTTTCTAATTTAATAGGATAATAAAAAACTTAAAGGAGATTCGAAATTTATTTCCACTTTGTGTAAAATAGTGTTGTAATGATTAATTTTTTGTATATATATGCAATTTAAGAGTATGTGGGAACCTCCCACGTGACCTAGTATGGTAAAATGTGTTTTGGTAGTATACATTTCACTCTAAAATGAAAAAAGATTTTTGTCTAAAATTTTGAGGGATAATAGATTTGGGTTCAAGGAATCTCGCTGATCTCCAAAAAATATATAATTTTGTGTTAAATTATTAAAAAATGAAGTTTAAAAAGTGGCATTTTTAAACGAAAATAAAAAACAAAGATGGCGTCGCATACACAGACGTTGCTTGAGTGTGTCAGTGCTCCAGTAAACAGCGCCAATTCGAGCGAGTGGCCGCTGAATGAACTACGATATAATACATTATTTTACTATTTATTGCTTTATTTTTATTATTTTTTGCGTTATGTTATAGTAAATGTGAAGAACAGCGAGATTCCTTGCACCAAACGAAATCATTTTTCCAAAATTTTAAACCGAAATCATTTTTTATTTCAGAGAAAATTTCAAACCATGAAAAAACGTCCTTTGCCCACATACCCTTAAATATTTTCAAAGCTTGTGGTGTTTTTCATAAATAAGATTTATAATATGTGTAATATAAAATTTAAATATTAGCGCTTATTTTTGACGAAATCAACTTCAGCTCCAGTACATTTCTAATCTAGAGATATGTTTCGCCCTTCTATTAAGATTTTACATTCCCCATTCTTTTAATTAAAAGTTCGATTTTTTCGAGAGTTTTCGATATATTCATTCGACCTTTTTATGTCATGTATTTTTTTATTTTTAATATTTAATATTATATATTATATATAAATATAAATATAATATATATAATATAATTATATAATATCTATTGTAGACGCAGCCTTAAGCATGCGAGCCGACATGTTTTTTTACATTACAGGTTTTTTTTACGTATATTACATTTTTTACGTATATTACGTAAAAAAAGACCTTGAGTTACGTGTCACTGTACAACACCTGTTCTATATTTAAATAGGGAAAATCTAGTGAAATTTCTATAATTATTTTGGTACTATTGCATGATAATGAAACCGGCTTTGACGTGTCGTTTACAGTGCGGTCTAAATATCTAAATTTGCGACGTGTCGCATGGGAAACGGGTGTAGAAATTTATATATGGCTATAAAGTGAATCTCTAAAAAATACAATTCTTAAAGGAAAGGGGGGAATAGAATTTTTTTTTTCTGTTTAAAAGTTGAGTAAAAAGGGTGGAAAAAAAAAATGATGCCAAATAAAAGTAGTGCATCAAATCAAAAAAAAATTATGTTTCCTGATAAAAAATCATCTTCATCGTCATCAACATCATCGTCAACAAAGCAAATGAAATCAAGTTCAATTACAAATGCCGCTGGTTTAAGTTCACTTATTACATTTACTGTTTTGCTACTCGCATGGATTTCAGGATTTGCCTCACGTCTTTTTGCTGTTATTCGTTTTGAAAGTATCATTCATGAATTTGATCCATGGTATGTTGTATCACTATATTATATATATATATATTTATTGTCTTATAATAATAATTTTTAAAAAAAAAGAAATAGAAAAAATTATATAATAAAATTGGAAAAAATTTAAATTAGAGTCAATCCATTATATTTCCACTGAAGTCGTTGCTGACTAATTTTTAAAAATTATAATACTTTGCAGGAATGATTTTGAAGTTATTAGGATCACGAAATGAAAAGAATTTTATTAAAATTTTTATTATTTATTGCAAAATATGAATTTAAAGTATATGAGGTGGTGAAAACTGACAAATTTTTAGTCATTAGAAAATATGCAAAAAAAAAACATAGAATTTACCATAAAAAAAAAATTGTTGGAATTAACTAAGAATGAATAAATTTATCATTATCAATTGATATAATTATTTAAATATGTGAAATAATATATAAAATATGATTTTCAAGTTCACCTGTCAAATAACCTAAATTTGCAAATTTCATCTATTAAATGTGAGAAAGAGAAGTCAATTAAATTGAAAAAAAAAACCTTACCAAATATAAAGTACCTGTGACTAATTTTTAGTTTTTCTTAGCACTTTCTTCCTTTTTTTTTTTCTTCATAAATGTGAAATAAAAAGCAATAAAAATTGTCACTTTGCTTATTTTCACTATTTTCAAATGTAAATAACTTTCTTGGAGAAAAGTGAAAAATTACAAAACTTGGGCAATATCTAATTCATCACTGAATACACACACTGAAAAAAAAAAATTCGCTTTACTCCCGAAGATAATTTTTGAGATAATTAAGTTTAAACTTTTTACAATTTTTATCAGGTTAATACATGTGATTTTTATAAAATTGAAGTTGGTTAAAAATTATTAACCACTAAAACCTAACTTTGTCCTTAAAAAAATCACATGTATTAACCTGATAAAAATTGTAAAAAGTTTAAACTTAATTATCTCAAAAATTATCTTCGGGAGTAAAGCGAATTTTTTTTTTTCAGTGTGTGTATTCAGTGATGAATTAGATATTGCCCAAGTTTTGTAATTTTTCACTTTTCTCCAATAAAGTTATTTACATTTAAAAATAGTGAAAATAAGCAAAGTGACAATTTTTATTGCTTTTTATTTCACATTTATGAAGAAAGAAAAAAAAGAAGAAAGTGCTAAGAAAAACTAAAAATTAGTCACAGGTACTTTATATTTGGTAAGGTTTTTTTTTTTCAATTTAATTGACTTCTCTTTCTCACATTTAATAGATGAAATTTGCAAATTTAGGTTATTTGACAGGTGAACTTGAAAATCATATTTTATATATTATTTCACATATTTAAATAATTATATCAATTGATAATGATAAATTTATTCATTCTTAGTTAATTCCAACAATTTTTTTTTTTATGGTAAATTCTATGTTTTTTTTTTGGCATATTTTCTAATGACTAAAAATTTGTCAGTTTTCACCACCTCATATACTTTAAATTCATATTTTGCAATAAATAATTAAAATTTTAATAAAATTCTTTTCATTTCGTGATCCTAATAACATCAAAATCATTCCTGCAAAGTATTATAATTTTTAAAAATTAGTCAGCAACGACTTCAGTCGAAATATAATGGATTGACCCATTATAATTATTTTCTTTTTTTTTTTTAGGTTTAATTATCGTGCTACAGCTTATATGGTGCAGCATGGTTTCTACAATTTTCTCAATTGGTTTGATGAAAGAGCATGGTATCCATTGGGTAGAATTGTCGGTGGTACAGTTTATCCTGGTTTAATGATAACATCAGGCTCAATACATTATATTTTACATTCATTAAACATTCCAATTCATATACGTGATATTTGTGTATTTTTGGCACCAATATTTAGTGGTTTAACATCAATATCAACATATTTATTGACAAAAGAATTATGGAGTACTGGAGCTGGTTTATTTGCAGCATGTTTTATTGCAATTGTACCTGGTTATATATCAAGATCAGTTGCTGGTAGTTATGATAATGAAGGAATTGCAATATTTGCATTACAATTTACATATTATTTATGGGTTAAATCAGTGAAAACTGGTTCAATATTTTGGTCATCAATGACTGCATTATCATATTTTTATATGGTATCAGCATGGGGTGGTTATGTTTTTATTATTAATCTCATTCCACTTCATGTATTTGCATTATTAATAATGAATCGATTTAGTAATCGTTTATTTACAAGTTATACGGTATTTTTTATATTGGGATTATTATTGAGTATGCAAATTCCATTTGTTGGCTTTCAACCAATACGAACATCGGAACATATGCCTGCTGTTGGAGTATTTGGATTACTTATTTTTGTTGCAACTCTGAGGTTATTATTATTACTATTATATTATTATTATTCTTATTATTATATTATTATTACTACTATTATTAATTGACCGAATTCATTTCAGATCAAACAGGCTTGACTTGGTCGGAGCTGAAAATAATTTTCACCTTCAAAATGTTGTTTTTCAAATGAATTTTAGATTGATACGTATTTTTTTTATTTTGCTGAAAAAATTTTTTTCTTTAAATTATAAGGAGTTCAAATAGAGAACTTCGTTTTTTTTTTTTTTTTTTTTAAATGAAGAGAAAAAATCTTAAAAGTGTTGTAACTTTTTGAGTAATTATGATAATTCACTTTTTTCTTTTGTGTCTGAAAGAACTTTTATTCTTCTTTCGAAATCCATTGGAAAATTTAAAAAAAAAAGTATTTAAAAATAACAAAATGATGTTTTTCTTTTAAAAGATACAAAAAAAAAATGTTTTCTCTTGTGCCAGAATCGGGCACAAGTTAAATTCTTGTGGGCAATATTCCTCCCTATGAACACAATTCTCAAAAAAATTTTGACCAAAAAAAAAAAAGGTGGGGTTTTTGAGTAATTTCAGATTAAAGTTTTTTTTTTGTAAAATGGCCATAATTTTGTTATTTTTAAATATTTTTTAAATTTTCCAATGGATTTCGAAAGAGGAATAAAAGTCATTTCAGACACAAAAGGAAAAAGTGAATTATATTAATTACTCAAAAAGTTACAATACTTTTAAGATTTTTTCTCTTCATTTAAAAAAAAAAACGAAGTTCTCTATTTGAACTCCTTATAACTTAAAGAAAAAATTTTTTTCAGCAAAATAAAAAAATACGTGTCGTCTAAAATTCATTTGAAAAACAACATTTTGAAGGTGAAAATTATTTTCAGCTCTGACCATGTCAAGCCTGTCTGATTTGAAATGAATTCATTATATTATTATTATTATTCTTATTATTATTATATGAGCAAATTTTTTCCATTTAGATATCTTCGGACAATTTTCACAAAATCGGAAATGAAATATTTCGGAGGAATTGTCGTTGTAACGGCAGGTGTTTTGCTATTGGTTTTAATTGGTCTAACATATGCCGGAGTAGTTGCACCATGGAGTGGAAGATTTTATTCTCTTTGGGACACTGGTTATGCAAAAATTCACATTCCTATAATTGCCTCAGTTTCTGAACATCAACCGACAACTTGGTTTAGTTTCTTTTTTGATTTACATATACTTGTCACCACTTTTCCAGTTGGTCTTTGGTATTGCATAAAGCATATAAATGACGAACGTGTCTTTGGTATGTTAATTTTCTATATATATATATATATATATATTTTTAACCTAAGGTGTCCAGCGGTGAAGGAAGTCAGGAAACTTTTCAAATATTGTCTAAAAGTAAAAAAATTTTCTAAATTTTTAAAAAGAATTCTAAAAAAAATAAAAATAAATTTAAACTCTACACAAATTAATTTTATATTAATTTCAATACAGTTAAACTCTAAATATAAATTTATTTTTTAATAAATAATTTTATTCAATTTCACACTGTTAAACATTATACAAAAATTATTTTGTTGAAAAAAATTACACAATATTCTATTATAAATTTAGACTTTGATTTCTTTTTTTTTTTTTTACAAAATTATTAAATAAAATATATGCATCTTTTTTATTAATAAATTTTTAATTCAAAATTCTTCTGTAAATAAATTTTCAGGGTGTCTAACGGTCAGGGAAAAGTCAGGGAATTTCAGAAAATTTCATTGAAAGTCAGGGAAATTTCTGTAAATTTCTAAAAAAAAAATTAAAAATTTTTGTGAATTTAAAAATTTTTTAATCTAAAAAAACTTGAATGGTTTTTATTACCATTTGTTACTACCATTAAAAATTAATTTATTGTTAAATATGTCAGTAACCATATTTTTGTCCAAAGAAAGCAGAAATAAGATTATTAAAAAGTCAGGGAAAAATCAAAAAATGTCAGGGAGGAGTCAGGGAAAAGTCAGGGAATTTTTTTCTCAATCCTTGTTAGACACCCTGATTTTTTTTTCAATAATTTAAATGAAATTCTTTACAAATTCAATTATCTTAAAGTTATTTTCAATTAAATTATTTAAAAACAAAAAAAAAGTTAGGTATCTAAAATCATTTGCTAAATTAATTTCAATTCTGTAAAATTTTACAATAATCTTTTGGAATTAAATTATTTTTACAAAATTTTAACTGTAATAATTCCAAAATTTAATTTGAGTAAGTGGACCAATTACGGCGCTAAAAAAATAACTATTATTACTATTATATTTAATAGAAATGTTGCAAAATGATTTTGAAAAAAATTATTTTCATTTTTTTTTTATACAATTAGTAATAAAGATGCACATTTAAATAATTATTAATTTAATTATTTGAGATGAAATTTTTTTTTCGCTCCGCAATTGAAATATTTTACAGATTTCCATTTGGCTCCAATTATTATTATTATTTAAAAAAGTTTCAACTTAATTATTTTTAGAAAAAATTTTTTTTCTCTTTACTATTAAAACAAAAAATAATGTAAAAATTTAAAATTTGAATTATTTGCTTAAATCAGAATTAAAAAAAATTTTTAAATGGAACTTAAAAAAAAATTTTTTTTTGAAAATTTGTCGTAATTAATTAAAATTTTGAAAATTTATCTCAGTTCGATTTTGAAATATTCGAAATAAATTTTTTTTTTTGACAATATTCTTGTAAAATTATTCTTATTAAAGAATGAAAAAATAAATTAAATAATAAACAATAACATTAGATAGTTAAAGTAAAATATTTATTAACTAATTAAATTAAAAAAATCGACTTTTTCGACTTTTTTTGCGCCTTAAAATCGATTTAGTCGATTTATATTCCAAAAAAAGTAAAAAAAAAAAAAAAAAAAGTCGTTTTTTTTTATTTTAACAAAATTTAATTAGTTAATAAATATTTTACTTTAAATAATTAATGTTATTAGATATTAATTCTATTTTTATTAATTTCTTAATAAGAATAATTCTACAGGAATATTATCAAGAAAATTTATTTCAAATATTTTAGTATCGAAGACGTATATTTAAACAATTTTAATAAAATAGTACTTTCTTTTTAAAAAAATTCTGGCAATTCAATTTTAGAGTTTTTATTCAAAACTTTTTTTAAAAAATTTATAATTCAAATTTTTGAAATTAATTGAACTTGAAGTGATTTTTAATTGAAATTTTTGGTGATGAAGAATTTATTAGTAATTATAGACAAAAATTGAAAAGTTTTCAATTAAAAAATGCTTTCAGATAATTGAATTTTTTGAATATTATAAAAATCATTCAAAATAATTAAATTTCGAAAAAATTATAATTAAAATTATAAAAAATTTCAAAAAAATTTTAAATGGAAAATTTTAAAAATAAAAAATTTTTAATAAGTTTTAAATTGAAATTATTGATAATTTTATTTGTTTTTTAAATTATAAACAATTATTATTGAATTTCATAAAATTTTTAATTAAAAAATAATTTTAAGATTAATTGAATTTTGTAAAGAATATCGTTAAAATTATTTTTAAAAAATAATTAATTTAAAGAAAAATTTTAATTACAAAATTTGTTAAATAATTGAAATAAAAAAGATCTAAACAGGGTATCTACTAGTCCTGGAAATGTCCTGGAATTTGAAAAAATGTCCTAGAATGTCCTTGAAAGTTCTGGAATTTTAATTTTTGTCCTTGGAATTTTTTATATTTTGCTTTTAAATTTTCAAAAATTTCTAATTTTTGTCAATTAAGTTAAAAAAAAAAAAATTCATTAAATAAGTAAAATGAAAATTTACTTAAGTAATTAATTAATTTTTTAATAATTTCTGAAAACAATAGTTAAACTAAAAATTTTTTTATTCCTTAAAGTCATCCAATTTAATGTCCTGGAAAAATAAGAAATTTGTCCTGGAAAAGTCCTGGAATTTTAATTCACATTTTTAGTAGACACCCTGACTAAAGAATAATTAAATAATAATTAATATTAATTATTAAAAATAATTAATTTAGAGAAAAATTTTTGTTATTTCCCCTAAATTCGATTTGAGGTTTAAAAATACTAAAAAAAAAAATTAAATGTATTCTTTAAAATATATTGAGAAAAAAAAAGGAAAATAATCTAATCATTTTAATGTAGTTTTGTTATTAAAATTTATTAAAATTCTATCTGGAAAAAAAATTTTAACTTAAAATTTTATTTGGAAAAAAGTGAAAGAGAACTTGTGTTAAATTTTTTTTAATTGATTTTGTCATACGAATTTTTCTTCCTACTTCTTACTGGACACCGTAATAAAATAAAAATACTGAATTACATATAAAAAAAAATGTATAATTTTGCCTTTTTTTTTCAAATTACAGTTGTTCTTTATGCAATAAGCGCTGTTTATTTTGCCGGTGTAATGGTACGTTTAATGTTGACATTAACACCAGTTGTTTGTATGTTGGCCGGCGTTGCATTTAGTGGTGTATTAGATCTATTTCTCAAGGAGGAAAATAAAGATGGCGATGAAAAAGAAGGAAGTGAAATTGAAAGCGAAGAGGAAAGAGAAAAAAGTCCTGGACGTTCACTTTATGATAAAGCTGGTAAATTACGTAGAATGAAACATGAGAGACCAAAAGGTAGTGGCGATGGACTTGGTGCTAATTTACGAAATGGTGTTGTAATTTTAATTCTTGTTTTATTAATGATGTTCACAATTCATTGTACATGGATCACCAGTAATGCATATTCAAGTCCATCAATTGTTCTCTCATCATATAGTAACGATGGAAGTAGAGCAATTTTAGATGATTTTAGAGAAGCATATTTTTGGCTTGCACAAAATACACCGAGCGATGCAAGAGTTATGAGCTGGTGGGATTATGGTTATCAAATTGCCGGCATGGCAAATAGGTAAAAAAAAAAAAAAAAAAAAAAAAAAAAATTTTTTTAATTTAATTTACAAAATTTGAAAAAATAATAAAAATTTTAATTTTGTTTTAGAACAACATTGGTGGACAATAATACGTGGAATAATTCACATATTGCACTTGTTGGAAAAGCAATGAGTTCAAATGAAAGTGCAGCTTATGAAATAATGACATCGCTTGATGTGGATTATGTACTTGTTATTTTTGGTGGAATGATTGGCTATTCGGGTGATGATATTAATAAATTTTTATGGATGGTGAGAATTGCTGAAGGTGAACATCCACAGGATATTCGTGAAAGTGATTATTTCACTGAACGAGGAGAATTTCGAATTGATTCAGAGGGATCGCCAACATTATTAAATTCACTTATGTATAAACTTAGTTATTATCGATTTGGTGAGGTGAAAATTGATTATAGATCACCATCGGGCTATGATCGTACACGTAACGCTGAAATTGGAAATAAAAATTTTCAACTTACTTATCTTGAAGAGGCATACACAACGGAACATTGGCTTGTTAGAGTTTATAGGTAATTTTTTTCAAAAAAAAAATTTATGATGAGAATAAAGATTTAATGAATTATATAATTTTAAATAACATTTTTTTTTTTTTCTTCTGTTCTAGGGTTAAAAAACCAAATGAATTCAATCGACCTCGTATTCCACTCGCAGAACGAACTGTAACACGACCAACATCATCGTATATAAGTAAAAAGGTTTGTATCATGTAGAGAAAAAAAAAAAATTAAATTTTCTCTCGTATCGTTTTTCACTTTTTTTCTCATTAATAAGTAAACGAAAATGTTGTTTAAAGTTATGGGGACGTTAATGTTTCAGACTTCAAGGCGAAAAAAGGGTTTCATTAAAAATCGACCAACCATTGTGAAAGGACAAAAACCCCAAAAGAAATCAACGTAACACTTCTTTAAAAAGTAAATAATTCAATTTTTTTTACAAAAAAGAAAAAACAATCACAGGAATTAATTTTTTAAAATATTAAAAAAAAAAAAAATCATGTTTCATTTTATTCATTGTGATTGCTTCCAAGACTGCAAAAAGACTTGTAATTTGAAAAAATGAGTCTAAAGAAAAAAAAAACTAATTATAGCATTAAGAAAAGACATTATTAATTTATAAGTTCTTTTCTCATTCAGAAATTTGTGCAAAAATGACAAATTTCTATTTCTTTCATCTAAAGTTGTGAGTGTTTTTTTTTTTAATTTGTGATTTATAAAATGCAGTAATAGCAAAAAAGTAATGAAATTGAATGCATCGAAAATGTATAAAGAATAGATATAAAGAGAGTGGAAATTAAAAAAAAAAAAAAAAAAAAAATTGTACATTTTTCTATATCACTTTTTGAAATATACTTCCGATATTTTTTATACCATATTAGGCAATATTTTTGCTCTAGCACTATAAATTATCGGTGTGTAATTTTTCGAATTTTATAAAAATTAAGATAGAAAATTGTTCAATTTTTTTTTTTTTTTTTTTAAATTCAAATTTACAATTGTGTCTCCTAATGTCCAGTCTTAAAGGCAGTAAATATTGTAAGTAGGCAAAAAAAAAAAGGAAGCAATTTAGAAAAGCTAAATTGAAAAATTTTAAATGCTTTTCAATATGCGTGAGTGTGTTCTTTAATGTATCACACAACTTGTATTTGTTACGAGATAAACATTAAGAATAAAACATTCTTGTTGTTGGAAATAAAAAAAAAAAAAAATAGAATTCTTTTTTAATCCTTCATTCATTTTTTTCACAGAAAAAAAGTACAATTTTCTTTATTTATTTATTTATTTTTTTTATTTAAATACATTATTTTTCCCATTTTAAAAATATATTTTATTTTGTGAAAAAATTTACAGAAAAAAATTACAAGTTATAAATCTTTAGAAAAATTTTCAAAAATAAACCCCATAAAATATTATATTCATTTTTATAATTATAAAAATTGTCTTGTCCTCTTTTTTTTAGAATTGAAAAGAAAAAAAAAAATCAATTATATTCTATAAATAACGATGTATTGTTTCATGATTAGAATATTTTTGTAAATTATTTAAATTATCCCACCAAAGTTTAAGTTGATTTTCGTAAATAAGTTTAAACCATGGTGTTAATGGATCTTTTGTTGTTTTTATAAAATTATCAATTTCCTCCCTTGATATCCAACGAATTTCACTTATTTCATCTGGATTTGGATCAATTGTTATTTTATCTTTTTGAGCAAATAAAATATAATCAATTTCATGTTCACCCCAAATTGATTCGCCAAGTGCTTGATAATGAATTCTTGTTAAATAATAAAAATCATTTATTAATATTTCATTCATTGGTATTCCTAATTCATAATTTAATCTTCGTTGTGCCGCTCTACGAATTCCAATTGCATCTTGTTCATCAGATTCACCTGCTATTTCAGCTAAAGGATGACTACAGCACGTGTTGGTGAAATAACCAGGAAATGTTATCTATATTTAAAAATAAAATTAGTTGTTTTTTTTTAAAAAAAATTGTATGCTTTATTCAAATTTGAATCTATTTTTTTTGTATTTTCAAAGTTGAATTTCACATTTTATTATAATGCAAATTTTTTTCAAAACTTTACTATACATCTATTTTTAAATTTTTTTTCAATATTATTATTATTATTATTATTATTATTATAAACATTGGAGCAAAAAAAGTTGATATCTTCGAAAAATTAAAAATCATGCACTTTGGTAATAATAATAATAATAATAATAATAATTTTAAGTAAGAAAAAAATTTACATAGATATGTAAATAAAATTTTACTTTATAATATGCAAAAGATATAAATAACAAATTTGCAATTAATATTTTATGAAAATTAATATTTTATGAAAAATTAAAATTTTCATTAACTTTCAAGGTTTTTTTTTTTTTTTTTTTAAATACAAAAAATATTAAATACATTTTTTAAATGGATTTTTCAAATTTTTTCACAATAAAAATTAAACGCAATAAAATCAACCATTTTGTTCTTTATATTAAATTTTTTTTTTTTTATTCTTAATTATAAAAAATATAATTTTTAACTAAGATTCGAATTTATCGCTTTTGATTCAATATTTTTTGATTAAATATAAAAAGAATTTAAAATTTTATTAATTTAAAATATTTTCCATATAAAAATTTATGACAAATAATTTTTTTATATTTTTCAAAATTTATTATCGCGTAAAAAAAAAAAATAATTTGTAAATTTAAGGTTAGTTCGTTATTATTATTATTATTATTATTTATAGTTTTATTAATTTAAAATATTTTCCATATAAAAATTTATGACAAATAATTTTTTTATATTTTTCAAAATTTATTATCGCGTAAAAAAAAAATAATTTGTAAATTTAAGGTTAGTTCGTTATTATTATTATTATTATTATTTATAGTTTTATTAATTTAAAATATTTTCCATATAAAAATTTATGACAAATAATTTTTTTATATTTTTCAAAATTTATTATCGCGTAAAAAAAAATAATTTGTAAATTTAAGGTTAGTTCGTTATTATTATTATTATTATTATTATTTATAGTTTTATTAATTTAAAATATTTTCCATATAAAAATTTATGACAAATAATTTTTTTATATTTTTCAAAATTTATTATCGCGTAAAAAATAAAAATAATTTGTAAATTTAAGGTTAGTTCGTTATTATTATTATTATTATTATTATTTATAGTGAGAGATGATTCTTGATTTTTATATATAATTAAAAAAAAAAAATATTTATTATTAACAACGAAAAATAAAAAATATTTTTAAAAATTAAATTTATTAATTTATTGAAATAAATATTTCTCTTACCTTTGTCGATGATCTTTTTTGCAATAAAAGATCTCCATTTGAATTAAAAAGAAAAACACTGAATGCTCTATGTAGTGGAACACCACCTTCTTTACTTATTAAATGACAATATTTTTTTGTTGCCTCACCAATTGGTTTGTCAAATTCATCAATAAGAATACAACGTTCTTCTAATGCTGCTTTTTGTAATGGTGCAACTTTTATATTAGAATGCATATTTTTCGTTAATGTATATTCTTCTTGTATTCCCGAACAAATTCTCTTTCCCGTATTTAATATTGTTCTTAAAGCCATTTTTTTAATAAACAAAAAAAAAAGAATTTAAACACAAAATTCTGTCAGCAAAAAAAAAAAAGTTAGTAAAATTTATATTAACAACTCATAATTTTCTTGTACTTTCAATCAGGAATGAACAGTTAAGAATGACTATGTATCGCTTTCGAACATGTAAAAGTTGATAATAAATATATGAAATATTAACATAAAAATTTAAACGACGTCACGACCTATAAATTATTCACATTATTCCATTTTTCTTTTTTCTAATGTAAATTTCTCTAAAAGTCAAATTTACAGATCTTATATACATAAGGTTGAGTTCACAGTGAATAGTTTCCGAGCCTAAGGGTACATTCATACCATTTCATCAGGGTTGGGAAGTTAATCGTAATTTTCAATTTTAGTAAAAGTTTTTTTTTCTAATAATATTTTTATTATATCTATATACGATATTATGTACAAAATTATTTTTAAAAAAACTCTTTTAATGTTTTTTTTTCTATACTATTTTGTACTTTCTATTGTATTTTTTTTTTATTTTTTAATATACCACCGTTCCAACCCAAGTATGCAACATAACCTATCACTTTTCTCAATGATAAACAATATAATAAAATAATTCATGTATATAGAAATAAATAAAAAATGGAAAATTTAAAAAAAGAATATAAATTAGAACCTGAATCTGAATTACGTTTTGAAATCGAATCAAGAAATAAAAAAGTGACTTTAGAGGTATTAACAAATTTTATATTTATGTATTAATATTTATGTTTTTTTACATATATGAACGCTTACACCGCGAGTCGTTGAAAAACATACTCGCATGAAAATAGAGGTAACTCAGAAAAAAATAAACGTAGAGACTTTTTTTTATAGCGTTGGAAAGCTTATTAAATTTCGAAAAAAGTAATGCTCATTAGAAAGAGATTTCTTTAATAGATTTCAATATAACATGTTACAAAGTTAAAAAAATAATTGTCATTTTTTCCTCATTTTCTACCTCGACTTTAACCTCTTGCATAAACCAGTAAAATCTTCGGAAAAAATAGTCCCTTAACATAATTATTCCTTGGAATCTAAGCTTTCCTTTGATTTCAAGAACAAATAAAAAATGTTAAACGGTTTTCGTGTAATTGAAAAAAAAGTGCGAGCTTGCACGGAAAAAAAATTCGACTGTCTATCCCTCGATTTTCTCGTCTCGCTGACTCTTTTGTTCGTGCGCCAGGACCGAAACTAAAGCTTTCGATCGGGCTCTTTCCCGGGCACCATTAATTTCATTATTTATCTATACAATAAAATTTTTTGGTTATGTTAAGATAACATTATGTAATATTTAAAAATAACTTTATATATTAGATTATTGACGGTAAAAATAATTAATATGAAAAAGTAAAATTAATTTCCAATAAAATTGTACAATTAAAATTTTTTAATTGTGAAATATATAATTTTTATTACATTTATTTAATATTTATAACTGTATAATTAACTTATTACATAATTATAGTGTCTTTTGTGTTATGCAAATAATTTATGTTTATAAAAAGGCATAAATAATGAAATTAATGGTGCCCGGGAAAGTGACCGATTGAAAGTTTTAGTTTCGGCCCTGGCGCACGAACGAAAGAGCCAACGAGACGAGAAAATCGAGCGATAGACAGTCGAATTTTTTTTTCGTGCAAGCTCGCACTTTTTTTTCAATTACAGGAAAACTGTTTAACATTTTTTATTTGTTCTTGGAATGAAAGGAAAGCTTAGATTTCAAGGAATAATTATGTTAAGGGACTATTTTTTCTGAAGATTTTACTGGTTTATGCAAGAGGTTAGAGTCAAGATAGAAAATGAGGAAAAAATGACAATTATTTTTTTTTAACTTTGTAACATGTTATATTGAAATCTATTTAAGCAATCTCTTTCTAATAGGCATCACTTTTTTCGAAATTTAATAATCTTTCCAACGCTATAAAAAAAAATGTCTCTACGTTTATTTTTTTCTGAGTTACCTCTATTTTCATGCGAATATATTTTTCAATGACTCGCGGTGTAAGCGTTCGTACAATTCTATTTTAAAAATTATTCTGTTTATTAACATTATTTAATTTCTGTTTTTTTTTTCTTTTTCTTTTTCTCTATCAGTTAAAATCAGGTGCAGCTGAATTATTTGGCACTGAATTGATAGTAAATAAAAAATATGAATTTTCTGCAACAAATATTGCTGTTATAACATGGCAAGGTTGCATAATTGAATTAGAAGGAGATCCAGATATTGTTTATATAACAAAAGAAAGTCCAATGTTAATTTATTTAAATTGTCATACAATTTTAGAACAATTACGTGAATTAGCGGAGGAAAAAAATGAAAAAGGTCCTGTAACAATGATTGTTGGTCCTTGTGATGTGGGAAAATCGACATTAAGTAAAATACTTGTCAATTATTCATTGAGATTAAATAGAAATCCAATTTATGTTAATTTAGATGTAGGTCAAACAGAATTTGGCCTACCAGGAACATTAGGCGTTGTAATGCCAAAAAAAAATTCATCAACTATTGAAACAAATTTTAATAATGAAGCACCAATTATTTTTCACTTTGGTTACAGTTCACCATTATGTAATCAAAGTTTTTATAAATTATTAACAACAAGAGTAGCTGAAGTTTGTGATGAGCGTGTAAAATTAAATTCGGCGGAAAAATATTCGGGAATTATTATTAATACTTGTGGTTGGACAAAGGGAGATGGTTATAGATATTTAATTCATGCTGCCTATGCTTTTGAAGTTGATGCAATAATTGTAATGGATCAACAACAACTTTATAATGATTTAATTCGTGATATGCCAAAATTTGTCAAGGTAGTATTAAAATTTTTTTTTTTTTTTTTTGAACCTATTCTTTGAATTTTATAATTTTTTTTTTTCTTACAGGTGGTTCTTTTGCCAAAAAGTAGCGGCGTAGTTAAAAGAAATGAAACACAAAGAGCCGAAAGTAGAAATAATTTAATTTACAATTATTTCTACGGTATTCCAAAATTAATTTCTTTTAAAATAGATTTAAAATTTGAAAATATTTCCATTTTTAGAATTAATATTTCATCGGGTTTTTCGTCAGTTGCAAAAAAATTACCAGACACAACATTAATGCCAATTAAACCAATTCCAAGTATGAAAAATTGTTTACTTTCTGTTTCTCTAGGAAAATTAAATCAAAATGATATTGTTCAATCGAATATTGCCGGATTTTTACACGTGTGAGTAAAAAAAAAAGATAATTATATTACTAATATAAAAAAGAAGAGTATAAATATAATTTTTTTTTTATATTTTAGGCAAGAAGTAAATATGCAAGAAAAAATAATTACAGTATTAAGTCCACAGGCGCAATTAAAGAAAGACTTAATTTTATTACTCTCAGAAGTTAGATATTGGAATGATAATGATTAGAATTTATTTATGTATATGTATATAATTTTTATATAAAAGCTGTTTTTTAAAAATTCATTTTGTTTCTTTTTTGATTTATAATCATCGAACTTGTAAAATGCAAAAGTCTTTATCCCAGCTATATGTCTCCCCCCTCTTAACTTCTACATTTTTGTATATGAAGAACTGCAATTTAGTACACATACGTATTTTTACGTGTAGATTACAGGAAAAATATAGCGAGACCGATTGGATTTGATGGCTACGAGCTAGAAAGGAAAGAAAACGGTTTTTTTTCGCAAAAAATTGCAAAAAATTGCCCTGTATCCATTTTGAATTTTGAAATTTTGTAATTCTGACATCAAATTCGGAATCAGCGACCCCAAAACCCCCCGAGTAACGAGTTTCAAGCGAATATGGTCAAATTTCTTTTTGGTCGCCATATTGGATCCGCCATTTTGAATTTTGTAAATCTGACATCAAATTCGAAAGCAGCGACCCCAAAAATCCCCGAGTAACAAATTTTAGGCCAATTCCGTCTTATTATTGGGCTCAAAATTTATGTTCGTATGTATACACGTCATCGACACCCAAGGGGTTAAATTCCGCTTTTGCTATAATTTCTATTTCTTTTTTCCTATTTCGAATTTTTATTAATACCTATAACTTATTTTTTTGTTAAGTTATTATTATCATTCTATTTCTAATGATATATAACCTTAAAATTTTTTCTCTAAAGAAAGAGACCTAATGAGCAAAAACAATTTATAGGTTATGTTTATAAACCAATAATATGTTGCTTACAATAAGACTTCGCAAAGAAAATAATTTTTATGAAAAAAGGACAAAAATATTTATTTCTTCTACTTATTTTAATATAAAAAAAATCCATTTATCTTACTGTTAATTTAAAATCTGTATATAGAAAAAGTCAATTTTTCATACAAAATCAATCATTTTTTAATAATTAATTTCGAATTTGAATTCTTTTGTCCAAAACCAACATATCTTCTGTTCTTGTCTTCCCCACGTGTTGTCATAGAAACATATGCATTGGACAAGAACAATAGAATTTTGGACAATTGATATCGATATCTTTATTAAAACCTTTATCAGAGATGTCACATATGAGACGTTTCTCTTTAAGAAAATTCTTATTTACCGCGCAAACAAAACGTGTGATCGTAGCATTATAACTGCAATCACGTAATATTTTATTGAAGAAAGTCCTTTATTAGGCGCCAGAAAAAATTAAGATTAGGTAAATCATACCTCAATTTGTTCCGTGTTATAGTGTCATGTATTTGAATTTTGATCGTTTCTGTTTCTATTGTATTAAAAGGAATTTTGTCACTTGGTATATATATAATTATTAATTTTACACTCTGCCTAAGAATTTTTTCTGTTTCAATTTTATCTATAATAGAAAATAGAAATCCAAGTGACAACGCGATTATGCCTTGTGTGTGATGCATTAACTGTCGATCTTGAATTTTTGTATATGGAGGTCGTCGTCTCAAAACTGCTTTGAATGTCATTCTTGAATGGCGAACACTTAACTTAACCGTCAAAAAAAAAAAAAAAAAAAGCAGCTGCTCTTATCGAGCCAAAAAGTTTCGCATATCAAAAACGTTTTTGTTGTCAGTGTTTATACAATTGATAGTCGTGAAATTTTTATTTAAAAAAAAATATTTAGACAAATACCTTTCATAGAAAAGAAAAAAAAATTGGATTAGTGTGGTGCGCGCGTGTATATACGAGAGAATTGTCAATCTCTTCTCCCATAATTATTTCTCGATTATATGGTGCTTTGTACTTAAAAAAAAAAAAAAATTGTACAGAAAAAAGAGGAAATTAATCATGGAAGGAGTTTGTAACATTGAAACTGGGACCAGTATAAACATCAAGCGAACTGATGGTAAGTCTATATACCTAACCCTTTTTTTTTCCTTTTTTTGCAAATTAGAATTATTCACAAAATGAAATTTTTTTGAAAAAAAAAATGTTTATTTTTATTTTCCTAATACAAAAAATTATTGTCATTTGGAGAGAAAAAAGAATTCGCCATTATGTTATTTCGTGAAATAAATTTCTAAATGGCGGGTTTGAAAAACACTTGGATGAATATAAATACGTGGGCTAAGTACTCCATTATTGTACGCTCTCGGTTTTAACCGGTTTTTTTTTCTCTCCTATTTGACGCACCTTGAATGAATAAACTTGCCATATTTGGAACGTTTAGATAAATCATATTTTTGAGACGATTAATTTACTTCTTTTGCTATTAGGAGACAATTATTTATATTTTTATGAGAAAAATTTTTTATATTTGCGCGAAAAATATTCCCTCTTCTTTTTTTTTTTTTTTGATAATGTAATGTTTTTTTATTTTCTATTTGAAAATATTTAGAAATTATTAAAATCTTTAAATGTCAAAATTTTACTTAATTTTTTTTATTATAAATTTTATATTATTTTGAATTTGTTTTTTTTTATTTTAATAATTACTACTAGTTGGGAAAATATTTATAATTTTACGTAAATTTAAAAAAAAAAAAAAAATTGCAAAATAATCAAAATCAAAATCATTCATCAAAATTTTATTTAATTAATTTTTTTATTATAAATTTTATATTATTTTGAATTTGTTTTTTTTTATTTTAATAATTACTAATAGTTGGGAAAAATTTATAATTTTAGGTAAATTTTTCCAAAAAAAAAAAAAAAATTGCAAAATAATTAATATAATTTTAAAATACGAAAAATTTAATTTAATTACTCTACGTATTTTTGTTGAAATAAAAATTTAATTAAATTATGATATAGTATATTTATAAAAAAAAATAATAATAGAATTAAATAAAAATTTCTTTTAAAATAAAATTTAAAACAAAACAGCAAAGAAAGACAAATAATATTTGCGAAAATAATAAATTATTTAAATATATTTTTCAAAAAATCATATAAACCAATAAAAAAAATTGAAAATTTATAAAATTAAATATTCTAATTAAAATAAGTATTTATTTTTTATTTATTAATATTATTTTATTATTAATTTATTAAAATCTAAAATCGAATCAGAATTTATTATTTATAAGCTACCTTGTATGGATATGCAATAAGAAGGTAAAAACCGAATAAATTTTATCATTATGGAAACTCAAAAATGCCCTTGAAAAAAAAAAAAAAGTAGCCCAACAATATATTACTGCTGAGATAGAAAGAAAGAGACGCGATGATACTTACTAAAGTCTGATCGCGCGCGGACGATACCGTATATGGAATTATGGACATTATCCAATACACACGTGTATTTATACATATATATATATATATAATGTTTTGAGGTTTCTCTGTTTATATTAAATTTGTTTAAACATTTATTTTTACAAACTGCTCTTAAAGATGTTTCAAATTATTATTATTTTTTTTTTGGGACAAAGAACACTCACCCTATTTTATTTAAAAATTAATTGTTTATTTAAAAAAACATTTTTTTTTTTTTTGCAGGACGTATTCATTCCGCTATAGTTTCTGGTGTTAATTGGGACATGAGGAGTGTCACTGTTGAATGGTTTGAAAGAGGAGAAACCAAGGGGAAGGAGGTGAAAAATTTTATTTTAATTAATAAATTAGTTAATTAAAAAAAAAAAAAATTAATAAATAGTTATATAATAAATATAATAATAATTGTCGAAAATTAATTAGAAATATTCCAAGTAGAATATAAGTAAAATTCAATTTTTATTAATAAGAGAAAAAAATTTTTATAAAAATTTACAAAAGAAAAATTTATAAAAAAAAAAAAATAAGCCTACAAAATATTTTATTTTTCTTTCAAAAACTGAATAATGAACAAAATTTAATTAAAACATGTTATTTTTATATTTTCAGGCCTCGGATTATACGACTTTTTCGACTATTTCCGAATTTTTTCGATTTATTTTAATAAAATACGACTATTTCGACTTTTTTTTTACATTTTAAAAAAAAAAAAATATTTTTAATAAAATATAGTTTTTTTTTAGTATAAAATGCAGATCTTCATCATATATTTTTTAATTTCAATTATTTAACAAATTTTTAACTAAAATTCTTCACAAAATTAATTATTTTTAATAATTTTAATGAAATTCATCACAAATTCAATTATTTCAAAAATATTTTTGAATTAAAATTTTTATAAAATTTAACAATTGTTTATAATTTAAAAAAAAAATATTAAATAAAATTACCAAACATTTTTAATTCAAAATCAAAAAATCAATTTAAAATCAAATAAAATTCAATTATTTTAAAAATTTTCAATTTAAAATCTTTTAAAATTCAATTATTTTCAAAATTTTCAATTTAAAATCAAATAAAATTCAATTGTTACCCAAAATGTCAATTCAAAATCAATTAAAATTAAATAATTGTCAAAAAATTTCAATTCAAAATTAATTAATTATCAAAATTTTCAATCAAAAATCAACTAAAGTTGAATTATTATCAAAAATTTCAATTATAATTCAATTATTTTCAAAAATTTTAATGTAAAAGCTTCTAAAATTTAATTATTATCAAAATTTCCAATCCAAAATCAACTAAAATTCAATTATTACTCGAAATTTCAATTCAAAATCAAAGAAAATTCAATTATTACCCAAATTTTTATATTTAAAATCTTTTAAAATTCAATTATATTAAAAATTTTCAATTTAAAATCAAATAAAATTTAATTATTACCAAAAATGTCAATTCAAAATCAATTAAAATTAAATAATTATCAAAAATTTCAATTCAAAATTAATTATTATCAAAATTTTCAATCAAAAATCAACTAAAATTGAATTATTATCAAAAATTTGAATGTAAAAGCTTCTAAAATTTAATTATTTTCCAAATTTTCAATTCAAAATCAAATAAAATTCAATTATTTTCTAAAATTTCAATTCAAAATCAACTAAAATTCAATTATTACCCAAAATTTCAATTCTAATTTAATTATTATGAAAATCAACTAAAATTAAATTATTATCCAAAATTACAATTATAATTAAATTATTTTCAAAAATTTTAATTTAAAATCTTTTAAAATTCAATTATTTTCCAAATTTTCAATTCAAAATCAAATAAAATTCAATTATTTTCTAAAATTTCAATTCAAAATCAACTGAAATTCAATTATTACCCAAAATTTCAATTCAAAATTAATTATTACATGAAAATTTTCAATCAAATATCAACTTAAATTAAATTATTATCCAAAATTTCAATTATAATTAAATTATTTTCAAAAATTTGAATTTAAAAGCTTCTAAAATTTAATTTTTATCAAAATTTTCAATCAAAAATCAACTAAAATTCAATTATTATCTAAAATTTTAATTATAATTCAATTATTTTCAAAAATTTGAATTGAAAAGCTTCTAAAATTTTACAGCGAAATTTTTTTTTCATATTTAACAATTTTAATTATAACTCTAAGGAAAATTAAATTATTTTTATAATATTCTTTGAAAATTCAACTATTTGAAACCATTTTTCAATGAAAAATGATTTTCAAATTATTCTATTTTTGTCCCCAATTTCTAATAAATTTTTTAGTGAAATCATCAAAAAAAATTTTAATTAAAAATCACTTGAAGTTCAATTAATTTCAAAAATCTCAATTGTAAATCTTTGAAAATTCAATTACATTTAAAAAAAATGTTATCTAAAATTATTTGAAAAATTATTTTTTACTTCTGTAAAATTTAATTATTGTCTGAAAATTAACAAAATCTTTTGAAATTCAATTATTTCTAAAAATTTCAACGCTTTAACTATTTCAAAAGTATTATTATTTAAAAAAAAAAAAAAATTTATTTAAATATCTGTAAAATATTTTTGTTAAAATAAAAAAATCGACTTTTTCGACTTTTTTTTTGAATATAAATCGATTAAAACGACTTTTTTTTGTGCCTTTAAGTCGATCCGAGGCCAGTATTTTATAAAATATGAATTTTATTTACAATTTTATTATTTCGAATATATAGAATTTAGTAATCAAATTGTTATTGCTACAAATTTTTCTTTTCTCGAAATTTTTCGTATTTTATAGATTCTATTTTATTTAATTCATTTTATTTGCCTTTGTAATATTTTTGAATATTTTAATTAATCATTTTCGTAATAAATTTATTACAGGTGGAGATTGATACAATTCTTGCTCTTAATCCAGATTTGAATGCAAAAAATATGGCCCCACCTGCTCAGGTCAATGATTATATGTTGGCAACATCAAGAGCAAGGGTAAGAAAAATTTTTTAAAATATTTTCCAAAAAAAAAAAAAAAAATTCCGCTATTTATAAAATTATTTTTTTTTTCATAAATTCCTTATAATATTTAATAAGAAATTTTAAAATAATTTTCTCTGTCTTGATTTTAAAAAATTTACAAAAATTGAAAATTTTCATTTGAAATTATTTTTTAAAAACAATGATTTTAAGTTTTAATAAATTTTTTCAATAATAATTATGCATACATTTTTTTTCTGACAACAATAAGAGATTCATATATATATATATATATTTGGGTATTCAATTTATCGACGATAGAAATTTATTTACTGGTCGTCTTGACTACGCTTCTAACCTCTTTGTTATTTTTTTTTTAAAATACAACAAAGATTAAAGAATGTGTGCACATTTTATCAAATTTTTTGGATTTAACAATATGTTTCAGTATTTGTTTGTTTTTGAGGTAAAAAAAAATTTCACTTTTTTTTTTTCTTTTTTTAATAATATACACACAAAAGAAAAAAAATTCACTTTCTTTTGTAAATAAATGTGAATAAGAAAACGAACATAATTTTTCACAATTTTATATTCACACAAAAGGGTGTGAAAATTATTTCTCACTTAAAATTAGAAAAAAAAAATGATAATTTCTTGTTAATTAAAAAGAAAAGTTATATTTGTTTAATCATGCAAAATCTATTTATAAAAAAAAAAAATTATTTATTTTTACTAACCTATATATACAAAAATATATCTTCTCTGCATGGACGCTGCTTTTGTTACCAATAACAATAATTGTGGATCAATCTTGAAATGGACGAAATTGACAATAAAAAAAAAAATAAATAAAAAAAAAAAATTACGCTTTTTCTAACTGTAATACTAACAAACAAACAAAAAAAAAAGGACTCTTCTGATGAAGACAATGACGACGATGGTCTCGATGATTTGGAAAATCAAGAGGAAATTACTAGAAATGGACTGACTTCTGCAACGCTTCCTGTACGAGTCACGTCTCGACTTTCGGTAAACGCGTCTATTAAATACCTAATCCTTTTTTTTCTCCTTGATTAAAAAATAATTATTATTTATAATTTTTATTTTTAATCACAAATTTATTTTTCTTTCTCATATATAGAATAGATATTGCAAAGATTAAACAAACATTTTTTTTTTGTTTTTTTTTTTACAGGCCTCGGATTACACGACTTTTTCGACTTTAACCGACTTTTTTTAAAAAATACGACTTTTTTCGACTTATTTTAATAAAATGCGACTTTTTACAAAATTTTAAAACAAAATACGTTTTTTTTTAAAGATACAATGCAAATCTTCTTTAAATCTTCTTTATTTCAATTATTTAACAAATTTTTAACTAAAATTCTTCACTAAATTAATTATTTTTTAAAATTTTAATGAAATTCTTCACAAATTCAATTATCTTTAACTATTTTTGAATTAAAATTTTTATGAAATTTAATAATTGTTTATAATTTAAAAAAAAAAAATTAGCAAATAAAATAACAAAAAATGTTTAATTCAAAATCATTTGAAATTAAATTATTTGCAAAAATTTTAATTATTTTTAATAATTTTTTTATAATATTCTTCGAAAATTCAATTATCTGAAAGCATTTTGCAAATGAAAAAAATTTGAAAGTTCAATTTTTGTGTGTAATTTCTAATAAATTCTTCAGTTATTTTCAAAAATTTCAATAGAAATTCAATTATTTTCAAAATTTTAAATTCAAAATCAACTAAAATTCAATTATTTTCCAACGTTTCAATTCAAAATCAGTTAAAAATTCACTTATTTTCCAATATTTCGATTGAAATTACATTATTTTCAAAATTTTCAATTAAAATCAACTAAAATTCATTTACTTTCAAAAATTTTAATTCAAAATCAACTAAAATTCAATTATTTTCAAAAATTTCAATTCAAAATCAATTGAAATTTAATTATTTTAAAAAATTTCAATTTAAAAGCTTCTAAAATTTAATTATTTCTAAAAATGTCCATCTAAAATTTTTTGAAATTTAATAATTTCAATTATAACTCTCGTGAAATCAAATTATTTCTAATGATTTTTATAATATTCTTCGAAAATTCAACTATCTGAAACCATTTTTCACTTAAAAAGTTTTCAAATTATTGTATTTTTGTCTGCAATTTCTAATAAATTTTTTAGTAACAGAAACCATAAAAAATTTTAAATTAAAAATCACTTGAAATTCAATTTATTTCAAAAATCGAAATTGTAAATCTTTTGAAAATTCAATTACTTTTTGAAAATGTTATCTATAAAATTATATTTAATAAATTATTTTTAGTTTTGTAAAATTTAATTATTGTCTGAAAATTAACCAAATCTTTTGAAATTCAATCATTTCTAAAAATTTCAACTTTAACTCTTACAAAATTATTATTATTTAAAAAAAAAAAAATTTTTTAATAAAAAATCTGTAAAACTTGATTAAGTTTTTTGCCTGAAATTATTTTGATCATCAAAACTAAAAAAAAAACTATGACAAAATTTGTAATTCGAATAAATTGCTTAAATCAGACTTCAACAAATTATAAAAATGTTACATCAAGAATTTTTTTTGGAAATTTGTTCTACTTAAATAAAATTTTGAAAATTTGTCTTACAAATTTAATTGTGAAATATTGGAAATAACATTTCTTGATATAATTTTTATAGTATTATTCTCATTACAGAATTAATAAAATGAATTTAATTAACATTAGTTATTTAAAGTAAAAAATATTCATTAACCAATTCAATTTTGTTAAAATAAAAAAAATTGACTTTTTCGACAAATTTTTTTGGAATATAAATCGACTAAAACGACTTTTTTTGTGCCTTAAAGTCGATCCGACGCCTGTTTTTATTTCGCCAAATATCTATTTTTGTTCATTTTTTTAAAAAATAATTTTCCCCAATCATACTTTTCTTTCATATTATTTATATCCTAATGAATTCAGTGTGAAAATTTTTGAAATACGCCAAAAAAACAAAAAATAGGAAGAAACAATATAGAAAAGAAGAAAACGTCGAAGAAAAAAAGGAAGATGAAGCAAAAGGAAAGGAAAAATTTCCCTTTTTTTTTTTTTTTTTTTAAACTTCTACCATTAAATATGTTTCGTTAAAAAAAAAAGTTTTACATTATAAATACTAACAAACGTAATAACTAATATAACAATTACATCCTGCCCTTAGAAACAAAAAAAGGAAATAATTTTTTTTTGTCTTAGAAAAAAAAAATTTATATTTTTCATTTGAAATACAATTTAATAAATTAATTTTTATTTTATTTTTCAGCACTCAACAAGGGCCAGTATCTCTGTGAAAGGTATTGTTTTTTTTCTGCAAAAAAAAAAGAAAATAATTTTTTTTTAAACATTTAAATTTAAATATTTGTATTTTTACTAATCATTTTTTTTTAATATAAATTTTTTCCAATTATTATTCTATTTAAATGATTTTTTCCATCTAAAAATCGGAGATTAAAAAAAAAAAATTAATTTTATTTTTCTAATTTTCAATTTGATTTACCATTTAAAATTTTTGCGAAAATTTTTTCTTTGTGTAAACTTAATATCGCATTGAATTTTCTGAGTCACTTAGTTTGTCAATATTCATATATATATATACATACCACCCATAAAAGTAACAAGGGCAAGAACCTCAAGAAGCACATGACGATAGTAGTAAAGCTCCTGCTGCAGTTATTCCATTCGTGTCCTTTATGAATTTTATTATAAAAAAAATGATCGTTTTTTAAAGTAATTTTTAATAAATATTAATAATACCTCTTTAATATCAGTGAAAAAATTTGTTTTTAAAAAAAAAAAAAAAATTGTTAAAAGTGGAAAAATAAAAATATTTTAAATATAAATTTACATATAAATTTCAATGAAGTATTTTTTGAGATGTTGCTGTTTTAGAAAACAGAATTCAATAATTGATCATCAAAAAGAGGGATGGGGGGTAAAAAATTCATTTCAATGGAATGAAAGTGGTAATAGGGGTTTTTTTATATATAAAAAAAGAATATTTAATAATAAAAATTATATAAAAAAAGAATATTTAATAATAAAAATAATATAAAAAAAAGAATATTTAATAATAAAAATAATATAAAAAAAAATAATAATAATAAATAAATTCTAATTCCTTTTTTTTTCTTTACAGCTGGAATAAATAGAAGTAGACAACAGCAGCAGGCAAGTCGTCCAACAAATATAATGCCTCATGCTACAAATGGACATGGTGAAACGATATCGAATTTAACGGGTCGTCGAGAAATGGAAAATATACCACCAACACCAACAACAAATCCAACATTTAATGTTTCTAATGCAGCATTAAAACAGCAGAAAAAAAATCAACAACAACAAGCTCAACAACAGCAGCAACAACAACAACAGCAGCAGCAGCAACAACAGCAAACACAACAATTATCACAGGCTTTAGAAAATGGTAGAAATAGAAGATCAAATGTTGTTAAAGAAGTTGAGAGACTTAAGAAAAATCGAGAGGAAAGGAGACAACGACAAGCTGAACTTAAAGAGGAAAAAGAAGCACTTATGAATTTAGATGCTGGCAATCCTAATTGGGAATTTTTAGCTATGATCAGGTTTGTCAATTATGCAAAATTTTTTGTAATTTTACAATTTTTCTTTATTAATTTTAATTTTTAAAAATATCTTATTATAAAAAAATAAAATATTCTTATTATAAAAAAAGGGAAAAAAAATAAAAAAAATATTCTTTTTATAAAACAAGGGAAAAAAATAAAATATTCTTTTTATAAAAAAAGGGGAAAAAAAATAAAATAAAAAATTTTTTCTTTTTTTCACTTTAGAGAATACCAAAACAGTATAGACTTTAGACCATTGCGTGAGACAGATACTGTTGAGGATCATCAAATAACAGTGTGCGTGAGAAAAAGACCATTAAATAAAAAAGAACAAAATCGTAAGGAAGTTGACGTGATAAGTGTACCAAGTAAAGATCAAATAGTTGTACATGAACCAAAAGCAAAAGTTGATTTAACAAAATATCTTGAAAATCAATTATTTAGATTTGATTATGCATTCGATGAGACATGTACAAATGAAGTTGTTTATAAATATACAGCAAAACCACTTGTACAAACAATATTTGAAGGTGGTATGGCAACATGTTTTGCATATGGACAAACTGGTAGTGGAAAAACACATACAATGGGCGGTGATTTTAATGGTAAAACGCAAGATTGTAAAAAAGGAATTTACGCAATGGTTACAAAGGATGTTTTTAAATATCTTAAATCACCAAAATATCGGCCACTTAATTTAGTAATATCGGCAAGTTTCTTTGAAATTTATTCGGGCAAAGTATTTGATTTATTGGCTGATAAGGAAAAATTGAGAGTTCTCGAAGATGGAAAACAACAGGTAATAGCTTTTTTTTATTAATTAAATTTGATAATTTTTAATCTAATCAAAAATTTTATTATTATTTTTCGACTTTTTTTGTGCCTTAATGTTGATTTATTTATTAATTTTATTTATTTATTTTTTTTTTTGTTAATAATAATTACATATAATAATCGTGAATATCTTTCGTTCATTCTGTCCACACCTGAAGTTAGTATTTGTTATAGGTCTTTTGTTTTTTTTTTAAATGTGTTGTTTGACATTATTTTGTGTTGGTTAAAATTTTTCAATGTTTTTTTTTTTTTTGACATTGTCATTTGTGCGGTCGTATTTTTGTGATTTTAATTATTAAAAATTATAAAATTATTAGATTCGTGCAAATAATAAAATAATAAATTAAATATTAAATACCCGTGTGGAAAAGTGATGTGGGCCCCCAGCGGGGGCCCTTATGGATCGCCCTCATGCCATGAGGGCCGCATATGGATGATCCATAGGGGCCCCTCATGGAAACGACATGCTCATCGATGAGGGCGCCCGCATGGGCGATCCATGAGGGTGCCCCTACGGGCGCCCTTATGGGCCCTCACGTTTGCCCTCATCTTGCCCTCAAGTTTGCCATAATGTTTTTTAATCAATAATATTAATAATAAAAGTTAATTAATAATAAATAAGCTTAAGTTATGAATAAATAACATATTTATTTAATAATTATTCAATTTTAAATTAAATTCTTACTCAAATTCAATTTATTAATTAACGTTCTAATTAATTAACTGTCGGATATAATTAAAAGTAATAATAAATTAATTAATTAAAAAATTAAAAAATATTTAATTTATGCATACTATTAACGGATATTTTCATTTTTCAATTAATTCATACATAGAATTAATGATTAAACGCAAACCTGAGAAATAAATAAATCTAACGCATGGGGGGAATCGAACCTACGACCTACGGACTATGAGTCTAACGCTTTACCAACTACGCTACGTACGCTACTTCAAAACGAATGCTAACTTCTTGATGCTATTTAAACTTCAAAAATACCTAACAAAGAAAAGTGCTTAACATCATTTAGTTAAAGTTAAGATATTAAATTATATTTTCCAATCAAATGCAATTTATAAAATATAATTAATTATATGCTTTATGATTATTATCATGAATCATCTCAGGCGAATTTTCAAAAAAGTGTAAATATATTTTTATTAAAAACGCGTTTTTCGTTGTTTTAAATCATTGGAAACATTCATTTTTTGTTGATAAAAAAATATTTGATTTTTGGACTTAGAAAATTTTGCTAATCGATCATGAGGGCGATCCATGCGGGCCCCTACGGTGGCCCTCATCTATTTTGCCATAAGTGTGAGTGTTATTTTCAAAAAAGTGTAAATATATTTTTATTAAAAACGCGTTTTTCGTGGTTCTGAATCATTATAAACATTAATTTTTTGGTGATAAAAAAATATTTGATTTTTGGACTTAGAAAATTTTGCTAATCGATCATGAGGGCGATCCATGCGGGGCCCCTACGGTGCCCCTCATGGATTCGCCATATGGATCAGCCCTCATGGGCCCCCGCCGGGGGCCCCGAACTCTTGAGGGCAAGATCGTGGCTTTTTCCACACGGGTACCTAATGAAAAATAAAATTAAAATAAATTATATAATAAAAAATAAAATTAAATATAAAATAACAAATTAAAAAAATTATAAAAATTCTTTTTAAATCATTCTTTGTAATAAAAATACAAACAAATAATAATTATTTAATAAAATATTATTTAGAATTTATCACTCAGCAGCATTAAATAATAAACATGATGATATATCGATCACTCCGAGTCAGAATTAAAATGAATAAAAAAAAACTATTCTTTACGTTTAAACGACACAGTCGTCCTTTTCAGAAACTGAAATTTTTATTATAAATATAAGATACAAAATTAAAAAAATTTTATTTCATAAACAATTATTAAATAAATTTTACCTAAAGATAGTTAACATTTTTTTTTTTTTTTTTAGAAAATGTAAACTAAGTAATTAAAAAAAATTTAGAAATGATAAAATGTTTAAAGAACGTCATTGAATTGACGTCTAATAATTATTTAAATTTTAAATTCGACGAAATTAAAAAAAAAACTGTAAAATAAAAATTTATTTAATTAACAATTTTCTATGATAGAAATTCGATTAATTGGATTTTTTTTTTAAATAATATAATTCAGAAAATTAGAAATTCGTCTGAAGAAAGTCTTCAAATAATCAAATAATTATTATTTGAATCAATTAAATGGTATTTATTTTAAATACAGAAATTATTTAGTTCAAATACAATGTATATAATTCAAATAAAAATTATTTGGCACAAATAAATATTTATTTGATAATAGTTAAGTAATCGAGTGTTTAAAAAAAAATACTAAAATATTAAATAAAATAAAAATAATAATATTAAAATAATAATAATAATAAATACCTATTTAATTCAAATAAAAATAATTTGGTTCAAATAAATATTTATTTTTGCCAAAGTTGAATAATTGTGTAAGAAAATAATTGAATTTTACTTGATTTTGTATTGAAATTTTTAAAAATAATTGAATTTTCATTGATTTTGAATTTAAATTTTGGGAAATAATTGAATTTTAATTGAAATTTTCGATAATAATTTAATTTAAGTTCATTTTTAATTGAAAATTTCGATAATTAATTTTGAATAGAAATTTTAAAAAATAATTGAATTTTATTTTATTTTAAATTGAAAACTTGGTAAATAATTGAATTTTAAATTAAAAATTTGAAAATAATTTAATTTTAGTTGTTTGTTAATTGAAAATTTGAAAATAATTAATTTTAGTTGATTGCTGATTGAAAATTTTGATAATAATTAATTTTGACTCGAAATTTTGGAAAATAATTAAATTTTAATTAAAATTTTGGATAATAATTTAATTTAAGTTGATTTTGGATTAAAATTTCGGGTAATAATTGAATTTTAATTGAAATTTTTTATAATTATTTAATTTAAGTTCATTTTTAATTGAAAATTTCGATAATTAATTTTGAATAGAAATTTTAAAAAATACCGTAAAATGGGGTAAAGTCGGCGTTTGCGGGTAAAGTCGGCCGGCGCTTTAAACACTTAAATATTGTATTTCATTTATTAATTTACATTAATTCTAACTACATTTTTAATAAAACTCGGATTTCTTCTGGAAAAAAGTAATAGTTAAACTTTAAAATGATTTAAAGCGCCAGCCGACTTTACCCCCAAACGCCGACTATACCCCATTTTACGGTAATTGAATTTTATTTTATTTTAAATTGAAAACTTGGTAAATAATTGAATTTTAAATTAAAAATTTGAAAATAATTAATTTCAGTTGATTGCTGATTGAAAATTTTGATAATAATTAATTTTGACTCGAAATTTTGGAAAATAATTAAATTTTAATTGAAATTTTGGATAATAATTTAATTTAAGTTGATTTTGGATTAAAATTTTGGGTAATAATTGAATTTTAATTGAAATTTTCTATAATAATTTAATTTAAGTTCATTTTTAATTGAAAATTTCGATAATTAATTTTGAATAAAAATTTTAAAAAATAATTGAATTTTATTTCATTTTAAATTGAAAACTTGGTAAATAATTGAATTTTAAATTGAAAATTTTGAAAATAATTTAATTTTAGTTGATTGAAAATTTTGATAATAATTAATTTTAGTTGATTGTTGATTGAAAATTTTGATAAAAATTAATTTTGACTCGATATTTTGGAAAATAATTGAATTTTAATTGAAATTTTTGATAATAATTTAATTTAAGTTGATGTTGAATTAAAATTTCGGGTAATAATTGAATTTTATTTTATTTTAAATTGAAAACTTGGTAAATAATTGAATTTTAAATTGAAAATTTGGAAAATAATTCAATTTTATATATAATTTAATAACATATAATAATAATTTTCATTATTATCATTTAATATGAAATAATATTTTAATAAATTTAAATTATTATTGATAATATTAATCTTTAATTTCTTTATAACAAACAATTAAAGACTCAATTTGGCGCGCGTTTAATATTGCTAGTAATAGTAATAATAGTAATATTAATAATTATATTAATAATAATAATTGTCTAAAAAAGGTTCAAATAGTTGGTCTAACTGAGAAAGTAGTTGAAACCTGTGACGAAGTTTTAAAACTTATTCAGCATGGAAATAATGCTAGGACAAGTGGACAAACAAGTGCTAATTCAAATTCATCGAGATCACATGCAGTTTTTCAAATAATAGCACGAACTCCAGGAATGCATAAAATTCATGGGAAATTTTCTCTTATTGATTTAGCTGGAAATGAAAGAGGAGCTGATACATCATCCGCAAATAGACAAACAAGTAAAGTTGATTCTTTTTTTTTTTTTTTACACAATTATCCATTTTTGTTCCTTTTTTTTTTTTATTTCCTTAAAAAAGAAAATTATTCTCATATTTCTTAATATTCAAACTTCTCTTCTTTTTTCTCTCTATTTAAAAATAAAAAAATGACAAATAGTTGAATGTAAGAGAAAAAAAAAAAACACAATTAAACTTGAGCTTTATTTTTCAACAGGAATGGAAGGTGCTGAAATCAACAAATCTCTTTTAGCTTTAAAAGAATGTATTCGTGCTTTGGGACGTAAAGGAACACATTTACCATTCCGTGCAAGCAAATTGACACAAGTTCTCAGAGATAGTTTTATTGGTGAAAAATCGAAAACCTGCATGGTTTGTATTTATATATTAAATAAAATAGAGTACAGTAAAAAAAAGAGGTAATGATTTTTGATTAAAATGATTTTTTTTTTTTCAACAGATTGCTATGATTAGTCCGGGTATGAGTTCATGTGAACATTCATTAAATACATTGCGTTATGCAGATCGTGTTAAAGAATTGGCAGCTAATGATCCAACAGAAACGAAAAATTCACCATCCGATGATGATCAACAGAATGAACATAAATTAGAAGAGGATCATACAAATAACAGTGTCTTATCTGATAGTGATTTGGCTCAATTACGATCCCTCAATGTAAGAAAAATAATTAAATTATTAATCTTAAATTACATAAATAAGTTTAAACTGTTAATTTTTTTGTTGCGCTACAAAAAAATTTTTAAATTTGTATAAAAAGAAAATCTGTTAAATTTTAATTCGAAAATTGAATATTGTTCTAAAAAATAATTATTTATTATTATATTATTCATTTATTATTTTCTATTTTTCTTTTTGTTTTGTATGCAAATTTTTATTTTTCTTTTTCTTTTACTAGGAGGGCGAAATCTCTCAAGATTTATATACATTTCATGAAGCAGTATCGGCATTGCAATTACTTGAAGAAGAAGTTTTGGATACACACAAAACCGTTATTGACAGTACCAATACTTTCATAAATGATGCTCATTCTGTATTTTCTGTGACACATGAAGTTGACTACGACCAAGAAGGTAAGTTTTTTAATAAAAATGTTTTTTTTTTCCTTTTTTTTTGCCTTCAAATTTTTTGTGGTTTATTTAATTGTTGCTATGGATATTATTGAAATAACATTCAATATATTCAAAGCCATTTGCGTCTATATTAATTCTAATTTTATACACTTTGTAGGAATAAACTATTTTATTTTCTTTAGGGAAAATATTATTTTTTAAGTTTAGGAAAATTTTCTAAAATATTTAAATTATGAAAATAGATGAAAAATTGAAACAATAATGGGAGAATTTTTTTTTTTTTTAAATTGCAATTTAATCGAAATTAAATTCAAATTAAACGGGACAAAAGGATTTTTAAATTCAAATTCAATTTGGCTAATTATATTAGAAAAAATTGTTTTATTGGTGAATAGTATCAGATGACTCTTTAATGATTTATTATAGATATTCAGAAACTCAGCGACGATTTTGAAAATCTAAAAACCCCTCGATAAACGATTAGTAGGTGAATTTTTTTATCAAAATTTCTAAATTTTTTTTCTACACTAATTTTTTGTTTTCTCTTCTCATGAAAATTTTGTGAGAAATCTCAACTACAAAAAAAATTATTTGCTATAAATTGAAATGCTAAGAAAAAAAAAAAAACTCAAACTCCTTTTAAAATAATTTTTTTTTTTTTATTTAAATTTTCATCGCATCGCGTTTCACAGCAGATTCTGAGGAAATTTCAATTTTCCCCTTGAGAGGAATGAAGACAATGAGCTGTAATAAAAAATTTACTTCAATTAATAATGAAGAAATAGTTGTGAATTCAACATGTAAATTAAATAAAATTTATTGTGACAAAAATTATAATGGAAATATTGAAAATATAATTAATAATAAGGAGAGAATTAAAAAAGAAGCAAATTATAATTGGACATTTAAGAGGAAAATTAACAAGGATGACAATAATTTCAAAGAAATATTGACAAGAAACAAGGGAGAAATTAATGATGAAATATTAGAATTTTATAATGACTTGAGAAAAAATAATAAAGGACAAGATTACATAAATTCAGAAGATTTAAATGGAAGAAGAAAGCAAAACATTCACTTGGTAAATAATAAACTATTCTTAAAGGCAGTGAGAAGAATTTTTTCTAAATTAAATTTATATATATAAAAAAAAACTCTAATTTCACTCTCCTTTTTTTAAACGAAAAAAAAAGAAGATTTTTATCCAATGCTTCTACAACGCTTTTCCAAAGTATATATATATATATTGTTTTAATGAACAAATTTTTCCTTAGAGTGGATCAAACGATTCTTTGGATTATCGAAATATGAAAAAATCGTCTCCATCTAATAAAAATCATCCACTTTTGGAAATAATGCAGAATAAACAAAGGCAAAGAAAACAAATTCTTTCTTTAACGAATAAAATTAAAAATTTGGGCATAAAAAACGATTATCTATCAACAAAATATCGAAATGATAAAGAAGAAAAAGAGGAGAAAAAAAAATTGATAAGAAAAAAAAACATAAAAAATAATTCCATAATGATAATTAAAAATATTATATTGTTTCTTTTATTGCCTGCTTTCTACATCAGCATATTTATTTATATTAAAAATCCATTCGATAAGAAGTCAATTTAGACTTACAATTATTCAATATTGAATACAGAAAATAATTTTTAATTTTAATATTCTTTTTTAAATTCTATTTTAATTTATATAAAGAAGACTTTTATCGTGACGAAGTTTAGAAAGAGACACATGTTAATTAAATGGCAAAACTAATATTAATAAAAAAGTATTATAATAATTAAAAAAGATAAGCATTTTTTGTATTTTTTAATTCTTCTAATAATAAATTAAAAGGAAACATATGCGTTATAAATGAAATATATTTTTCATTATAATTATCGAAAATATAAACGAAAAATTACAGAAGTGAGGCGAAAAAGAACAAAATTCGATTCACCCTACTTGAAGATGAGGTTCTCATTACGTAAACGCCTCATTGAGAGAAAGCAATTTTCAGATGGTACGAATATTATTAATTTTAAGTAATAATAATAATTATATAACGCAAATAATATGAAATTTTCATTTCGAATTTATTTTTTAATATTAATATTCTAAAAAAAAAACATCATAACAAATTGTTTTAGAATATTATTTATATGTACTAATAAATTTTAAAGACGTTCATCTGACACTTATTCATCTTATTGTCTAACTCTTTTCTTGGCGCTTTAAAAAAAAAAATACAATTTTTCCTCTACGATTCAATTTTTCTGTTTTTTGAAAATCAAGAAATTGTATTTTTTCTTTTTTTTTGAATTTTTATTGCTTTATTTCTTTTTTAAGGGAAAATATTTTTCATATTGAACTTTGAAAAAAAAAAAATTTCTGGTGTCGAATTCCAAAAAAAAAAAAAAAATTATCGAATTTCTATAAAAATGTTAAGTAAAATTTTATAGATTTTAAAATTATAACGGAATTTTCATTTAATCGAAAACAAAATAAATATTTAAATGAACAAATTTGTTTTTAGCAAAAATATAAAAATTTATGAAGATAAAAAAAAAATTGAAATTTATCCACGAAAAATTCGTTTTTAATTCTTTTAATCCAAAATGAAAAAAAAAAACTGAAAATACCAACGGTATTAAAATTAAACGAATTATAATTATAATTAAAATTAAAACGAAAAAATACAATTTAAAAAAGTTTAATCGCTTTATAACAAATATATATAATTAACAATTTACAATCACTTGGGGATAAAAACTGTGAAACTTGAAATTACATTTTTCTAGAGTTATAAAATTTACTAACATTTGGAATTTAAATTTGTAATTTCACATTAATGCATAAAATCAGCTTCATAAAATTGATAACAAAAAAAAAAAAAAAAAAAACACAAAAGTAAATGACGAGCAAAATTATAGATTAATTCCTTATTTCTACAAAGTTCATCGCATAGTTCTTATTATTGGGATTTACTAAAAAAAAAAAAAAAAATGGCAATATTTTAAAAAAAAAAAAAAAAAAAAAAAAAATACGTCGGTGAAGTTTACAACGTAAATAAAAAATTTCGCAAAATAATAAATTAAAATAAAATTATTTTACAATAATTAAAAAATAAAGAAAATAAATTATTAAACGTTATAAAAATTTCTTTTCGATAAAAAATTATATAGAAAAATATTTTCTACAAACGTTGTAACTTCATTGACGAAAAATTAAATTAACCCTTTTTTTTTGGCAAAAAAAAAATGAAAAATTCCTTTTTGTTACAGCTTATGCAGAAAAATGGGAACAGCTTTTAATTCAACAAAGAGATAAATTAAATGATGCTTTAGAGCAAGTTAGTCGATTTCGAGGTCAACTTTTGCAGGAAGAACAGATTAGTCAGAAAATGACACGTACGCGCAATACACGTTACAATTAATTTAAAAAAAAAAAAAAAAAAATACACACACATAATTTTTTTTCTCATCAATAGATTTATCATGAATTTGCGTGTTAACTAACAACAACAACAAAAAAGAAGAAGAAATACTTTTTTTGCAATAGTTTCGAATTTAAAAATTCTATTTTATTTTTCTCCTCTTTTGATCGAAAAAAAACACTGACATACATACATTTACATACATTCATGTAATATAAACATACTCAATTTGGAACAAATTTAAAAAAAAAAAATTTAATAATTATTTGAAAATGGAAACATTTTTCAATATAATTTAAATAAAAAAAAAAAAAAAACGAAAAAAGAAAAATGATATTGATTCTTATAGAATCGTGAGAATAAGAAAGAAATTGAAGTAAATTTTCATTTTGATTATAAAAAAAAAAAATTATGAAAAAAGAAAAAACCACTTTTTTTTCCACACTCTTTATGTGTTAGATATAAATAATATATATATAATATAGTATTTTCTCTTTGAAAGAAGAGTTTAAAAATAATAAATCTCTTTAGCATTCTAATTTATTCAATTGAAGTAGATAAGAAAAAGCGCAAAGTGTATGGATAATAAAAAAAGAAAAATTACTTAAAAGCTGCGTAATTTTTATTGAAAAAAAAAAAATTGATATTAACACATTTTCTTGTCATTAATTTAAAACACATTTTTAATTTACAAAATTATGAAATTATGAATGGCTGTATGTATGATGTATGTATATTGTGTGCACTGTTTTTTGAAAAAAAAAAAAAAATTATGAAAAAGTGTATCTTTATCTCTCTCTCTCAAAAAAAAAAAAAATATTGTCTTAATAGAAATAATGTTGGCAACAGTAGAAAGTACACGCATATATCTCTATTCGTATTAAACCAAATAACGACTGATTAAAAAAAAAAAAAAAAAAAAAAAAAAAAAAAAAAAATTAAGAAGATGTGCCACGATGAGTTAAACTCCATTATTTTAAATCGATAAACTAAGTCAACTTTATATATACATATATATATATATATAGAAAGAGAATACATTTAAATTTATACATAAAATATAAAGTTGCAACTTTTTTCCTTTTTACAAATTTTACGTAAGTTTTTAATTTTTTTTTTTAAAATATAAATAATTTAAAATATCATCATCCTGGCAGATGTCCTTAATTATTTCTTAATTATCTTGCGTTTCGTAAAAAAAAAGAAAAAAAAACAGAAAAATAATATTAGAAGAAATGTAAGCATGTGATTTAATAAAAAAAAAAAATATATATATATATATGTCTCCTTATTTATTAAGGAACATAAAAAAAAAGTGCCCTCCCCTTCAAAATAATGTCAAATTTGGCGAACAAATTATTATTACTATAGCTTTTTTCTAATATTGTTTTTGGCGCGCAGAAACTAATAATAAAAAAACCCATTGTTCTGCTGTTATTCAAAAAAAAAAAATTATTATAAAAAGTGTATTTTTTTTTCTATTTTATTATTAATATAAAAAACTTAAATTACAGTCCTCGATGTATTCTATATTTAATTGTTATGGACATTTGTAAAAAAAAACAAAAAAACAAAAAAAAAAAAACAAACAAAAATTTCAATTATAATTCTTTGCAAAAATAAATATTCTGCTTTTATCTTTTTATTTTGTGTCAATTTTCGTTTATTTTTAGATTAAAAAAAAATAAGATCGTAAGATTTAATATTCAATTATTTTTATATTTTTCGAAAATTCAATTATATCTGAAAGTATATTTTTTCAATTAAAAAATTTTGAAATTCAATTTTTTTTTTTTTTTGTTATTTTTAATAAAAATTCTTCATGAAACAGAAATTCAAGAAAAATTTCAATTAAAAAACAATTGAAATTCAATTATTTTCAAAAAAATCTGATTTTAAAATCAAAAATTCAATTATTTTTTCAATTCAATAAAATTTAATTGTCTAAAATTTAAAAAAAAAAATCATTATAATTCAATTTCTAAAAAAAAAAAATTTTCAACACTCTTACAAAATTCAATTTTTTAAAAATATTTTTTGCAAACTGCGAAAAATCAATTATCTGAAAGGATTTTTCAAATTAAAAACATTTAAATTAAATGAATTAAATGTTATAAATTTTTTTATAGTTTAAAAATTAAAAATAATATTTTTTCCATCGCTAAAATAAAATATTTTTTATTTATTTTCTAAACGTAAAAATAAAATCGAAAAATTTATTTCTCATCTAAAATATTTGTATAACTTAATTTTTAATTTCTTATATTTAAAAAAAAAAAATGAAAAAGGCGAATTAAAAAAAAGTTTTTTTTTTAATATATAATAAGAACGTAACATATAATTTAATTAAAAGTACATAATTAAAAAATAATTATAATAATATAATAAATAGTAGAGCGATATTTTTTTCTTTTAAGTTTTTTTTTTCATTGATTTCAAATTTTTTTTTAATTTTGAAAAACCAGCAAAATAAATTTTTTTGATAATCAATAAAAATAACCGAAATTTAAAAAAAAAACTTCCACACTACATTTTATGAAAATATAATAAAATGTAATAAATACGATAGTACAAAAAATAACGTTGTTCTATAATTTTTTTTTTTTTTTTTTCATAAGAAACCAAATTTGTAACTTTCTTTTTATTTAAATTTCTCTTAAATTATTAAAAATTAAACTTTAAAATTAACGATCAAAATATTTTATTGTTTTCAATTTACTACTTTAATTTTGAAGTCTCGTAAATAAATAAATAAATAAATATCGAATTTGATTTTTCTCAAAAAATAGATTAAAATAAATTAATATTATCTAATTAATTAATTACCTGATTGAATTTTTATTATAAATTAAATACGTAAATTAATTTATTCGAAAACTTAATAATTTAATTTATAAACTTTAAATTTCCTAATAATTATTAATTAAATTATTTAAATATATGTATTCAATTAAGTTTATTAACCAATAATTTTAATATTAGTCGGTAATTTTAAAGTTTAAGAATAACTTTTGGACGTTATGATTTTAAAAATATTTTTTAGTTAAAAAAAAAAACAGTTTCATTCGTCTAATTCTCCTGAGCAATATTGATTGTTTTTTTTTTTCTTTTTTTTTTTAAATATAGAAGAATAAAATTTCTCTAATCGCAAGAGTAAAAAAAAAGAACATTAAATCTAATATATATCTAGATATAAATTTTTTTTTTCGACTTTATGAATTTGTCGTTGCTGTCGTAACAAAAACGAATTTTTCAAAACTCATAAATTATTTACAGAATTGCGCATAAATTGCTCAGTGATGTGCTGAATATTTATTTTTTAAAATAATTATTATTAGTTTTTCGTTTCTCTAAAATAATTTTCTCTAGAAGTCTGTTTTTTTGGGGGGGATTGCAATTTTTTTTTTTTTTCTTTGTTTTCAACAGATATTAGTTTCTATTAATGATGATGTTAATTAATTTACTTATGATTATTTATATATAATTATAATAATAATCGATATTCTCACCTTTTATTATTAAATATAATTCCTTACTTTTTTAATTTTATTCATTCATTTTTTTGTTTTTCTTTTTTCATTACTCATTTCTATTACGTAATGGAGACGCTGTAGGCGTTGTGTTTGCACTTTTTGATAGTGTAATGGAATTTTTTTGAATTTTTTGCGTAGTTTTTCCTAAACATGAAGTTGCTGCTGTTGTTGTTGTTGTTGTGTTGATATTCTCCTTTCCTTTGGGTAATTTTTTCTTTTCCTCAAATTTCGTTGATTTATCAGCAATGTTGATGGATGAATTTTTCGTCAGCTGCTCAATTAGTTTCGTCTTGTTTTCAACCTCCTAAAAATTCAAGAATTAGGAAATAATAAAAAAAAGGCCCAATCTTCTTTTTCTTTTTTTTTCTCGGCGAGATAAGAGATTTTATTTCAGATAATAAAAAATCCTCTATTTCCAAGAATACAAAATACAAAAATATTTAAGTTTCGAATAAAAAAATAAATACGTGTAACTTACATAATTTTTGTTTTTGCAATATATATATTAAATTTCCAGGATCGCAGACCCATTTTTAATTTCGAACAATTCGTAAAATATTTTTAATTCCCGTTTATTGGATTTAAAAATGAAAACAATTTTTAAAGTTTAAAATAGTTTTCAAAACAAATTTTTTAAAATTTGAAACAGTAAGTTTAAATTTTTTTCATCCATTTTTGAATGATTTTTTCTTTTTATCAATTTTAAAAAAGTAAAATTTAATTTATAATTAAATTTTCCAGAAAATTTAAGATTTTAATAAAACAATATTTTAATAATCAACTAAAGCTCCGGGCTTCGAAATAATTTAAGCATAAAAATAAAATTGTTTTCTCATTTTTCGTCTCTTCTTTTAGAGGATTTTTGGAATATTCAACCATATCCAATAAATCCCAAGAAGAACGCCAACGGCAAGGAACAAACGAACCTGTTTTAATTTTAGATTATCCTTTTGTTGATTGAGAATTTTATCCTTTAATTTCGAGATATGTTTGATCCTTTGATTATTGTTGTGATGTCCCAAAACTTCAGCGTATTTTTCATTTAATTCTTCGTATTCACTTTTAACACGTTCAAAAGTTTCCGAAAGAATTTTCATTTCGCTGAAAAAAGGAAAAAAAAAAAAAAAACCAAAAATTATTAACAAAACGAAAAAAAATCTAATTTAAAAAAGGAATGAAAATAATTTCCAAAAAATTACCGTTCACTTTTCTCTCGGTGTAATTTTTCTTTTTTCCAATTTTCCATTAATGATGTTTCCAATGTTTTCCAATATTTCTTGTCTTCCGCGAATTTTTCCATGTTTTCCTATCAAAAAAAGAAGAAAAATTAAATTAAATATATATTAATTAAAGTTAATTCAAATTTTTCTTAATTGAACGTTATTGCAATTTAAAATTGTTAATTTTTCTCTTTATCAAGAATTTTACCTTCATTTCGAGATTCGTAGCTTCTAAATTTTCTATTTTCACTTTCAATTCTTTTAATTTTTCCAGATTCTAAAAAAAAAAAAGAAAAATCATTTTTTGTAGTTTTACAAATTTTAAATTAGTACTATTAGTTCAATAATATGTAAAAAAAACTCCATTTTTTGTGAATGGAAATTCTTTTTTTCGGAATTTATGATAAAAAAAAATTTGCAAAAACAATAAATTTATATTTTTTTTTAAAAATACCTCTTCATTTTCAAATTCTCGAGCTTTGCCTTCATTTACCATATTCATTTGATTTTTGAGTTCAACTTCGAGTTTTGAATTTTTCGCCTCTAAATTTGCGACTTCCATCGATTGCTCATCAATTTGTTCTTCAAATTGCAATAACATTACTTGCACTTCAGTCCATTTTGTCGACATTTCGTCTAACAATTTTTTCAACTGTGAAAAGAAAAAAGAAAAAATAATAAATTGAAATTTCTTTTAATTTTCCATTTTTTTGTATTTATTAATATTTATAAATTTTTTTGTATATTTATTATTTTTATTTCTTTTTGTTATTTTTCTTTTCGATTTTTAATTTTCTCTTTATTTACCTCGATATTCAATTTAGTTTTATTCGAGCAATCCTCCTGTAATCGTGACACTTCTTTAGCAGTTGTTTCCATAACATTGTCAATTTTCATTTCCAATGCCAATTTTATTGTTTGAAATTCAACACGACAATTTTCCTCAATCTCATCGATGAGACACTCCTTTGTTTTTAATTGTTCGGAAATTAATTGAATTTGTTCCTCAAGATTTTTTATTTTATTATCCTTTGCCAACAATAAATCGCGTTGCTCACAAATTGTTGTCTCATTAATTTTCAATTCACGCTGAAGTCTTTTTACTTCATTATCACTTTGTGCTAAACGATTTGAAAGAGCGGCAAGTGACGCTTGATTCTCTGACATTACCACCTCGAATCTATATAAAAAAAATAGAAATATAAAAAATAAAAATAGAAAAGTGGGTAAACAAAATTTTACCTTCTTCTTCGCGAAACCATTTCGGCAGCTTCAGTTCTAATGTGATCTTTAAAATTACGAAATTCTTCTTTCTTCTCAGCTAATTCAGCCTCAGCGCGATCCAATTCAGCTTGTAAACTTTGACTGAAGCTCTCCTAAAAGAATTTGTTTTAATTTATTTTAATATTTAAAAATAAATAATTAAATTTGGTTTTACCTGAGTTTCAGCGGCGTTTTTCAATTCATCGAGCGTTGATTTTAATTGTGTAATTTCTAAATTTGCCTCGGATAATTTTTCCTCGAATGATTGTTTTTCAATTGTCAATTTTTCATTAGCCAAACAAACTTCATTATCCGCTATTTTTTTTATATTATTTATCTGTGTTAAAAAATTAACATTTAGTCAAATTAATAGCAAATTTTCAGATCAAAGAATATTTGTTTAAGAATATTATAAAAAAAGAAATCACTTTTCTTTAACTTACTTTTATATCAGATTCTGTAATTACTCTTTTAACGCGTTCTTCACTTTCGTCTCGACATGCCGCCAATGTTTCACGTGTAATTGCTTCGGCATTTTCCACAAGTTTATCGGCGTGCTCCTTTATTCGTTTTCTTTCATCCTCAATTGTTTTCTCCATTTTTTCCTCCAGGTCTTTAAGTTCTTGATCTCTTGCATTCGCCATCTAGAAATAGAAAAAAAAAGGAAAATTTTTTTATTTTTTCCAAAAATATCCTTTTAAAAGTATAATTTTTCAATTTAAAAACAAATTTTAAACATTTTAAAAATCGAGTTTTTAACTGAATTTTTTTTTTTTTTTGTTTCTATTTGTTTTTATTAAAAGTTTTCCCTATTAAAAATAAAAAAATATTTTTCAAAGAATAATAATTATAATTTATAATTAAATAAATATAATTATAATTACGTTTTCAATTTGTTGAAGATATAATAATCGTGCGTCCTCCATCGAGTTCTTCAATTTATTTTCCTCCTCTTCGTGAAATTTCACAAGTTTTTCCAATTTTTTTTTATGCGCATCGTCAATTTGCAATTGATTCTCGTTTAATGTTTCCAATTTGGCGTTCGACATTTGTAATTGAAGGGAGGCCTAAAAATTTCTTTTATTTATTAAAAAAAAAAAAAAAACTCACGATTTTTTCGATTTAGGAAAAAAAGAATTGCAAGAAATGAAATTTTCAAAAAAAAAAAAAAAAATTATTAAAAAATATAAATAAATTTTTGAAATAATTGTAAAAACTTTTTTTTTAAAAAAAAGTAATATAATAACAAACCCACATCTTTATAAAGTCTTTGAATTTTTTCCAATTCTTCATTTAAAAATTGTACAGTTTCATTCGTTTCCTTGTGTTTTAATTCAATTTCCTGTCTCATTAATTTTTCCATTTCACATTTATTTTCCATTATTTCAAAATTTCCCTTTAAATCATTGATTTCGTGATTTTTTGTCATTTTAAAATTTTCAATAATTTCATTAAATCTCACCTCAATTTCCTTATTATCCAAATAAAATTTATTCTCCCCTTTCTCATTGAGATTTAATGATGATTCAATAAAATCAATAATTTCTGTTGTAAATTTATTTTTCGATGATGCAACATTCATTTCTAATGTTTCTGTTAAATTTTCCAAATTTCGCTCCAAATTATTGGCTCTCTGTTGACTTTCCTGAAACTGAAAAAATAAATAAAAATTAAATTAATTGTAAAATTATTTATTTATTTATTTTTTTCTTTTTATTTACTTCTTCGCGAATGATGATTAATTCGTTTTCAATTTCAGTTTTTATATCCATTAAAGTTTCCAATTCACGATCTTTAGTGTCAATAATTTCAAACATTTCCGTTGATAATTCATTTAATCGTTCCTCGGCTTTTTTTAAATTTATCGCCAATTCACCAACACCATGAGCATTTGATAAATTATTTTCCAACATTGCAATTCGATTATTTAATTCAATTTCATTTTGTCGTAATGTTAATATTATATTTTCCAATTCGTGTTCCCGTCTATCGAGTTGAAGAATTTCTTCCTTTTTAAAATTAGCCAATTCCATTAATTGTTTACGTAAAAAATCCAATTCAACTTTATGCTTCTCCTGTTGACTCACTAATACTTCCTGCTGTAATTTCGCCTAAAAAATAAATTTTAGTATTTAAAAAAAAAAAATTAAGTAATAAAATTATTTTTTTAAGGTAAATTTCATTTTTTTTTTTTATTAATTTTATAAATGTAATATTTACCATTGATTCGATATCACGTCGATATTGTTCTTCATCGGCAATTGATTTTTCATTAAGTTCCCTAAATCGTTTTGTAATTTCAATTATTTCTTCTTTTATATCTTCAATATGTTTCTCTTGATCCTGAATTGTTTTATTTTTATTTAAACATTCAACTTTTAAATCGGCTAATTCATTTTTCACATCGTATTGTGCTTTTGATTCTTTTAAACAAATTAATGGCTTTGTTTTTGCCCTTGGACAAGACATTGTTCCATGTTTAACAATTACTTTTTTCCTTGGAACCGGTGGCTGAAAAATTAAATAAAAGATCAATTTTTCAATTTAAATTCAATGTCGAGTAATAAATTTCAAAAAATAATAATATTTAATTTTGTTTTTAATTCAATTATTTTAATATTTAACAATAATTGGTTTATCGAGGTATAAAATTATGAAAAAAATTTTTTCTTTTTTAGAAAATACAAAAGTGGAAATAATTTTTTTTTTTTATACGAACAACGATTAATATTATTTCCGAATTAAATCAATAATAATGGATATTGAAATTACACGAGGGGAGAAAAGTTCAGTGTATACTTGAATGATCGTATCTTTATATTTATGAAGTGTAACCCTCTTACCGTTTTAAATTTAAGACCAGTGGTACTGCCAGCCCCTTTGCTTGAAACTGAAATGCATTCTGCACTACTCGATACACTTTTTGTATCTTGAAATCTCTCCGTTTTTTCAATTGCAAGTCCTTTGACTTTATTTTCAAATTTTGGATCGTAAGCTCCCGGTGGCGGTGCTTCACCTATTTGAAAAAAAGAAAAAAAAAATTAGACAAAAAAGAACCGTAAAATCAAAAATTATAGTAAAAAAAAATTTGAATTTACAATTAAAATTTATATTTTTTTCTATTTATTTCATTTTTTATTTATTTATTTATTATTTATTTCTCTACGATTTACGGACTTCAAATTTTGCAATTATTTTATTTTATTTTATTTTAAATACATATACGGGCTTACAAATAGAAAAAAACGCTATTATAATAATAATAATAATAATAATAATAATAATTATTATTATTATTATTATTATTATTATTATATTATAATATTAATTATAATTATAACAATTTGCAATTATTTTTTCTAATTGTATTATTTTACTATTATTTACAATTTTATTATTATTATTATTATTATTATTATTATTATTATTATTATTATTATTATTATTATTATTATTATTATTATTATTATTATTATTATTAGTATTATTATTTTATTTTTTGAAGAAAAAAAAAATTTCTCCTTTTTTTAGCCAAGGTTTAAAAAAATATAAATTAAATAAATTTGAAATTATATATTAATTAAAATATCAAAATTATCAATAATATATTTTTAAAATCCCATTTAATTTTAATTTATAAAAATAATTTTAATTATTATTTTCTGTAATAATATTACAAAAAAAATAAAAATAATTATTATTCGGTTGAAATATAAAAAAAAGGAAAAGTAAATTTTTTAAAAAAAATATATAACTTTTGCATATATGTAAATAATATAATTTATATATTATAGAGAAAGTCCGAGTTCTGTAAAAAGAAAAAAAAATTAGACAAAAAAGAACTGAATAATAAAAAATTAATAAAAAAAATTTGATTTTACCATTTTAAAATTTATTTAATTTATTTATTTTTCTATTTATTTCATTTTTTATTTATTTATTTATTATTTATTTCTCTACGATTTACGGACTTCAAATTTTGCATTTATTTTTGCAATTACAATAATAATAATAATAATAATAATAATAATAATAATAATAATAATAATAATAATAATAATAATAATAATAATAATAATAATAATAATAATAAAAATTACGAAGCTGAAGTACGCAACGTTTATATAAACGATTTTTAAAGAAATAATTTTTTAAAATGAAAAATTCTATAATTTTTTGCCTAAAAAATATTTTTTGTATAATTTGTTGATTAATAAAAAATACAAGAAATATTTTTTAGGCAAAAAATTATAGAATTTTTCATTTTAAAAAATTATTTCTTTAAAAATCGTTTATATAAACGTTGCGTACTTCAGCTTCGTAATTTTTATTATTATTATATTAAAATATTAATTATACCTAATTATAATAATTTGCAATTATTTTTTCTAATTGTATTATTTTACTATTATTTAAAATTTTATTATTATTATTATTATTATTATTATTATTATTTTATTTTTTGAAGAAAAAAAAAATTTCTCGTTTTTTTAGCCAAGGTTTAAAAAAATATAAATTAAATAAATTTGAAATTATATATTAATTAAAATATCAAAATTATCAATAATATATTTTTAAAATCCCATTCAATTTTAATTTATAAAAATAATTTTAATTATTATATAATTATTATTTTCTGTAATAATATTACAAAAAAAAAATATTATTATTGGATTTAAATATAAAAAAAAGGAAAAGTAAATTTAAAAAAAAAAATATATAACATTGGCATATATGTAAATAATATAATTTATATATTATAGAGAAAGTCCGAGTTATGAAAAAAGAAAAAAAAAATTAAACAAAAAAGAACTGAAAAATAAAAAATTAGTAAAAAAAAATTTGAATTTACCATTTTAAAATTTATTTAATTTATTTTTTTTCTTTTTATTTCATTTTTTATTTATTTATTATTTATTTTATTTATTTCTCTACAATTTACGGACTTCAAATTTGGTATTTACTTTTGCAATTATAATAATAATAATAATAATAATAATTATTATTATATTATAATATTAATTATAATTATAATAATTTTTGCAATTATTTTTCTAATTGTATTATTTTACTATTATTTACAATTTTATTATATTATTATTATTATTATTATTATTATTGTTGTATTTTTTTTATTTTTTCAAGAAAAAAAAAATTTCTCCTTTTTTTAGCTAAGGTTTAAAAAAAATAAATTAAATAAATTTGAAATTATACATTAATTAAGTAATTGGATCCTCGAACCCTGCTATGCAGGGAGAGTAAATAAAATTATTATAAAAATAATTTTAATTATCATTAATTATTATTTTCTGTAATAATATTACAAAAAAAAAAATAATAATTATTATTATTCGGTTGAAATATAAAAAAAGGAAAAGTAAATTAAAAAAATATATATATAACTTTTGCATATATGTAAATAATATAATTTATATATTATAGAGAAAGTCCGAGTTCTGAAGAAAAAAAAAAAAAAAAAAAAAAAATTGTCACCCCGTCCAGACGAATTTGAACCCCCCCCCCCTTTGTTAAGTGGGAATTTTTCTGAAAATGTCCTGCAAAGTCTGCATAAAATAAAGATAAAAAGAAAAAAAAAATAAATAAGTAGAAGAAGAGGAAAGAAAAATGAGCAAGACACATCTGCTTCATAAGGAAACAGCCAAGTTCCGCCCCTGAGAAATATATATATATATATGTACGCATATACATATATACAGAAAAATATCATTTGCGACGAGCATAATCTTTCTCTTTGCAGATATTTTTTTTTTTTGGCTCGTGAGCATTCTAGCATGAATTGCAGTGTCTCTCAAATTTTTTTTTTGAAAAAATTCAAAAATTATATCCCTACGAGAAAAATTTCTTTCTTTTAAATTAAAAATTATTACCAACAAAAAACAAAAGAAAGAATAACAATTACTATTAACTTTAAATAGTTATATTTATTATATTTTAAAATTTCGTGAGAATTTTTAAAATGATGATGAGGAGCTTTTTTTTTTTTGTTGAGAGTCACTGAAGCAGGGCGAACTGCTAAAAAATGGGGGACAGCTGTGATGTAATATTAAGGGGTCGTCCTTATATGTATATATATATATATGTATATGGGGTACATAGAATTACCAGGTGTTCCCGCGCTTTCACCCCACACTCAGTGTCAACTTCAAACAACTCCCCTTCCCCCCCCAGAACCATTATTTTTCACCTACGTGTGGTCCCCCCTTCACCCCTCTAAAAGTGACGAGTAAACATTTAAAAATTAAATGCTTTATATTATATCGGAAAAAAAAGTTGCATTGGAATACAGATTAAAAAAAAGGTGTCAATACAATTGGTGGGAAAAGTTACCCCAATAAAAGAAAATTCATTGTTTGTATATATATATATATTTTCCGTTTGGATTTGTTTTCAATAGCAAAATCAACAGGTAAAACGTATTACAAAGATTTAGATATTTCATTGTTTTTTTTTTTTTATTTTACTTTTTTCTTAATGCATAATTCAATTTTTATTTAGAAAATATATTTTATTTCTAATATTTATATAATTAATAATTTAATAAAATTAGTATTAAAAAAAAAAAAAATAATAATGGAAACAATTATTTCATGCTTGAATAATTTAAGTTAAAATTTAATTTAAATAATTTCTTTTATTCATATAAATATAAAAATAACGAATAAAAAAAAAACGTTAATTATTATGAAAAATTTTGGAAATGAAAAATAAAAATGATAATTTGGAAAAATATCTAATATTAAGGAAAAAATAATTAAAATCGAAAATTATTTTTACATAATAACAAAAAAATATATATATATAGAAAAAAACAGAAATTAACCTAAAAAAACAACAACTAACAAAGCCTAAAAAAACAATAAAAAATATTTTTTAATAATTTTTGACATATTGTTATTTTATTTAATAATAAAAGGGAAAATTTATCTATTTGTATCAATAATCATAAAATTCTTCAACTTTTCTACTTTATCCTTAGGTACTAAAAGATATATGTAAATAAATAAATTCATAAAAAAAAAATGTCAAACTCACTTCCAAGTTCGTTGAATCGTTGAATCCTCGCTTTGGAAAAAGACATTTTTATTGAACTTGCTTATATATTTATTGAAACGTAATAATAAATTTAAAAAAAAAAAAACACTCGCGATAAATAGGAACAATAACGCGTGACACTTTGTAAAAAAAAAATATATATATAACCACTATTATTAATTAAACAACACTAATCACATATATAAAACGCATAAAACACTCGCGAACCCGAAAACACAAACCCCCTTAAAAACCCTAAACCATCTTGACCCCTTGAATTCAAGTTTCTATATGAGGAGGGAAAAATAATTCTGCACCGGTTGTCCCTCGGCTTTTTAACGTTTTTTCAAGGCGGGATTTTCTCCTCTCTTTCCATTCCAGGGTTGAGAAACATTTGACAAAAATTTTACAACTCTTTTACAATTCTAACCTTCACTATGAGATTCTTTTTATCTTTATCAATTATATTCAGAAAAATTAATTAGAAAAACATTATTTAGAATATTAATAGTCTAGATTATTAATTTATCAAATTTTTTATTAATAAAATACAGTTGCGCTGATTTTGTTCATGTCATTCTCAACCGTGGCGTTTTAAAGTGACCGTTTTTTTGACAAACTATCAACAGCCAATCAGAAAGCAACATGAAGAACATAAATCTACGAATCGGAAGGCAGAATTCAAAAACTCACAGTAGTGTAACTTTTATCGATTTTAAAATAATAATTAATAATTTGTTAGCAAATGTTATTAAAAATAATTCCAATTTTTTCCAATTAGAGAAATTAAATAACTGTTAAATATTTTTGTAAACAACCCCCTGGGTATTAATTAGAAAATTTAATATTTAACATTGAGAATTTAATAACAATGCGTCCATCCCTGCTTTTTTATACTTCATATAATCAAAATAAAATTTAAAATTTTCACTTTTTTTCATTAATTAAATTGTTTCACAATAAAATTTAATGAAACTTAATATTTATCGTCAATTTTTACTAATTACATTAAAATATTCTTTTTACTTAATAAATTAAATAGAAAATTAAAAACACTCATTTGATTGCCACGTCAAAACCCCACCGGACAGAAGAAATTCGTCTGCTCGTTGTCTTATTGGTGGTGTGTGTCGTCGTGTCCCGGTTTTCTTTACTTGTGTACATCGTTTTTGTTCGTGTGCGATTTTGACACAAGCTTGTCAAAATCGCTAAATAAGAAAAATAAAAATGGAGTTCAAATTTTTATTCGCTCTACTAGGACTCATTTTATATTATACAAATAATGTCACCTGTCAATATAGGACAAAAAGTGTAAGTATTTTTTTTTCCATTACTATTGTATTTGTTGTGTGTACAAAAAAATGAAGATCGAATCTTCATTTGACACGTCATTTGCGTTCTCGTGTAAATGTAAATATTTTTCTAATTTTTAGATTTTTATATTATTTTTTAATTATATAAACAAAAATTTTTGAATTTTTATATCGAATAGCATTTTATTTGCTTTTTTTTCAGATTATTTCAAAGATTTCTTTATTTATGTAACATAACCTCAAAAGTGTCGAATAATAAAAATTTTTGGTTTTTATTTGTAATTTTTTTTTTTAATAATGGAATTTTAAATTGTTATTTCAATTGTGGATGGTAATTTTTAGGGTTTTTATTTTTTTTTCTCTTAGAAATATGGAAATGAAAAATTTGTTTTTAGGTTATGAAAGCTTTTTGCATTTTTTACGTAATTTTTTTTTGGGGGGGGGGGAGAAATATTGAAAAAAAATAACAAAAATTGGATTACTAATAAATGAAATAAAAATCTACAGAGTCAGAGTGCCTCATTGGCTGAACGTGTACAACAATTGACTGATTTGGCTATGAAACGATCTGTTATTAAATTTAATGGAGCAAGGTTTAAACAATTTTTAAAAACAACCCCAAGGAATTATTCTGTTGTTGTTATGTTTACTGCAATGGCACCGCAAAGGCAGTGCCAACTTTGTAGGTAAGAAATTTTTATATTTTCTATTTTATTTATTTAAATCTATTGCTATTATTATTATTATTATTTTTATTAAGAATTTATTAAATAATTTTTTAAAAATTAAATATAAAAGTTTTTTATGTTATTTGGTTTTTTTTTTTAAATTATTATTAAATATTTTTAAATAAATATTTTTTTATTTTTATTTATTTATTATTATTATTATTATTTATTTATTTATTTAATTTTTTATTTATTTATTTTATTTTTTATTTTAAATAAATATTTTTTAAATCGATAAATTATTCAATAAATAAATAATTTTAATTAATTTTTTCAGTATGGCGAATGATGAATTTACGATAGTAGCAAATTCATTTAGATATTCTCAATCGTTTTCGAATAAATTATTCTTCGCATCTGTGGATTTCGATGAAGGATCTGATGTTTTTCAATTAGTAAATAATTTTTTTAAATAAATATTTTTTACATTTTTTTTCCCTCTCAGTATGAGAATATATTAGATTTCAGATTAATAGAAAGAAGTAATAAATTTAAAAATTAATTTAAATTTTTTATTTAAAAATTATTAGAAATTTTATTTAAAAAAAAAAGTATTATTAAAAATTTTATTTAAATAATAAAAATTATAAATTAAAAAAATAAAATATAAAATTTTAAAAGTAATGTAAACTTAAAATTTTGTAATTTAAATTTTTTGTCTAAATTTGTTTTGTTTTCAATATAAAACAAAAAATTGAATGAAAAATGAATTTCTGTTTTTTTAGATGAGACTCAATACTGCGCCGGTTTATATGCATTTTCCAGCTAAAGGAAAATCAAAACCAGGTGACACAATGGACATTCAAAGAGTTGGTTTTGGTGCCGAAGCAATTGCAAAATGGATTTCCGAACGAACTGATATTCAAGTATATTTTTCTGTTTAATTTTTCTTTTTTTTTTTTTATTAATTATTAGAAAATATTTTTTAAAAAAAATCCATTTTTCAATTTTAGATACGAGTTTTCCGTCCACCAAATTATTCGGGAACACTTGTCGTTACAATATTGTCAATTTTCATTGGTGGTTTCTTGTACTTAAGGAGAAATAATTTGGACTTTATTTATAATAAAACACTCTGGGGACTTTGCGCAATGGTAAATTTACAATTTTTTTTCTTCATTTTATTAAATTAATTTCCGTAAAAAATGAAATATTATTTTTTCCTTTTTTTTCTATTCAATTTACTAATTAAAATAATAACTAAAACTACAATTATTTGAATTACTATTAATAAATTAAATTTAAAAAAAAATGATAGAAATTAATTCTATTTACAATTATTAGAATTACTATTAAAAAAAAAATTCTAGAAATTAATTAATTCTATTTATCTCTTTTTTACTTTGTTTTTTCTTGTAAATTTTCAGTTCTTCACATTAACAATGATCTCGGGACAAATGTGGAATCATATTCGAAGTCCACCATTTGTTCATAGATCGCCAAATGGAAATGTTGTTTACATTCATGGATCATCGCAAGGACAATTTATTTTAGAAACTTACATAGTTTTAATGCTGTGTATCCTTTTTCATAATATTCATTCATTTATATTAATATTTTAATTTAAATTTTCAATTTTTAAATTATTTTGCAAAAAAAAAATTTTTTTTAATTTTCCACAAAAAAAAAAATATGCGAAAATATAAAAATTTTCTTCAAAAATTTGATTTCAGAAAAGCAATTTTTTATTTGTTAAAATTCTAAAAATTGGTATTAAATTTATTTACTTTTTCTTTTTTTTTTTTTGAGTTTTAGGAAATAATTTAATTTGAATAGAAAAATTGTTTTGTTTTTTAAATAGGAAAAAAAAAAATTGGAATTATTTTCCTTAAATTTTGTTTCAAATTTAGACGCTGCTGTTGTTTTTGGAATGATTCTCATGACAGAGGCAGCGGCACGAAAAGGCGATGTGAAAAAACGAAGAATTTTTGCTGTGATAGGCGTGGGATTAGTCACTGTATTCTTTAGTTTTCTTTTGTCCATTTTCAGAAATAAAACTCAGGGATATCCATACAGGTAATTTTTTTCTTTAAAAAAAAAAAATATATAATTTTTTATATGAAAATTAGTCAAATGTTAAATTTTTTTTCTCATTCTATAAAAAATTGAAATATAAATTAAATAAATTCAAAAAAAAAAAAAAAAAAAAAAAAAAAACAATAGATAATAATAATTTCCAGATTTTAATAAAAAAATAATTTTTTCAAAGAAAAAAAAATTATCAAAGAATAAGTTTAAAAAAAAAAATTTACAAATTTTAAATAGTTTTGTTTTTGAAACATTTGACTAAATTTACAGATTATTGAAATGAATAATTTTTTTTTACTAATAACTAATTCTTCTTTTTTTTCAGCCTTCTATTTAGATAACTGTCCCATTTAAATATAAAATCAGAAAAATCATGAATGATTAAAAGAAAAAAAAAGGAAAACATTTTTTTTTTTTTTGTTGACCAAAATCATAATTTTCATTCCAGGCGCCTAGAATATTAAAATATTGTTTTTTTTTTCACATTATTTTTTTTTTCTATACAGAAAGTTTAATATAATTGTAAATGTGTTGAGCGTGTACAATTTTAGAAGTTTTACTTCCACTCCCCCCAATATTGTGTGTATGAAATGCGTATTAAGTGTTATACTTGTTATAAATAACTAATAATATTATTAAAAAAAGAAAATGAAAATAATAGTGTAATATAATCCTTTCTTTATAAAAATTTTCATAAATTGACTTCAGTTTATTTTTTCAAGAATTAAATAAATAAAAATTCAAATGGAAAAACAAAAAAAAAAAAAAATTAAAAGAAAAATTTGCGACTAGTGTCGAAATGGTGCAATTTTCAGTTTTTTTTTGTTATTTAAGAGAGAGAAAAAATTTTCTTTTTATCTAGACATTAATATTGTATAAAAATAAAATATGCAGTATTTATAATAAATAAGGAATGATAATTTTACGTGATGGAGGATAATCTTTGAATGTGTTCCTGTGCCATTGATGCGACAGAAGACCAGTTACAAACTAAAAAAAAAAGGAAATAATTTAGTATTGCATTAATTTTCTTTTTGAATTAATAAAATTAAAAAAAAATTAATAAATCTTGAAATTCATATAATATATAAATTTACATTCTATACTTAATTTTTTTTTTCCTTTTTTCTCACCTGATTAACAACGACCCATAAACAAACGAAAAAATACGTTTCACCTTGACTGATAATAATTTTTAAAGCCATGTACATTCCAATTTCGGTGAATTGCAATGGTGCGGAAATATAATTAAAAAGTCCGCCTCGCGGTATTTTATGCTCCTTTGTCACGATAATGCCATTTTTGTCTTTTCGTAAATTTGCAAGAATAATATTTGTTTGCAATTGTTGATAACTCATCCAAAGAAAAATTATAGCTCCAATTAAATCTTTGATTTTCAATGAATCAATCTTTGAATTTCTCATGGTATCTATAATTTTCGTAAAAAGAAAAACACTAAAAAACAATATTATATATATAAAAATACTAAAAAAAAAATTCATTAAACTTCATAAAATAAAAATAATTTTCTCTCAATTTTATTTGAAAACAATATTAGTAATAAAGTAATTTTAATATCAATTTAAATGAATGCTGAAATATTTTTTATTTTTCAAATTAAATGAAAAAAAAAAAATTCACTTACCTTTGTTAAAACCTTCGGATTCGCCTAAAATTGCAGCAATTAAACCAATATAGTAAACATATCCAACAATATAGTGAGAAATATTAATTTTTCCATCGCTAAAAATATTTACACTTTGAGTTTCGTAAATTCGTTTTGTTGTTTGAATAGTGACAAGAAATATGGCAAGTGTTGTACGTGACAAAGAAACTGTAAATAAAATTCAAAAATTAACTTTAAAAAAAAAAAATTAATTTAGGTAATTAAAAATTCAATTAAAAACATTTTTTAATGAAAAAACTAATAAATAATAAAAATACTTTTTCTCATTTATAATTAGAATGTAAAAATGATTATCTAAATTTCTTTTTTTTTTTATAAATTCTAAAACAAATATTTGCGAATTATTTAATAATTTTTAAACAAAAATTTTACCCAATGGCTTTCTTTCGCTTCCCATTAATAAATCCAAAATTGTACAAATAAATTCAGGTACATTTTCATTGTTGACATATTTTCTAATTGTTATAAATAAACAAAATGTTGCAATTGGCGAAGCAACAATGTAAAAATGTCGAAACCATCTGAAAATTGAATTTTATTTTCTATTTGTATTTTAGGTTCTTTTTTTTACAATTAAATAAAAAAAAATTTCAAACTGTAACCAAAATAATGGATTAATAATAAAAGAAGTGAATTTTTTTTTAAATAATAATACAAAAAAAATTATAAAAATATTAATATTATATAAAAAAATAAATTTATTTTAGTTAAAGAATATTTAAAAATATTTTTCTTTCGAGAATATTTAAAAATGCAAATATTATTTTATAAAATAAAAGAATTAGAGAATGAAAAATGTTTATAATTTCAAAGGAATATTTACTAAAATAAAAAATATGGAGGTGTTGAACTTTATTCTTCATATTAAAAGAGTTCAATTGTAACAATATAATATTATGCAAATTAATTTTTTTTGTCAATTTCAAAATTATAAATAAAAATATTTTAAAAATCTAAAACTATTTTTTTTAAACAGAAAATTTTTCTTTTCAATATTTTCTTTAAAATGTGAAAATAATTGATTTATATTTTATAATTTTAATTAATAAATAATTAATTAATAATTATTTTTTATAAATTAATTTTTATAATTAAAAAAAAAATTTTAAATATAAAATATTATATTATTTATTGTATTAAATTAGATTATAAATATTAATGAATGAATTTATTAAAATTTTAATTATTTAAAATTAAAAGAAATTGATGAAAGAAAAAGAAACTCACTTTTTTGGAAATTCGACAATTTGAAGAAATTGATTTTGCTTTTTTTCGGCGTATTTACCATAATTAAAGGCCTGCCTCATAATATCGGGTAAATAATTTTTAAAAAAATACATAAGTATCCCATTAATTGCAAGGTAAAGGGAGAAAAAGGAAAAAATAATTGCAATCAAGTTCATGGTTAATGCTCGCGAACATTCAACTTAATATATCTAGATGAATTTACTATTATAAAGATAGAATATTCTTTAGTAAAGTGCAATGCCTACTTTAGAAAGTAAAGTGTACTAAAACTTCACTGAGAGCTGTGTGTACTCTTGTGTCCTACTCTCAGTACGCATCCTATATATACAATCTGACAAATCAAATAAAGCGACAGTGATATTTTTTTGCTATTTCACAAAAGTAATAGTTTCCTCATAATTTTTATTTTAAATATTAATATATAGAACCAGAAACGGCAAATATTTTATAAAACCAAATTTTTTTTTTAACTTGACTCAATTTTTAATACTTCAATTTTTATTTAATTTAATTTCTATATTTTTAAACAAAGAGAATTTCTTATTTAGCTCGATTTAGAATTTAGAATTTCTTTTTTAGTAAAAATTGTATTTTTACTAAAATTTACGGATATTTAATTACATTTTTATTTTATTATTTATATATTTTATTAACAAAAATTTTATTGTTACTCGTAATAAATATATAAATAATTATTAAATTTCAAAAAAAAAATTTCGATGGAAAATTTTAGAAATAATTAAATTTTAGATGCTTTTAAATTCAAATTATTGAAAATAATTGAATTTTAATTGATTTCGAATTAAAATTTTGGGAAATAATTGAATTGTAATTGGAATTTTTTTAAATAATTGAATTTTATTTGATTTTAAATTGAAAATTTAGAAAATAATTACATTTTTAAAAGATTTTGAATTCAAAATTTGGAAAATAATTAAATTTTAAAAGATTTTAAATTGAAAATTTGGAAAATAATTGAATTTCAATTGAAATTTTGTATAATAATTGAATTTTTATTAATTTTGATTAAAAATTTTGGGAAATAATTGAATTTTAATTGATTTTCAATTGAAATTTTTGAAAATAATTTAATTTTATTTGATTTGAAATTGAAAATTTGAAAAATAATCGAATTTTAAAAGATTTTAAATTAAAAATTTTGAAAATAATTAAATTTTATGTTTAATTTTGTATTGAAATTTTTAAAAATAATTGAATTTTAATTGATTTTGAATTACAAATTTTTGAAAATAATTTTATTTTATTTGATTTGAAATAGAAAATTTGGAAAATAATTAAATTTTAAAAGATTTAGAATTGAAAATTTTGAAAATAATTGAATTTTGATTTTGAATTGAAATTTTGGATAATAATTTAATTTTAATTGATTTTTGATTGAAAATTTTGATAATAATTAATTTTGTATAATAATTGAATTTTAATTGATTTTGAATTAAAATTTTTGGTAATAATTGAATTTGAGTTGATTTTAAATTGAAATTTTGGATAATAATTCAATTTTATTGTGATATTTTTTTTTAAATTATAAACAATTGTTAAATTTCATAAAAATTTTAATTGAAAAAATAATTTTGATATAATTGAATTTTTGATGTGTTTAATTAAAATTATTAAAAGTAATTAATTTAGTGAAGAATCATTTTAGTTCAAAATTTGTTAAATAATTGAATTGAAGAAGATCTACAATTTATACTAAAAAATGTATTTTATTTACATTTTTTTGCAAATGTAAAAAAAATGTCGCATTTTATTAAAATAATTCGATAAAAGTCGTATTTTTGAAAAAAGTCGTATAATCCGAGGCCTGTAAACATATAATTTTCATTATTATCATTTAATATGTAATAATATTCTAATAAATTAAATTATTATTGATAATATTTATCTTTAATTTCTTTATAAAAAACAATTAAGTACTCAATTTGGCGCGCTTGCGCGCGTTTAATTTTGCTAGTTTCAAAATAAAATTTTTGAATTAAATTAAAATTTGAAAATTTGTACTTTATAGAAACAATTACAAATTGAAATTAATTGAATTCCAAATTCAATTTTTGTCAATTCAAAATTTGATTGAGAGAAAAATTCACTTTTTCAAATAATAAATTTATTTTTTTCAAATATAAAATTCACAATTATTTAAAATAAATAAGGAATTAAAATTTTACGAGATGGTGGATAATTTTTAAAAGTTGTTTTATGCCATTGATGCGACAAAAGACCGGATATAAACTGAAAAAGAAATATTAATAATTAAAATTAATAATTTTTTTTCTTCTATTAATTTTTAAAAAATATTTTTCAATCACTATATTTTTTAATTCGATTATATTAATTAACTTATTTATAATTTTTTTCAATAAAAAGGGGTTATTTAATTTCTTTTTTTTTTTTTAATAAAAAGAGAGAAATTCTCTATAATTAAAAATTTGCTATAACTTTTTTTAATAAATTAAAATTAATTATCATTTTGTATTAAATTTTTTGGGATTTGAATATTAATAATAATTAAATATTTTACCTGATTAATGACGACCCACATACAAAAAATATAATACGTTTTACTTTCATTTATTATTATTTGTATGGCCGTGTACATTCCAATTTCGGTGAATTGTAATGGAGAGGAAATATAATTAAAAAGTCCTCCTCGTGGTATTTTATGTTCCTTTGTCACGACAATTCCTTTTTTGTCTTTTCGTAAATTTGCAAGTATAATATTTGTTTGTAATTGTTGATAACTCATCCAGAGAAAAATTATTGCCGCTATCAAATGTTTTGCTTTCAATGTATTATGAGAATTTTGCTCAAATCCTGTTTTTTTCCAAAAAAAAATTTATTTATTTTTTTTTTTTCTTCTTTATTAAAATTTTCACAATATTTTTTCTAATTGTTACAATGAAATGTCTTTTGAAAATGAAAATTTTTTGAATTGAAAAAAAAAAAATAAATAAAATTGAAAAATTAATAATAAAAATTAAAAAAAAATAAATTAATTAAAAAATAATTATTATATAATAATACCTCTAACTAATCCTTCCGATTCTCCCAAAATAGCAACAATGAAACTAAAGTAATGAAAAAATGCGACAATATAGTGAAAAATATTTATTTTCAAATCGCTAAAAACATTCACAAATTGAGTTTCGTAAATTCTCCTTATAAGATGAGTGGATATCAAAAATAATGCAAGAATTGTTTGCGGCAAAGATACTAAAAAAAAATATATATTATTTTTACAGTTTTGCCAATTTTTTATATTATAAATTAAATTTTTTGAAAATCATTTCTAAATTCATGTATAAGATTGAAATAAATTAATTTTTACATTTTTAAAAATAAAAATTATAATTTAATAATATAAAAAGAAAAAAATTCTTTACCCAATGGTTTTCTATTGTGTCCCATTAATAAATCTAAAATAAAATAAATATTTTCCGGAATATTTTCATTGTAAAAATATTTGTTAACTGTCAAAAATAAAGAATATATGGCAAGTGGAGCTGTGACGATATAAAAATGTCCAAACCACCTGGTAAAAAAAAATTATTTTATTTTATTTTATTTTCATTTCAAATTTATTTCATAATTGAATTTTATTTGTTAAAAATTAAAAATTTAATTTTTATTGAAATTAATTTTATAATTGGTAAAAAAAATTATTTTATTTTATTTTATTTTCATTTCAAATTTATTTCATAATTGAATTTTATTTGTTAAAAATTAAAAATTTAATTTTTATTGAAATTAATTTTATAATTACATTTTTTGATTCTCTTCTAATTTGAAAATATAATATTCAAAATTAATAAATAATAAATATTAAATATTAAAGATACTCACTTTTTTGGCAGCTCAAGCTTGGAAATAAATTGACTTCGCATATTCAAATTATATTTTCCATAGTTAAAAAATTGTTTAATAACATCCGGCAAATAATTGTTAAAATAATAAATAATTATTCCATTAATTCCAATGTAAAGGGATAAAATACAAAAAGCAATTTTTACCAAATTCATGATTAATTTTAATTTAATTTCTTTTTTTTTTGCGACCGATTTTTTTTTATCACTCCTTTACTAGGTGTGTGCAACTGTCGCGTCTATATTACAAGCATTTAATTAAAATAAATTAAAAAAAAAAAAAGTTTTTTTTTTCAAATCATTTCGATATAGAATTTTACTTGGGGAATTTATTAACAAAAATCGATAAAACTATAAACTATTTTTAAATATTTAAATAAAAATATTATGTATCAAAAATAATCGAGTTTCTTTTAATACAATTTATTATAACTATTTTAATTATTTAATTAATATATATACACACAATTTTTTATTTTACTGTTAAAAAAAAAAAATGTTTTTTTTTAATTTAAATCAAAAAAAAGTTTTTACATTTCTTTTGGTTTCTTTATGTTAAAAATTTTATAATTATTTAAAAAAAAATATAATTAATTATCTTGTAATATTTTCACTGAATTCATAATAAAAATGGTATAATTATTTTTCTCGATTGGGGATAATTTTTGAAATTTTTATTACTCCATTCGTGAGACAGGAGAGCGCACAAAAACTGTAAACAAAATTATTATTATTATTATTTAATTATGATAAATTAAATTTTAAAAAAATTTAATTATTATTAAAATTATTTTATTTACTATTTTACTTTATATTTAATTATTTAATTTAATTGAAATTAAAGTTTGTATAAATTGAATTGAAATTAATTTTTTAGAGCAAAAAAAAAAAGATTTTTCTCACCTGATTTGTAACGACCCATAAATAAATAAACAAATATGAGGAGCTATCGGATAAAATAATTTGCAGCGCTCCATAAACACCAATTTCGCTAAATTGTAAAGGCGACGTAATATAGTTAAAAAGTCTTCCATGAGGAATTTTATATTCTTTCGTCATGACAATGCCTTTTTTATTTCTTCGTAAATTCGAAAGAATTATATTCGATTTCAATTGTTCATATGTCATGGCAAGAAAAATTAATCCACCAAAATAATCTTTTATTTGCAATGAATTTTTGAAATTCACCATCGAACCTGTAATAATTGTCGTGAATTAAAAAAAATATATATATTTTTTTATTTAAATAATTAAAAAAAAAGGAGGAATAAATTATTAAATTATAAAATTTATCATTTACAATTTTAATTTGTCATTTTTTTCTAATCGGATAATTTAATAATTAATTTATTAATTAAATTTTCCTTTTTTTTTAGACTTTTAATAATTTTTTTGATACCTTTAACAAATCCTTCTGATTCGCCGATAATTATAATAATCAGACTGAAATAATGCAAAAAACCGATAAGATAATGTGCAATATTCATTTTTGCATCGCTGAATACATTTACATTTTGAGTTTCGTACAATCTTTTTGTAAAATGAATTGTTAGAAGAATAAGTGCAAGAAGAGTATTTGCAGGTGATACTGAAACGAAAAAAAAAATAATTGTTTCTTCACTATTTGAATAAAAAAAAAAATTTTAATTATAAAATTTTAATTATTTTGTACTATTTTTATTTTTAATTTTAAATGTTTAATTTAACGAACAATTTTTTATATAAATAAAAATACAAAAATTACCTGTTGTTTCTCTATCTTTTCCCAAAGAGAGATCTAAAATGAAAAAAATATAATTCGAAATTTCATGATGAAAAAAATATTTCTTTACAACTATAAATATTGCAAACGTCGAAAGTGGAACTGCAAAAATGTAGAAATGTTTAAACCATCTGAAAAAAAGAATTTTATTTTATTCTTATATTGAACTATTCATTATTTTGTACAAAAAAAAAAAAAAAAAAAATGTAAAACACTAACCGTTTTGGAACTTCAAGTCGACTAATCAATGAATTCGGCACATTCTCAGCAAATTTTCCAAAACAAAATGCTTGTCTCAAAAATTGTGTTAAATCATTTTTCAAAATTGAAATAAGTCCTATAATAATACCAAGATGAATGATAATGCAACTGAAGAGAATTTGAATAAAATTCATTTCGAAATTTTTTTGTTAATAATTTTGCGTTCATCAAAAAACAAAAATTTTCCTATTTTCATTCCTGTGTATAACGAACTGAAATCAAAATTACAAATTAATAAAATAAAAAAATTTTTAACCATAGAAAGGAAAAAGAACTTCCGAAGTGGAAAATTTCATTTTTTTTTTTTTTTTTGCCGACGATAAAAAAAAATCCATTGAAACAGAAAAATTACAATTTATTAAAACATAATCTCAAGGGACTAAAAAAAAGTCGCCTTTCTTTCTCCTCCCCCCCCCCCGTGAAAATTTCCTGAGAATATTTACAGATAAAAAAAAAAAAATATCACATTGTTATAAAAAAATTAAACTTCAGTATGAATTTGAAATGTTTCCTCAGTGAGCAATGAATCACCACATATTTCTTTATCTAAACGATTCACAGTTTTCACATCAATTCGTATAATAACAGTGTCATTTTTCACAAAACTCTCTAAATATTTAATTAATATAAATTCAGTAAAACCATAACTACGTCGATTAATATTATAAATTGGTTTTTTAAATGCCTCAAGATTTGATTGTGTTTTAGCTGTTTCTAAAATATTTTTACGCGTATCATCAGGATTTACAAGTAAAAATGATATCCATCCTTCAAATGGCCAATCAAGTGTATCATCATTTTCCGATTTAACAAGATGCAATACCAATGATAAAAAATCAGAATTATTATGCGATACATTAATTCTTGCACAAACTTTATAGCCCATTGTACTTGTATAAAATGATGGACTAAAAAACATATTCATTCGATTTTCCATCATATTATTTAATTTCTCATGAAATAATTCCAATTTCCAAATATATGAACCATTACAAGTGCGTTCAATAATTGATGATTGTAAATTTTCCAATGCAAATGTTAATTCACGATTTTTTTGTTCCAACATTACAACTTTCTCGCATAATTCACTGGAAAGAAAATTAATTTCAAAAAAAAATTGGATTTTGTAAAATTATGAAAATTCAACTTACTGAATAATAGGTTGAGATTCAGTTTCTTCTTTTGACGGTGGATCCCAATATTTTGCTTCGGCTGCTTTTGCATCGATATTTGATTTTAATGTTAAATGAGATAAAGAAGTTGCAATCATCTGAAATAAAAAAAAAAAAAAAAAATTGAAGAAAAATACTATTTTAATTTAAAACTAGCAAAATTAAACGCGCGCCAAATTGAGTACTTAATTGTTTTTTATAAAGAAATTAAAGATTAAGATTATCAATAATAATTTAATTTATTAGAATATTATTACATATTAAATGATAATAATGAAAATTATATGTTTACAGGCCTCGGATTATACGAATTTTTTCCGACTTTTTTCAAAAATACGACTTTTATCGACTTATTTTAATAAAATGCGACATTTTTTTTTACATTTGAAAAAAAATGTAAATAAAATATATTTTTCTAGTATAAAATGTAGATCTTCTTCAGATCTTCTTCAATTCAATTATTTAACAAATTTTGAACTAAAATGATTCTTCACTAAATTAATTATTTTTAATAATTTTAATAAAATACATCACAAATTCAATTATATCAAAATTATTTTTCAATTAAAATTTTTATGAAATTTAACAATTGTTTATAATTAAAAAAAATATATATCTCAATAAAATTGAATTATTTTTTGAAAAATTTCAATTCAAAATAAACTAAAATTCAATTATTACCTGAAATTTTAATTCAAAAACCAATTAAAAATCCAATAATTATCAAAAATTTTCAATTTAAAATTTAATTATTTACCAAGTTTTCGATTTAAAATGAAATAAAATTCAATTATTTTCTAAAATTTCTATTCAAAATTAATTATCCAAATTTTCAATCAAAAATGAAATTAAATTAAATTATTATCCAAAATTTCAATTCAAAATCAACTAAAATTCAATTATTACCAAAAATTTTAATTCAAAATCAATTAAAATTCAATTATTATACAAAATTAATTATTATCATAATTTTCAATCAAAAATCAACTAAAATTAAATTATTATCCAAAATTTCAATTCAAAATCAAAGAAAATTCAATTATTTTCAAAATTTTCAATTCTAAATGTTTTAAAATTTAATTATTTTCCAAATTTTCTATTTCAATTCAAATAAAATTATTTTCAAAAATTTTTAATTCAAAATCAATTAAAATTCAATTATTTTTAAAAATTTCAATACAAAATTAAACATAAAATTTAATTATTTTCAAAATTTTTCATTCAAAATCTTTTAACATTCAATTATTATGCAAAATTTTAATTGAAATTCAATTATTTTCCAAATTTTCAATTTAAAATCAAATAGAATTCAATTATTTTTAAAAATTTCAATTTAAAATCAATTAAAATTCAATTATTTTCCAAAATTAATTATTATTAAAATTTTCAATAAAAAATCAACTAAAATTAAATTATTATCCAAAATTTCAATTCTAAATCAAAGAAAATTCAATTATTTTCCAAATTTTCAATTCTAAATCTTTTAAAATTTAATTATTTTCCAAATTTTCTATTTCAAATCAAATAAAATTAAATTATTTTCAAAAATTTTAATTTAAAATCAATTAAAATTCAATTATTTCCCAAAATTTTAATTCAATATTAATTAAAATTCAATTATTATGCAAAATTTTAATTCAATATTAATTAAAATTCAATTATTATGCAAAATTTTAATTGAGATTTAATTATTTTCCAAATTTTCAATTTAAAATCAAATAGAATTCAATTATTTTTAAAAATTTCAATTTAAAATCAATTAAAATTTAATTATTTTCCTAATTTTCAATTCAAAATCGATTAAAAATTCAATAATTATCAAAATTTTTCAATTTAAAATTTAATTATTTACCAAGTTTTCAATTTAAAATGAAATAAAATTCAATTATTTTCTAAAATTTCTATTCAAAATTAATTATTTAAATTTTCAATCAAAAATGAACCTTAATTAATTTATTATCCAAAATTTCAAGTAAAATTCAATTATTTCCCAAAATTTTCAATTCAAAATGAACTGAAATTCAATTATCAAATAAAATTTCATTATTCTCAAAAATTTGAATTCAAAATTAATTGAATTTTCAATAATTTGAATTTAAAAGCATCTAAAATTTAATTATTTCTAAAATTTTTTTTTTGAAATTTAATAATTTTAATTATAACTTTAAGGAAATTCAATTATTTTTAACTATTTTAATATTATTCTTTGAAAATTCAACTATCTTAAACCATTTTTCAATTAAAAATGATTTTCAAATTATTGTATTTTGTCCTCATTTTCTAAAAAATTTTTAGTGAAATCATCTAAAATTTTAATTACAAAACACTTAAAGTGTCAATTAATTTCAAAAATCTCAATTTTAAATCTTTGAAAATTCAATTAAATTAAAAAAATGTTTTTCAAAAATTGTTTGATAAATTATTTTTAGTTCTGGTAAAATTTAATAATTGTTTGAAAATTAACAATATCTTTTGAAATTTAATTATTTCTAAAAATTTCAACTTTAACCCTTCGAAATGGATTATTATTAAAAAAAAATTTTTTATTTAAAAATCTGTAAAATATTTTTGTTAAAATAAAAAACAAATCCACTTTTTTTGGAATATAAATCGACTAAAACGACTTTTTTGTGTCTTTAAGTTGATTCGAGTCCTGTTTTTTTTATAATTAATATTTAATAGGTATCCGTTGGCCCCTGGAACCTTAAAAATTAATTTTTAAAAATAAATTTTTTTCAAATTACTATCTTGTACGAAATTTCCTGGCGCCTCTTTTTTCTCATCATAAATTTTTTGTATTTGTATACAATTTTTGAATCAATATAAAAGTTTTAAAAAAATTTCGTTGGTAAACGTTGTGTATACTTTAGCTTCGTGAATTGAATTTTCGAATTTGGAATTTTAATGAAACTTATTCCGAAATTTGGAAACACAATTATACAACTTTGGCAAAAATGAGAAAAAGAATTGTCAAAATTTTGACACGTCATAAGATTACTATTCAAAAAAACACGTGAAATCAGAAAAGGCCAACTTCAAGTTAGGACAGAAGGACAGACCAAGCATTTTATTATTATATAATAATTATATTTTTATAGAAAAAAAAAATTCTACCGTCATGTGAGAATTCATTCCCTCTTCTAAATGATGTTTCAATGTATCGGTTGATTTAAATATTTCCCGACATCCAATATCTTTGAATGGACAATTTTCCTGTGATTCAATAGCATGCTTTTTATATGAACATTCATTTAAATGATTTTCCAAATCAATTGGCGAAATTTCAATGTGACAACCATATTCACGATAAAGACAATGTGTTCGTTGTTGTGCAATTTCTCTTTTTGTAAAAAGATCCTTAAATAAATCGACATCTGGATTTAAATGTTTACTATCGACTGGACAACTTGAACCTCGTTTTCTGCAGAAAAAAAAGAAGAAGAAATTATTTTCTATTTAAATTTAAAAGAAAAAAAAGAAATTCAGTTGTAAAATTTCTATTTTATTTATACTTGAGCCAAGTATTGATGCAATCGGAACAAAATCTATGACCGCATGATGTTAATACTGGATCTTTTAGCCAACTTATGCAAATTGGACATTCAAAACGAGGTTCCACTGTTTCCTTATCAGATCGTTCATCGCCTCCACACTATTTTTTTTTATGTAAAAATAAATTAAAAATTATTAAACAATAAATTTAATAGAAAATGGGGGGAAAAAAAAAACTAAAATTCTATTCACTTACAAGGGAACTTTCCTCTGCTATTTTCACGAGTTCCTTTTCTTTTTCCTCTTCTGTCATTTTGGGAAATTTATAAACTACTGAAAAATAAAAATTTGTATTTAAAAAAAAATTAACAATAATTTTAATATTACTATAAAAAATAATTATTAAGATTAATATAAATAAATATACTGAAATTTAAATAATAATAATAATAATAATAATAATATTTATTATTATTATTATTATTATTATTATTATTATTATTATAATTATATTTAAAATAGTAGCAAAATTAAATAATTTATAAGAACTAATTATTATTTATTATTTAAATTTTGTTAGTACGTAAACAATTTTTATATTTTTAGAAAATAAAAATTTTATTTACCTGATAAAAAGGCAGGAAATAATTTACAAAATTCCTGTTATATTCCGTTAATCGTATAATGAATATATATGTATATATAGTAAATAAATGTTTACATGTATATTTTTTCTATATATAACACAGTTTCTACACAATAAAAAAGGGAAACAAATAAAATTTACTGAAATCCACTTCGGAAGTTTTGCGATGACATCATCGTAAAATACGCGCGCGTATTTGCGAATTTTTTTTTTTCCTTTAAAAAAAATAAATTGTTCCCCTAAAAAAAATTCTACGAAAATTTAAAATTTGAAAAATTATTTACGCAATAAAAAAAAAAGGTATGGGAAATTTTTTTTTTTTTTTCTTTAAATTAAATACCAGAAAATAATTTTGATTTTCTTTGAAAAATAAAACAGTGTTGATAAAAAGTAGAAAAAGAAATTTGAATATTAAGTTGAAAATTCTAAATATCATCAAGAGATGATATATATTGTATATATATAAAATTAAATGAAAACTAAATATTATAAATATAACCTCAAAATTTTTAATATTTTGTTATTTTTCCTTCTGACTTTCAGTTGATTTATATATATAAAAAAAATAAAATATTCGAATTAATGAGTAATTTGGAAAATAAATAATTCTTCAAGAGTATAAATAAGGTTTTTTAAGCTCGGAAAATATATAGTAACAACACAAAACACATTTTTTTTCTGTCTCATATTTACCGTGTAAATTGCACATATAATTTTCATTCACTTTTTTTTCTATACTTAAAGTAGATTTATTTAATAATTACTTTTATCAACAACTTTTCTGTATTTTCACAAAAAATTTGTATAAAAGAAAACAAAATATAATAAAATTACGAACTGTGATAACCTATGAATTCCTCATGTTTTGGAAACTACACTAGTCAATATAAAAATTTACCGTATGTTATACGAATATTCATAAACTGTTGCTAAATAATTAGTACACAATTAATTAACATTAGAGAATTTGAAATTAATTAGAAATTTCTAATTTTTCTAATTTACACACATACATATTTTATTAAACTTCTAAACAAAAATAAAAATTTTTTGAATAGTAAAATGGCGCCAAATTTCAAATTAATTTAAATAAATATAAAAATTGATAAAATTAAAAAAAAAAAAGAAACAATTAATATTGTTTGTTAAATAAAATAAAATTTAACAAATAAGAACAAAATATGTAAATTTTTGCAAAAAAAAAAGAAACTAAAAATTTTCTAGTCTATAAAAAATATATTTTTATAAATAAAATAATAATATTAATTTACTATTTTTAAATTATTTATTTAATAAAATTATTAATTCTATTTATTTAAAATATTTTTTTTTCTAATTAAAAATTTTTGAAAAATGAATATTTTGAAACAAGAACAGAAAGAAAATTATATTTATATACAAAAAAAAAAATATCTCATTTATTTTACTTTTTTCGCCTACATTTAAGAAATATTATCGTTTAAATTCAATTTAATTTTTAAAACAATATTTCTGAACACTATATAATATATATATATATATAATTGATAAATCACAAATAAAAATATTTTATTATTACATTTTTTTTCTCGTTTAATTAAATGTTTTTTTTTTATCTCCAATCATGAAAAAATAACAAAAATTTAATATCGTCAAGAAAAAGTAAAATAATTTTTTTTTTACATGTAGAAAAATATAAAAAACACTTTTTTCTCAATCAATATATATTAAAATTAAGGAATACCCTAAAAAAAAAAATGATAGAAATTATTTTCTTTCTTTTTTAGTATAAAAAAAGAGATTAATTAATGCGTTGTTTTTTTTTTTTTTTATAAATACGAAATAAACGAATCATCCTCAACATTGTTGACATCGTCATTAACATCGTCAACTGAAAGTCCATTAACATTTGATATTTTTTCATCTGTTATAAAAACAGCTTCATTACTACCATTCAATGATGATTCTTCATTTCCTTCGTTTGCTTCACTTTTTACATTAACCATTAACATATCATAATTCTCAGAATTTCTATCGTAAACAATTGATGATCGCGATGGATTTTGTGAATCACGTTGAAAATTAACGGGAAATATTTCCGGTGTTCTTTGATGATTATATTGATCGGCACGTTGAAAATCTTCCGTTGAACGATTAAAATCCTCTGACGATCTTTGAGTCTCTTCTATAAATAATAATAACAAATTAACAAAAACAAAAATACATCTAACATCAATATTTAATAATAATAATAATAATAATAATAATAATAATAATAATAATAATAATAGTAATAATATAGAATATTAAGTAGAAATATTTGTTGTTTCAATTGAATAAAAAAGAAAATTTAAAAAAAAATAATAATTTCGTTATTAATAGGAAATTTTATAAATTGAAAATTATTGCATTACATTTTTTTTACCTGTATCTTTTTTTCTCCGATTTAAATCAGCAATTTTGTGTCCAATGTACGAGCCAACTTTTCTCAATTCAATATCCGTTGTACATTCGTCAACTTTTTTAATATCTTGCAGCCAATATCGAAAAACGTCTGTGAATTTATGCGAAAATAAAAATTAAAAAATTATAATTTAAAATCGATTATTAATTTATATTATTTATTATATAAATTAAATAATAATAATTAATAAAATGTTGTATTAATAATAATTATAAATTATAATTTATAAATTAAGAAACTATTAAATTCTTTTTTTTTTTTTTTTTTTTTTATTTAAATTATTAATAAATTTTATTATATTGAAATGAAAATTAAATTAAATTAAAAAAATTTTAAAATACCCTTTATCGCAAGTAATTTTGTTGGATCGAGTTTTTGTTTTGGTGGTCCTTCATAGAATTTTCTTGTTCTATTTGACAATTGTCCAGTAACGGAACTTCGTTCCAATGTTTCATGGCCAAAAACAGCGAGTGCCATATTTTTAATAAAAATACTTGGATTTCTTGCTGTGCACATTACCGTGTCGTACGTTGATTTTGGTATCCAAACATCACGTCCCAAATGAACCTAAAAAGAAAAAAAAAAAAAAAAAAAAAAAAAAAAATTTCATAAGAAAATAATAATTAATTCCTTATTTATTTCTAATAATATTCAAATAATTATACTTATTTTTATAATTCTATAAAAAAGAAAAAATTGTATTTATTTAAAATAAAAAAAAATATATATTATATAAATTAAAAAAATTCACAAATGAGTAATAATAGAAAAATTTATACTATATTTAAAAATTTTTTTTTTAGAGAAAAAATGATGAGAAACCTTTTTTCAAATAGTATTAGGGAAAAAAAAAGGAAAATTATTTATATAGAAAACTCACATTTTTGTCAATTCTTCTTACATAACCGATTGGCAAAAAAACATCTCCCAATTGATGATTCACATCTGTGGCGCAAACATTAGCGAGTGACGCTGAAATATTGAAAAAATTGAGTTTTTTTCTTTTGTAGAAATTTAATTTATTTAAATTATTTATTCTTTAAATTTAATTTATTTTTAAATAAAGAAAAAATTTAGGAAAATTTACACAAAAATTTCGTGAAAAATTAAAAAAAAAAAAAAAAGAATTCTTATTACTTCGTAATTCTTCATAATCATTAACGAGTCGACTTTGTAAATCACGATTAAGAACAGTCAATTCTTTTTGCATTCTATTCGTTTCCTCGAGTTCTAATCTCAATTTTTTATTCTCCAATTTTAAATTATGAATCTCTGTCTCGTCCTCGCTGGTCTCTTTTCGATCCTAAAAAGCAAAGGAAAAAAAAAAAATTACATAAATTAATAATTTATAATTAAATTATATATTTTTACTAATCAACCACAATTTATTACATACATTAGTTTTTAATTTAAAAAAATAAGATTTAAAAAACATAAATACAATTTCTATATTTATTTATTAATATATTAATAGTTGTAAAATTTTATTACAAAACATGTTTCGTTTATTAATTTTCGATTCAAAGAAATATAATATAAAACGCAAAAAAAAAGTAAATTTCCATTTATCTAATAAATAAATTGAAACTTACATTATTAGTTTTTTGTCGTTTCGACGTTGTATTTTCATACGTAAAATCATCAGATTCGTGTCTTTTTGAAATTCTTCCTGATCGTCGAGTTTCCTTCTGATCAGTTTTACCAATTTCCTACCAAAAAAAAAATAAAATAAAAAAGGAAAATTAAATTTCTAAATAAAAAATTCATGCAATAAAGTCAATTTTTTTTTTACCATTTGATAATTATTCTCCACTGGTTTTGATATTAATTGCATTTTTAAAATATCGTCTGAAATTAAAAAAAAATTATACATAAATTTAGTGAAATATTTTTTTCAAAAAATTTTGTTATTTTTATTATTATTATTAATCGGTTTATCGTTAAAAATGAATAAAAATTATTTTATTTTGTCCAATAAAGAATTCCGCACACGCAACATTGATTCTCGGGCTCGATTTCGTTCAACTTTTTTATTTTTCATCTCAAAAACTATATTAATTTTTGGCGGATTTTTCCATTAACATTTTTTTGTTCGGTAGGACTTTAGCTACAAAATACTTTAATTCCAGCCATTTTGACCGTGCACGAAAATCAATGTTGCGTGTACGGGGTAGTTTAGTTTTTTTTTTTGTGAATTTTTTTTTAATTTAAAATTGAAATTTCGAAATATTACCATCGCTAACTGTTTCGTCATTCATTATGGCGGCAATTTTAACAGCTTTATTCCATGTTAAATGTTTTTCAATTAACAAACGATTACGTATTCTTTCTAAATTAATTCCAAGTAAAAATTGATCTCTCAATCTTGACATTATATTATCATTGTTAAAATCACATTTTAATGCTAATGATTTTAATTTTTCAATAAAATCTTTTAATGTTTCATCATTTGCCTGTTGACATTGACCAAATTTTAATCGTTTCATATAAATTGTTGATGATTTTGGTTCTAAATATTGTTTTATTAATTCAATTAATTTTTCATAATTTTGATTACGTGGTTTATCAGGCGAACAAATATCACATAAAATATTATACATTTTTGAGCCAATTGCTGTTAAAAATATAATTGTTTTTTTTTGCATTGGCACATCATTTGCCTCACAATATAATTCAAATCTTTCAACATAATTTGTCCACGATTCATTTTTTTCATTAAACGATTCAATACGGCCAATTGATAACTTTTTCGTTGTATACGCCTGTAGACTTTGTTCGATAAAACGAATAATAGATGCCTTGAGGAAGAGAAAAAAAAAATTTTTTTTTTATTAATTTATATTATAATTAGAAAAAAGAGATGAAAAAAGTACTTTTATATTTTTTTTGTAAAGAACATGAATTTATTTTCAAAATAAATTATTATTCAATTGTTGATAATTGTCAAATATTAAAAATTGTTACTTACGAATTGAAAATAATATTCGTCAAAATGTAAAAATTGGCAATTTTTTTTATTTTTATAATGAAATAATAAAAAAAAGAAAGTTTATAATTGTTCGCAATCAAAAACATGTTAAATTTGTTTGTTTTTTTTTTACCTGCAACTCCCGTACAACTTGTGAGCCATCATTTTCCAATGATAATGAATCTTCGACTTCCATTTTTTGTTTCTTTGGAAATTATACAATTTTCTCTAATATTCGATTCATGTATATCTTTTTTATATTATTAATTCACCTATATGTATTTAAAATATTTTTTTTTTTCACTTGCTAAATTGTGATAATATTAAGTAAACAATTATTTTTTGTGGATCAATTATTTATTACACGATACTAGCGCTAGGGGTGGAGTTTTTGGGAACTAAAATTCGTGATTATTTATCGTTTAACGATAAGGTAGATTTGAGGTTATGTTTAAGTCAAACACACGGGATTGTCATATCCGTCATATCAGAAAGTTTATCATCAAAACATTAATAAAGGTAGGACACATAAAGGAGTTAAAGAACGAAGAAGAAGAAGAAGAAGTCATCAGAAAGTCGAAAAAATTATGGTAAGATAAAAATAAATTAAAACCTATATACGAAAATTGAAACAAAAAAATTCTTAACTATTTCGAAATTTTTGATTAGCAATTTTTTTTTCTCCCTGTATTTACATTTTTACACATATACAGAGTGTAATTATTTAAATAAATTAAAAACTTAATTACAATTTTGTTAGAAACTAATTTTTACTTTTGAGGTTATTTCAATCGTTTGATTATAACAAAAAAATCTGTTAATCTTTATTTGTATATTATAATTTTTACAATTATTGTTTCTTAGGTTAAAATATTGATACTCTAATATCATAAATATCCTATAAAAGAAATTCGAAATATTTCAATGTATAAATAGAAATAAATTTTTTTTTTTTTTTCATCAAATTTACTTTTGTCCTGATTTTTCCTTTTCCAATTTTGCTATATAATTTGTTCTATAGGCTCCTGTTGGATCATATTTTGCCTCCAATTTTTCCCAATCCTCCTTTCGATTGTCAATTAAAAATTGACAAAATTTGTCCGATCCTATTTTTTGTGCTTCACTGCAACTTGCACATTCATTTGCTATAGCGTCCGGAAGATTTTCTGTACACAATAAAAAGAAATTTTTTTTTATTTTTTTAAATCTAGAATTAAAAATTAAATAATAAAATGCTTGGTCTGTCCTTCTGTCCTAACTTGAAGTTGGCCTTTTCTGATTTCACGTGTTTTTTTGAATATGAATCTTATGACGTGTCAAATTTTGACAATTTTTTTTTCTCATTTTTACCAAAGTTGTATAATTGTGTTTCCAAATTTCGGAATAAGTTTCATTAAAATTCCAAATTCGAAAATTCAATTCATGAAGCTAAAGTACACAACATTTACCAACGAAATTTTTTTTAAACTTTTATATTGAATCAAAAATTGCATACAAATACAAAAAATACAAAAAAAAAACAAGATAGTAATTTGAAAAAAATTTATTTTTAAAAATTAATTTTTAAGGTTCCAGGGGCCAACGGATACCTATTAAATATTAATTATAAAAAAAACAGGACTCGAATCAACTTAAAGACACAAAAAAGTCGTTTTAGTCGATTTATATTCCAAAAAAAAGTGGATTTGTTTTTTATTTTAACAAAAATATTTTACAGATTTTTAAATAAAAAATTTTTTTTTAATAATAATCCATTTCGAAGGGTTAAAGTTGAAATTTTTAGAAATAATTAAATTTCAAAAGATATTGTTAATTTTCAAACAATTATTAAATTTTACCAGAACTAAAAATAATTTATCAAACAATTTTTGAAAAACATTTTTTTAATTTAATTGAATTTTCAAAGATTTAAAATTGAGATTTTTGAAATTAATTGACACTTTAAGTGTTTTGTAATTAAAATTTTAGTTGATTTCACTAAAAATTTTTTAGAAAATGAGGACAAAATACAATAATTTGAAAATCATTTTTAATTGAAAAATGGTTTAAGATAGTTGAATTTTCAAAGAATAATATTAAAATAGTTAAAAATAATTGAATTTCCTTAAAGTTATAATTAAAATTATTAAATTTCAAAAAAAAAATTTTCGATTGAAAATTTTAGAAATAATTAAATTTCAGATGCTTTCAAATTCAAATTATTGAAAATTCAATTAATTTTGAATTCAAATTTTTGAGAATAATGAAATTTTATTTGATTTTAAATTGAAAATTTTTGGAAAATAATTGAATTTTAATTGAAATTTTGGATAATAATTTAATTTAAGTTTATTTTTGATTGAAAATTTGGATAATTAATTTTTAATAGAAATTTTAGAAAATAATTGAATTTTATTTAATTTCAAAAAAAAAAATTTTCGATGGAAAATTTTAGAAATAATTAAATTTTAGATGCTTTTAAATTCAAATTATTGAAAATTCAATTAATTTTGAATTCAAATTATTGAAAATTCAATTAATTTTGAATTCAAATTTTTGAGAATAATGAAATTTTATTTGATTTTAAATTTGGAAAATAATTGAATTTCAGTTCATTTTGAATTAAAAATTTTGGAAAATAATTGAATTTTACTTGAAATTTTGGATAATAATTTAATTTAAATTCAATTTTGATTGAAAATTTAAATAATTAATTTTGAATAGAAATTTTAGAAAATAATTGAATTTCATTTCATTTTAAATTGAAAACTTGATAAATAATTAAATTTTAAATTCAAAATTTTTGATAATTATTGAATTTTTAATTGATTTTGAATTAAAAATTTGGAAAATAATTGAATTTTAATTGATTTTAAATTGAAATTTTTAAAAATAATTGAATTTTATTTCATTTTAAATTGAAAATTTGGAAAATAATTGAATTTTCTTTGATTTTGAATTGAAATTTTGGATAATAATTTAATTTTAGTTGATGTTTGATTGAAAATTATGATAATAATTAATTTTGGATAATAATTTAATTTTAATTGATTTTGAATTAAAATTTTTGGTAAAAATTGAATTTGAGTTGATTTTGAATTGAAATTTTGGAATTAAAATTTCGGGTAATAATTTAATTTTAGTTTATTTTGAATTGAAATTTTAAAAAAATAATTGAATTTCCTTAGAATTATAATTGAAATTAATAAATTTCTTAAAAAAAATTTTCGATGGAAAATTTTAGAAATAATTAAATTTTAGATGCTTTTAAATTCAAATTATTGAAAATTCAATTAATTTTGAATTTAAATTTTTGAGATTAATGCAATTTTATTTGATTTTAAATTTGGAAAATAATTGAATTTCAGTTCATTTTGTATTGAAAATTTTGGGAAATAATTTAATTTTAATTGAAGTTTTGGATAATAATTTAATTTAAGTTCATTTTTGATTGAATATTTAAATCATTAATTTTTAATAGAAAGTTTAGAAAATAATTGAATTTTATTTCATTTTAAATCGAAAACTTGGTAAATAATTAAATTTTAAATTGAAAATTTTTGATAATTATTGGATTTTTAATTGATTTTGAATTAAAATTTCGGGTAATAATTGAATTTTAGTTTATTTTGAATTTAAATTTTTTAAAAATAATTCTTTAAAATGAAAAATTCTACAATTTTTTTTTGCCTAAAAAATATTTTTTTTATTATAATTTGTTGATTAATGAAAACTAGAAGAAATATTTTTTTGGGCAAAAAAATTATTTTTATTTAAAAATTGTTTATCATAAATGTTGTGTACTTCAGCTTCGTCTTCTTCTTTTTTTTTTTTTTTTTTGTTAAAAATAAATTTTCTCACTTTTAAGTTCAGCGGCATCAGGTGTACATGGATTTGCTTCAAGAAGACATCCAACGTAATTACTAACAAGTCTATCACTTTTAATCACTTCATCGACATCAAGATCATCGTATTTTGTCGTATATTTTTGTTCCTCAGCACTGGAAAAAATAACTAAAGAGACAAAAATTATAACAGAGGGATTCATTTTTGAATTTTAAAAGAATTTTCCTTTTGTTGCAAGACTTGATTTTTTTACGATGTCTCGGCTTTTTTTTATAAGCTTCGAATCCCTTCCAATTTTTTTTTTTCAATCCATTAGAGACACGAGAGAACTATCAAAGTCAAACAAATAAACGAATTATCTTTAAGTACGCAATTTCTTGCAAATTAGAGTTTTTTTTTTTTTTTTTGTCCTCTCGTGCATTGAAAATGAAGCACAATTTTCTATTATTATTAAAATCATAGGAAGTTGATAATCTTTGGCAATATTTTTTCATTAAATTTTTATTAGATAAGTGATTTTATAATCAAAATGAAAATTGATGTTGCTTTTTAATAAATTTTTTTCAGAACAGTCAATATATTGATGTCGAGGGAAATTTTTTGGTAAGAGAAAAATTTTAACACAAAATTTACCAAGAAGAATTTAATTTCTAAAATTCATCATCATCATCATCATAATTATCATTTTCATCATTGTCTTCATCGTCAAATTCTTCTGAACTTTCTGAATAAGAACAAGCTAAACATATTTCTCCCATATCGATCCAACATTCCTGACAATGAATAAATAAACATCCTGGTGTATTACATTTCAAAAATTTTGACTCTTTTCTTGGTTCAATTTCATTGCAAATTAAACATTTTTCACGTGCGCAGGCAAAAAATTGAAGCCATCCAAATAATTTTTGATATTTCATTTTTAAACCCAACCATGGATTAATGTCTTTTTCAAAATTTTGTATTCGTACGAGATTTTTTACTCTATTTCTCATAAATCTTATATAACCATAACGTTTACGTGTCGATTCATTGTATAAATAGAGAATACGTCGTTTTTCTCTTTTTCGATAAAAAAATGAGCATATTACTCGTCTTAATCTTTGTGTATAAGCTGTAGTTAAAAGCATTAGCCAAATTCCAAAATAGCTACCATAAATTTTAAATATTATATAATTGGATAATTTTTGCGCTTTTGGTAGACACGCCTCGTTACTCACAATTGTATTTATTCGTTTTTTAATATTAAATCCTCGAATTACACTTCGTACCAAAGATGCAATTAAACCCGTTCCTCGAACATCGATTGACATATCGTGATGTCCTTTCTGAAAAATGGTAGATTTATTAATTCGCAGCCCGTAAATTTATTTTATTTAATTTAATTTAATTTAATTTTGATTTCATTTTATTTTCTTTTCTTTTATTCGGACTAAATTCATTAAAAAAAAAAAAATCAAAAAAAACCTGAGAAAATTCCAAATGAAAATGTCGTTTAATAATATCCAATGTTTCATAAAATAATAAATCAAGTAAAACAAATGTTGTAACAGTGGCAATTTCTAAAATTAATTTCGCCGTTTGTCCTATTAAATTTTTTCTCTCAAATTTACTTTGTCTCAATTTATAGGGATCGATAAAATTTTCTCTTTCATATTTTTTCAATGGCAATAATATTGAACTATCTCTCACACGTCGTCGTGCATCAATTTTACGAAAATATCCAGTAATATAAAAATTATCGTATTCAATATTTGTCAAATAATTGTCATGATAATTTTGTGCATCAAGAATAATTTTCAAAAAAACAAGAGCCAAACATCGTTTAATTAGCATTGTTATTGTGTCGAAAATTTTTTTCTTTGAATCAAATTCATTTAAAATTGCCTTTGCCGTATCACTTGCATCGTGTAAATCAATTGGCAATGATGGTTTTTTCACTTCAAATTGAAGTTGTGCTTTCTTCATATTCTCGCCAAATACTTTTCTTGATTCTGAATTTTTGAAAAAATAGATTATTAATATTTTTTTATTTTTTTATTATTATTATTTTATTATTATTACTAGCAAAATTAAACGCGTGCAAGCGCGCCAAATTGAATATTTAATTGTTTGTTATAAAGAAATTAAAGATTAATATTATCAATAATAATTTAATTTATTAGAATATTATTACATATTAAATGATAATAATGGAAATTATATGTTTAAAGGCCTCGGATTATACGACTTTTTCCGACTTTTTTTTCAAAAATACGAATTTTATCGAATTATTTTAATAAAATGCGACATTTTTTTTTACATTTGAAAAGAAAATGTAAATAAAATACATTTTTTTAGTATAAAATGTAGATCTTCTTCAGATCTTCTTCAATTCAATTATTTAACAAATTTTGAACTAAAATGATTCTTCACTAAATTAATTATTTTTAATAATTTTAATGAAATACATCACAAATTCAATTATATCAAAATTATTTTTCAATTAAAATTTTTATGAAATTTAACAATTGTTTATAATTTAAAAACAGAAAATATCACAATAAAATTGAATTATTTTTTTAAAAATTTCAATTCAAAATAAACTAAAATTCAATTATTACCCGAAATTTTAATTCAAAATCAATTAAAAATCCAATAATTATCAAAAATTTTCAATTTAAAATTTAATTATTTACCAAGTTTTCAATTTAAAATGAAACAAAATTCAATTATTTTCTAAAATTTTTATATTCAAAATTAATTATCCAAATTTTCAATCAAAAATGAACTTAAATTAAATTATTATCCAAAGTTTCAATTCAAAATCAAAGAAAATTCAATTATTTTCAAAATTTTCAATTCTAAATATTTTAAAATTTAATTATTTTCCAAATTTTCTATTTCAAATAAAATAAAATAAAATTATTTTCAAAAACTTCAATTCAAAATCAATTAATATTCAATTATTTCCCCAAAATTTTAATTCAAAATTAATTAAAATTCAATTATTATACAAAATTTCAATTGAAATTCAATTATTTTCCAAATTTTCAATTTAAAATCAAAAAGAATTCAATTATTTTTAAAAATTTCAATTTAAAATCAATTAAAATTCAATTATTTTCCAAATGTTCAATTCAAAAGCTTTTAAAATTTAATTATTTTCCAAATTTTCAATTCAAAATCTTTTAAAATTTAATTATTTTCTAAATTTTAAATTTAAAATCAAATAAAATTCCATTATTTTAAAAAATTTCAATTAAAATTCAATTATTTCCCAAAATTTTAATTCAAAATCAATTAAAATTCAATTATTATACAAAATTTTAATTCAAAATCAATTATTTTCAAAAATTTGAATATAAAAGCATCTAAAATTTAATTATTTCTAAAATTTTCAATCGAAATTTTTTTTTTTTGAAAGTAAATAATTTCAATTATAACTCTAAGGAAATTGAATTAATTTTAAAAAATTTCAATTCAAAAAAAACTAAAATTCATTTATTACCCGAAATTTTAATTCAAAATCAATTAAAAATCCAATAATTATCAAAATTTTTCAATTTATATTTTGATTATTTACCAAGTTTTCAATTTAAAATGAAATAAAATTCAATTAATTTCTAAAATTTCTATTAAAAATTAATTATCCAAATTTTCAATCAAAAATGAACTTAAATTAAATTATTATCCAAAATTTCAATTAAAATTCAATTATTTTCCAAAAATTTTCAATTTAAAATCAAATAAAATTAAATTATTTTCAAAAATTTCAATTCAAAATCAATTAAAAATCCAATAATTATCAAAATTTTTCAATTTATATTTTGATTATTTACCAAGTTTTCAATTTAAAATGAAATAAAATTCAATTAATTTCTAAAATTTCTATTAAAAATTAATTATCCAAATTTTCAATCAAAAATGAATTTAAATTAAATTATTATCCAAAGTTTCAATTAAAATTCAATTATTTTCCAAAAATTTTCAATTTAAAATCAAATAAAATTAAATTATTTTCAAAAATTTCAATTCAAAATCAATTAAAATTCAATTATGTCCCAAAATTTTAATTCAAAATTAATTAAAATTCAATTATTATAGAAATTTCAATTGAAATTCAATTATTTTCCAAATTTTCAATTTCAAATCAAATAAAATTAAATTATTTTCAAAAATTTCAATTCAAAATCAATTAAAATTCAATTATTTCCCAAAATTTTAATTCAAAATTAATTTAAATTCAATTATTATACAAATTTCAATTGAAATTCAATTATTTCCAAATTTTCAATTTAAAATCAAATAAAATTCAATTATTATACAAAATTTCAATTGAAATTCAATTATTTTCCAAATTTAAAATCAAATAAAATTTTATTATTATCAAAAATTTGAATTCAAAATTAATTGAATTTTCAATAATTTGAATTTAAAAGCATCTAAAATTTAATTATTTCTAAAATTTTGAATTGAAATTTTTTTTTTTAAATTTAATAATTTCAATTATAACTCTAAGGAAATTCAATTATTTTTAACTATTTTAATAATATTCTTTGAAATTTCAACTATCTGAAACCATTTTTCAATTAAAAATGATTTTCAAATTATTGTATTTTGTCCGCATTTTCTAATAAATTTTTAATGAAATCATCTAAAATTTTAATTACAAAACACTTAAAGTTTCAATTAATTTCAAAAATCTCAATTTTAAATCTTTGAAAATTCAATTAAATTTAAAAATTGTTTGATAAATTATTTTTATTTCTGGTAAAATTTAATAATTGTTTGAAAATTAACAATATCTTTTGAAATTTAATTATTTTTAAAAATTTCAACTTTAACCCTTCGAAAAGGATTATTATTAAAAAAAAATTTTTTATTTAAAAATCTGTAAAATATTTTTGTTAAAATAAAAAACAAATCCACTTTTTTTTGGAATATAAATCGACTAAAACGACTTTTTGTGTCTTTAAGTTGATTCGAGGCCTGTGTTTTTATAATTAATATTTAATAGGTATTCGTTGGCCCCTGGTACCATAAAAATTAATTTTTTTCAAATTACTATCTTGTACGAAATTTCCTGGCGCATCTTTTTTCTCATCATAAATTTTTTTGTATTTGTATACAATTTTTGAATCAATATACAACTTTAAAAAAAATTTCGTCGGTAAACGTTGTGTACTTCAGCTTTGTGAATTGAATTTTCGAATTTGGAATTTTAAAGAAACTTATTCCGAAATTTGGAAACACAATTATACAACTTTGGCAAAAATGAGAAAAAGAATTGTCAAAATTTAACACGTCATGAGATTACTATCCAAAAAAAAACACGTGAAATCAGAAAAGGCCAACTTCAAGTTAGGACAGAAGGACAGACCAAGCATTTTATTATTATATAATAATAATAATTATTATTATTATTAGAATTAGAATTAGAATTTAAAAATTGCAAAATAGAATAGAAATTTTTTTTATGCGATTGAAAAAATTGAATATACCTTTTAATTGAGCGTATCCTTCGCCAATTCCAGAATCGACATTTCCTTCAGGATTGCAAATATTTGGACCACCGAGTGCTTGGACAATGTTACAGATAAAAGTCAATTTCATTGGCCAACAAAGAAGCCAAGCTGCAGCTGCCGATACTTTTATGTAGCATTTATCATAGGCATCGGCAAACATTTTTCTAAAATGGAAATATTCCAAAAAAAATTTACTGTCTTCTGATTCGACAATTTTTAGGTTCGTATATTATTTAATAAATTTTTATTTTACTAATATAGAATTTATTAATTAATTTTATTAATAATAATTAATTATTAATAGTATTAAAAATACTAATAATTAATTATTAATAATATTAAAAATACTAATAATGAATTAATATTAATAATTAATTATGTTTAATAATGATAATATAAAAATTGTGTTTCTATAATTAAATGATAAAATTATTTTTAGTTTCCATCTTTTTAGCATCAATAACTCATAAGCTGCCTTTTACAAAAATAATTTTAAAGAATAAATAATGTTTTATTTGTTTTCCAGAATTAGAACTTCGTTTTTTTGTAAAAAAGGAAGAATAAAATTAATTATTATTATTATTATTTATAATTTAGAATTACCGACAATTTTCGCTACCACGACTCAATTGATCCTCGCAACGAGTTTCAATTTTTGCCTTATAATTCGCTTCATAAATATCACCTTCCGATTTTGCTTCTAATTTTGCTTTCAAACGTTTTTGTTCAATTTCATCGCTTCTCTTTGTATCATTTTGTAATTCATCTAAATAATCATTTTCCTCTTTGAGTCGTTGCATTTCATCTTCGCCTTCAATTTCCTCAACAATTGGACTTATCAATTCTTTTACCGATGACAATGTGTCTTTTATCTCCTCAGCGTCTGTTTTCATACTCATCAGAGCCTAATTGATTAATTTTATTTTTATTTTTTTCTTATAAATTTATTTATTTTCTTTTTATTTTAAAAAAATTATTTATTCAAAAATAAATTATATAATAATAATAATTAATAATTTAAATTATTTATTATTAAATTTTATTCAAAATTTCTAAAAATCAAAATTAATTTCCCACTTGTTTAAACGGCTGGACCATTAAATTGTATCTTGTCTTTGACATATTTTGTGTGAGTTGATTTGTACAAGAAAAAGTTCTAACCACTTCTTTTCCATTTAATGTTAAATTAAAAATTGGACCCGCTATTACGTAGCCAAAAACAAGAGCTTTCAGTACACTTCGACCTGAACGTCCAAAAAATGCCGGAATTGTCAATAGACCAATGCATCTCGCCTATTAAATTTTTTTTTTATTTTCCTTTTTTTGAAATTATATAAATTTTCCATAAATGATAATAATTTCAAAAAAAAAAAAAAAATTAAATATTAAAAGAAAAAAATTTCTACAAAAATAAATATCCTGAACCTGAATTGAAACAGCAAATCCAAATGAAAGCATTATTATTATAAGAGCTCCAAAAATTAAACTAGTTAATTCATCAAATTGAAGATCAACAATAACAAATTCATAGAAACAAAATCCCATAATAAAGCCCATAAAAAAACCAATGGTCATACGAGTTTTTTTATGTATTCCAATTGGATCATAACATAAATGATACAATTTGGGAAATTTTTTAAGATAAATATTCGTAATTTTTCCACTTAAATATTCAATCACTTTACCAGTCCAATTAAGTTCGTTCATATTTTTTCCAAATTTTCAATTTTACAATTCAATTATTTATTATTTCATATATTTATGTATTTATAATTTTTTTTTTTTTGACAGTTAAGTGACGTTCATCTTTTTTTATTATACAAAAAAAAAAAATTATTTTCAAAAATACTTGTTAATTTGAAAAGAAAAATAATTGAAAATTTTTTATTAAATTACCTTTGAAATTTTATACAATAAATAATACAGAAGAAAAAGAATAAATAGTTTTTTTTGTCATTAACTCGGAGGTAATAGAGGTTGTTGATTTTTTTTTTTTTTTTTTTTGAAATAATATTTCTTCTCTTTCGGACTTATAAAATCTAATACTATATTTATGTATTATATTTTAAGTTGAAATTCCCAATTCCTTGGCCTTATTCTCATATTTTGCTCTATAGCTGCCGTCCTTGTCGTATTTTTCCAAAATTTGCTTCCAAATTTCAGGTTTATTCTTTGACAAGAATTTAATTACTTTCTCAGAGCCTTCTTTTTGTTTTTCGGAACATTTTCCACATTCACTGGAAATTGCATCAGGAAGAACGGCTGGAAAAAAAAATTAATTCAATTAAAAAATTATATTTTTTTTCAAAATTTTTGATTTTATTTCAATGTTAAAAAAAACGGAATTATAAATTTTCACCAATATAATTTTGTAATTATATTCTTCTATTCATAAGGGAAAAATTTTTATTTTTCTTATTAGCCTATTAATATTTTTATTAAAAAAAGTGACTGTTGACAAAAAAAAAAAAAAATACTGTCAACACATTTATAATTCTCGTGCTGTACTCATCTATATAATTTGCCATTATATAAAACAAAACTAGTTTTTTCAAAAAAAAAAAAAAAAAAAAAAAAAGTTTTTCAAAAAAAAAATCATTGAAAAAAAAAATTTCCAATAAATAGAAACTATATTCAAATGATAAAACTATTTCGAATGATTTTGAAAAAAAAAAATATTCACAAACGCATGAATCATATATATATTCGAGGAAAATTTTAATTTATTAACAAATTATTTGTCAAACAGAAGATTAAAATTTTTAATTAATGCAACAAAGTATTACGAGAGTTCTTTTTCTCTTTTTTTTTTCTTTCTCCTCGTTCTTTTTTTTTGCGAAAGAAACAAATTGCCGTATAATTTATTAGCGGATTGTAAAATTATGTTTTTACCAAATGTCAATTTCGTAACAAATATATAAGAATTATTCATAAATACTATTTTGCATAGTAAATGAATTTAGAAAAAAAAAAAAAAATTCATTTTTTTTCTATACAATAGATAAAAATGTGGAATTAATAATATAATTGCAACATTGCATTGATTATGAAAAATTTTTGCATAATTAACAAAATTTAAAAAATTCACTTTCAACGTATGTGTGTCTTATGAAATATTATTTCTCGACGCATTTTATAATCATGAATATTTGCAAATTATATGGAAATATTTTAATATTGCATAAATTTAAAAGTCAAAAAAATTTGAAAAAAAATTTTTTTTTATATTTTTTTAATAAAAATTTGATTGCAAATGAAAATTTAAATTATTTTAAATATTTTTACGTAAAAAGAAAAATTAAAAAAAAAAAAAAAAGTATAAAGAAATAAAAAAAAAATTAACAATTAAAAATAAATAAAATAATAATTAAATTATTTTAAATTTAATTATTAATTAATTTATAAAATAGAAATTTTTTAAATTATTTAAAAATTATAAAATAAATAAAATAAAAGTAGATTGAAATACATTTTTTTTTTTGAGAATACCTTTGAGTTCTTTGCCATCAGCAGTGCAGGTTCCATCGTGTAAAACGCAATTAACGTAATTGTTTAACAATCTGTTATTGTTTAAAATTTGATCTATATCAATATTATCAAATTTCGTTGTATATTGTGGAGCTGCAGAAATTGCAACTACCATAACGGCAAGAAAAATAACGGCGAACTTCATGGCTGTAAAAAAAAATTGAATTTAAAATTTTTTTCCATTTTTCCATTTTTTTTTTTTTTTTTTTTTTTTTTTATTAAACACTGCACTCAATTTTTAAATTCTTCACACAAAGCACTAATTTTGAAAGCACTTTCAAATGTTTTTTTTTTTTTTATTACTTGTAATTATAATTTTAGTACAGAGAAACACTTACACTGTATTTCAAAATAAATATAAAGTGAAAGGGAAATATTATTTTTTCTAATATAGAATTATTTTTCAATATTTTCGTAATTAATTTCAAAAAAAAAAAAAAAAATTTTCTGAACATTTTGAACGTATTAATTTTTTAATATTTAGTTTTTAATATTAATTTTTTAATATTTACTTTTTAATATTAATTTTTTAATATTTAGTTGTTAAATTTATTCAAAATTGTAATTTAAATTTTTAATTTATCATTTTCGTAAATTAATTTCAATTTTTGTTTCTGAAAATTTTAAACAAATTATTTTCCACGTTTTTTTTTTAATTTAATACAAATTTAAATTTAAATGTTTAATTTATCAGTTTTTTTTTTGGATATTATTTTATTTTTATGTTTCAGTAAATTTATTAGTGAATATTCTAAGTTTACTAATTTAATAAAAATTAATTACAAATTATATATATTTATGTGATTAATTTCCAAAAATTGGTAAAAATTGATTTTCTACATTATTTGGATATTAAATAAATTAAATTAATTCAAATTGAAAAAAATGAATTTAATTTTTTTTTCCAACTGTTAATTAAAAAAAAAATTGAAATTTATTAACATTCAAGGAATGTAAAAATTTTAATAAACAAAAAAAAACGAATTTAGGAATTAAATTTAATAATAAAAGGAAATTAATTAATTAATAGAGTAAATTTATTAATAAAAATATAATTATTAATTTATTCTCGTTGTTAAGTAATTAATTAATTTTTAATTTTTAATTTTAATATTAAATATTAATTTTTAATTTTACTATTAAATATTAAATTTAATATTATTATTTAATTATTAAATAAAAATTAATTAATTTACGAAATTTAACACAAACTGAATTAAAATTAATTTGAAAATATATAATATTAAAAATAATATTATTAATTAAATTTTATCACAGTTTTTAAAATATTCTCTTTTTTTTTGCAGAATTTTGTATGCCGAATTAAACCCAAATTTTTCCAAGGTGGTTTTTTTTTTTTTTTTTTTTTTTTTATTCTAATCCCATAAACTTGTCGCTCACCTGAGTATTAGCAGTAATCAGGAGCAAGTGTATGTGTGAATAAGTTTCAAGAAATGAGAGGTTTATATATACGTCTTAACCATGACGTTGATTACGCAAAAAAAAAAGAAGAAAAAAAAAAAGAACCCTGAGGGGGGTCTTTCCAATGAGGTGTGGGAATCATATGGATAAATTTACAATGTCGACCCCCACCTTCACCTTTTGTTCTTGCTGAAAGGACTAAAACATTATAAATGTATATGTATAATATATTGATGGTCAACTTTACTAATGCATATCATCCGATATCATCGAGACGAACGACAACGACCATTTTGCATGACGAGGATAAATTTTCCTTTTCCTCGACATTATATATATATATATATATATTTATATATGAAGGTTCCTCCTCCATTGCTCTATAAAAGTGATTATATTTTTATATATCCTCGCCGCTCATTTTTATTCACTATGCGTGTCACATATATTCATTGTAAACATTTCAAGACTCACGTTTATTAAATACTTGACTTTTATTTTTGGGTGATTCAGAAAAATTATAATAATATACGAGGTAGCTGGAAAAATAGTTCAAAAAAAAAATTTGCAAAATTTATTTTTGAAAACAGTTTTCTGTTTTTTTTTTTTTTTAATTTAGAAAACATTTTTTGATAATTATTTATAAATTTATTTATTTATTTAAATTAAAAATTGTATTTACAATTTTTTAAATTTAATTTAAATAATATTTAATATTTTTGGAATTTTTGGAAAAAGTTTAAAAAATCGTAATCAAAAAAACAAAATTTGTATAGAAATGCCTTCAAAGTAATGTTAAATTGAATAAAAATTTATAATTTACTGTAAATTTAAAGAAAGAACACAAAAAATGTAAAATTTTGACCGCGGAAATTTTTATGTATTAAATTAAATAATAATTATTATTTTACAACAAAGATTTAAAATAATTTTTTTAAACTTTACAAATTGAATCTTATTTTAAAAAATAATTACTTTAATTATAGTTTTTTTTTTCGTTTGCTAATTAATAAAAATTCTTTTTACAAAAAAAAAAAAAAATGATCTACCAAAAAAAAAGGAGAAAAAATTTTGTCACCAAAAAAAAAAATGATCTACCAAAAAAAAAAAAAGGAGAAAAAATTTTGTCACCAAAAAAAAATAATTGAAGGACATTTTAAAAAGATAAAATCAAAAAAAAGTTTGAAATTAAAAAAAAAAAAGAATGCGTTAATTACTATGGGATAAATTAAAGTTTATATTATCGTTCCGCCCATGAGTATTAAGGACGTGTAATTGAATGTAAGTTCTTTGTGTTTAAACTATTGAAACGTTCCAATTAGTCGCACAAGTGGCTAAGAAAAAAAAAAAAGACGTTTATATACAAAGGGAAAAAAGAAATTTATTTTTCCATCTGTGTTTTTTTTTTCTTCTTAGATTTCTCATTGTAATTATTCGCATTAACTTTGATTTGCATCTTCACATTATAAAATTAAAAAAAAAACTATGTACCTAACTTTAAAAATTTTATTTTTAAAATAATTAAATTTTTAAATACCATGAGTAATTCGAAATAATTAAATTTTAAAAAAAGGGATTTGAAATCAATTTTATAAAAATAATAAAGAATATAAAAAAAAAAATGAGTCTCGTGATAAAAACAAATGATTTACATAATTGTTTATGACCAACTCGGGTTAAAACTCATAACACTGTCTACGCAATTATTTTTTATTATTATTATTATTATTCAGAACAATTCACTATGGAAAATAATTTTTATTCTCAAATTGATTTTTGCTATTTTCTTAATTAGCAACGTATGGCTAAATAGATTTTCCTATTTTTTTTTTTTTTTTTTCTTTTCTTTTTCCTATAAAGGTCATTACAATTTACACCCATTTTTTTTTGTTTGTACAAAGTATTGTATATTTTTTTCATCCATTTATGTAATATTATCTCTTCTTAGAAATTTATTTTTTCTCAAAAGAAACAAAAATTTATATTCTTTTTTTTAAAAATTTTTTTTTACTCATATATTTATGTAAATATATTTATAACAATTTATTTAACTTTTTATTAACATTTTTATTTTTGTTTTATTTATTAATTAATTTTTTTTATTAATTAATTTCAAATAATAATCTGTATAAACGTTTGATTTTCTCATCATGTTTCGAGATTTAAATAAAACAGCCTTTGATCTCATAAAAAGGGAATTTGCATAAATAGCTTATTTAAAATGTTAAAATTTGTTTTCACTTTGAATCATGATCATCAACTTCTAACATTGTCGTCATTTTATCATTGTTTCTTAGAAAATGAATATAATTTTTAATTTAAAAAAAAAAACATTTGAAATTAATTAATTGCAAAAAAAATTAATTAAATTTTAAAAATAAAAATAAATACCTACCATTTTTTTTAATTAAAATTAAATATTTATTTGAGACAAAATTTCATTTTTCGAATTCGAATTTTGACAAGAATTTTTTTTTTAAACAAATTTTTATTTAAAAAAAAAATAAATTAATTAAATTTCAAAAATAAAAATAAATAATACAATTTTTTTAAAATTAAAATTAAATATTTATTTGAGACAAAATTTCATTTTTCAAATTCGAATTTTGACAAGAATTTATTTTTTTTAAACAAATTTTTATTTATTCGTTTTTTTTTTTTAAACAAAATATTGCAAATCAATTCGTATGAAAATACTGACATTTAAAAAATTGAATCACTGAAAATTTTTATTGAATAAAAATTCTGATTAATTAAAATGTGGATTAAAATTAAAAAAATTATTTTATATAAATAAAAAAGAATAAATAAAGAGAAATTGAAGAAAATTTTTTGTCAAAATAAAAATTCTAAAAAAAATCCTAAAAAATTTATTTACGAAGAATTTTTTTTATTTTCCACATTTCTTGTTTTTGAATTTGCATTTATTTTGGTGTCAATAAATAAAAAAAAAAAAAAAAAGTGACAAATTGCAAACTGATTGGCAATTTGAGAATTACCACAGAGAATTTGTCACTTGAGATGGTTATAGACAGGAAACAAGTTTAGTATAAATGTGTAATAATACTTTCTCCTCTTTACAGATTACGTAAATTTTTCCACATACCTGAATTCGCATTATCTTCTAGTCATCAATATGTATGTATTATCATTTTTTTTTTTTTTTTTTGAAATTTATTTCATCGTCCAATAATTAACAAATATTTTCGAAGAATTTTAACAAAAATTCGAAAAAAAAACTAACGCCATTAAAATTAATTAAAAAATTAAAATTAGATAAAAAAATTAAATAAAAATCATCAAATTTTTTTCTATATAGGAAAATAAAATTATATTTTTCCTTAATTTATAAAAGTATTTTGTGAGAAAAAAACGAATTTTTTTAAATTAAACTATACGAAATCTGAAATTTTAATCTATAAAATTGTGAAAAATTAATCATTGCATCTTAAAGTGGTTTAAAAAAAATATTTATATTTCAATAAAATGAAAATTTATTTTCAAAATTGACTTTTTAAAAATTTTTTTTTTATTTTTCATAGGATTTTGAGGTTTTTATTTTCCGAAAAATGAAGTTAAAATTCAATCTCATAATTGATTTTATTTCTCAATGCTTCTTCACAAAGCGAAACAAAAAAAATACACAACGTCGAGTATTTATAGAATTTCGTTTTTATTTTTTCTTTGTGTAAAGAGAGCATGATTTTTTTTTTTTTTTTTTTTTTTTTTTTTTTTCTTTAATCAGCAGTCTTGATCATTTTGAAAATATAATATTTTAAATATACATATATGTCTATATTTTTTTTTTCTTCACAATTCTAAATCGAGATTTTTCGAACAAATGTGTCAAAGTATATATATATGCAGTTTGGAATACTATTCGTTAAGGGTACAATGCACATTTTAAATCACATATAAGCATCTCATTTTTCAGTGCCATATATACGAGAGGAAAGACAATTAGGAAGGAGCAAAAATTCATCATTGTCTCGCTCTATTCTTTTTTTTTTCTTTTTCTAATCAAAAAAAGGAAAAAGAAAAATATTCACTCTTTCGTCTTCGAAATTAAAAATACGAAATTTTTTATCATCTTTACTATAGACGAAAAGAATTTGAAAATGCATTTTTTTTCATTTTATTATTCTTTCTTTCTTTTTTTCCCTTCTTTCAAAAATATAAAAGTAAAATAAATTACTCGCCCTTTGTTACAATTGAAATTTTTTTTTGCCTTTGGCATTGCCAAAAGAAACAAAAAAAGAAATTAATAATAAATAACTAAAATCGTTGTAATAATATTATATATAAAAAAAAAAAATTAATGCCTTTGAAAAGGGAAAATTAAATATTTTTTTTTTTTTTTTTTTTAAATCTCTCTTCAAAGACAAATTATTTTCTCAAATTCAAAAAAACTATTGATTAGTTTTCTTTTTCGCCTATTAAAATTATGAGCAATAATTAACTACTTAAATAATATTACAAATTTTCTTTTTACACTATAAATTCTAATAATTATATACAGAGAGAGATAGAGAGAGAGAGAGAAAAAAAATTCAAGTATTCAATGATACTCAAAAGCGTCTTTTTTTCGTTTTCGATTTTTCATTTTTTTTTTTAAATTGTTCATGTTCCTCTCAAATTGAAAATAAAATTTATTTTTATATTTCATTAAAATTACTAATAAATTATTCTTTTTTGCCTTTTTATAAAAGTTAAATTTTTATTTTCTTTGATTTTTTTTTTACAATTTTTTCCAAATTTAATTCCAATGATTTTAAAAAACAAATTTTCAATAAATTTTTAGTAAAAATGCTAAAAACTTTTGAAAGTTTTCTTTTTTCTCTATTTATTTAATTTAATTTTATTTATAATTTATTTTCTTTGTACATGAACAATTTAAAAAAAAAATCACTTAATTATCATTATATATATAGATTCTTAGACACTTAATAAGCGTGAATTTTATTTATTTTTTTTTTTTGGGCGGGAGTGGTTTTTTTTTCATTGTTTCATATTAAATCTTTTTTTTTCTACAATTAACATTTTTTTTGTCCGAAGAGCGTAAATGGGAAAAATAGAGATTCGCTCATCTCTAAATTCAATGAATGATGAAAAAGAAATTTTCCACCTCTTTACCCAGATTTCAGAACATTATTAAAATATGTAGTTTAAAATGTTTTGTTTCTTTTTTTTTTGTTTTTTTCTTCTCTAAATGCTAAAAAATTCGACATAAAGAGATTAATAATTATAAATATTAGATACGCATGAAAATTTCTTTTGAATTTTTTACAATTAAAAATAATTAAAATTTTCTTAGTTAAAGAAAAATGTAATAACAATTTTTTTTTTTTTAGTAATTAATTAAAATTTTACTAAACAGTAATTTAATTATTATACTAATTTTTTTTTTAAATTTTCATTAAATAGTATTTTTTTTTTTAATACTTTTAGTTATTAGTAATTTTTTTTTAATACTTTTTAATGAATTTAATTTTGCTAAATACAAATTTAACTAAATAATTTAACGATTTAAATTATAAAATTAGTGTTTAATTTAATTATCTACGAAAAGTTGATTTTTTTTTCAAATTTTAGTAATTTTTCGTTGAAATCAACTTTTGAAATTTAAGAAAAATGGAAATTTTCAAACGCATCTTGTACCATGAATAAAATTAAGGCTTTTTTAAACTAATGAAGACTAATTCTGGAAGTTTGAATTAATTACATTTTTCACAGTTTTCTCTCTTTTTCTCAAATTTGAGAGATTTTTTTTTTTTCTTTTCAATTGAAAAATTTTACAATTCAAGTCGCACACAAAAACGATTTTTTTGTTTTTAAATATCACTCGACACGTACTAATTTACACTATAGACACATCTTTTTTTTTTTTTTTTTTTTTTTTTTCGCTAACAAATCGTATTTTGTGTTCCCAAGCGTGAAAAACGCTCATTATATTTCTAGGAAAGGTACTAGTTTTTTTTTTATTTACAAAAACAAAGTAAAATTGCCCCGAGAATGACAATTTATTTTAAAAGAAGACGGAAAAAATGACAAACAATCGATAACTAATCGATTATTTGAAATTTTTTTTTTTTTTTTACCTCTTTTAATGCTGAATTTTTATAAATGAATTTGAAACAGGCGAAAATTTTAATCAATTTAAATATTTATATAAAAATTCATTTTCGATATTCACTACAAATTATTATTACAAACACTGAACAATTCTAGAATCACACATTTTTTTTTTTAATTAAGGAACAATTTTCTTTTACTCCAATTTTTTTTAATTTAAAATTATTTTACACACAAAATGGTTAAAAAAAAATTTACCAAGAAATAATAATTTTTATGGAATTAAAAAGAGGGAAATTTTTTTTTTTGAGAATTGATTCAGTGAGTGTGTATTTATATTTCTCTTTGGTAAAATTAATAAAAATCTAAATGGACGTAAAGATTTTCTTTTTCGACTGCTCCATAATTCATGGTTTAACAATTATTATTATTTCGAAGTTTTTTGTTATTATTATTTTTTCTTAAAGATAAAAAAAAAAAAAAGGACTTAGCTGTCGATTACACACAGATGTTGACTTTTAGAGGCAAACTTAAAACAAATTTAAGCAATCAGTTGGCAGCGATCCAGCCGTTGGCAACCAAATAATGGAGGATTTTACTCTCGGGTTCCGATTGCGGGACAATGTTCGATTTTCTATTGCCAGTCAAATATTCCTAAAATTAGATGAAAAATTAAATTTTTAAAATTATAAATTTAAATATTTAAATTTAAAAAAAATTTTAATATATTTCGAAAAAAAAATAATTATTATTTACCTGAAGTAAAAGTGTTTTCTGTGTCAAATACTGCGTTGGTTTTAAATCGAGTTGAAGACAAAGTGTTTTCTCTTGTTTTGTAAGAAGATGAGACGCGGCTTCTATCTCGACATCTCTCTCTTCTGTATCCTCCGTTTTGCCCAAATTCACAAAGTTCGCGTCTTTCTCTGCATCGATATTGTAATCGGCATAAGAAGAACGATTGTTATCCTGCTCCGCCAATTGATTGGCTGGAGTCGTCGTCCGATTGTGAGGATTGATTAATGAGCTGGTGCTGGCTAATTCTTTTGACGTGGACTTTCGGTCGATGAAAGAGGAGCTTTTTTCTTCGTCTCTGTAAAAATTGAAAAATTCATTCATTTAAATTCTACAAATTTTTTCTTTTAACAAGTCCAAAAAAAAGAAAGAAAACACTGATTTAATAAAAAAAAAAAAATAATAATAATTAAATCTTTGTTACAAAACTAAACAGCAAAAATTAGGAAAAAATTTTACAGTATAAACAAAATATTTAGAAATAAATAATTATTTACTTAATAAATATAAATACGAGAAAAATATAATATTTGAGAAATATTTTTTGAAAAAAATTTGAATACATAAACAGATTACTGACATATTAATAAAAAGTAATTATTTACGTAATAAATTAATAATTGTATAATTAAATTTTTGTTTTAAAACCTTTTTTTATACAGCAACGTTTTTGTTTTCGAATGCAAGCAACAGCCAAAAGAATATATTTTTAAAATAAAATTTAAGTTCATAACAAATAGTAAAAATAATTTAATATTATGTAATTAATTTTCATTTATTTAAATAAGAAAATATTTTACTAGTTTTTAAATTGTAATTAATTACCAATTTGCAATTAATTTTTATTTTTGAAAAAAAATAATTAAATTTTCTCGATAATTATAAAATTGATTTCTTTAATTAAGCAAAAGTTATTATTTATTTTTTATAATTAATTTCGATAAAATGTTTTTTTTTCAACTTCTCCAAGTTGTGAAAATTTCATTTTTTTTTTTCTAAATGAAATAAGTAATGGAATTTTTAAATTTTTAAATGAAAATTAATGGTGCAAATGATTCATTGATGTGCTAAAATTGGAAAAAATGAAAACAAAAAAACTTAAATTAGTTTCATGCAAAATTGCCACAATCACAAAAAAAGCAAATAAAATAAAAAAAATACATTGAAAATTTCAATTTGTGAGAAATGAAAAACAGAAAAAACTAAACAAGCTCAGCGCCATGCAGAAAAAGGAAAAAAGAAAAATAAAAAAAAATTAAACATTTATGTGCGTGTTTACAACATTTAAATTTTTTTTTGTTTCTTAAAAGTAAATTATTAAAATAAAATAATTAATTGCGCTGATGCTTTTTTAGTTTTTACCTTTTCTTTTTTTAAAAAAAAAAATTTTTTTCCATCATGCAATTTTCTACTTTTTGACAAACGCATGCTCCTTCAACTTATAAACTGGAACGTTAAAAAAAATATATATTAAACTTTAAATTTCATTGATTATTTAAATTAAAAAAAAAAAAAAAAAAAAAAAAAAAAATATTCGAAAAAAAGGATTGTTATTACAAAATTTTTTTCTTTTTCATTTAATATATAAATAAATGAAACATTTAATTAGTCTTGATATTAAAAAAACGAAACATTTTTAGATTTGAAATATTCCAAATTAATTTACTTAATAAATAAATAATTAATTCTACAGTAAAAATCTATTGAATTTTTCAATAAATTTTCAAATTTTTTATTTTTTATTAAAATTTGAATTGGAAAGGTTCTTTTTAATATAAATTTGAATAGAAATAATTTTTTACGTCTTCCGTTTCTTTTTTTCTAAATTGCATTTTTTAAATCAATTTTCTGTTGTAAAAATTAATTTAACCGGTGAATTTCAATTTTATGATTCAATTAAAAATAAATAAGATTCGGAAACTTGAAAAAAAAAACAAAAAAAAAAAAAAACAAAAATCAAAATAGGAAAAAAATATTTTAAAAAAAGAAGAGAAAAATATAATAAAATAATTTAAAAAAAGAATTCTTACCTTTTTCTTGAGGATTGACGGTGAATTGTTGTGGACGGCCCACTGCTGCCCTAAGTGAAATGCAAACTGATACAATCTGTTAACAAACGCCTAGCAACACGCACAACAAACAATAGAATTAGTGATTGAAAAACAATAATTTTCATAAAAAATATTTTTATAATTATATAAAAAAAAAAAAACTAACTGTAATTAATATCAATAATAATAAATAATAATCCATATAAAAAATTAAAAAACACAAACAAAAAATAAGAGGGAAAACTCCAAAAAATTGAAATCAAATCAAAAAATTTCTTTTGTCTGTCATTGCGTTATTTGCCAGGAATAACAAAAAAAAAAAAAAAAAAAATAGTCACCGATTGTTATTTTAAAAAAAAAATTTTTAAAAGATAAAATAAAAAATGTAAATTTTGAAAATAATGAAAAAAAAATTGTAATTTTCTAATTAATCTACGACACAAAGCGATGAATTTTCCTTTTTTTTTTTTTCTTTTTCAAATTATAATTTTGTGCAAGGACAAAAAATAAAAAAATTATGCGGAAACATTTACATGCAACAATCATTGCTGTATAAATAATAATTTATGTTTCGTTTTTTTTTTTTTTTTTATTATAATTTTGAATTTCTTTTTTTTGCATGGAGTGAATGAAAGAATTTTAAGAAAATAAAAAAAATCGGGACGTAAAAATAGAAAGAAAATTTTGAAAAATACTTACAGATTTTTTATCTGACCAATGATCAACGTCAGTTTGTCCCTGCGATTGCATAACAACTTGCTCGAAATGTGCGCATTCCTCGTGTTTTGTGACACCATTCTCACGATAACGATGCAATTCTGATAATCTTAAACGTAATTCACGTTCACGTTCGAGATTCGCGAGAAATTGCTCGTATTCCTGTGCGGTGTAAAATTGCGCGAACACCCTCATTCGCTCTCTAAAGTCTCTATTTTTTTGAGAGAATTCATTTTTATTATTATATATATTTTTTTTTTTGAAATTTAAAGAAAAAAGAAATTTTTTTTTTTTTACAAAAAGAAAATTATTTTCATTTATTTATTTTGCAAAATATATATTTTAAAGTGATAATAAATATAAACAGTAAATTTAAATACAATAATAATATTAAAATTTTTAAATAAAGAATTTAAAATCAGAAAATAGAAAAATAAATTGTTTTAAAAATATGTAGATTAAAATAATTAATAATTGTAAAAAAATACAAAAAATACTTACTTATCCTCCTTTGTTCGTTTTCTCTTGACGCCCCGTTCTTTTCGTGTTGATGCAAAAAATGCAGAAACTAATTGATAATCACGAACAACACGTTTTCTTCTCGCTCTTTCACGTAAATTATTTGTATACATATCGACTTGTGCGAGTTTCAATGCAATATCAAGATCATCGTCCTCCGTTGGATTTAAAAACAATGACGAGACAAGAGATTCCGCCTCGTGATTGTAGTCCTAGAAAAAAAAAAAAAAAATCAATTCCTTAATATTCACGAAGAGAATTTACACATTAATCGATTAATAATAAATAAAATATTCTCTTTCCGGACTCAGAATTTTTAAATTATAAAACTAATTTAGAATTGTAAAATAAAAATAAATTTTTTGTTTTAATAAAAAAAAAAGAAAAAAGAAATGAAAACAAGCGAAAATTCAATGAAATTAATATTTTATTAATATCTAAATTTGTAGCAAAGTTTTTATTTTATATTAATATTTAGAATTAAAAATAAATTCTAATACTGGTTAATATTTTCTGAAAAAAAATCGTTTTTGATTAATAAAAATCGGTTTAAAAATTTAATTAAAGAAAAGAAAAAAAGGGTCAGTTGGGGTGAATGGGGACAAAATCGCTATTTTTTACATATCTCGTAAGTTTCTTCCTTTAAAAGGTAATATTTTCGGGTTTTTTTTTTATTTCTTAAGTTGTTATTTACATTCCCAGGATTAATTCAGGGTGGCTGCAAAATTTTATTTTCAAAATTCCCTAATTTTTTATTTTCCCCAACTAAAAAAACTTTTGAATTATTTTAATATTCTGCATTGCTGATTGAAATTTTTATAATTCTTTTTAAGTAACAATTTTATTCATAAATGAAAAGAAAAGATATAATTAAAAATTGTTTAATAACAAAATTTTTATTATATTCAAAAACTTTTATTATGAAAAAAAAAGTAAATACTTTGAAAAATGAAAAATCTGACGGCACCATTATAATGAGCTAATATATCACAAAAACGTCTAAATAAAATAAAATGAATTGACATTTATGTATCAAATTATTTTAATTTTTTGGTTTCTTTTAATAAAAAATTCCCTGACTTTTAAAATAATTTTTAAAAATTCCATGACTTTTCCCTGACTTGCGGCCACCCTGAATTTTATGCAGCAGGAAAAAAATTTAGATAAACTTTAAACGCATGAAACTTACTGTTGTCCCCATTTACCCCAAAAATTTAGAAAATTTCATAAAATTCGGGGTAAATGGTGACAGCATTGTTTCTAAGAAAGTTTTAAGAAAAAAGTTTCCTTAAGTATATTACTGTATTAAGGAATGAAAAAACTTGAAAAAAAATTCTAGTAGGTGTATAACAGTTAAACCAATTGAAATTTTTTTATTTCAGTATTTTGTCTCGCATTTGGAAAAAAATTGACTTAAAAATCATAGCAACATTTTTCTTCTTATTCCTTATGACTCCCATAACAAAAATTCATTTGAATTTTTTTTTAATTTCATTAATAATAAAAAAAAAAAAAATTCAAGTGAATTTCTATTATAGAAGTCATAAGGAATAAGAAAAAAAAAATGTGGTATAATTATTAAGTCTGTTTTCTTTGAAATGCGAGACAAAATACTGAAACAGTTTGACTTTGATTTTCCAAATTTTTTTATGTATTGAGCGATAACTTTTTTTTTTATCTTGCTGCCAATTGTCAAGATAAAAACTTAGCAATCCTCAAAGCATCTTGCAGGTGATCTGAGTTTAAAATATTGATGTTGAACTTAATTTTTAAAACTGTAAATTAAGCTCCAAAACCTCTTGTCCCCCATTTACCTCAACTGATCCTAACAAAAATTTTCTATACAGAATTTAAAAAAATGTAAATAAAATTTTTTTTCATGGAAAAAAGAACAAACCCATTCAAAATCATCCCGTTGGGGCATGTAGCCAAGTTGCGAGGCTTCTTCTTTTGTTATATCCAAAGGTGGAAGTCGAGAAGTCACATCAGGTGATAAAGGCCCATGGTCAGAATTTGTTTGATCGGTTAAATTTGGTTTATAAATTTCCGTCGATGGCCAAGTATGCTTTCCTATATTTCCATCTAAATACCTTGCTATGTATTCTTCCTTCGCCTCTGGAATAATAAATCTCAACATTTAAAAAAATATATATAGGTATTTAATAATCCCGTAAATTTTTTAAATAATTTTCAATTTTTTTAATTAATTTCCTTTAATAATAATAATAATAATAATAATAATAATTTGTATTCTAAAATTTGTGTAAATAAAATTGTAATTTATTTAAAAATTAATTTATATTTAAAAAAAAATATTTTCATTTATTTATTTTGCAATTGGAAAAATATCGAATTTTTTTTTTTTTTTTTTTTGAAATTATTTTCTACCTTCCGGAGTACGTCTTTCGATATGTTTACTGATATCCTCCCAATTGCCAAATCCAAATTGTTCAATTGCATCCAACAATCGTAATTCTTCTCTCGCCGTCCAATTTCCCCGTCCATTAAATAAACTGACTGTCCCCGAGTCCATAAATTGATAGGCATGATCATTTTTGTGTGGACCAATTTCCGATCCCGATGAAAAGCACTGGAGAAAAAAGAAAAAATTTTTTTTTTTTTTTGTTTTGCCATTTGTTTCTCGAAATAATTTATAATAATAAAATTTAAATATTTTTTCTTTCATTTCTCACTTTCAATAATTGAAAAAAAAAAACTCAATTTCTAATACCAAATAATGGAAGGAAAAAATATTTAAATATTTAATAAAATTTAAAAATATAAAAATTCTTTTAATAAATTCAGGCCTCGGATCGACTTGAAGGCACAAAAAAAAGTCGTTTTAGTCGATTTATATTCCAAAAAAAGTCGATTTTTTTTATTTTGAACAAAAAATTTTTTAGATTTTTAAATAGAAATAATTTTGAATAGGATTAAAGTTGAAATTTTAACAAATAACTGAATTTCAAAAGTTAATTTTCAGACAATAATTTAATTTTACACAATTAAAAATAATTTATAAAATAATTTTAGATAACATTTTTTAAAAGTAACTAAATTCTCAAAGATGATTAATTTTGAATTAAAATTTTTGATAATAATTGAATTTTAGTTGATTTTTAATTGAAAATTTTAATAATAATTAATTTTGAATTGAAATTTTTTAAAATTGAATTTTAGTTAATTTTAAATTGAAAATTTGGAAAATAATTGAATTTTAAAAGATTTTAAATTGAAAATTTTGAAAATAATTGAATTTTAAAAGATTTTAAATTGAAAATTTTGAAAATAATTGAATTTTAAAAGATTCTGAATTGAAATTTTATAAAATAATTGAAGAATTTATCAGTAATTACAAAAATTGAACTTAAAAATTTTTTTAATTGCAAAATGATTTTAGATAATTGAATTTTCGAAGAATATTATAAAAATAGTTTAAAATATCTGAATTTCAGGAGGATTTTAGAAATAATTAAATTTCAGAAGCTTTTAAATATTCAAATTTTTGAATATAATTAAATTTCAATTGAAATTTTGGAAAATAATTGAATTTTAGTTGATTTTTAATTGAAAATTTTAATAATAATTAATTTTGAATGGAAATTTTTGAGAATAATTAAAGTTTAGTTAATTTTAAATTGAAAATTTGGAAAATAATTGAATTTTAAAAGATTTTGAATTAAAATTTTTGAAAATAATTGAATTTTCTTTGATTTTGAATTGAAAATTTTGAAAATAATTGAATTTTAGTTGATTTTAAATTGAAATTTTTGAAAATAACTGAATTTTAAAAGATTTTAAATTGATTTGTGATTTTGAATTAAAAATTTTTGGTAATTTTATTTGATTTTTAAAAAATTTTAAACAATTGTTAAATTTCATAAAATATTTTAATTGAAAAATAATTTTAAAAAATTAAATTTGTGATGAATTTCATTAAAATTATTAAAAATAATTAATACATTTTATACTAAAAAAACGTATTTTATTAAAAAAAATTTTTTTTTAAATGTAAAAAAGTCGATAAAGTTGCATTTCATTAAAATAAGTCGAAAAAAGTCGGAAATAGTCGATAAAGTCGTATAATCCGAGGCCTGTAAAGTAAATAAAAAATTTTTATTTGCAAAAATTGTAAATAATAGAATAAAAGTGATAAAAATTTAAATAGAATACAAAAAAAAATAAATAAATAAATTTTGTAAACAAATCTAATTAGATTTTAAAATAAATATATTTGGATTTTTTTTTAAATATTTAATATAATTTATAAAATATAATATATAATACATATTTATAATAGAAATATAATAATTATAAAATATACTAAACGATATAATTTGTATTAAGACGATTAAGACTAACAAAAATTTAAATTCTACATTTTTTTCCCGCTGCAAAAATTTTAAAAGAATCAAAAAACAATTGAATTCTTTTTGAAAAATTCTAAAATAAATATTATTTTAAAAAAATTTTTTATTAAATATCCTTTATTATAAAATCAACTAAACCGCTTTCGAAAAAAGATAAATATACAAACATAACCTCAAATGTAATAAAAACAAAAAATTAAAAACCACACAAACAAAAAAAAAAAAGCCGGTTCGGAGATTATTAATTCATGAAAATTGCTATATAAAGGAAAAATAATTGATTGAGGTTAAGTCACGTGACACAATGACAAAATGAAAGTGAAAATTCGCGACACCTTATCTCTCTCTTTCTCTCTCTCTCTTTTAATCTATTGACTTACCTGTAAACAGAGGTCGAAATCAGTGCACTCTGCACATTTGATACGCAATCCTGAGATATCTTCTTGACAATAGGTGCAACTATAAGTTGCATAGAGATCTGTAATAGAAAAAAAAAATTTTTTTTATGAATATTAAATATAATTCATATAAAAATTAGAAAAAAAAATTTTTTTTAAACCAAGTTAACGCCCTTATTCGAATAAACACCCACCCGCCATTTTTGTTCTGTGATGGTTTTCAGCGTTCTTTCAGAGAGAACGATTTACAATGACGTCACCGCATACTAGATGCCGATTATTTTATATATATATAATAATAATAATAAAAAAAAATAAGAGAGAGGTAGCTTTAAGTTTATCTCAAAATTGCAAATTAACAGACATTATCACTGTAATAATTTTGCTCGACAATGAGAAAATAAGCACTTTAAAAGCTTTTTTTTTTTTTATTAACGAGATTCGTCTTATTTCTAAAAGTCACAGTTTCACGAAAATGGAGGTATTGGAAAAAAAATTTCGTGGTAGGGTTGTTTACGACTGTAAATTTTGTTTCGAGTGCGCATGCGCGGCGAAAATGACGCTCAAAGTCAAAACCAAACAGGAAGTTGGTTGGAGATTTTTTTTTTTTGACTAGAGTAGTGAAACAGTGTTACCACATTTATGAAATTTATTATTTTTTTTTTTTTCATAAATTTATTATAAACAATAGAAATTACAAAAATAAGTTGACGTAATAAAAATAAGTAATAATTTTAAATAAAAAGAAATTAGAATACGTGTAAAATATCGCCAAAAACTGGAAATAGTGTGAAGTAAGCTGTTGGAATTTTTTCGCTTTGGCAAAATATGGTGGGAAATTTTAAATTAATTTAAAATAACTCGAAATTATTTTTACTTTCAGTCGTGTGTATTTTTTTTATTATATTTATAGAATATATTTTTATACATTTATTGTATATATATATATATACAAAACATCTTAATCTTAATATATCGATATTAATTGACTACAAATATAATTTGAAACGATAAATATCGATTTAAAACTATTTTTCGATTTAAATCAATAATTTTCGATTAAAATCGATAATTTTCGATTAAAATCGATAATTATCGATTTATATAGACATTTATCGATTTTAATTGAAAAAAAAGGAAGAATAATTTTTTTTTAAGGCACCTCGCATGCGACAATTTATGCAATAAGAAAAAAAAAACTTTACTGTAATAAACTATTTATATTCTCATGTTAAAAGTGATAAATATTTGTATCACAGAATATGTCCTATTTACAAAAAAATGTTATAATACAGGATGAAAAGAATTTTTTTTTTAAATATTGTATACACTGGCTTTTTTTTTTTAAAAAAAGCGAAATGAATATTCCCGCCATTATAAATAGTTAAATAAAGAAAACAAAAAAATTTTTTTCAGCGGGAATTTCAATTAAAGAGAAATTATTTTAAAAGCGCGAGATAAAAATTTTATTAAATTAATTATTTTTTTTCTTAATTAAAACTGAAAATTTTTTTTATAGACATCCTGTAATAACATATTCAAAGGCTTCGAATAAAAATTTACTGAAAAGAAAATGTAGTTTACCACTTTTTACATAAAAAAAAAATGCATTTTAGATTTTTTGCAAAAAAAAAAAAAATGTTTAAAAAATTTATTTAACATTTAAAAAAATGTAATTTCTATTTAAAATTAAAAAATTCATTGGTTACAAAAAAAAATTTAATCAAAAAAAAATTTAAAAAATTTTTTAAATTATTTTCTCAGTGTAAAAAGTGTATTTTTCACCTAAAAAAAAAAAGTAAAAAATACAAAACTTACAATTTTCTATTTCTCCAAATTTCCGTCTCATCTTTATGTTCATGAACAATTTCATTATTTCTAACAATACTTTTTGCCTTTGAAAAATTATTGTTTTTAAATGTTTTTCTTGAATTTTTAAAATTTATTCTATCGCTTTCAAATAATTCTTCGATATTATTTGTTGATACTTTAATTTTTTGTCGTCGTTGTACTAAATTTTTTAACGCTTCATTAAAATGCATTAGTGTCACAGAAATTGGTCTTGTCATGAAATTTTCCAAAATTTCATCAAATTCATCATCATCATCATCATCATTATCATCTTTCACAGAAATAAATAATTCACTTCTCAATTCTTTAAATTGATTTATTATTTCCCTGAGGCTCTCGTGAGCATTTTTTAAATCTTTAGAATTGAAATTTTCCAAATTTTCCTCTTCCATCGATGTTTTATTGTCGTCGTCGTCAATAAAATTCTCCTCAAATTCTTTAAATTGTTGAATTATTTTTTGTATACTTTCTTTTATGTTTGGTAATTTTTTAATATTCGTTTCTTGTTCAAATTGATTTTTATTATTAAATTGACTTTTATCCTTAGTAAAATAATTTTTTTCATCTTCAAATTTATTTTTTTCTTTATTAAATGAATAATTTTCATTTAAAATTTGTGTATTTTTTTTATCATTTTTTTTATTAAATTGTATTTTTTCATTTAATAATTGTTGATTCATTTTTTTTGCCTTTAATTCCATTTTTTCTTGAATTATTTTTTTCACAGCATCTTTAATATTTGTTGATTTTTGTTGTTGATTTATTTTTTCCATTTTCATTTTTACAATTGCTTTAATTTTTTCATATTTATTTTCTCTATCTTCCTGATTAGTTTCCATTGAAATTAATTCATTTTTCCTCTCGTTAATTTTATTCTCTTTATTAAATTTATTGTTTATTTCAAATTTTTTGTTATTTTGTTTATCGTCAAATTTTTCATTTATTTCTTCATTATCAATGGCATTAAATAAATTTTTTTCATTAACGTTAAATTCGTCACTTTTTGTAATTTCAAAAATTTCACTATCATTTTCCTCTATTTCATTATCCATCGATTCATCAATAATTTCATTAATATTTATTTCAGAAAAATTTTCATTACTATTTTCAATTTCCATTATTTTTGAATTATCGACAATAAATAAATTATTTTCCACTGGTTTACCAATTTCTTGTAATGATCCAACGATATCGTGAAAAATTGGTTCCATATTTTTTGGTGAATTTTTTGAAAATATTTTTTCACGTAGAATTTCATTATTATTATTATTATTGAAATTTAATTCAAATTTAATTGAACGTTTTATTCGTGCATTTAATGGATCGTATGTTATACTTGATTTTCGTCGCATTATAAAAATTGCTGGTTTTGTATTTATTTGAATTGGCGGTATTGTATTGTAATTGATGGCAATATGTGAAAATCCATCAACAGAATCAAGAATATCGTGTGTTTTTAAATAGGATTTTATATTTGGTGAATATTTACTTTTTGATTCCATTAATATATGAGTGAATTGTAACATTTCTGGATTATCAATTGTTAAATTTTCTTGTTTCGAATAACTGTAGAAAAATGAAAGAGAGAAAATAAATTTAAAAAATTAGATAAAATTTTTTAATTTATAAAAAGAATATTGAAATAGTTTTTTTTAGTAAATTTTAAATAGTTAAAAAGAAAATCTAATTTCTTAACTTACATCCAATTGGTATTTGTTTGTGTAAATCGAGAAATTCCAGTTTGTGCGGAAAAAACGTCAATATGAACGTAAACGGGTTCAATTCGTTCTTTTTCGATTCTATGAAGACGAGCAATTGCCATTCCACCGGGATAATTAGCACCAGCGACACATAAAAGAAACATTGAGAATGTTGCATTTAATACTAAATGTCCAAGAATCGCTAGAGCCAACAGTCCATTCCAAATCGATTTTTCCCGATTTTCCCAACTGAAAAATATTAAAAAAAAAAAAAAAAAATAAAAATTATTCATTTTTATATCAAAAATAAATTATATCACCAGAAAACGATAAAAAAAAAAATTTGTTTAGTTTTTTTTTCTATAAAAATTAAAAAATAATAACTTACATACGGTGACAAGCAGCGGCGGCGCCAACATTCAATAGAGGAAATACATAAATAATAAATCTCAATTCCTTATGAGGAAGAAATGAAAATAAAATAACAAATGTTAGGCCAGGAATAGTGAGAGCTCGAACTCTAGAATCCCATAAAATTCCTAAAGGAATTAATAAATAGGAAAGAGCCAATCCTCGTGGAAGAGCCGAATAAAAATACCACAAAAATGGAGACGTCTATTTTTTTTTTTTTTTTTTTTTAATCAGTTAAGGATATTAATAATAATAAACTTCTATTTTTTTCTCTGTTAATAATAAACGTAAGTTAAAAAAAATATAAATTAATTATAATTATAAATAATTATAAATAAATTAATTAATTTTTTCATTTAGAAAAAAAAGGTGTTAAACTAATTTTTAATGTTTTTAAAAGGATACGCCCCATTCACTACTTTTATTTAAAATTGTATTAAAATAGAAAACTTCTCCTTCTGGCCATAAAATTCGATTCCAAAAAATTGAATCGACAATTATTGTTAATGCGAGAAAAAATATTCCTGATGGTAAACCAATTTTTAATAATCTACAAAGAATATTTAAATTAATAATTATTAAATACAAAGTAAATAAATATTTCATTTCTTTACTAAATTAAATAAAGTTCGTCAATTTAATAAATTATTAATTTCGTTTAATTTTGTAAAAAAAGAGAAGTTAAATTTAAAAAAAAAAAAAAATACCTGTGAATTGTAATTTTTGAATTTGCAATATCATATAAAAGAAACATTCCCAAAAGCATTGCTAATTCAGCGCGAAAAATAATAATAACAGCCGCTGAAGACATAATGAAAATTACATGATTTCTTCTCAACCATCCATAAAGGGCAAGTAGAACTGAAAAAATAAAAAAGAAAATTTCGTTTTATTTTTAATAGTTTTATTGTTTCTATATAAAGAATATCTGATATTAATCTAACAAGAAAAGAAATTTTATAAAAAAAATATATTTTATAAATAATATTTTAATTATAAAATATTATTATTAATTTTGTGGAACTGTTAATTTTTTTTTTATTATATAATAATATAATAAAAAAAATGAATTATTTATTAATATTTGAGTGTAATAAAAAAAATTTACCTAAAGGCATTGCCATAATATTCGGCAATGGTCGACTGAGATAATATAAAAAATGATATTGAGTTACTGTAATTGCGACAAACCATTTTACAAATTTAACACCAAAAATTGATTGTAAAGCTTTACGATAAAGACTCAAAGTCACTATCACCATTAAGCCCAATACTGCTCTCACTGAAAAAAAAAAAATTTTATTTTTCTTTTACATTCTTTTTTTCTTCCTACAAATTAGAAAATTATTTTTATTATTTATTTATTTTTTTATTTATTTTTTATTAATTATTTTTTTTATTTTTTTTTAAATTGGCAAATTTGTCCTTTCTTTTAAAATTCTATTTTATCAAACTTACCAATATATTGTGAATAAAATTTATTAACATTAAAATGTTTAACGGCAGCAACAGCAGGTGCAGCTAAACCTGATACTGCCATTGGTCCTAAAAATGTTCTCGGTACAACTCCGGGAAATTCATGATGATCATACTGAAAAAATTTTTTTTTTTTTTTAAATTATATACTAAATAATTAAAATATATTTTTAATTAATGAAGTAATAATTAATCATTATCAAGATAAAAAACTATTATTATTATCATGTAATTAATTATTAACTATTCTTGATTATTATCAAGTAATTAATTATTTACAAATTATAAATTTATAAATTAAATAATAAATTAAATAAATTATAAATTTATAAATTAAATAAATTATAAATTTATAAATTCACTAAATCTTCTATTAAATAATTAACTATTATATTTAAATTTATAAAAACATTTTGCAATAATTTTTAAATTATTAAAAAAAAACAAAACAAGAAATTATAACACTGATAATCTTAAAAAATAGATTTAGATTAATTTTCTTCTAAATAATCAAAATTATTATTAAAAATAGAATTATAAAATAAAAATTAATGTAACAAAATAATAGTGAATGATAATTTTTATTTATTTACTAAAAAAAAATTTGTAATTTAAAACTAAAAAAAATATGCATATTAAAAGCAAATAAAAATTAATAAAATATTAAAAAAAAAAATAAAAGAAAAAAAAATATAAAATAAACAAAGCGAGGAATTTTCAGGAAATGGAAATAATTTTTAATTTATTTAGAAAAGCCGGATCAGAGTTTATAAATACGTGGCGTATTTCTAAATTTATATAGAAGTTTTGCGTAATTATTTATTTGTTTTCGAAAAAATTAATCTTAGTGACAATTTAATATAAATTACATTTGACACTTAATGTCGTAAAATAAAAAAAAAAACACTTTTCTTTCATTAAAAAAATTTTTTTGTTTTGTTTCAAAAGAATTTAAAAAATAAAAAACAATAATTTACCTGACTTAGGTTAGAACCGTGATAAAGAAGATCATGAATTGCTTGAAGATTAAAACTTTCTTCAACTTTTGTAAATGGACAATAAAATAAATGCAGAGCCGCTACTAAAATAATTAAATGATCCATTGTGACATTTAGAAAATAAATTCATTCATAATAATGAAAGAAAAATAGGTTTTTTTTATTATTAGAGCAACAACAACAAAAAAAAAAAAAAACAACTTGTGTGTACTTCCACCTGCTTATAACGCGTCGTCTGCTAATCTCTTTAAAAATATGCGGCAAAATTTAAATTTCTAACCACATATCAATATACATATATGTATATATAATAATATTATAATTAATTAATATAATACTAATTATGAATATAAAAATTCTTCTTAAATAATAAAAAAATTAGAATTTTTTTTTGTATTATAAACTGATGTTTCATTTTGATTCATTATTGCTAAAAAGTTTTAATAAAGTCACAAATGGATATATATAATATTTTTTATATTTATTTTTTAACTTAATTTTTTAAAATTAATTATATAATTTACAATATACTTATTTATACACTTTATATAGCTCCGTGAATTTAGAACTACAACCATAAAATAAATATTATTATTTATAGTATTTATATGCGTAATTTCAAAAAATTAGTGCCAATATTTTAAACTTGTTACGAGCCGAGTTACCTTTTATTACGCAACTCTAAAAATGTAATATGATTGGCTGGATTCTCTTTAGTTAAATCCTTTAAGAAGGAAGCGGGAAGGTTTAAATGAAAGATTATTAAATTCCGATACAACGGAAGGGAAACCCGTTCAAAGGAAGAATAATTATTAGTTCTTCCTTCGAAGGTAAAACCCTGTAATTTATTAATATGATAAAATACAAAGCTGACTAAGGAGTTTAGAAAACAACCTTTCAAGCCAGAGTCAAGATTAGAACTAACTTAGAGAGTTTTTGGTCCAGCGGAGTCGCTCTCCGCTTTTGGTCCATTTTGAGTTTGTGCGCATGCTTCACTATGGAGCGTATTCGCTACTCCTATACGTGTATCACTTCACTAACACTTATCACATCGTTCCTTAGTGTTACTTATATGTTCACACATACATAAGAGAGATTATACACAATCTCTCCCATCATACAACATACTATTTATTAAAATATAATAAACATTAATCATCACAACATTATATGGTTAATCCATAATTATATTATTATAATATAATTATAACAATATTAATTATGATATAATTATAATAATATTAAATTATAATATTCTGATAATCAATTATTAATTAATTAACAATATTAATAACGCTTAAATACAAATGTGTAAATATACTGAAACATGTACATAAATAATTATTTAATTATTTATTATTAAATAAAGCATTTCTTATACAAAGCATTTCCGTTGTAAACTTTCGTTCATTGTTTAGCCCGTACGCGACTTTTCTATTGAAGGTAATAAAAGTCCGTGTCTGGTCAACATGTGTTTAGTGTCCCTTTTTTTTATAGAAAGGATCACATTTTTTCAAGTGGTTTTTATGACGTTCTAGGTTTACATTTAAAATTTGAAAATGAGAGAAAATATGAGAATATATTTTCTCTTATTTTCTTGGACTGATTTACGACATTTCTCTTTTAGTATTTTGTGTTGCTAAAAGAAATACGATATTGGAATAAACTTAATAGTTGACGGAAATACTTTAGAATTAGTCATGCTATTTTCTTTTATGTGAAAGACTCTATTATATTTATCGTGAGAAAATATTAAGTGTTTTAAGATGTTTTATAATTAATCCTCAATTAAATTATTTAAATCTTAATTAATCACATCGATGTATCGCTCATTCGATACATCGAAATGATTCGAGCGAGGATTATAGTCGCTCGTTACACTTTCCCCCTTAGAGAGATTTTCGCTAGAAAATTAAAATAAAATATTTATACTATTATTGTAAAATTATTATTATTTTTTTTTTTGTTTTTTTTTTTTTTGTTTTTTTTTTTTGTTTTTTTTTTTTGTTTTTTTTTTTATTTATTATTATTTATTTATTTATTTATTTTTTTTTTTGTATGTACCTACATTATTTGCATTTGTCGTATTTTAAGTTTTGTGCACTTTAAAGAGTATATAGTATATATGTGGATAGTGCTTAACATTTGTTTCGCCTTAAGGTGGCATTGTTAAATTGTTCGCGCTGCATCACCATCTTAAAGTTTTATATTTCTTGTCTGCAATTGTAACAAGCGTTGTTTACATTATCGAAGGTGTCATATATTTGCAATACAGATTGTCAAACAATTATTGATTGATTACAAAAATGTTATTTTGGAAAGAATATAATCAATTATACAATAGTTAAACAACTTTCTGATCAAGGTATAGTTGATCAGCACTCTCTCTCCCCCTTAAGAGTATGAAAAGTGTATTTCAATCAATTTGTTAATTTCAATAATAATTTGACAAGGTATGTATTGCACGAAATATACATTTTTCATGAAATTCAAAATTTACATAAATTTTTATAAAACAATTTATTTGTTTTTAGAAAATTTTCAAAACTTGTGGTCGAAGAAGGTTAGTATGAACAACTTTTGTTTTGTTTTGTGAAATTTGAATTTCAACATTGTTATCCTCTAAAACTTTTATTATTTTATAGGGACCAGCATAATCTGTGTCTAATTTCGAAGTTTTGTTGTTTCTTTGTAAATAAACGGAATCATTAACTTCATAATTTTGTGAATTAAGTTTCAGATCATAGTAGTGTTTAGATTTTTCTTTTGCGGCATGAAGTTTTTCCCTAGCAGTAGACTGGGTTTCAACAATTTTTTCCGATAGAGTTTTCAAAAACAAGTCGTATGTTAATGACAAATTTCTTTTGGCAAATTGTGAAGGAACTCTTGCATTTTTACCGAAGATTAATTGGTGTGGAGCGAAACCTGTTCCTTCATGTTTTGAAGTATTGTAGGAAAACATGGCATAAGGTAACCATTTATCCCAATTGTTTTTATTACAGAAGTTTTTTAAATATTGAATTAAAACATGATGACTCCTTTCTAGAGAGCCCAGTGATTGTGGGTGGAATGCAGTTGAGCGAAGTTGTTTAATTTTGAAAATTTTGCAGAAATTTTCCATCAACTTGCTCGTAAAATCACGGCCCTGATCCGTGTGTACAATTTGAGGACAACCAAACTGTGAAATAAATTTTTCTGCGAAGGCGTTAGCAACGGAAACAGAATCAATTCTGCGCAAGGGCGTCGCGACAGAATATTTTGTCAAATTATCTTGAATTGTTAAGATAAATTTGTTACCATTTTCTGTTTCAGGTAATGGACCAACTATGTCCATTTCAATTTTTTCGAAAGCTTCTGTTGGGGTATCGGTAATCGACATCGGTTGACGCGTTTTTACTCTAACGAATTTATTTAATTTACATGTTTCGCAATTTTTTACGAAAATTCTAATGGATTCACGCATATTTGGCCAATAGAAATTTTCTCTAATTCGTTCGAGGGTTTTGGTAGCACCTTTATGGCCGCCTGAAGTTGATGAATGATTTTCGCGTATTATTTCCGAAATATCGCTTTCATTCGGTATTTCAACTTCACCATAGCAAATTGTGATACTATAATTATCCTGACCAAATATCTTTTTTATTTCAGATTCAATACTCGGCCATGACAATTGATTTAGACCGTTTCCAACTCGGGATACACTGACAGAATCAATATCCAACTGATCCATAGCAACCTTCAAAGCATTTAAGGTGGAAATTACGTCAATATAAGTTGGTTTAGAGTCAAAAGTTGGTTTAATTATCATATTGAAAACGCAATGATCTTCATATTTAAACACTATAACATTGCCAACTTCAATATTTTCATTGTCTTCGTTAAGTAAGTCGTCAATTTTCATTCTATTTTCAGTGAGTACTTGTTTGTTTGTTTCGGTAGTGAATTTTCTGTCGGCAGGTATAAAAATTGCTAAATTGTCTTCTCTCATAAACAAATAATCTTTAGAATTTTTTATGCAAGAAAAGTTTTGGTTAGGGTGACTGTCGTCTTGTGAAGTGTTATTTGTGTCAATTGTATTGCAAATTTTTGTTCTGTCGCGATTTACTTTATTTTTTGTAATTTGAAATGAATTTTGTTTATTTTTAACGTTTAAGACATATTGAAGATTTTCTGTCCGTTTTGCTTTGAAATTATTTCCAAATTCAAGATCACTATTTTCTTCATCAGAAATGTTAAAAATTTTATCGCAATTTTTATTGATTTTATAGAGAATTTCACCACTACACGGATTTTTCGCCTCTTGCTCAAATCCAGCATGGTTGAAATTTGCGCATGAACCAATCGGTTCTATATCAATTTCGTGGCTGCAGTCCACCTTACGATCTCGCAGATCATCATTCTCATCGTAAGTAATTAACTTGTTTATGTTAATTAGGTTATCCTCGATAACCTCCATGCTTGTGGTCTGGAAATTCTCGTCAGAAATGGTTTCACGAATTATTTGTGATTCGTTATCACCGCCATCCCAGTGAATGTTCAGAAAAACTGCCTCTATTCGGTCATCACTTTCATATTCGTCCAAGGAATTTTGAGGATGAACAGGTGTACAATTCACCTTGTTCTGAGGATTAGGATCAATTTCTAGTGGATCAACATCGTCATTTAAGGTTATGTCATTAGTGATACCTTGCAGAATTTCGTCACTCATGTCACAGGGATTCCGCGACAACGCATCAGCACCAGTATTTTTAGTACCTTTAATGTACTCTATTCCGTGATCGTATTCACTCAAACGATGTCGCCATCGGAGTAACCTTGAATTTGGGTTTTTCATGTTGTGCAACCATATTAGAGGTTTGTGATCAGTTTGGAGTTTGAATCTTCTCCCGAAAAGATAAGGTCGAAAAGATTCAACAGAAAAGAGAATTCCTAAAAGTTCCTTTTCTATTGTTGAATAATTTATTTCAGCATCAATGAGTGTTCTCGAGGTATACGCTACAGGAAGGATTTTTCCATCGAAATTTTGACTAAGTACTCCGCCAATTCCATAATGAGAAGCATCAGTTGTCACTATGAAATCTTTTGTAAAATCAGGGTACTGCAGCAGAGGTTGAGTGCAAAGAGTATTTTTCAATTTATTAAAAGCTTCATCCTGTGCTTCAGTCCACCTGAACTTTACATCTTTTTTGAGAAGATAAGATAAAGGTTTAGCAATGGTCGAAAAATCC